GTGTTTATTATCAACTGCTGGATTCCCTCAATCATTTAAAACGGTAAATACGATTAATCTGCGATTATGCCGACGCAACTACTAGTTACGCAACTGGTCGTAGAAGTCGCACTATCGAACAGGAAGTTCTGGCAGGATATTTTGAAGTGACCTTTCATGACGATGATTCTGATAAGGCGCCAGTTTGTAGTCTGACTTTTTTCAGTAACTGACACTTTTAAGCACCGCTTTTTCTTCCGTAACTTCCGTATCTTCCCAAACTGGCTTTAGAATAACAGTACTTAATTGCATGTCTACCAGACATTGGCCTAGATTTGAAATTTCCCGTGTTTTCTTGTTATTTTTTTGTTTATACAGTTGAAATAATTTTAACTTGATTTTGTTCTTGTCGAAAAGCTTCGCGACGTACTGAAAAATTTCAAATTAATTCAAGGATGCACATAGCGCTTAAGGGCGTTGGAACCTGAATCCACTTCGTTCTGGAGCTCGGACGGCAGTCCACGCAGCCAGTTGTAGTCGCATAACAGATCCTTATGCCTTACTGAATTTGTAATTTTTTCGAGTTCGGGCAGATGGGACTACTTACAACTTTTATCAGCTCTAAAATAGAGTTTCTGAACTTGATTTTACGCTTGTGAACTTTCAAGTTATAAATGGACCAATCAGATTTCAGAAATTCGAAGAAGAACCAATCATTTTACCGAACCATTCTGAATGGTTGTTGCTAATCGGTAAAATGATTGGTTCTCCATAAAACTACTGAAATCTGATTGGTTTTTGAGCTGTTCCTATCCAAAATTGAAGTTTTGACGCCTCTAATTCTCCGATGCCTTCTTATGGCTTTTCTTTTTTCGTCATAATGCCTCACTAAAACTCATCGTTCGACATTTATACACCGGCTTGTAATTACTTATAAAATAAATTCCATATATCGTAACGAGCGCAACGAAGGCTGTTATTCTTGAGCCAAGAATTCTCTTTCTTGCGTGTTCAGCAAAAGCAAAATATAGAAAGAGCTTAGCTTTTATTTTCTTACACGCGGCCAGTCTGTCTCCACCGACATTCGAAGAGCGAAGATCCCCTCAGTCCTCTTCTCGATTCAAGAGGTTATATAACAAACAACAGATTTTTATCTCAGTGCACGAAAATGAAAAAACGAGGGATGAACACTTAAAGCAGTACGCACTACTTAAAAGAGCGTCAGCGCAACTTTATGGCAGTTAAGCTTGGCTGCCCTCCGTCTTAGTAATTGATGATTGCATTCTACAAGACATTACTGTTTTTAATTGATCAAGAGCTTCGCTTTAATACTGTCTCCTGGTCTCCTTTCAGTTCAATACAGTAGCTGCGCGTTTCGAAAATCGGCGAAAAATCTATTTGAACCGCTCAAAAAGTTATTTTAGTTATGACAGCTCTCACTGGAATGATGGGAATGATGAAATTTATAGCTCCGAAAATATGTGTTATCCCCTGTGCTATTCCCCGCTTCATCCTCTTACCATAACACAGAAACCACGTTCCTCTGTGGCCACTCTTTTTTCTCTAAAAAATTAAAAGATGAAAATGAATTCACAATCAAAAATACTAAGAAATCCTAATGGCCCTCAAATTAGTCTCTCTGTCAGACTACTGGCAGGTGAAACGTCTCTACAAGGAACAGTCGTACCCCCAAGGATGTCAGTTAGTCTCGACTTATCAATAATCGGAAACGCTAGAAAGTTTTGTCCTTCAATATTTTTAAGACAAACCACCGGGGAAACAACTACTGGCAATTATTACCAACCAGACATCCCTCAAGAAAGCGTCACTAGAATTTCATAATTTACATTCTTTTTTGATGTTTCTTGCGTTGGAAAAAAAATTAAAGACAAGAAACGTTTTTTTATGTTTCAAGAAATATGTTACGCTTTTTGTCTAGCAGCCTTTCCGGTTCTGGCAAGTTGAATTTCGGAAGTTTTCATAATGCGGTTTTTCGTTTAAGAACTTTGTGGGGTTCCCTGAATGGAATGTGTATTCTCCAAATCCACGTATTCCGATATCCACGACTGCCGCTTTCGTCGATTTTTCGTACCAAATTCAACAATGCCAGCGACCTGCATGATATGCATATTTTCGGTCTATTACATCTTCTAGCTCTTCAAAGTAAGATTTCTAGCGCGTCATCGTTTTCTCAAGAATTCTTGTAACGTTGCTGCTAGAATCAGAAAACAGCATTCGTCATCACTTCTGAGCAAACTTGCTGGTCTTTGAATAAAAGGGCTGAAAGCGGAACTGGGTAATAAAGGCTAGAGGGGGATAATCGAAAGGAGCAGCAGCAGCTTCCTCTTAATCGATGCGAATTCGTTGATTCAAGAGCCAGATCATCTTTCCACAGGTAAACAGGCTCTCTAAGTTCAAGCAAAATCAAGCCCAGATCGGGCTGTCCGGTAACCTGTGAAGAAAACCTGAGTCAGGGTCTGAAAACTCGCTTTTATACCTTTCAGACCCTGACTCAGGTTTTCTTCTAAGGATGCCGAGCCAAAACGCGCTCGTTTCGATAAGGAGCGCAATTTACTAACTTGAGGCGATAAAGACCTCGGGCACCTTATCGAGGACTATCGCAACGTTTGGCAACGTTTGGAACCTTCCAAAGGTAAATCTAGTCACTAAAAACCTTATCGCTAAACTTTCTGATTTTATGCAAAGTCGGAGAGGCTCAGGCGAGAAGAATTTCTGATTTGCATAAAATTTTCTTTCAGAAGAAAGGCTTTGTAAACACATGTCAAATTTCACAACAAAAAAGGGGTTTTAAAAAAGAGATAAGAGGTCCAAAAGTCTAAGACTCCTTTGTTTCTTTTTGAAGCAAATAGCTGGGCTAAGAAACCTGTGTTAAAAACCTGAGTCAGGGTCTGAAAGAGAGATTCAAATCAAGTACTAAAGATTTGCGAAGCCGCTTTGCGGCTTCGTTTTTAAAAAGCCGCTACGCGGCTTTTAATTTTAGATCTTTCAGACCCTGACTCAGGTTTTCTACTCAGGATGCCAAGCCTAGAGGAAAGCCTTTACGTAATAAAATATTTTAATAAATGAGATTTACCGAAAAAATAGAATTTTCATCGAGAAAAAACGGTGGATTCTTAAGCTGGCTCATTGAATCAAAAAGTAAGTATCCACCTTTTTAAGCTAAAAGCCAGTCGCTGGAAAACACTCAAAGCGGCGTAATGCGCTAATCTCAAAGCTACCAGCTGCGCGTCACCCTTCTAAACGGCTCGACACTTTTGGCATTATCAAATTTTCGAAGACCCGACGGCATAAACTCTCTCATCTAATGCATACATCACGTGTTTCTCTTCCACTGTTATTTTCAGGCTTGAAAGGTTGACAATTTGAATTTTTATGTAATATGAAGATAAATTAAACAAGGGTCTGAAAACAAAGCAAAGATGAAGCAAAGACGAAGCGAAAACGAAGCGAAAGCGAGGCGAAAACGAAGCAAAGCGAAGCGAAGACGAAGCAAAGGGAAAGCGAAGCGAAGCGAAAGTGAAACGAAGCGAAGCAAAAGCGAGGCGAAAAGGAAGCGAAAGCGAAACGAAGACGAAGCGAAAGCAAAGCAAAGCGAAGGTGAAGCGAAAACGAGGCGAAAACGAAGCAAAAGCAAAACGCAGCGAAGCGAAAACAAAGCAAATGAGGCTCTGTTTTAAATGTAGATGCCAAGCCTGCAATATTCGAGTATGCACTCTTGTACTTACCGGTGTATTCTGAATAAACGAAAGTAAAAGAATAAGAACCGCACTAGAAAAAAGCCCAAGTGCTTAAATTATTCGTTCGTCAAATTGGCCTTCAGAGGCTGCAAATGAATCTGCGAACGATACAGGCTGAAAAATGCGTGTAAATACATTTTCAAAAAAAAAACGCTCGGTATTCTAACGACAGGGCTTGTCGCTAGGGCGGAATGTCTTTAGCATTTTACCTGGGAACAAAATTTCTCCTCGGTACACATAATCATCATCATTGGAATTGATCACTCGAAAAGATGATTACACAAGGAAATAAATATGAAAACTGGGGTTTGGTTTTCTTATCACTTTTGCCTTACGAGTTGTATTTTCGGTGCGTTTGCTTATGTTTAGGAATGCTGTTAACTTTGTTTTTATCGGCTTAGAGGTGGCCTCGTACCAACTAAACAAGTCACGATGGAGAATAAGAAAGTACGTGGATTGGCCCGGCCGTAATACGAAACTGAGCAGGACATGTTGCGATCTTATCAAAAAGAGTCCGGTTGCCATAATTGTCAAATAAAGACGTAACGGTCCGTTTTCAGAAAAGCGCAATAGAAAACCAGGGGCCAATTTTTAAGGACTTATAAAAATAAAATATGAAACTAGCAAACCACTATCGCAGAAACCACCACATTCAAGCGAACTTCTTATCGCACGTGTTTCGTTAGACTATTAGTTTTGCGGCCGTTTGCGGTCTGTTTTTCCTTCGCTCCAAAGTTGATAACGCTTTACGCAAAATATATTTATTAAAAAATAATATTTTTTTTTTTCAGCTGAAGCTGAATTCAACAGGATAGTGGTCGGAGATTTGGTACGTCAGGGGTTGATCTTCGTAGATAATGTCTTTCGTTTGGAAGACCTCTTCGAAGTCGAAAACTTGCGCTTCTTGAAGTTTTAAAATGTTAGAAAAAAAATTCGAGAAGAAAAAATTTTCGAGAAAAAATTTTTCGAGAAAAAAAATTTTCGAGAAAAAGAATTTTCGAGAAAAAAATTTGAGAAAAAAAAATTTCGAGAAAAAAATTCGAGAAAAAAATTTCGAGAAGATCAAACTTTTGCCTGTGCCAATATTCTCCTGAATCGTCTCTCCATACAGCACGATATGATCATACGCGGCGTCCGTATCTTTGGCCGTTGTATCCGCGTCGAAGTCGATCAGGAATTTGCTCTAGAATATAGTAAATTCTTCCAGCGCCTTCTCCTCTTTCCCAAGAGAGAAACAAAAAGTAAGACTTAGTAGTTGCTGACCTTGGGGTCCTTGTAGAGCTGCAAAGCTTCCGGGTCTTTAACATAATGTAAATCCGCGTTCATGTCGCCCGCAATGATGCAGTCCTTCACCTCCGGGTGACGGTCGCGTGCCATTTCAAACACAAGTTTCAGGTTGTCGATTTCGTCCTCCGTAGTCATATCCTTTCAAAAAGAGCTTGAGAAGAAAATAATGCATTCTTAGCTCGACAGCCTGTGTAAAAAACCTGAGTCAGGGTCTGAAAGATTCTCAATGAAAAGCCGCGTAGTATTTTTAAATTAGCGAAGCCGCTTTGCGGCTTCGTTTTTAAAAAAGCCGCTCCGCGGCTTTTCATTGAAGATCTTTCAGACCCTGACTCAGGATTATCACACAGGTTGCTGAGCTCAAAATGCATTAAATTTTGATTTTAAAATATCAAAAATAATTTCAGAAGATTTCTAAAAAGCTCTTGCCTTGACTCCCGTCTCAGGTTTGATATGACAGGAGATGACGATGAACCTCTGCGTGGGATAAGACTTGGCATCTTTGCCCGTTCGCTGAAGCACGACAACTCCAGGCGGCCTCTTCGCGCACGTTCGCCGAAAGAAATAACAAGCCAACCTGGTGGAAAATTATTTTCGCGAACGCTCCCTCAAAGAGATTATCTTCGTCTTCGAAATCAAACGAGTCGATTAATTTGAATTTGTTACGGTCCCAGCCGAATCCGAATTGCTCCTTTGAAATTGTCGTCCCTTTCAACGAGTTTCAAATTAACTTCCCCTCTAGACGCCATAGATAAGAAACTATAAAGCTAGAACATTAACTGTCTGTTAGACTTTTCTCCCTCAGACCATTTTAATCGATTTTATTCCTGTAGTTAATTAACAAGAATCTTTATAAACATTATTTTTTCCCCAAAAAGGGGTCCTTCCCTCGAAATTTCTCGCTCTCTAGAGTTGTCTTTCTAGAGCTTAATCATCCCAAAATGAGCACCGTAAGACCTTTTCTCCTTATAAAATTTGGCACCCAATTAAAACTTGATATTCAATGATACCTAGAGTCTTTTTTTGAATTTTTCGATACCCGTGACTGGGTCATGTGATCTCAAAAGTAACCCGAACATTGAAACTCTTCCTTGTCTCTCACCCACGTGATAGTCATACTTGTCCTCTTCCTCGTTCAGTGCAGAAATCAGCTCAGGGAAGGCCTCCCCGCTTGCATCCCGAATCTCCTGTATCGTAAAAACATCGTAGCGCGTCAAAATCTTCACTAGAATTTCCTTGACAGGTTCTTTCTTCATCTTTTCTTTGCCAAAGACTTGGATGTTGAAGGAACCAAAGAGGGTGTGAGCATTTTGAGACTTGCGGCTCTTCTTCTTCAAACTCTTCGATCGTCGCTTCGAAATTGGACTGGCACAGTCTTCCCTGTATCGTCCCCACTAAAGGGTGGAAATTAACGGCCGAAGAGGGGGCGCTTAAAAATTTTATCGTGGCGCTGGGACTATCGGCCTTTTTCAGATAATTCCCATATCTTCAGTTTTTTTTCTTGATGACGGAAGCAATTTTTAACATTCACGTTTGGAGAATTGAAACTTACGTAGAGTTTAATGGCGTAATTATTGTTCTCCAAGAACTCTTCGACATTTGTCTCTCTACCGCTGCGGGTCAACATTATTCTTTGTTTTCATCATTTGGAAAATGATGATTTTTGATGATTATCTTATCAGTTCAAGCTTTTTTTTGTAACGGACCCATCCGCCTCGATCTGGAAGGCAAATGGAAAGCTCTCATTTTCGGAAATTTGTTCGAAACCTTCATGAGATGCGAAGAGCACGGTTTTGGACGTTTGGGCCTTGACGAAAATCCGAGAGAAGGTCGAGAATGTTAAATCGTCTTTTTATAAGTTATGAAACCAGCTCATGAGAAATCTAAGCGGTAAATATTTGTGCTTAACTTGACCTGGAATTTCTTCGCTGAATTCTATTTCGATCAAATATCCATCTTGTATCAACTCGTTTCCCGACTGAAAAAGGGACTTATTTTTTTCAGAAGGGGGTAAAACCTTGAGACGAAGAAAACAAAGTGCCCTCCTTTCATCTGCTTCGACATACGGATCTTCACAGGTCCTCTGAGTGTGCATTTTCGAGTGGCTACTTCCTTGCGTTTTGCATGCCATTCCCTTCGTAAAGTTCAGATCCTCTGGGTCCGTTTCTTGCGATGCTTCGCTTTCGAAGATCTCGATGGATTTGCGTTTTTCATTTCTATTTTCCCTTTGGCCATCATTTTCGTGTTCCACTTCATCTTCCTCTTCTGATAGTTCTAAATACTATTGTGTTTACTTCCGGTAGATCATCATTAAATATTTTGCAAGTCGTCAATCAATTAAAAAAATGACCGTTCAAAAACATTATCACTAAAACCAAGTTATTTGGTTCGGTTTAGAAGCAGCTGGTAATCCAAAATTTTATGAAATGGCGATTCTTATCAATTTGGAATGGATCATTCCAAATGGTATAAAATCGACGTCGAATTGAAATTCAAATTATTTTCCAAATGAAACAATTTCATTTATGAATTCTCCACCATTGTCTGAAATGAAAAATAAGAATTCTTTTATGAAAAAATGAAACTTGACTTCTCTAAGGGATCAGGTGACTATTAAATTGAATAAAATCACTTCTATTTTACATGAGTTACAGTATTGAGTCCTCTCGCTATTTAATCGCTGTAAGGAATAACCGGCCCCGGTTTCATGCAAGTTTTCAGGTAGTACATTTGGTATTATGTAAAAGAAGTACCTTGGGAAACCAAATCTTCCTGCGAATATTCCTCCTCCAAATCGGAAAAGTCTTCCTCTGACAGCTCCCACTCCGGATCCGAGTCTCCCATTTTACGCTTCGTTTAACGAAAAGGACAAAATAATAGCCTTACGGAACTTCAATTATCAATTCCGCTGCGCTAAGCAGATTCAGCGCTACTAGACATATCCCTCCTGTGTGTAACAACTGACTCACAGCTCAGGCTCTGCTAAACGCGCCTTAGATTTTTTTATAACTCGGTAAATATAGACTCAATCAATTTTTTTCTACAGTACATTTGTTTTATATTTGACGGTAGATGTCTTTTGAAGGCTCGGCGACCTGATTCAGAGTATGAAGGCTTTTTTAAAAACGGCTTTTTTAAAAACGAAGCCGCATAGCGGTTTCGCCAAAATTTTAAAATAGATTTATAAAATAATTTTGCGAATCCGATACGCGGCTTCGATCTTAAAAAAGCCGCTGCGCGGCTTTTCAATAAAGATCTTTCAAATCCTGACTCAGGTTTTCTTCGCAGGTTGACAAGCCCAGGCTAAACCAAAATTCCTCAAGCATTACAGTTTTTTTCCATCTTAAGAGGCCTTTTGAGATTACAAGGGCTGAGGAAAAGTCCTCTTAAGTTGGAAATTTTCGAGTCGAATCAGGTATACATATTTTAAAAATTTGAATTTTTTAAAAACCCCATATTTTTGCTTCCTAATGCGTCCGAAGGTTAAATTAGCTGAAAAAGTTGATAACAGGAAGTTTTGACCAAGAAAAATCAATACTTATGCCAAAATTGGCTCGGATCTGGGTTTGGGTTTCAGCATCGGATACAGACATCGAATTTGAAAAGAGAATTATTCGGCGCATTTTTTTCGGAAAATTTTAGCCTACCGGCCAAAAACCCTAACCCTAACCTAACCCTACCCGGCAATATAATAGCTGTGCACCATACATGGTGCATCTAGTAATCCTCAAAGTAAGGCTGTTTCCTAACCCTAACCCTAACTGAGACTAACCGTAAGGGGGCCTCAGGGGGCCTAAGCTTATCGATGAATTGCCCTACAGTTTCTTTCTTTTTAAATATCAAAAGCACTTTGCTGAAAGAGCTGATTCTTTGACCAGTGATCCACAGGTGGTGCACCTTGGCTGGCCAAGGTAAAGAGAAATTTTCTTAAATTTAATAAAATTATCATGAAAGTGGAATTTTTCAGGGTGACAAAATTAGCCAAATTGACGCAAAAGTCCTCTTAAGTTGGGGCCTCTTAAGATGGAAAAAACTGTAGTTCAAAAGGTCAAGCTTCGTTAAAAATTTTAACTTAAAAGTAAAGGGAGGTTATCCTAGCTTACAATCATATGTCAAGCAGGATAAAAATGAATATCAAACGGTTACCCTGAGTGTGAAAACTATAAACACAAATAAACGTGTTTGTTTATTCGTTTTTGCTCCAGGAAAGACCCGAGATCTTCAAATTTGCGCTAAGAAAAAAGAGAGAGAAGAGTTTTTGCGAAAAATGCGTCTTTGGGGCGTTATGGGATTGATTTTGGGTGGCTCAGTTGAGGCAAGCCTGAATCGCAAAACAAGGCCGAACATTATTTACATGCTGATGGATGATATGGGATGGGGCGACTTGGGTGTGAACGGCAATTTGCACCGGGAAACACCCAATATCGACGAATTGGCTAGATCTGGTGTCGTTTTTACCGACTTCTATTCAGGTAATGATGCTTTTTACGGGATAAGAAGCTTAGACATACCTAACTAAATTGTCAGAAAGAAGACCTATTAAAAGAAAGTTTTGTGGGTTCTTTCAAAGGACCACAATTATTTGGCTTTCACTTTTTTTTAACATAGACACGTAGATAGGAAATACAAACAGACAACATTTTTGCCCAGCAAAGGCGTTTTGTCGTATTCTACGAGATAACATCGATTTGCGGGATATTTCGGGATTATACGGTTACTTGACTTCATACCGTAAAATCTTGTGGATCATGTCAATGACGAAGGTGCCGTGTAAAATACTGTGAGAAAGGTGCCAATTGGGGACAAAGATTTTGATTATTTCTTAGTCTCAGAGTCACGGAGTTCAAACTTTGAACTTCGAATGCTATTCAATTCAAAGTATATTCAGCTGCGCCACTATGTTCTCCAAGCCGAGCATCCCTACTCACAGGTCGACTACCTGTCCGAAACGGTTTCTACACTGACAATGCCAAGATGCGAAACGGATACACTCCCCAGAACATCGTCGGCGGCATTGCCGATGAAGAAATCTTACTTTCCGAGCTTTTGCAGAAAAGTGGCTACCGAACTGGACTCGTTGGAAAGTGGCATTTGGGGCACCGAGAACAGTATCTCCCACTAAAGCACGGATTTGACTACTGGTTCGGAGCTCCTAATTGTCATTTCGGACCGTATGATGACAAGCACACGCCAAATATTCCGGTTTTTGAGAATGAAGATATGATCGGCAGATATTATGAGGAAATTCCAATTGACAGAAATCGCGGACGATCTAATTTCACCAATAATCTGAGGTAAAAGATAGCCATCTAAAAGGAAGAAATATCTTTTCAGGGACAAAGCATTCGAATTTATTCAAAAATCAGTCGATGACCAGCAACCATTCTTCCTTTTCTTCACGCCAGATTCCTCGCATGCCCCGGTTTATTCCTCTCTAGCTTTTGCCGGACAATCGCGTCGTGGAAAAATAGGCGAAGCTATCATGGAGCTAGACTGGACTGTTGGAAATATAATGGAGCTCGTCAAATCTCTCGGGATCATCGAAGAAACCATCATTGTCTTTTCAAGCGACAATGGTGGCGCATGTGTAGGGCCTGTCGAACAATGTGGCTCGAACGGACCTCTTCTCTGTTGCAAACAAACAACTTTTGATGGAGGAATGAGGGTTCCCGGAATTCTTTCATGGCCTGGCACCGTGGAGCCAAATCAAGTTAACAATGATGTCTCCGGATTGATGGACTTGTTTACTACTGGACTTCATCTTGCTGGAGTTCCTGTTCCCGAAGATAGAATCATAGATGGCAAAAATTTGTTGGATCTAGTCAAGGTAAAGCCCCTGATATTGTCAATATCATATTGATCATTCCATGATCTTTTTAGCTCAAAAATCACCGAAAACCTAGAGATTCAACAACAGGGACTCACTTCTTTTACCGAGGAGACACTCTCGGGGCAGTTCGCCATGGAGACTACAAAGTAACCATTTTGACTACTGGTATTCGATCTTAGCTTACATTCCCTAGATGCATGTTTACACATGGTCAGGCGCAACGACAAGTTCACAATGGCACTTTTGTCGTGGCCAAAATGTGCCGAATGTGACAACAGAAGCTCAAACCGACCATTCTATGGCTCCCGTTATTTATAATATCGGACAGGATCCTAGTGAGAAGCTGCCTCTCCCTGTTAAATCCGCTGAGTACCAACAACAACGACCGATTATAGAAAAGATTATTGCCGAACATCAGTAAGCCCTGACTTCCCTATCTCCTTATTCATCCTCTAGAAAATCTCTTGTTCTTGGAAAGCCACAACTCAACTACTGCGACGATTCTGTCATGCACTGGGCGCCTCCTGGCTGCGAAAAGCTCGGCAAATGCCTACCCATTCCTCCAAGTAATTACGCAAAATGCTACTGGGATCATTAGAAAAATATATATCTTTATTTGTGGTACATGTTGTAAAGAGATTACCAGTGGCTAAAACCGAGACGCTTCTTAGCAATGTGAAGAGGCTTGACTAGTCTTTCTTTCGTCGCGTTTGCACGTGATGCTCTAGAATTGAACGAATTAAAAACTGTTGAACGAGTTGATGTTACCTGTTAGGCATTTGGTTGCCTCCAAGATCAGCAGTCATGTAGGAAGGTCTGAGTCCTCCGATGCCTTCGAATTTCGGCCCACGGCCGCCGCCGTTTCCAGTGTCGGCCACTCGCTGCAGGGCATAAGGATTGCGCTCCTTCTCAATTGCTTCGTCGATCACTTCTTTAGCGTATTTTTGGAATATGGACTCGTCCTCGACGTTTTTCATGATAATTCCACGGTCAAAGTTCAAGTCAGTCTAAGAATCAAGTGAGTTTGGAATCAAGGAAGAGAGTGAATTGGCTTACCTCACGAATTGCTTTTTCGCTCTCGATCTTGTCCTTGGCAACTACTTTATTAAAGTCCAAAACCTTGCGAGCAGCCTTTCGGCGCTTCTCGGCACGGGCACACTCTGCCTCGTGCCATTTTCGGTCCTCGGCGAACTTTTCCAAACCTTCGACGCGCTCCTTTTCAAGACGTTCTTGGCGCTCGTCCTCGTGCTCCTTCATTTTTTGCTGGACGTTCGCAAAGATTTCGAGTACGTCCTGTCGATGCTTTCGCTCCTTGGCCTCGATTTTAGCGTCTTCTTCGGCTGTCTTCTGCGCGAGCACTTGCTGGAAGTGCGCACCTTGTGCTCGCTCAGTCTCCGCCTTGATTCGCAAGAAGTTGGCCTCGTTCTTGTTCGTTTTCTCTTCGTCGCGCGCCCACTCGGCAGCAAGCTTTTCTTTCTTGATGTTGTCCACTCGCACCTTGTAGTCCTTGAAGATGCTGACCTCACGGGTTTCAGCTTCTTCGATAGCTTTTGCTCGCTTGAGGAGTTTCTTTTTTTCTTCCAAGTGAGCTGAAATCAAAGTTTAAAAAACAGATCGGTGAGGTTATTTCACTCACCAAAATATGTATCCATCATCTCTTTCTTTTTAAGAGCGAGTCTCTCTTGCTTGACCTCATTTTCCTTGTGGTACGCAGCGAGGTCATTCTTGATCAGCTCAGCTTCGACAAGTTTTTCGTCCTCAAGAGCCTGCTCAGCTGCCTGTTTTCGAGCGTATTGGCCAAGTTGGTACTTTTGCGTTTCTTTCCTGGCAACACGTCGAGTCAGTTCATTTCGGGCCTCGACGTCTTTCGCTGCGAGGATTTCTTCAAGGGTGGCTTCCAAATCAATTCGCTCCTAAAAAAAAACAGTTAGCCGCAATTCCTCAGACATACTTTGTTACCTTTTGATTTCGAGCGGCCTGTCGTCTTTTCTTGAGCGCAAGTTGAGCTTCTCTTTCTTTGAGAACCTCGGTGAGGATAAGTGCGCCGTGGAACTGTTTCACTCGGTCGGTTTTGTTGAAGGTGAGTCGCCTGGCGTGCTCGATTGCTTTGCGCCGCTTTTCGGCCTGGTAGATACCTTCCTTGATATCTTCCTGGTGGCGGATCTCGGCTTCGCGCTCTTCTCTGAGCTTCTTCGCTTCCAGCTTCGCCTTGTGCTGGCCGGCGATTGTGTTGCTCCAAGTGCTGACCTGAAATTTGGAAATCAAGGAGGATCGAAAATTGAAAAGTTACCTGTTTACGGGAGAGCTCCTTCAGACGTTGCTTTTCCTTCTCCTTTGCTTCCAGTTCCTTTCGCTGAACTTCCTTGGCCGTCAGCGAAGACTGGATGCGATCAAATTCCTTCTGCTGAAGAATCTTCACGCCACGCATGGAAGTCTGCACAGTCTGACACTTGCCGAATAACTCGGGATCGAAGCTCTCCTCGTTGGACTGCGCTCCGCCACGAGGCCCGCGGCGCCCGTACTCGATAAAATTCGCATGCTGCACCGTCGCCATCGCAAAACTCAAAACTGACGAGTTGGAGGCAAAACAACTCGTGCTCAAGGCATGTTCTAGAGATTTTTTCTTCTAAATTTTTCTCAAACTTTTCCTCAACAAAACTCATTTTTTTTTTTATTTCTTGCAGTAATTGTTTCTTTTATTCGAAGTTTATCAATTCTCAGTAAAAATATTTGGCTTTATCGTTGAAAATTCCAAGCTCGGAAAATGGATCCCATCGTGCGTATGCTTCGAGTCCATAAAAAGCTTCATCAATGCTGCATTTTCATCCTCTTTTTGATCTTCTCCAGGCAAGTCATAGTAATAATCCCCACCTTCTTCTGGAACCTCACTTTTAAATTCAACATAAATTTCCATATTTCTTTACAACTTACTAAAGAAAAGGGTTGAAAGCAGCCATCGCCGTCGAAATAATCGTTAGAAACAGTAATTTTTTCATCAGATACAATTTCTAAGGTGATGCTTAAAGAACGGCAGACGAATTTAAATAGCAATTGCTCATTGAATATTTACAATATCATTTCGCAGATGAAAAGGCATCACGGATTGCTGCCAGTATGCTGAATCTCATTTAATATACAACGGCAATATAACGTTATTCAGTACACAATGAGAATAAACACTCGAGCCTCGAGTCTTGAGGGGTCAATAATTGAAATCGTTGACATTGAGAATAAAAATGAATAAACAGCGATTAATTTGAAATGCGTCGAATGTTACATTCAGTGACTGAAGCTGCCTCTCTGTATTGCAATCTGAAGAATATTCCAAACTGACAGAAAGATGTAAAAGCTGCTTTTTTAGATATATATCGTATATGTGTATATTTGAAGTCACAAAAATAAAAGAAAGAGAGAAATATGTTTTTGTTGCCATAGAATTGAATTCACCTAGACCTCCCTGAAACAGGCAAAGATGAGAGGCCCAGACAGATGCAATTCTTTATCGTTTTCGCCTGAACAACGAATGAAGGTCAAGGATTTCACCAATCAATCGGATGCGTTGGAGCAATAGCCTCAATCAATCGGTTGTATCGATAGTGCAGTCTGCATTTTAGGAAGAGTTTAAATTCATCTTTTGTAAGGCACGCGACATCAGTGCTGTGGTCTGGAATGAGCGGGTATTTTCCGTAGCCGGTTGCGGGGCAGTTCCAGGTGTAGAGGCGCTGGAATCGATCATAAATCACGGCTAGATCGCCGATAGCAGAAATGTCGCTGTCTGGCTTTGCCGCAAGTTCTGTATATTCGTGGAATATGTAATCGATTTCTATATAGACTTATAGAGTTCGCACGACTAAAGTAAAGAATACCGTCAATTGTTTTGCCGTGAAATTGCAGAGAGAGTTTAGAACATGGCTTAGTTATCTTTCCCGTGCCTTTCGTTGGATCCAGCATCCTCTCTTCCGTGTTCTCCAAAAACCTGTCGAGACCAGTTTTATTCATTTCGGAAAATGTGTCTTCCAATACGCCAGAATCATAAATCAATTGTAATCGCCGCTCAAGCTCATCAAGGATGGCTATGTTCGCTTGTTCTTCGGTCCAGGGAACGCAGCCCCAGTCTTGTGACTCCACAAAGCCTGTCTTGCACACGCAATGACCTGCAGAAGCATCGTATTCGGCATTCCAATCCGTGCAGATGATAGATGGATCGTTACATGCCTCTGCTTTTAAGTTCAAAAATCATAAAAATTCGAATTTAGAAATTCTTTAAAAAATTCTTCAACTTATCCTGTTATCGTTTCTCTCGTTGTATTTCCTCTTCTGAACCATAGCTCAGTTCCAGTGCCAGCTGGCTGAGCTTCGGTTAAAGTTGTCTCATCCGACACAACTGTAGCCGCTTTTCGAGAACGCTGTCCACCAGAACAACTCGTCCAATCTTTACCCCAATGAACATAATTGTCTTCGGGAAGTCGACAGTCGCCAAGGATAGAGCGCTCAAGATGAGATAACTTATAATTAAAATTTCATCAATTTACCGTGAATCCAGACGCACATCCACATCTTCCATGGGCCTCCTCCCAACTGTGTAGCCTCTGACCACGATCACAAACGCAAGCGCCATTTTCAAGCACAGTGCCTCTTATCTCGCAAGAATCGACGCAGGAGTTTCCATCGCTACTTATTGCCATGCCGGAAGGGCACTCGCAGAGTGAATCGTCATTACTGCTCAAAGTAGCGTTCCCACCACAAGTGCACTGCCCATTCAACTCGGTCGCGTGGGGCCCTTGGCATTGAATACACGGAACTTGGATGTTTGACGACTCGTCAGAATTATCCAGCCACCCGTCAGAACACTCACAGACGAACGATCCTTCTGTGTTGATACAAGTTTGTGTTGATTTGCAATCATTGAGAGTTCGATCGGCACATTCGTCGACGTCCCTGCATATGAGGTCGAGCTTTTCACCAACAGTCACTCGTCCATCGGAATTTCTCAAATCATTTTCGTATCCCTGTTCGCATGAGCACATGGCTGTAGGAAGACCATCGAATAAGCTCGTGACGCAGAGTTGTCTATAGGAGCATTCAACATTCAAGCATGGGAATTTATCCACGCATTTTCGATCAACAGCTGTATTTTCAAAGAATTGATCACTTCCCGTTTGCTTCATCCAAGTCCCGCCAATATTCTGGTAGGAGTCGTAGTTGCTATCGCAGAGGCATTCGGCTGTATCTGCAGTTATTGGAGCACAGGCGGAATCAGGAATGCCGGAGCAATCGTAGTCGCTGCAGACATCAATGCGCTCGCAAGTGACGCCATCTTTGCCGACAACGGCAGAAGCGCTGGAGTTGGAAGGAAAGTAGTCGGGGTAGCACTCGCATGTAGCAACGATTTCGCCGTTGACTTGACTCATTTCGCATTGAGAATAGTCCGGACAGGGACCTTGTTCTTGCTCAAGCTTATCGCATGCTAGTAAAAATTAGAAAAATCAGATTTGTGTTCCTTACGCAAAAGCTTCTTGCAGGCAAAATCATACGAAACGCCATCTATGATCGTTGGCGGGTCAAACTCCACAAGCTCGTAGGACAACTCCTCCAAACACTCACAGTTTCCTTGGAGTGTTACGTTGTTGACTAGGGCGAGGTTCTCACATGAAGCAAAGAACGGTTCAAAGCAGTCAGCAAAGGTGGAACAGGTTACATCAGTTATCGAGTTACCTGCCGCCAAACTAAGTGGCAGAAGGCTCTAAAAAGACGCTTTATGGTTAGGTGTAATGGTAGAAAAATCAACCCCACGATCACCTCTTCTAAACATCTTATTTGAAGAATTAGAATCTCTGGGTCGTGGCGATCATTATGATACCAAATTCATCGAAATCCGACTTGGTTTTCGGCATAAATGTACCATTTGAAGTCCAAAAAAGAGCACTAGAAATTTTCTAGCGCCCGGAAAGGGATGAATACTCCAGCCTATCAGTACGTTCCTAATTCAAGATTGTAGAGCAGGCTCCATTCTACCAGAATCTGTCATCAGAAGTTGTGAACAGGGGCTCTAGTGAGAACCAGCGCCCGAGGAAGCTCAAAAAATTGGGCAAAATCAAGGCCAAATTTGGCTCCCGTGAACTCAGACTAACGATTTCGCCTCAATTTTGCATCGTTTTTCGAGCTTCTTCGGGCGATGGTTCTCACAAGAGCCTCTGTTCACAACATCTGAGAATAGATTCTGATAGAATTGAATATGCTCTACAATCTGAAACTAGGCATGTACTGATAGGCTGGAGTATTCATCCCTTTCCGGGCGCTAGAAGATTTCTAGTGCTCATTTTTGGACTTCAAATGGTACCTTTATGCCGAAAACCAAGTCGGATTTCGATGGATTTGGTATCAAAATGATCGCCGCGACCTATAGATTCTTATTCTGCATCAAAAAAGATGTTTAGAAAAGGCGATCATTGGGTCGATTTTTCTACCATTACACCAATTTATGGTTCATAAAAGAGGCATAGAATTTTTGGTGGTTTCTCTTTTTCAGTATTAATTTACCCTTCTACCCATTTGACGGGTACAAAAAGCACGAACTCTTGATAAAAAAATCTCTAATGAAATGTGCAAGTGCGAGGAGCGTTATCTTTTTACTGCTGATAAGTGAAGAGTCATGAAGATTTAGCGTTCATAAACATCATCGAATTAAAAATAATAACTTACGGCCAGCCTCATTCTCTTTTATCTTCAACACCGACTGATCGTCCTCTCCGGAAAAAGTAAGCATGTTACGACTACGATGCAATTAAGCCTGTCATTTTAAAAAATTAAGATGCTAAATTTTGATCGATCCATTTTCAATCGCGCTATGAGGAAAATAATGAGACACATGTTTAAAAGTAGTACTTCTTTTTTATTCCAGAATGATTGATCAAACTTTTAGTTCTTCAAAAATAAGAAGATTCTTTGTTGATTTCACGGATTTCTTTCAAGCAAAGGCTTTTACTGGATCGTCAACAGAATAGAAATTGTCTACCAATATGTACTTGCTGTTTTGATCAGTTCCTGAGAGTGGATTTTGAAACTGATAATTTCTCCAAGGTCACTCTTCTCGTCGAGCATCCAGTGTCGATGTAAGCAACAGGAACGAGACCAAGATTCCCTTTAGTATCGAATCCCTCGACCCAGTGATCGTTGATTCTGTTGATGATTAGCAGCGTATCTGAGACATCATCATATATAAATATCGCTATTCTGTCTGTTTGAGAAACCTCCAGCCTCGAAGGATAACTGGTTTGCTGATTTTGTCTCGTATTTGAACAAAGCTGGACATTCAAGAATATCGTCTTCTTCCGCGATGTAGCTGATAATTTATTATAAACTAGAATTTGGTCTGGAATTTTACTTTTGCGGGACTAATCCTCTTTCGCCCGTCTCGTTCTCCGCCATGTGCCAGACAGAGCCTCTTTGATGGATTTTCAGTCTAAAATAAAATGTCAACATAGTTGTCTCCAACCCCGAGTTTTCCATGAAAAAATTCTACATATACCTACTTGGATCCTCTGGTGATGCTCAGCTCGTGATGATTCCGTCGCTGGAAATCGTACAGAGCATATGCAGAGTTTGAACTATCCGCGAATGGAACTTTGAAAGGTTAGCTGGATGGAAAGGAATGAGAAATGATTTTACTTTTCTGACTCGGATCAGAGGAAATTGCTCGGGAAATTGTGAGCTCGGTGTTGTGGACATTATCGTACTCGCTAAATATTCAACTTACTACAGTGTAGTTGGAAATTATTTATTTGGAAGCATTGGTTTTGTTACCTTATCGGTCTTTCTCTGGACATGGAAGTTATATTGATTTGATTCAAACAGTCTCTCTTTTTTACGCACTTTTTTCTGACTGGTGAACCTTTCCTTGGCCTGACGATATCCATTTCAGTTTTCTTTCTGAGGCTGTCAAGCTTTTGGCAGCTCGTCATGCGTTTTTCCTCTCTCCCCAGAGAATCAATTGCTTACATTCCTTTTCGAATGATACCCTTTTTTCGAAATTGATAAACATAAGGCTCAAAATAGTGGGAACACCAGCAGTGGCCAGGGAGAGGCGATTCTACTCATATGCAATTTCCACTTATGCGTAACAAAAATGACATGATCCAGATGCATATCACATGCAGCCGCACTTCTGATCTCTGTCCCGGAAGCAGCTGGATACAGAATTCACGCCTTAGGCACCTTTGAGTAGGCCGTCAGGGCGACAGCTGGAACGCATTGGAAGCCTTATCAGACCTTGGCGCCAGTGCTGACTGTCCGACAATTTCGATGAATCAGTGGCTCCAAGCGCGATCTCTCTCTAGCGCTGCGTAACAGCTTCCCTTCTAGATATAAATACGAGTTTCTCGAGAATACTCGCATCATCAGACGAAAAGACAAAGAAAATCACTATCCAAAAAAGAATGACAAACCAAGTCTTCTTCAATCAACCAGAGAGTCCCTTCCTCCAGCAAATCTTCGAAGCAAAGTACACAGTAAACAAAACGTTACGAAAATCGGCAAACGGTGTCATTTACGCGGCGACAGATAATTTCACGAAGGAGCAATTGGTCCTGAAGCAAATTGCGAAGCGACCAGATGACATCCTGAAAAATCGACTCTCCATGGAAATTCAACTCCACGAGGCTGCGTCTCGAGCGTGCCCGGAAAACATCGCAGAATTTTACGAATACTACGAGAGGAATCAGTCGGCCATCGCGAACTATGGTAAGCAAATGTCTAAATTTTCTGCTGAAATGATAAGAGTAATGAATAAAACTCCCTAACTCGTAATTTCAGTGATTGCAATGGAGCGGCCAAAGAACTCGATCGATATCTTTCAATTCATTTCGCGTTTCGGTCGAATGAGTGCACTACATGGGCAGTGGGTGATGGCTCAATTAGTCCATACAGTGCTCAAGCTGAAACAAGCCGGAGTATGCCATCACGACATCAAAGATGAAAACATTCTCATCAGCTTGACCGACTTCAAGGTCAAACTCATCGATTTTGGCTGCGCGAAGGTCCATTCTACTCAACCGGTAAGACTCAATTCATTTCAACAGGACACTTATTCCTTTCTTCAGCAAAAACGATTCTGTGGAACTGAACTCTTCTTTCCTCCAGAATTCTTCCGCCTCAAGCGATACTTCCAGGACCGTGTCACAGTCTGGCAGCTCGGCTGCGTCTTGTTCATCATCCTCATCGGGAAACTCCCATTCACGACCAAAGACGATGTCGCTCGAAATTTATGGATCGCGAACCGACCAGAACTTCGCGCAATTCACCCTGCTGCTGCTGACCTTATCTCTTCAATGCTTCACCCGGACCAGATCAAGCGAATTCGACTCGAAGACATCTTTTCTCATCCATTTTGGTCGACCAAGTTTTGAATCAAACACTTCCTGTATATTTGCTGTAAATTATCTTATAGAATAGATATCGCCTTTGTCCGAAAGAAAATTCATTTCCTGTTTATTATTCGTCATAAAAAACTCAAAAGCAAAAAGGACCGCAGCGACTGTCAACCCACCAAGCTTAATGACTTAACCTTGGGATTATCGCATATCAACGAGAATAAAGAAATTTGCGAAAAAATGCTGAACTCTTGTAAAAAGTACAAATTAAGTTTCGAATAAAAGAGAGGATGAGTAGTGCAGGTAGAGAGTATGAACGTGAAGAAAATACAATTCTTTGGTCGAGGTATGGAAAGAGTCTAATCCAGGCGGAATAAATTTACGGAACTATAGATGGGCGCCTTGGAACTCGTGCTCCCATATGTGTGGAGATGGAGTCAGGTAGGAAAAAACCTCAAGAATCATAGCCTCCTGATGAGATGATAATTTAAGACATCGTAACAGAGGGTGTGAGAGTAATAATGGAAATATCCAGTGTCTAACGGATAGGGACTAGATTTATGCTGTTATTTAATGTAACAGGAAAATTTATCTCTTTCTCGATGGGATTCTACGACGTATATTCCACGGTTCTTTCAGCACTAAATAGCCCTCATAAAAGCGTGACTCGCAGACAGAACCTTGCTTTATAAAGGAAAGTCCAGAAATAAGAGAGTTAGATAAAATTAACAATTTTTTGACTGGACCGATCGAGCCCTGCCCAGAAGACACATTCGATTATTGGGCACCATGGTCTTCTTGTTCAATAACATGCGGTGGCGAAGGCAAGAGGTCGAGAAAGAGATACTGTGCTACTGAAGATTTCAAGCAGAACTTGATGTTTTCTGGGGTAAAGTTCTGTGGGGAAAATCCTGGAACTCAATGGGAACCGTGTTTCACGCCTCAGTGCCAGCGATTTGTCGATTCAATACAACATGAGCCTTATCGAACACGGTAGCATTCATCAGATCATCGATCGTTAATTATTTTAATTCATCAGAGATCCGAATCGTAAAGTTGTTATCCTCACTACTACAACATCAACTACTACCACGACGACAACAACTACTACAACAACGACTACTACAGAGGCATCAACAAGTAGTTTCCTTGAAGAATCGACGCTACCTCCCGTAGAATATGGCTCGAGTGCTGTTAGGAATTTTATTCTATTCTTTATTCTTCCTCTGCTTCTTCTCCTCTTTATCCTCGGTAAAGTACAAAAGGAAGGCGGTACTTTACTTCTATATAGGTCTCTTGAGCGCATTATGCGGGACAAAAGCACAGCGAATGAAGTGGCATCAGAGAAGGCGAGATTTCTGTCGAGTGATCACCTGCAAATATTGCAAAATTAATTCGTATCTTCATCCAGACTCTCCGGGCTCACATCCAAAGATCGAAGAAGTTTTCATTCTGCCAGAAGATCATGAACAACTGGCAGCAGAAAAGCGCCCCTCGCTACTGGAAAAGATTAATTTCAAGCGGCCCACGATGGAGAGTTTGAAGCTTCCAAAATATTCAAGCATCAGGGAGGGGGTCGACTAGATACATCCTAAAGTATGTCAGACTCAAGTTGACTCATGTATGAGAGGAGGGAGAAATGCCTCGTCGAGGAATTCTTGGGACTCTTCGACGGCGCAGTGTGGCACAATGACGCTTGATCCTGACATAGACAGGCCGATAGAAGATGTGGAAATGTATCGAGAACCTGATTCCCGTCTCTTTCACCCTCTGGATGATGTTCAAAAAGTGCAAGCAGAAATAAACATTATGGAAAAAGAGGATTATGATGCTGCATCAGAGTATAGGTAAAACAGCTCAGCGACTGTTGCTTTGTAATCATTAAGTTATCCAGCTGGAAATCCTTTCCACGAGAATACGATTATCATGACAGCAGAGCCAGATCTAGCCGGTGAACTTGAATAATCTTCAGCAACTAAATTCCACTAGGGCACAGTTGGACGCCGTCGGTTCCAGAAACGACTGGAAACATTCTACCAACTCCGCCTGTCGTGAAAAAAGAGACACCTAAAACCGATACACCGGAATGTCCATCTGCGGAATCAACATCTGCGCAAGTCACTGAACCAGTAACGCAGTTTTTTCATTTATAAAAACATAAATTACTTATAAGGTCGTCAATGATGATTCCAGTAGGCAATGTCCATCTACGCTAATGAATGCTAATGAAGGCGAACTCGTTAAAGATTCCTTGAGCGTTGACAACGATCTCGAAGATGATGACGACGAAAACTCAGAGATTGTGCGCATAATGAATCGCCCAGCCTCTAAACAGGTATCATCAAGTCTAAAAAAGGCGGTATTATTAATAGCTACAGCTGAGCGTTGATCAAATGAGCTCTGTCTGCACGGGAATGTCATCCAGACGAAAGTCATTTCTGACGAAGGAGATAGATGCTCTGGCGAATTTCCCGAAGCTTGGAGTCCCGCTAAAGATCAAGAACTCTTTCAAAAAACTTGGGGGTCTTTTCAAAAATAGGAAGAAAGAGACGGTCATAGATGAGGTAAGAGTACTTTGTTTTTTTTTTCGAGAATATATACTATATACTTCCCAGGGAGAATTTATACCAGTGGAAAAGCAAGAGCCAAGTGATGTCGAAAGTGGTCTCGCTTACTACACCCCTCCAGACGGCGTTCACCCTGATGGTAGGATTTGTACACTTGAGCTAAACAAATCTTGTTTATTTTAGAAGTCTTAGCGCCAGGCATCCCAGACGAATTCTTAGACGACTTTGCCGTGCTACACAACATCGAAGGCGAAGAAGATGACAAATTTATCCCTGATGACAGGGAGGTTATCCTGGACGAAGTCCTGAGCGAAGCAAGCGAACCCCAGACAAAGAAAGCGAACCTATAGCATCGAAAGGCTGAAGAAATTTTGTAGATTTAATAAAAATTCTGTACAAACGACGTCTTCGCTTGATTCTGTTTATTATTGATTAGAGTTCAGCGATAAAATCTGACAGTAATCTGTACTGTAGCTTTGTCACTTCCGTTGGCTTTTCGTTTTCGTGCGATATCTCTTTCAGTAGTTTAGTCAGGCTTCTTGATATCGTTCGTAATTTTTCCATATCATCCTAAATTAAATTATAAAGGAGTTCATACTAGGATGGTCTTACCGTATCTGCTAGTTTCTTGATTCCATAGAGAGCAAGACGAGTCATCAGAACTGGTTCGAAGTTTTGATTCAGATTAACGACGTCAAATGCAGTAGCTCGCTGAAAATATAAATAAAGATGTGGCTTCAGGGCTAAACTCCTACCTCTTGAAACAAGCTGAAGGCTTCGCTCTCATTCTTGAACCCGATTCGAATCAATATTTCCAGCGCATTTCCTTGTTCCGCCTTCTCATGCCAAAAGTCCATAAACGGAGACTTGCCATCAATAAATGGAATGTCTCCCAGTCGCTCTACAATTGGTTCGCGCACATCTCCATCCTCATCTACCCAACATCTGAGTAGACACTCAGACACTTGGGATGGCACTGTTTTCTTTTCCCGCTCAAACATGAGCTTGGTACAGCATATCGCCGCGCTTCGACGGAGGATCCAATGTTGATGAGGCTTTGAAGCTTCGCTTAGATGCTTTGACACTTCTTCCTCTTCGCCAATTTCCAGGAGGAGTTCTAGGATGAGCCCAGTGAGCTCTGCGTTCTGGACGAGGTCCGTTCTGATTTCTTTCGCTAAAGAGATTTTGAACTTTACTGGCAGTATTTGTCTGGCAGACAGAAAGATCGCGCGAACCCGGGGCCATGATAAAAGAAGAATCTTGATATATTATTTTTGTTGTGAGTTTATTTTTCAATAAATTGTATCCGTGTTAAAGTTAAATAATAGGCAGTGAAGTTGTTCTGGTGTCTATTCTTGAGGTACGAATCGGTCGTCTTCCGAGCCCTTTTCTACTTTATCCATGAACTTTTCGAATTCAATCACATCGTTGAAGTCTTTCACTTCGAAAATGGGCAGCCATCTTGGCGTCACACTTCCGTCCTCGTCTTCCTCGTTGACGTGGTAGTGCATTACTCGGTTGATGATCCGTCGAGCTTTGATTTTCAAGTGCTTGCGCTTTCGCATCAGTGTTTTCTGCTTGGAGACTTTCTTTGGTCGTTTGAGATCTTCTTTAGGTATTCTAGGTCAAAGTTAAATAAATGAAATTTGAGTCTTGAAGCTTACATCAACGTAGGGATCTTCGGTGATTTGGGAACTTTGAAAGAATCATCTTCGTTGACGCCAGATACTTTTTCTTTCGACTGATTTGAAACTGTTGATTCTTCCAGCTCTAATTCATTGAACTTATCTTCCAGCACCTCTTCGATTGTCATTTCCTCAAGTTTTATTTCCTCATTTTCATCGTCTTTAGGTATCGAAGTGAAGTCAATTGTAAGAAAATTGCAGAGTTCTTTTTGGTTCTTTCTATGGCCGTAAAGGCCCTGTGGCTGCTTGAATTTCGATCCGCATTTTTCGCAGCGGTAAGAATAAACATTTCCGTGAATTTTTCGGTGATTTTTGAGCTCGCAATGCCACTTGAATTCTTTTCCACATTCATCGCACTATAATAAATTATAATAGATCTTTTTCATATCGTTATTTATCCCTACCTTGTAAGAATCTTTCTTTTCTCTGCGTTTCGAAGTAGTGGAAGAGCCTTTAGATTCGGCGAAAGATTTTTCTTCCTCCGTAGAAATCTCAATTTCATAAGAGTCTTCTTCAATTGTTATTTCCACGATGTTTATCTCGCTGTTTTTATGCGGATGGCATCTTCGCTTATGAGAATTAAGCGTCTGACGCAGCTTGAATTGCAACCCGCACTCCTCACAAGAATATTCAAAGACTTCACTGTGAAGCTTTTGGTGATCCTTCCAACCATTTCTTGATCGGAACTGTTGTCCACATTCATCACACTTAAACAAAGTATAAATTTTTGCATTCAATTAAAGGTATTCCATACTTAGATAGGTAAGTTACCTTATAAGTCTTGCTCTTTGATTTAGAAGTTGATCTTTTTCTCTTTTTCAAATTTGAGGGGGCGATCTCTTCTTCATATTCATCAATAGATTCTTCTTTGCCGTTCAATTCCTCAAAATCCTGGAAATCGTCATCAGACACCTCTTCAATAGTAACTTCTTCGACTTTTGGTTCTTCGTGTTCATCGTTGGATTTTTGATTCATCTGAAGAAGTTTACATTTTTCTTTCTGTTTTTTTCTATGCCGAGAGAGTCCAGCTTGCCATTTGAACCTTGATCCACATTTTTCACAGCTAAAGGGATAGACGTCTTTATGGACCATTTCATGTTGCGATAAGTTGCTTTTTGTTCTGAACCGTTTTCCACAATCGTCGCACTAAAACAAAATATAGCTTCTTTATACTTATTTTTCATTAAAATTTACCGTGAAAGGCTTCTCCTTCAGATGGGCTGGCTTAAAATTACTCGGAACGTCCGATTCTTCGCTCTCGTCGTCAGACTCTTCCCCAGATCCTTCCTTTTCTTCGTCTTCTTCTTCTTCTTCAACACGCGCACATCCGTTTTCATGATCCCTAAGCTCGCGGAATCTTTTGAATGCTACTCCGCCCTTTTCACACTAAAATCATCATAATGACACAATTTTATGAGGAAAACATGTTCTACCTTGTAATGCTTTTTGTTGGGATGAGCTTTAGAAATATGTCTCCTGAGATTCATCATAGTATCGAAAGTTTTCTCGCAATATTCACATTCAACTTCGTCGTTTGCTTCCAGATCCTCCAGCGGTTCTTCTGCAACTAACTCATCTGGCTCTAGCTCTTCTGGCTCAAATTCATCCACTTCTTCCTCGGAATCTTCTTTGCAGCGAAGTTTGTGATTCTCCAGTTGATCTTCACGACGAAAAAAGTTTCCACAGTTATCGCACTAAAAGAAAAGCTAGAATCAAGGACTTAATCTGGGTATAGAGACTTTAAACGCCCTTTTCTTCTTGTGCACGTCACGAATATGTCTATGGATACTATTCGGGTGAATTTTCTCGTCGCAGATAGAGCAAATTGTTTTTCCGTCGTCGTCATAAGAATATTCTTGATCTTCGGGTAGTTTCTTCTTTCTTTTTATCTGTTTTTCAGGTTCTTTCCCATCATCATTTCCACATTTTTTGATGTGACAGTGTAAGAGATGCTTGTTCCGAAATTCCTCCCCGCAAATCAGACATTTCCAATTTTTCTGACAAGAATGAAGTTGATGACGTTTGAGATCGGATCTAAATCGAAAAGCAAATCCACATGTGTCACAAGGAAATGGTCTTTCATCCCTATGAATCATCAAGTGTCTATCTAGGTGAGATTTTGATGACAAAGAAGCTCCACATTCAACGCACTAAAAACAAATTAGCGGAGAAAAAAACGACAATAAGCTTTACCTTATGTCTTTTTTTCTCTTTGGGAGATGTTTTCAAGGCTTCATTCTTATTCGAATCTCTACGTGGCATCTTCTTTTTTTTCAAAATTTCATTCCTCAGAAATCTCTTCAAATATCGGCAATTAAAATTGGAAGGCACGAGTAAAAAAAAGCCCGCGAACGGGAGAAGATTGATCTTGACCTCGATAATGAAAAAAGATGCGGCGATTGGTTCGGTCCGCACTGAGTTTGCGCTCTTTGATTCGACAAAAAGTGAACATTCATTTCACGCTGCGATTTTTTTACGCCCAGGGTGTGTCTGCCAGACAAAAATTGACGATAGAAATTGGTACTTACCAAGGCCCTTTAGCATCTCCCTTCTTTTCTCATCCTCGACTTTCCCAGACGCCAACACCTTTGCCACCCCTATTTTCGTCTCATCGCAATCAGATTTAATCAGCAATTCCACCAACTCGTCTAATATCGCCTCTTCTTTCCATAATTTCCGTTGTTGAAAGCCCTCATCAGACACAAGTGCTCTCGCAGCATTTCCACCCCGTTTCAGTAAATGCTCCATCAAATGATCCGAATCGTTTTCGACAGAAAATCGCGACGCATTTTCATAAAACTCCAGTTCCGCCATGTCTACGTTTTTAGACTTTGAGAGGATAATCGATTCCGCCAGTGTGACGATATTCTCTTCCTTCGGCAGCATCGTCGCTAGCTTTATGATTAGCGACTGACTAGCGATGGAAAATTGAGAGGCTTTCTCCATGATTCCACTGTTTCAGATGATCATAAATTTATAGTCTTGAATCGATTTGTTTGGACGATCATAAACTGGGCATTTCAACCTGTGTTGAAGCCTGAGTCAGATACCCGAAAGAGCATAAGACTCTTATGATAAGAGTAATTTTGGCGAAGTCGCTTCGTAATGGTGTTACAGGCCCTGTAACTTACAGGGGACCCTGACTCGGGTTTCTGCACAGAATCCCGAGCCCAGTTTCAAATGTCCAAATAAATAGACAAAAATTTACGACCAAGACCTTAAGACACAAGGAGAAAGCGTATTCAACGACTCCTTATCACTTGTTATCAGCAAAAGAAGTCCATGAATTCTATTTTCGTTCTGCGATCCCAAAATTTCCATGAATTCTTTTTCAAAAGTAGATAGTGGTCGATTATTGAGTGAAGCAAAGCAGCGCGCGGCGATTTGCCTGCCTTTCCAGACTTTTGTTCCAGAGAGGAGAATCAGACTGGGGATAAAGTTGATCTCTGTCGACCCAGTGCTTGTTGGAAAAAGCCGTTGAATGATGATAAGCGACGGTAAAAGCGTTGGAGGAAGGGAAGGGCTGTTGACCTTCTTCGCAGCGCTCTCTTTTCTGAGGCTTTTTTTCTGAATAATTTGATGAAGACAATTTTCCGCGTGAAACGATAAGCATTCATCGTTCTGTCGAAGAATGATTATTAGCCGTTCCTAAATTCTCTAACAAGGCCTTCTGCAGCACTGGAAATCTCGAGAAAAACTCTGACGATGAGATTTTTTGCTCATCATCCGTCTTCTTAACTCCAAATATTCTCGAACTCAGAGTCGAGTACATCATCGCACTGGTATTCCTCAGCGCCCAGGTCTTATCAGCGAATCCAGCGATCGACATGACCATCGCTTTTTCAGCGTATTGGAGGACGTCTTCGCCGAAGTTTGACTCGCGAAATAAAGCTCTAAAGTTCAAAATTGAATAAATTACGATTTCAATGGAAAAAGAGAGTACCTTAGAATATTCCTAGCATGGCAGGCGACTTCTTCGTCGGACAGATCCTCGGCCAGGGGGAAAATTTCCGCCAGTGTCCTAATTAGCAATGGCTTCGATCTCGTCCCGACGTCTGCTGAACAAATGGCGACAAACATAAATGGCAGACCCGCAGAACGACGCGTATTGCATAAACGTTTCACCTTTTCCTCATCCTTCAAGATAGCCAGACAATCGTCAAGCCATTTATCAAGAAGCTTCGAGAAACGCGGGTCTTTTTGCTTACGGACTTCTTGGCATAGCTCGGTGAATCCTGTGGCAGCCAGCTCAAATGCCCCTCTGCAAATTTTAATTATCTATCTACGTCTTCTATGATTGAAAGGAATATTCACCTGTGTCTTCCTTTGGTTAACTGCGTCACAAAATAAGCCGCACATTTCTCATAGCACTCGATTTGCGCACTCAGTACCGCGCACATCGATCCCATCAGCATCGAAACTGACTTCGTGATTCTCCAGCACATGACGAGCAATAATTGCGCGAGTTCAGTAGAGTCAGAGCCGATTCTTCGTCCATCGAGTTTGAGCGACTCAAAGTCTTTGGAAATGTCGGACTCAGGAAGAAAGCCTTCGGGAGAAGAAGCGTTGACGACTGGGATGGCGAAATCGTTTGCTTTCGCGCAGATATTTAGCAACTTTTGGGCGAGAATTTCTTTCATAGAGGAATGGGCGTTTTTCAAGTAAGGGAGAAGAGCCTCAAGCCCCGCAAGCAGTCCATAGTGAGGCTTACTCGTCGCACAGGAAGCCAGATCAGCGTTCCCTAAGTCTTCGTCTAGCTTCTCACATATCTCGAGGACAAAGTTTCCGGCGAGCTTTTCAATCGGAATCTTTTCTCGCCGCGCCTCCGATTCCAGATCAAAGATAAGTAAGTAGACGAGACCGCTGGAATCGCTGAGACTCTTGCTCTTCCTCAACAGTTCTATACTTTTGACTTGGGAAGACGGGGTAAATTTGCAAAGATTGGAAAGTTTGAGGAGCGTTTGCTGGGCGTTCTTGGCGACTTCTTGGAAGGAATTGAAGAGGAGGGACTTGAGTCGTTCAAAAAGAATATCGGTCAGTTTTGAAATGACTTTGATCACGTGTTTTCGTAGAGAATCGTTGCGTAAATCCATTACGTAGTTCAAGTAAGTCAAAATAAGACTATTACGAGCCATAGAAGCGCCAGGAACGAGCTCATTCAAAGACAGATTGACGATGAATTCGATGAATTTTAAATAATCTTCCTGAGACTTTGAGTAAACGAAACTAGCGTCGAAACGAGAAAAGACTCGAGAAAGGATGGAATTCAAAAGCTGGCGGTGCGAAGGTCGCTGGAGATTCAAATTGCAAGAAATAGATGTTCTGATGAGATCCAACGAAAGGGTTGAAAAGGGCATCGCTGTTTTCCAGGAGGTCGTTATGTAGCCAAGAGTGTTGAGTCGGGAATCAATGGATTTCGAGAAAAGAAGTTGTTTCAAATCATCAGTCGAAATCAGTCCATCGGAGAAAGAGGTCTTTTGGAGCTTCAAAATTGAAATGATCAATTGAGTCGTTTCTGGCGATTTGAAGTTCTTGCAATGGGAAAGGAAAGCCTCGCCGACTTTTTTCGTCGCCAGCATTTTCGGCAGAATCACTTCGAAAAAGAGCCTCCTCGCGTTTGGGTCGTACTTGTCGCAAATGATCGGGAAGCGGCACATGATTGAAAAGAGAGTTGTTTCTGGACAAACTTCGAAGCATTTTCCAAGAAGAGCGCCGGATAGAGGAGCCATCGACTGTTCTTTTCCGTTTTCAAGTGCTTTTTCGACGATTTTCGCGATTCGCAAAATATTAGATTCCAAAATGACTGGGTCCATCAAATTCGTTAGCCAGATTGTTTCGCTTCTCGTCGAGAAACCATTATTGATGATTGTTATAACCTCAAGTCTAATCAAATCTTCCGTTGTAGTTGAAAGTTTATGTTGCGCAACGATTTTGATTAATTTCCAAGAGTTGACACGGACGACGTCGAGAGGATGCTCGCTCATCTTCGTCAAGATCCCGCTTTTTTGGAGAAGGGAGAAAATTTCTTCTGAAAGAGAGATTTTCTTGCGCTGGAAGAATTCGACAGACTCGGTGAGGCCTCGGACAGCGTAGCAGATTTGGGTTGGTTGAAGGGTAGTTTTCAAGCTAAAAAGATAAGAGTAAGAGGTTTGGTTCATTCCTGGAAGCTGATAAGAATCGAAATTGGAGGCAATAGCTCCGTAGCAGGTGGCCTAAAAGAGGACATATGCAGCCGATGGATGGCCAAAGCGAGTATAAGGGCAGAAAATATAAAAATCAATCAAAACATTAAAATGAGTCTCAAGCAAAAAAACTGTTTGTTTTAGGATGGCCCGTTACATCTGTAGACTTCTAAACCGTACTAGATATGACCTCGTGACCAATAAGAGAAATGTAGTTTTCCTATCACGTTATTATTTGAAATGAAACTATATCTGAAAAACTGTACTGAATCGATCGATCGCATATCAATTGATAAAGCTCACCTAATGTCAATCATCGTCGCAATCAAAAAGTCGCAAATTCTCCAGCTCTCAAAGTCCATGAGCAGCGATTCTTCCGGCAGACACGAAACCAAAGCTCGAACAATAAACAACTTATAAACCACATCATTGTCTTCTTTTTCCAATTCCAAAAAGGCGAAAAACTCGTCGGGACTAAATTGTTTCACAATCCCAAAATTAACGATGGTAACAGCGCAGGATGCACAGAGTTCTATGTGAAGATGAAATTCAGTTTTCTGAAGGGCGTTTTTCATGAAAGGGATGAGAGTGGAGACTGAAGCGATTTGACTCTCTGAAAGGACTTTTATCGTAGAGTTGAGTATTTTCGTCAATGTGGCTAAATCTTGAAGATCTTCGAGTGATTGAATCGCTTCTTCAGTCCTTTTAACCAGCCAGGAAAAGGTTTCCAGCCCAAGAAGACATTTCGGGTCCCCGTATGAGCTGATAAAATACAAGAAATCCTTTCGCAGTTCTTCTGTTTTCTGATTTTTAAAAGCTTCTTCGATCATTTCAGCGCCATTCGATGATTTGAACTTCTTTTGACAGCTCTTCCAAGCGGCTTTGCGGACATTTTTGTGGAACTGGGGAATAAAACTGAGAAAGTAAACGAGATCGGTGTCGTTTTCGAGAAGGGAGGGTAAGTTCTGGAACTTTTGAGAGGCCACAGAATGCTCTAATTGGGAAGTCAAAGAGCAAAAGTCAATTAACGAGTTCGACATCTTTTCTAAATTCGAATTATTGAAGACCAAAGGTTTTACTTTTCAGAAAGAATAAAATTGAAAAAGCGACAGGAATTTCTCTAGTTTTCGATTAAAAAAAGAAGATTCTCCGCGCGCGCTGATTGGCCACATCTTTTAGTATCAGAAGTTGATTTTCAAAGCCGTAATTATGGTCTCTAAATTATAACTGTAAGTTTATATCTGTATTATTGAGGCTTATGCGCCTTTAAGACTGATTCTATGACCTTATTTTTGATATAACGTCAGGAATTGTCTACACAGAAAAGCCACTGGTTGAAGGAATACGGTAACTTTCAAATTGAAGTTTTTTTTGCTGTATGTATACCTATTTGTACCTGATTACAAGTTCCTCGATCAGCCACCCGGGTGGCCCGCTGGTTAGCGCCCAGCGCTGCGGCTCGATGCGCACGAGTTCGAATCACGCTACCTAACCGAAGAAACAAACGTAACGTACATTGGTGCGGCATTAACCAAGAAGCAAGAAAATAAACGCAAAGAATAATCAACCGAGAAAAAAAAATAACCGCGGATAAAAAACTCGCTCGAGTTGCCTCGAGTGGAGTTTCTCTGGGTTACCCCAGAGTTTTTCAATTTTCATTCTTTCGACGGCCCGCAGCGGCTCGTGGAAACTGGTTTGCCATAAAAATTTTATGCATTAAGGGACCTGGGCGAGCAGCGCGGAGCCGAACTTCACGGGCTCGCAGCTTATCTTAGAAGTGAGATTTTTAAGAATTTCTTTTTGCAAATCATATCTACAAACATTCAGCTTTCTATACCTACTTTCAAAATTTCTCTATCATTACCGGTTGATGAACTAGAGAGAAAAAGAGAAGAGCAACTTCAAAAGGCATCAAGTCCTGCAAACTAAATTTTATCTTCCTGAAACTAGCACCATTGAAAAGCCCGTTTAATTCTGCACAGATTCCACCTAATGCGCAAAGCTAAATACGTACTTATCGCCAAGTAACGCCAAATAAACAAAGTTACTTAGCGCGCTCAGCTGGTCGCGGCGCAGTAGGACGCTCTGATGAAGCCATTTTGGCCTTCCGGGACATGATTCCCGCTGAGCGCGCGCTCAGTTATCTTGTTTATCTAGCCTCTATCGCCAATAGGTACTGTCCCGTATTTGCGCATTAGGTGGAATCTGTGCAGAATTAAACGGGCTTTTCAATGGTGCTAGTTTCAGGAAGATAAAATTTAGTTTGCAGGACTTGATGCCTTTTGAAGTTGCTCTTCTCTTTTTCTCTCTAGTTCATCAACTGGTAATGATAGAGAAATTCTGAAAGTAGGTATAGAAAGCTGAATGTTTGTAGATATGATTTGCAAAAAGAAATTCTTAAAAATCTCACTTCTAAGATAAGCTGCGAGCCCTTGAAGTTCGGCTCCGCGCTGCTCGCCCAGGTCCCTTAAATTAAATGCATTATGCATTTGATATAATCATTAAAAATTTGAATTTCAAATAGCTATTTATTAAAATGAAGCAGTGTCGGAAGAAACAGAGCGCTTTGAAATAATTCTAAGTTTGAGCTTAGTAATCGCCCAAAAGAAACAGTGGAAGACGGCTGAAATCGGAAAAATGAAAAGAACAAGAATCCAGCTTGAAGACAACGGGAATTTCTCGCCATCGAGGAAGAATCCGTCGTTTTGCCAGTTCAGAATTGGGTAGACCTCGTCCCGTTTGGGGTCGATTTTGAAGGCGATAAATGTCGCTAGAAATGATATCCAAAGTTGCTGTGAATGATCGAGTTTACCGAGGCCATATGCAGAGCCAAAGGTCCACAAAAAGACGACGTGAAAGAGATTGACTGGAATTCGATTCCAGATAAGTTCCGAAATCATCCCCACCAGGGTTCGGTATTTTGAATTCGCGAAATTATTCGTTTTTCATTTGAATTTTCTATTTATTCGTTTACGAATAACATAGGTCATCCCCTTGTTACCAGGATAAACGTTGGCGAAAATCTGAATTTAGCAGGAAAAACCCCAGGCAAACTTGCCCCCATGTTAGCAGGATAAACTTTGGCAAAAGTGCTCATTGTTAGCAGGGTAAACTTTGGCACTCAATTAACAGGGTTGCGTGAATCAACAGCGCTCGCCCAGGGCGTGACGTAACTGTTAGCCCGAGGAGGACTCAACCTGCTGGAAGAAAATGCGAATGAAGCAAATCTGCTTGAAATACAAGTGAACAATTTTATGTTATTAATTTTAATTTTAATATATAATTTTTTTTAATTAATTTTTAGGGCTTAGGAAGGTAGGCACCAGAGTTGTAGCTAAGCTTTATTTTGAAACTGGCCACCTTAGATCTGATCCGGAAACTCCCAGCCTGGCCTCGGAATTCTGACCTGTCTAAAAACCTGAAACAGGTCCTGTTTCCTGTTTTTTGGACCCTGTCCTGTTTCCTGTCTTGCATTTCGAGACCAATATAAACCTGTAAACAGGCCTATTAACAGGAAATACAGGAAAACACGCCTGTATACAGGAACAGCCCTGTAAAAGTGAAACAGGCCTGTAAAAAAATTGCAGGAAAACAGGCGAGAAATAGGGAAGATCAGGTATTTTTCGTAAAATTTTCTTGGAAGTTCGTTCAAATATGTTATAAAGAAGCTTTTTTTAGTTGGAACTGTCTATAGACATGATTATAACGAGAAAACATTTTTAATTTTGATTCTTCAAGGAAAAATAAAACCTGAAATTTGAGTTTACAGGCCTGCGAAGCCTGTGAAACCTGTAAAACAGGACCTGTTCCTGTGTTTTTTATCCTGTCCTGTTTCCTGTTTTGCAAATGGGCCAAAAATAAAATCCCTGTTCCTGTCTCTGTTCCTGTTTACAGGATTCCGAGGCCATTCATTAGATCAAGCCACTTCGGTGAAGTATAGGCTATGTATAGCCCATATCATTATAGAATATTGGGACTAATATCTTATATATCTAATATTGGATATAATATCTGCGTCATTGCTGACCTGAGGTCAAGTTGGGGTTACCTGGGATCACTCGGGATCAACTTTGGAGATTTTTCTTCTTGAAAGATGGTTAGAGTCCGAAAAGGGCCAGGGACGAGATCACCCCGTTATCAATAGTCAAAATAAAGCTCAGCTTCTGAGCTTTCTAATACTGTATAATGTGCCTACCAGAGTTTCAAATTTGCTGAGTTGAGTGAGCTGAGACTGCTCAGTGATTTTCAAAAGTGAACTGATCTGCTCAGCTCAGACGATAAATTATCGTCGATAATCATTCAGCTCAGCTCAATGATTTTAACACAATTTTACTACTAAAATACAGTAAAAAATAGCTCAACTCAGCTCACTCAGCTCAGCGGAAATAAAGCCAAATTTGCAACTCTGGTGCCTACCCTCCTAAGCCCTAAAAATAAATAATTTAAAAATATGAATAAATATCAAAATTAAAATTAATAATGATAAAATCGTTAACTTGTATTAAATACTGAATTTATAAATATATATTGAAATTTTCAAGCAGATTTTATGTAGATATTTTTCATTGGCATTTTCTTCCAGCAGGTTGAGTCCTCCTCGGGCTAACTGTTACGTCACGCCCTGGGCGAGCGCTGATGATTCACGCTACCCTGTTAATTGAGTGCCAAAGTTTGCCCTGCTAACAATGAGCCCTTTTGCCAAAGTTTATCCTGCTAACATGGGGGCAAGTTTGCCTGGGGTTTATCCTGCTAAATTCAGATTTTCGCCAACGTTTATCCTGGTAACAAGGGGATGACCTATGTTATTCTCTAATGAGCGAATATTCAAAGCGAATTAAAACGAATTTTCTCGGAGAATTTTTCAGAAATTCAGCGAATTTCTCAAACATTCGCTTTGCCGCGCGCTCTGATTGGTCGGGCTTTGACGTTGCGCAGCCTATAATTTTATCTTCACCGCCTAAATAACCTTATAGCTCGCGGGCGCCACCCTTTTCTCACCCGCGGCCATGGAGTTCAGCCAATCCAGGGCTGTACGCTCAATTTCGAGCGAATATTCGCCCGAATAGGCGATTCGCGAACAATCGCTCATTCGCTTAAGAAAAGAGCATATTCGCTGCGTGTATTGGCGAATTTTTCGACGAATTCAAAATACCGAACCCTGATCCCCACGGCCACCATGATGTGCCCGTGAAAGTTTTGAACCATCAACGGCGGATTTTCAGGAGAAAACGACCATGTTTGAGTTCCATAGTCGTTTTCTAGCGTTGAATTGATTCCTGCTGATGTCCAGAAGGCGACAACAACGAGGAGACTTGCTGTCAAACTGAAAAAAGAGCTCTGAAAAAACGCTCTCTTGCCTGTACTTACCAGATTTCGTAGATTATCTGGACAGTTAGACGGGCAAATGCGTTGATTTTATATTGAACAGTATGATTAAGAAGATGAAGAACGACAACAAGAAAAAGGTAGAAGCAAATGAGCGTGTCGGTCCAATTCGTCAAGAAATCCGAGTAAACTTCTTTTAACAAATGAAATGTTGATATTCTATAAATCCAAATCGGTAGCCAGTAGGCTAAATAATAAAATATCAGGCGAGATTCTTGATGTTCTTTTTACCAAAGAGAATTGAGCGCAAAATCCAAAGATGTGTTGAATTCGATGAGAACGATGGTACCAAGATGGTATCATCGTTGTCTTTTGGGGGATGAGAATGACATGTTATTTTAAATCGTCGATTTTCATTAGACTCATCCCTCTTTCCTATACTTATGAATTTGTTCTTTAAAAAACACGATATTTTTTCGAATAATTTCGCGTTTTTCTCTTTCGTTTTTCTTTTCATGCTTTATCTTTTTTTTTCCCCGAAAATTAAATTTCCAATGTCGCTAAGAAAACAAAAAAACTGGGAAAATATTCTGAGCCAACTAACCAGTGGCTTAACTATTGTTCGAAATCATTCAATAACACTAGACGCCTCTTTTCGTAAATTTTTCAAAGCATAGAAACTCACTATTTTATTGTGCTAGAATGGCTAGTGTTTGACGAGAAAACAGGCTTTGCTGTAGGATAAGAACACCTGAAAATAAGCTTGTCTAAGGCCTTTTTCAAGTGATTCCAGAAGATTTGAGATCATGTGACTTGTCATTTCGTATTCCCATCAAAGGATCAAAAGTAGCCTAAAACTGCAGGGCCTCCAAACCCTTGGGAATCATCTGGCGAAAGATTATCACTTTTCTCGCTTTATTTGGATGCTAAAACCTGCCGCTTAGTAAGAAAAAAAGAGAAAGAAATAAACGTACGCTGCTATTTTAAACCCCGTTGAAAAACCAATAATGGAGGGCAAAATAATCATTTTCACCTCTTCGTATTCAACGAATAAGAAAATTTGGAAGGAGTCAAATCTGGTCAAGGTAAAAAAAATAATTAGTAAAAACGAACTTTTTACAAAAAATCAAGGATTTCCTCAACGTCCGAAAAATTCCCTTTTTTGAAATCGACCTGGCCACACATCCGAAGGCAAAAGAAGAGCTTCTCAAACGTCTCCCGGAAGAGTACAAGGCCCCGCCAATTCTACCCCCTCAAGTTTTTCTCAACAACGAATATTTGGGAAACTACGAGTCTTTCTTCATGGCGACGGAGATGGAGTTTCCCTACACCTTTTTCAAGCAAGAACCGCCAGCAGGATCGCGAGAAGAGCAACGCGTCATAGAGTACAAATCGAAGAATAAAGCAATTCCCTCTTTCATATAAATTTATACTGTAAATAAAGACATCGAATTTTTACTCGATCATCTTCTTTTTATTAAGGTCATGATAACGGGCGACACTGGGAAAGTCGCCGAATGTCGCCGAATGTCGCTGAATGTCGCTGAATGTCATCGAAAATGAGTGACGATATTTGGCGACATTCAGCGACATTCGACGACTTTCGGCGACTTTTCCAGTGTCGCCCATGATAACAGCTACAATCTTATCAGCTAGAAATAATATCTGAGAAAACCATAATATTGTCTTGTATAAGATCAGACGGAATTCTTGGTCCGGGAAAGAAGGTGCTTGATCCGTCTTGGATCTCGCTCCCCAAGGACGATATTTGAACATCTTGACCTTTATGGCCTCTTCTGATTTTCAGAAACCATATCTCCAATGAAAGTGTTCTTTGTCATAGTTACTCTGAGGGACTAGAATTGAGATCAGGGCTGGTAAATTCGCGTCCTAAAATCTGTCGAAAATTTTTAGTGCACTAAAATTAGTGCGCGAATTTATTTTGTCGAGACTTTAGTGACTTTCGCGTCTCTTTCGCGTGTGTCTCGAAAAGTGTCGAAATAAAAGGCTGCTGATTGGCCCGCCAATGAGCGCGGGCTCTTTAATTCTAAAGAATACGTAAGTTTGAGAATTTCAAACTTCGCTAATATTAGAATTTCAAAAAGTTTGGTTTCAATAAAGTGGATTGGGTAATTGAGGGCGTGAATTTTAATATAAGGTCAAAAAAGACTTTGTCAATTCATTTGTTAATTTTCTTTATAAATTTAAAGTAACAAATATAGGGAATATATTATATAGGAAAAATACAATTTTTTTTTGCAACTCTTTTTGTGCTGGATTTGAATGATAAGCTTAGACTTTTAGCCTAAGATAAGCTTTCTTAGGGAGGTCTTCTCCCTAATTTTTTTTATTGAAGGGCAATCCGCAGCTTGTTCTTCCTGCTTTTTCCCTTTCTTGTCAATCTTGTCGTTGTTCGACTAATAAACCCGCAACATTTTCCGCGGGCGCGGGGACGGATTTCAAAATTTTCCGCGGGTGCGGGCGGGCGCTGGGGCCAATTCCGAAATTTCCCGCGGGTGCGGGCGGGCGCGGGGGCAAACTCAAAAATTTCGCGCGGGTCCGGGCGGGGGCCCCGCAGATTTCCGCGCCCGTGGGCCCCCGGGGGGTTAAGGGCGCCCGTTACCCTCGCGCCCACAGGCCCCGCGGGTTCAGAAATCAGCAAATGTAAAAACATTATTCTTAAAATTTCTGATAAAAACCATAATAAGGTTAGAGACAGAACTGAGATTGATCAACTCAATGTTCCAAGCCTTTGTCAAGCCCCTTAAATTAAAAAATAAAGGAACTGGGCTATCAAATATATATGATTCTATGAATAAAGAATTATATAAAGATACTGAGAAGAGCTCTTAAGACCACGAAAGTAGAACGTATCAGTCAAGGCTGCTTTAGCTTCAGAGACTGTTGAGGACAACGATGAGAAGTTGTCGGACAACGATAAGAAGAAGAAAAGCAAAAAATGAAGAAAAGCAGGAAGATCCAGCTGCGGATGGCCCAGCGATAAAAAAATTAGGGAGAGGACCTCCCTAGCAAAGCTTATCTTAGCACATCATTTAACTCGACAAAAAGAATTTCCAACAAAAGTTGACTTTTATTCTTTTCAACTTATTTGTTACTAAATAAGTAATTTTTTTTAAATTAAATTGTGTCATATTTACGATGCATTGATTTTTATATATCTAGCAGTTTCAGTTTGAAGAAATTCTTCCCTGATGAAAATCGTCTTCCATGAAACTATCATCCGGGAAGAGCCAATTGGATGATGAAAAAGAGCCTCTTTTTTCGCGTCTTTAGTGCTGATCAGCTCTCGAAAAGTCACTAATTTCCCCAAGAGGAAAAATTAGTGTCATTTTAGTGCACTAAAGGCGCGAAAGACGCGAAAATGTCTCTAAAAAAAATTAGTGCGCTAATTTTTTTTTTTCTTCGAGAGAAAATAGTGCGCTAATTTACCAGCCCTGATTGAGATAATGAAAAGATCAAATTGATAAGACCAAAAGAAGATCGAACATTTTCTTCGTACAATTGTGAGGAAACTGTCACGTGAGTATCAAAACCTCCGTTAGTAAAAGTCCGAATGCATGCCAAATTATACTTGTGACGTCATCAATCACGTGTAAATTTGCTAAGAGAGAAATTCTGGTGAAATCGATGCCGAAACCCATATTCCAAAGAATTTCTCTAGAAAAATGGTTATATCGTCGTTGTTTTCATTAGTCAATTAGAATTAAAGATGGATGTCTTTCAGAGAAAGAAACTTAATGAAATCAACTTTACTTGCGAAGAGATTCCGTTTACAGAAGAAATAGAACTTTCAAAGGTTTAAGGGGCGGGTCGACGAGAATCGGAACTTTTAAACCAATTTTCCCGAAAAATCCGATTCTGTAAACGTATTTTGACTTATCACGTGAGAACAGAAGGGTATTTAGAATACAGCGGCAACGAGTTTCGCGATAGTTTGCAGAAATTTCTTGCACTTCCTTACCAAATGTGCCGGAAAAAAATATCGAAAAAATCGGAAAATTGCAAAAATTGCAATTTGGGGTCCACTTTGAGACACGATTACGCCCATTTTTTCTGGACAAAATTTTTTCTAGTTTTCGCCGCTGTATTTTTCAAACCCTTTTCTACTCACCTGACCAATCAGAATTTTTCATTCAAAGCTGGTTTTTCCGGAATTTTGGTTGAAAAAATCCCGATTCTCGTCGACCCCCCCCTTAAAGTCTTTAGATGTTTTTGTGATTGATGTTTTAGGGAGCGGTAGGAGATGGAGACAAACCAGAACAAGAGACGGTGGAAATTTCTGTTCATGATCAAATTAAAGAGATACTAGAAGCAATTAAAGCAGACGATTACAGTTTTGAGAAGCGCATGAAAATCAAGTGAGCTCTTTTTAATCAGAATTATTCTTTAAAAAATCAGGTACATCAAAAGATTTGGCCGCTGCTGGGTTGTTAACAACAACAGAAAGCTCTTCATTGCCAAGTATTTGAACAAGTACTTTGGGTATGTAAGCAAATGAAGCCAAAATTGACCATTAACTTCAGCGTGAATCTATCCCACCTGCTCGTAGACCGGACCGGCCGGTACGAACTCAGCGAGGTCGAGCAAACTCAAATCATGCGCATGATCTATCTCCACGACGAGGGAAAGATCTTCCCGAAAAACTTCTTTCCCGAGGTCGAATATGAAAAGAGCGAGGATCGATTTTTGTGCGAAAAGAATATGTTCAAGTTCCGACAGCAATACAGGTATGAACACATTAAAAAAGAAGAAAATTAATCATCAACTTCAAGAGAGGAGAAAAAGCAAGAAATTCCATCTTGGCGAGCATGGCTTACTGTCGAGAACTTGACTGCCAATTACCCTGTCTTTATCTTTATCACTGTCGGCATTGCCATTCTCATGCAGATTGGCTTTATCATGGTCTCTCCTGCCCAGTAAACACAAATAAACATCACATTTTTAATGTTTAACGCAATTTGCTAGTGGCTGAGTCGCAAGTGTTTTCTCGGAAAAAGGTACCCCGGTTCTAGAATGTGAATTTACAAGTAAAAGCGAAAGCTGAAACAAGTTAGTTTGAAATGAGCCTCTACTTGAGCTATGGACAGTCGCAGATTGAGCAGCTTGAAAAAGTAATTACTGAGAAAAATGAAGAAGCGGAGCGATTTCGCAAGCATGAGCACTTCGGTACTGGACTCTTTTCTCTATAAATTTGAACGGAATCTTATTCATTAGTGGCCTCCACCTTGCAAAATTGGTGGAGAAACTGCGTAACGAAAATCAGAGAGCGAAAACGCACTCGCGCGTCCAACATGGTTGTCGGCTTCTTGCGCAAAGTCGTGACGAACAAGAAGATGGATATGATCGAGAAGCACAAGGAGAAGATCAGACTCAGAAAACAATACGGAGAGTACATCATTCCGTTTCAAGCGCTTTGGCGAGGGTATCACTCGAGAAAGACAGTCATGGATTTCTACAAAAGGAAAGAGCTCCTAGAGGTACTCGAATTACTCCTCTTCCTCCGGTTTACCGAATTTTCAGGCAGTTGCGTTAAAAAATGAAGAAACTCGAGCGCACTTGCAAAAAGTTCGCAACATGCAGCTTCGAATGGAAAAATGGCGGAGAGCAAGTTACATGGCAAACGCTCGCAAGAGTATCCACTATCTCATCAGCACCAGAGCCAGGCCAGGAGTTCCAGAACAAATTATGGAGAAAACCGCAGAAGAGACAGCTGCTTTGAAGAAGAAAAAGCGACATAGCGTCGAGGTACTTGAATGTTTTCTTTCTTGATTTCATTAGCTCTCATTTCAAGCCTCTGGTGATTGTCCAACCGCTTCCCTCGCCAAGAAGATATAAAAACTATTCTCCTCCAGATGATCTTGAATGCTTCGGTCCTTTCAGAAGAAAAGAATCAGACAGGGATCATGTTCTTACCTCTCGGCTCGGTAATCTGACTACAAAACCTGAGTCCGGGTTCTTGAATAAAAAGCCGCGTAGCGGCTTTTTCTTTTAACGAAGCCGCAAAGCGGCTTCGCCAATGTAACCATCTCAATCTATTATTCATTCTGGCATTCAAGCTCTTTGAGACCCTGACACAGGTTTTGGACACAGGTTGTCGAGCGCAGATTTACTTATCTCGGCCAGAGAAATATCTGACCCGTTAAAGTCCAAATGCAAAAACACAGGCCTCTGGAACCAACTCTTCGAGTTTTGACTTCGTACAACACTACCGAGCGCGAAATTAAAAAGGACAAACAAGAATCCTGGATGAAAAGCATTCAAGATAAGCCCATGGTTAGCCAAGTTAATAGAACATTGAAAGAGTAACTTTCATTTCAGAAATTCGCCACTGCTTCTTCAAAATGCAACAATTACGAGCGAACGCTGTGGGGCCAGACGGCATACAACCCGCGCGACTTCAACCGCACGACCGTCCGTGACGAGAGTCAGTGTAAAAACAAGCTTCCATTTATTTCACAAGTCCCGTCGATTCCGCTTTTCGATCGGCTGGGGAAATCGTATGCTGAAAGATCGAAACTTATGAAAGTTGTTCAATAAATGATTAGGCTATTTATTTAAAAATATTGCGTTTTTCTTTTCTCATAAAAATGCTCATCGAAGTCCAAGACCAGTGAATTGTTTCTCGCCGCTAACGCATTGCTTTATGGGCTTCTCTATTTTGCCAATAAAGGATAAATGGTCCCTATTATTGATATCATATCAATGATATGGTTTTTACAGGAGCCCTAATCTTCAGAAATTCAATCATATTTGCCATTTCATGTTTGTAAAATGATTCTTTGCGAGCATGTTCTTTTTTGGACTCAATTTTTGAACCAAGAAATATTTCGAAAGCTTGGGAATTGAGCCCATTCCTTTGATTCTTTTTTGACCTTGCTCAATATCTGCTAAAAGTGTTCTTCTTTCTTGTCTTCTCCATGTGCCTTCAAGACTCTGCACTTCTTTTGTCAATTTCCGGACCTCTTTTTCCTCCTTCTTCTTCTTTTTCTTCTGCATCCTCGCCTGCTCTTCCCAATGTTTGAATTTTTCGTTTTTTCTCGACATCAGAGCAAGGGCGTCGCGCTTATATTTCCGATCTTCATCGCAATTTTTGCTGAAACCACAGTTTTACCTGTGTAGAACCTGTGTAGAATACCTGAGTCATGGTCTGTAAGATCTAAAATGAAAAGCCGCAAAGCGGCTTTTTCTTAAAACGAAGCCGCGGCTTCACAAAATCATCTTTTCAATCAATTTCAATCAGTTTCCAGACCCTGACTCAGGTTTTCTACACAGGTACTTGCAGAACTCAGAATCCGATAATGAAGTCTTACTTATAAATTTCTCTGATTTTGTCGTATGCTTCTTCTCTTATTTGATTATATTCCTCACGGATTTTCTTCCTTGATTGCATTATTAGTCTCTTGGTTAGTTTAGTTTTTGCTGCATTGAGAAAATGAAGAGCGATTCCTGCTTGTTCTAGAAGAGAAAGAAGTTGAAAGAAGCAGTACCTTCAATTTTTCTTTATTACAATTATAACACTGCGGAACTTTGAGTTTTTACTTAGTTTTTAGTTGTACAAAATATTTTATTATTGTGTAGTTTTTTTTTCGACGTTAACTTCTTGAATCTCCTTGAGCTCCTCTTGGTCGCACGTCGTAGATTTTGATTTTTGAATGAAGCGTTAGCGTAATGGCAATAGATAGAATGGGAATAGCGGGGAATTCGAAAAACCAGCCGCGCGCGCCAAAGATACTCTTCTTCAGCTTGTCGAGTCTTGAACTGAGGATTTTGATGAACGTTTGAGGGACTTTGGCAGCAGACTAAAATTTTAACCATTATCTTTTATTGACGATAGAGGGCTTACCTCCTGCCAAGCGAAGTCGAATCAGCACTGAGCGTTCTGTGAAGTCCTCGTAGCGAGAATTTGTTAGTGCTGAAGGAAAGAAGTGTTAGAAAAGAGGCAATTGCAATATCGATGGATTAGTTATGATAAGCATAAAAACCAAACGCCCCAAGGGATGAGGAAGGAAATCAATAATCACGAAACGCGAAAACCCGACTTGCCTATTCTTAAGACTTTTATACGCATTAGATAGCCGGTTCTGCGGCGGCAATCTAAATCCCGGTTCAGAGGGGAGCGTTATTTATGCCCTTTTGAGAAGTGTTAATGCACTTACTTGTACCGCTGGCCTAGTTTCTTGTCGTTCAGCTGGTCATTCGGAGAGGGATTCAGAATTGTCTCGCGCCATTCGTCTGGCAACTCGCCCTAGTCAATTATTATTAACGAGAGTCGTTGTTGTTGTCAAAGGGGAGGATTCATGTATTCAGTGGAATTAAGTGGGTCTTCAGCAAAGGCCGCTAATCTAGACCACTAAAGGACAAATTACCTGAACCATGTCGTATTGAATTGCACATTCCACAATTTGTATCAACTGCGTTGCTGCTGCTTCTATCGCAGTTCGAAGAAGCTCGATTTGGCCTCGAAGAAGTCGGCAGTTCCAAGCATGGTTTTCGTGAACTTTCGCGGCTTTTTTACTCTTCAATCCGTCCACTTAAATTTTGATAAAATAAACTCTTCATAAAAATCAAGAAATCAAAAATTAAAGGAGGTCGAATTCGAATTAAAACTCCAGCTTGATATAAAATCGATCTGATATAAAAATGTTAATCAGTTGGTCAATTCACCAAGTAAAATCAAAAAAATACTTGGGTTATAAATTTTTTCATAGTCTGAAGAAATTAGCATACCAGGCAAGGACATACGGCGACCAGTCCGATTTGGACTGACTATAAACAAGTTTAGCATGGAAATAAACAAAAACTTCTGCTTTTTTTTCAATTCAGCTCGTTTTTGAAACTAACAACTCAGTCAAAGTTACTTCATAAAAATACTCACCACTTCCTAGACTCTCGATAGTTTCCGAGAGCTCTGTGGCTTGGGTAAGCGCTGCTTCCATCTTCTCAAGCAAAACAGGGCCCGTGATCGTAAGCTTTCGATTCGTGTTTACTAAGGCGTCCGTGGCTTGAGCCGACTTTCGACCATGCTCTGGAAGTTGGCCGCCGTCAAGCCTCATTGTCAGGACATTTTCGATCATTCGGAATTTAATTGGCATTTTCCTTCCTGACAGGTGCTTCATGACCTTAATGAAAAAGCAATTAATAAATTATTTTTTCAAAGTGCATTTTACTCTGAGCTCGTCAACCTGTGTAGAAAACCTGAGTCAGGGTCAAAAAATTTTTCCAATCAATTATCAAAGTCTGGCGAAGCCGCTTTGCGGCTTCGTTTAAAAAAAAGCCGCTACGCGGCTTTTCATTGAAGATCTTCTAGACCCTGAGTCAGGTTTTCTACACAGGCTGCTGAGCCCAGATCTTACCTGTTTGACATTCGAAACCGGTTGCAATCCAGCAGCTTCTTTGAAATCCTTAGTACACGTTTCATGAAGTTGCCGTAAGTCAGCTGCTTCTCTGGCAGACTGTGATATTGATTTATACAGTTCATCGGCTGACTTGAACCCAACAGTACGCAGCTTGGACATGGGCTTATTCGGGCGGCGCCGAAGCACGGTCTTCTTCTGCTTAGTTTCGCGGGATGAGCTGATCGCCACGTGCACTACAATACCGATTCAGATGGGGATCAATGGCAGCTTCTTATACCTAGCAAGGACGCGCCATTCAAATCTTCTCCGAATATGCCACTTAGTTTCGCGACCCTGTAGCCAGGAAGAAGGCAAGAGTGGGCGATGGTGTATTGTCCGATAAACTCATCACCAATAAAATCATCGTCAAGAATGACAAATCTAATTAGCGCCATGTCAGGCACTGTCAGACGAAATTCGCAAGATTCATCGAAAACTGGATTTCGCCCGCAATTGTGTACAGTGCGAGTTCTATCCCGTGGGTGAACAAAAGCGATTAAAAATAATTATTGAGAAGCTGGTCAGGGAGAGTTGAATTATTCATTAGACGAACTTGGTAAACAAATTACGCCGATGGGTCTACATTTTCCACAGAGGCAGACAGGATTTGAGCTCGGCAACCTGTGTAGAAAACCTGAGTCAGGGTCTGATGATGCTTGAATGAAAACCCTCGTAGCGGTTTTTTGAAAACGAAGTCGCAAAGCGGCTTCGCAAATATTACCGTTTTCATCCACTGAAAATTATGACTTCGGCTTCTTTTTTAAAAAAGCCGCTTTGCGGCTTCGATTTTACTAAAGCCGCTTCGCGGCTTTTCATTTAAGCATCATCAGACCCTGACTCAGGTTTTTCCACAGGTTGTCGAGCTCAGAACAATATTGAGAGCCGAAAAACTCATCCTGTGAGTCAACCCTTCTTAATGAATATTAACCGCTTATTGGTACCCAGTTCCTGTGCTCAGCGCAATCGGTCGCCGCGCCAAAGACTTCGATGAGTACGTACGGATCGATGACGCTTCCCTTGGAGCCGGCACCGCGCGGCTTAGGAAGGTCGGTGCCCGATATTACTCGCAAGTGCAAGGTTGTGACCTCAGAGCGGATCGTTCTTTCCGAGTCAATCATGATCGATGGCTTGAGCGCATAGCCGCAGCCGCCATTCGCCGCGAACATGCCTTCATTAAGATCCATCATCAGTCCAGGCGTCTTAGATAAAATATTAATAACCGCACACGAGCTGGCTTAATGCAGTACGCCCTTGTCCATTTGTCGCCAAATCTCACGCATCCGCTTTTGCGTGGTTGAAACTAATGGATATTCTATGCAGAAAAAAAGGGATTCGTATTGAATGAATCATGGAAAATACGTACCTGAAAATGAAGAGCAGCCATCTGCACGCCCATATTCCAAACATCGAGAGGATTATAATTAGAGCAATCGACTCTTGAGTCATTTGGCTCTACGCGGATCAACTGCGTCGAACCCGCTTCAACCAGCGCTTCGGCATTGTTGGTTGCCACGCGCGAAGCTACAGTCTCCGGCATTACTGACATTTCCAAATCAGCCTTCTTCTGCGGGATGCCGGTAACGATATCGGTTTTGAAGAAGCACATTTTCGCCAAGCGAGGAATAAGAGGAGTTTCGCGGATTTGTGTCCCACTTTACAGCGGGATCAATTTTTAAGTTGATTAGTTCTGACATTTTCGAAACAGATGTGCCAAAAAAGGTCCATTTTTGTGCATAAATTTGAATGCAAAAATATTTTCATCGACTTTACTCTTGTTGATTATTAGTCTAGTCGTCGTTGATATCAATTTTCAGCCGGGCTAAAAGAAAAGCCCTGCAAATTGAAAATTGAGAGTAAAATGAATTAAAGAACCCTGGCTTAGCCCGGATAACCGGGAAAGTTTAATCAAGCGTTATCCACCCTCGCTTAAAAATAACCTTGAGTCTGGGTCGCTGTATTCAATCCATCAAAATTTAATCTAATTTCCAGAGTAATTTCCAAACAAAGTGAAAACTGAACTAACTAGTTAAGTGAATCGATTAGCAAAAACTCTCGAAGGAAAAAAGAAAAATGATTAAAAATAAAAAAAGGGTGAATTGATCCCGGTGGCTTAGACTCAGGTCGTCTTGGGAGCGTCCCGAGATTTCAAGGAGGATTCTTTTCTTCAGCTTTTCAGGCGTCAGGGAGTTATTGACGCTCGTGTTGAATAATTCGGCAGTGCAAAGGTAGTCTCCCAGGTGCTCGTGGAGGAGGTCGGCGAGGTGATGCTGTCCGGACTCGGTGGCGCGGACGCGGATAACGAGTATAAGAGGAAAATCGGAGGAGGAGAAACTGTATTCATGGATTATATTCAGCACGGCCTAAAACGAGTAAATTTAACGCTCCGCGCGCCCGAGATAAAGGGAAAAATGCAATTGAGACAAGGTGCGACAGTAACATGCCAAAAATAGAATAGCCGCTCTACTTACGGAAAGCTGCAATCTCACTTGCTGGCGATTGTTCCTTGGATGATGAACCATGAGATTCTTCTCGTTGTTGTTGTCAACAAAGGCCCAAACGTCCAAGCTGAGACAGCGGCATCCCTTTTCGAGCACGGTTTGGAAGCAGGATAGAGACGTACGCCCGGATAATTGATCTTGAATTAAATACGTGTTGTGCGATGCAGAAATAAAATAATGAGAGAAGGGGCGGTCCATGTCTTGCGTTGGAGTCCGCTTCTTTGGATTGAAGAGTGCGCATTTATCGCAGGTGAGGTAACGCGTGAAGCCGTCGATGCCAAGCATGTGTTTTTCGCGCAACTGTGCTGATGGCTCACATTCCGCCACGATATTCAGACACATTTCTCGACTGGCATTTATCCCCTGCTCAATTTCGAGAAACGAGCGTAAATCATCGACGGACATAGCATCTTCATGACTTGCGTAGCGAACAAGAATGAAATAGACTTCAGCTCGGGTGGCGACATCCTTGAAAAGTTCGATAAAATGAGATTGAGTCAGTCCAACTGGTTGGTCACTGTCAGCAGTTTTGATCGATTTCAAATACTCGCGCAGCTTCGTTTTTATGACATTATCTCGAACGCCGTCGGAAAGCGATTTGATAAGCTGAACGGACTCGTCCTCGTCCATAAAGCCGTCCGAGTTGACATCGGCTGCCCGGAACATGTCCGAAAGCCATTTTTCCCTTGCCTCTCGAGCTGTGTCCCCAGGTGAAGCACTTGTCGATAGGCCTGAGATCAAATGTCGCAAGCCGGTACACCAGATGTTCGCTTCTTCCGTTGTACTCGCAACCAGGTCGAGAGTGATGTACTCTTCGCCGTACACAATCGAGAAGGCACACTCGTTCGGAAAGTGCTCAGCAGCATCGACAGAAAGAAACACTTCCGAATTCTTTCCGCTTCGGACTTCGTGAATGTCGCTCAGCCGCACGCGTGCCTTGTCAGAGTCTTTCTTCGAGGGCTCCCAGCGGAGCTCCCCCTTTTCTTCATCTAGCCAGTAGAATCGTCGATAAACGCGCGAGGCAGATCGCACTTTGACAAGTTGACCGCCTGTGTACATGTGTTTTAGGCAGTCCTTCGCGGATCTTACCGTCAGCTCGGTGGGCAGCGAGCCAAATGACACTGTCTGACGTTGGGATCAAGATCCCGCTTCTTCAGACCCTCATTTACGCTTTCCCAGGAGATTTGACCTGACAGCGCGAAAAATGCATATCATAAAAATTCATACTTTTTCTCAACTAATGTTAAACGAATCGGGCCTCGCGGGAATCTGGATAATCCTCATTCTGAGATACCAATCCAGTTGATAAATTGTCCGCTGATTAATGATTTTCCATGAGGGATCACGATCAAGTGATTTATCATTTTCTACTTGAAAAAGAGAGCGGCGCCCCTTTGATACTATCAAGCGAAATATGCTCAAGATTAGAGGCTTTGCTTGGATTTGAAAATATATAAGAAGAAAACCTTTTAACCGAAATATAAATGAGTCTCAGGGGCTGAAGAAAAAGATAACACAATGAATCTTGATCCTCTCCTTATTCGTTGTTCCGGGTTTTCTGCTCGGATCACGGATGATGCTCTTTCTTCTGTTCTCCAGCGAGCTGTCGGACACTGTCCGACTGTTCTTGCTCTCGACATTGAGACTTCCTTCTGACCGCGACTGAGGACTCTCCGAAACGCTGCTTCCTGAATGCACCGATTCTAGGATCGGTGGCGAGGCGGCGGAACCGCCATTTGGAATGGTCGCTGGTTTATCAGTATACAAGACTTCGTCCATCTCATCTGACCACTGCGACGAGACGAGACGAAATATTGATTATTGCTTCCTCTTGGATCATACAGCTCGTGATCTCATTCTGAAAATAATTCTCATTCCAATTTCATATTTAAAAAATATTAATTAAATTTTTCGATTCTTAGATTTAGATTAATGAAAGATCTTTTTTTTTTGCCAATAACTGCCAATTCCTTTCCCCCGAAAATCTCTTTTAAAAAACGTCAGAATTATGTCACAGAGCTCAGGAGACAAAAGTGCGATTATTGCAAAGATTTTACAAAAGAAGATCACAAGGTGGCCATTTACTAGTGACGAGAGATTAGCTCTTTGTGTTTACTAAACTCAATGAATGTCGCTAGCTTGTATTATATTATTCTGACTAGCTTTCAACAAAGAATTAAACTCTTGGAAAAGGTCAGGTGATCAATTTGAGTGTTGCCAATCTGAAGAAAAGGGGGGAGCTACTAACTTGACGATTAGCTTGTAAATCTGATTTTGACATTGAAATGAACTTCAAATCAATGTAAATTGCTACTCTTACATTTTACAAGAAAAGTCATAGAAAATGATTTAGGCTTTGAAAGTCTAGGAAAATGATCAGTTTTCTAATAGTAGGGTTCGCTGAATTTTTTGCACATTCTTTATTAATGATTTTTTTTTGAATGTAATCTTCAAAAAACTAATTCACGAAAATCTCAAACTATTTACAGTAAAAGAAGTCTTATGGTTTTCCACCTTGACCCTTTTCTGAACACCTCCGAATCTGTTCTCGCGGCGAAAAAAGCACGGGAAGGGCGGCATGTGAGCATGTTGCAGAACGCAATTTATGAGGTGATGACACTTGTAAAGAGCGTTTGACTACTACCGTAATATCGTAAAGAAACTGCGGTTGTTAAAATGACACTTTCGAAAAAGAAAGAAAGAATGCGTGCGCTTTTTTTTTATTGTTACGACTCGTACTAACCGCTTCTTTCGGTTTTCAGAATGGTATTTTCTCTGACTGATTTAGCGGAAAATAAAATATAATACAATTGAGAACTCTTATTCTGAGCCTAATTTGGCTGATTGGTAGGGCAATAAAAGTGATAGATCAGACCTTGAGGCGATAAACGCCTTCTGAACCCGATACGTTTCCTGGGTCAGGGGTAACCCGGAAATACGCACAGATTCCGCCAGAAGGAGAAGAGTACCCTTTCGATCTCTTTTTACTCGAAGGAAAATTTACCGAAAAATGGTGGTTTTATTTTTACGCGAAGGCGAATAGTCAGCCAAAATCGATATGTTTCACTGTATAGATTCGGAGCTAGTTGAAAATTGAATATACATCCATTAAATTTCTCGTTTCCCTTCTCTTATTTTTACGTCAAAAATTATTTTATCATTAATTCAAACCATGAAAATTCAGCAAGACCATAAAATTCTGTTGAAATGGCGTGAATTAATCTCAATTGACAATATTCAAAATAGAATTTAATTCGAAATTGGCATAATTTTATTCAAAAGAAAAAATTTTCAAAAAAAAAATTAATAAATTTATTCAAAAAAGAGGACTTACAGAGAAAACTTGATTCCAGCAGGTTCTCTTTCTTGATTTCAGTCAGCGGCTTCTTTCGATTGCTCTTTTTTTTCTTGGTGAATTTGCCTCTAGTCCGTGTTTTTTTATCTTTTCATTCGTTTTTTTTTTTCTTGTCAAGGTTGAGTTTGATTCTGAGTTGAGAAAAAAAAATGCGTTAGGGGTGCTGCTTTATTGTGTTTGTACAAGCAGGCAGCGCGCGGGTTTGAGAGTTGGGGGAAAGAGGAGAGAGGGAGAGAGAATCGGCGAAGGGCGAGATGGGCCCGGCTCCGTGAATCGGGAGCAAGGCAAAGGAGTCAGGTCTGAAAACGAGCCGCGAGCGCCGTCGATGCGTCGAGCACACACCGAGATCATCGCATTGGACGGGTTAGCGCACGCTCGCCCACGCCACGAATCCAGACGACCATTCTACGCGCCCAGTTCCCACTGGCGAACATCCCCAATTGCATGCGCTCCCTCCCCAGCACGCACCTGCGGGCAGATCACTTTTTTTTCTAATCGCTTTGGTGAACCTTTGAATTCATCCATTTTTTTGTTTGGAAAAAATGAATTGAAGAAGGATCGATATTTCAGTTCAGGGATCACTTTTGGGATCGGCAACCTGTGTTGAAAACCTGACTCAGGGTCCTGGAAAAGCTTCGATAATAGCCGCTTCGCGGCTTTTTTAAAATCGAAGCCGCAAAGCGGCTTCGCCAAAACTACCATTTCAATCCTTTTTTATTTGAAAGCTTTTCTAGGACCCTGACTCAGGTTTTCAACACAGGTTTCCGTGCCCAGATGTCATGTCACGTGTCGTGCTGCCAAAAAATGGTTTTGATGCGTGCAAAGAAACAGAGTCGATTATTTTCTTGAATTTATTCAATTTCAAATTTTCTGTTGAATCTAATTTTTCGATTTTAGATATCGAGCGATGTACTTTCCATATCTTTCTCGAATGATTTCTTTGTCCAAGGTCAATGGCCACAATCTTACTCGCTCGATTTGAACAAGAATTCGATAATTTTCTAAATTGACCTGTCCTTCTGATCCTAAATAGCCACTGATGGTTGTTCGACAGGAACTGGCTCCGCAGAGGCATTTTTCGGGAAAGTTTTCGACCTGAACAAAACAGAGTTAGTAAATCGTAAAATCTATTCTTAGCTGGTGAGAACCTTGAATTCTGTAGTGTCGTAGTCAAAAGTAAGCTCTTCGCCCTTTTGAATCTTCTTCAAGGCGATGAAATCGAACGACTCGCAGTCGTTATCCCACGGCCCAAGTGATGGCTCACAGGAATGATTCAAGAATCTACCTACAACGAGAACTCGTTATTATGATGCTCGGCTCGGCAACCTGTGTAGAAAGCCTGAGTCGGGGTTCTGAAAGAGTCGTAATGAAAACCGCGTAGCGTCTTTTCAAAAAACGAAGCCGCAAAGCGGCTTCGCCAAAACTTCCATCTCAGTCTATTTTTTCAATTCTGGAGAATGGTTTTTTTGGCGAAGCCGCTTTGCGGCTTCGTTCTTTGAAAAGCCGCTACGCGGCTAATAAAACGACTCCTTCAGAACCCTGACTTAGGGTTTCTACACAGCTTCCCCAGCCCAGATCTTCTGTACATAAGTAACTGTACGAACATACATGGAAGGTTCATGACCACATGCATCTCGTTATCCGTTTGGATCGTATGAGAAGTCCGCTGGGGACCGCTGCTGATATTCTCCAAATGAGTTCAATTTTTCAATTTTTAATCAGCTTTTTTCGACCAAAACATTTTGATCAACGGTTGCAAAGTTCAAAAATTAAATTAACCCTTCCTTCGAAGTGAGAACCAGGTCTCCAGGAGCATATTCTTTCAGCGCCACTAGTTGCCATTCTGACCCATTTCTTCTCACTTCCCAGCGTCCCTTAGAGAATACATCACTTCTCTTGCATAACTAGTTTAGTTCGAGGAGTCTCAGTTCAAGAATTCGAACTGTGGAAAAACCCCAGCGCCGTGATAGCATGCAAACCGGCGAGAACGAGTTATACAACTATCATTTTCAGTCTGTCTGTTTTGAGAATCTACTGCAAATTCCCTGTCGCTTACCTCACCGAATTCATTGGCTCTTTTGACTTCGCCTTCGAAAAGTTCACGTGGAAGGAGCTTCGGATTGACCTCTCCCTGCTCGATCACACTGTGGTTGTTTTCGACCGCTACCGTTGTTGCAGGCATATTTTGGCTCAGATAGTGTCAGGGAGAAAAACTGTAATGCGCTGCCAGTCCGAGGGCGTTTCTTTTTATACAGCCAAAGTGCAGCCTGACCTTTGTACTCTTGCTGGAACATGGAATTCCACAATGGCACGATCAAAGTACTGTCACAGGACTACAGAACTCTTGAAAGCGGGTCAAAGGTAAGGAAGAGGCCAAATAGAAGAATCTCAAAACTCGATTCTCAAACTATTTTCCATCAAAAAATCACATGGATCTTATTAGGCCACACTTACTGTATTTATTTTTGATTGCGAAAAATTTCGAAATAATCTTTGGAATCTTGAACTAGATCGAAGGTATTCGAACTTCAAAGTTGATAAAGTTAATAAAGAAACTTAGTACTATTTCAAGTCTTGAAAGCAAGAGCATACTCAGACAAATTGTGAGTCTGTATAAACGTCATCGTGAAAATGACGGCACGTTTCATCTGCGTGGGAAGGTTTATATAAATCAGGGAATCTAATATTCCAAATTCATTTTCATTCTGGTTTAATTTCCAAATAAAAGAGCTTTTTTCCAGGTCGACATCAATCAAGGTAACTATTTTAGCGCTTTTGCCATGTTTTGAAAGTCGAATTTTCTTCTTCAAAAAATAAATAGTGCTGAGGAAAATGATGAATCCTCATCTGAGCAGATAATTTTGTCAACTCATTCGATAAATAATAAAACCAGCAATCCAAACCAAAGCTGCCCAAGTAGGACAATTTAAAGCCTTAATCAATAATCTAAATAGGCTAGTAGCTTTTTGACGGGAGGAGCGCTTACAAATTGACTCTTTTTGTTTTGTGACACCTTAAGACATTTTCCATCTTTTTTCCGTTATGCAATCGACAAAATTGTTGAAATCAAAGAGACTTTTTAATGGGACTCAACGAAGAAGATAAAAATCAAACACACGCCTACTTTGATTCTCAACTAGTTGAACTCAGAACTTTGTTACCTATTCAGCAATTAAAAAACGAACCTCAAACTATCAAAAAAAAAAGAAAAAACGCAGAAGATAAATTTTCATTTGAGAGGGAAAAATCTTCGTTTCAGGTAGGAAATCAATTTTTTTTTATGGGTACACTTTGTAATTAATTTTTTACTAAATAATTAGTTTTATTGAATAAAAAAAAATATATTTTATATAAAAAAATATTGTAAATTTTAATAGAATTAATTATTTTTAAAATATAAAAAATATTTTAAAATAATTTAATTCCTTTAATTTTATTTTCTTAATTTATTTTGATTTTATATTTTTAATTATTTTTTGCTTAGTAAGAGTCTAAAAATGTCCTGCATGATGAAAGATGTCCTGATAACGGATGTTAAACCCTTAAGTTTGCACCTTTTTATCTGATGTAAATTTTCAACGTTGGTGATAAGGGAAATCATTCGAAATCATTATTTCATTCTTTCAATAAATTATTTAGACAGGCGTTTGGATTCTTTCAATCTGAAGAATAAGGCCTCATTGAAAAAGTTCATTGTTTAACCTGTTCGTTACGTAACGTGCACGGCGTGTCCGAGACTTTTTATTTCCTCTCGGACTTTTCCAATGGCATACTAGGAAGTTAATTCAGAATAGAATTTCGCCCCGGGCCGAGATGGCATTTAATCTTTTTAAACGTGCAGAGAGCAAGAATTTTCAAACATCATTCAATTCAGAGGAAATTTATTCTGACAAGAGCTCTTTTTTTAGAAGGAAACTGCTTAGCAAATCTGCAGTCGCGTTTATCTGCCTTGGACAAACAAGCGAAACTTCTCCCGAGGATCCAGTTGACAGAGAGGCCACTTTAAGAAAGGGTGTCGCTCAGCAATAATATGGGATCAGGTAATATATTATATATAAACTGAATCATTCCCAATTCATATTCCTTGGCTCGAAAACCTGTGTAGAAAACCTGAGTCAGGGTTCCTAAAGAGCTTTGATAAAAATCGGGTCGGTTTGCCGAAGCTGCTTTGCGGCTTTGTTTTTAGGAAAGCCGCGGCGCGGCTTTTATCAAAGCTTTTCCAGGACCCTGACTCAGGTTTTCTACACAGGCTGCCGAGCCTAGAACGAATTAATCGCCAAAGAAAACACGTATTTCCGCTACTATTTGAAATTGACTCATTGAAATTAAATAACTCAAAAAGAATTTTACGCCATTTTTTAAATTTCAGAAAAAGAGATGAAAGAAAAAGATGAACTGTTGGAAGCTGGAGGATCAGCAACGAAGGGCACTGCTGGATTTGCCCTTTCTGTTTTCAACCTCATGAATGCCATCTTAGGTAAACTAACGCGCATGATATAAATGTTTAAACTGATTTAATAGGGTCTGGAATTCTTGGCCTGCCGTATGCCATGGCGCAAATGGGAATACTCTCCTTTTTCATTATTTGCGGCACAGTGGCAGGGCTTGCGTACTATGCAATTCTTCTCATGCTTGATTTATGCAAGCAAACGGGTGCCAAGGTCAGTATCATGATCCATGCTCCGGGCCTGTTCGCCTGAATTAATTATTACTGTGTCACAAGTTGGATCACGCGCGCGCGTCAAAAACTGCACTTTCAGACATCGTTAGCTTTATGATTTCCGTGGTAAAAACGCCACGTGCGCAATAGTGCTACTAATAGTCACAAAAGTTGAAAAAGATAGGCGTTGCCCATCTTCGTCTATCCAAATGATTCCAAAATTTAACAATGTAATTATCATCTTTGTAGGCGTATGAATCTCTTGGACAGAAGTCGTTTGGGAATTTGGGCCGATACTTGGTCGCTGCTTGTATTATTTGCCAGAATATGGGAGCAATGAGCAGCTATTTGTTTATCATAAAAGGTAAAAAAGGGACCGTCATTTTCTACCTTCATGATCCCATTTTTTCAGCCGAGGTTCCTTCTGTCCTGAAAACAATGCTCTGCAACCCAGCCGATGAATTGTGCAATTCTTACATGAATCCCGCCTGGTGGGCCAATGGAACTCTCATTCTGACGCTCGTCACTCTCTTTGTCATCCTCCCCCTCTCTTCACTCAGAAACATTGGCTTTCTTGGCTACACCTCGGGCTTCTCCATCTCCTGCATGGTCTTCTTCACCCTCGTCATCATCGTCAAGTACTTCCTCCACACCGAACCCTGTCCTCTTTTTGACGATGCTGTTGCTAGCGGTGTTATGCTCTATTCCAACTACACGGCTGACGATGCAAATATTGATTCTTTAAAAGGTATTTATCGAAACCAAATCTTGTTATTTTTCGTTTTATAGAAGTCAGAATAGATTCAACAGACCAAGGTGAAAACTTCAGTAGTCACACTCTCTTTCTCTTTCCCAATCAACTTTTTCAACTAACCGAAACAAATCTAAGACTAAAACTGTTTTCAATATAAGCGCACCGATATATTGAAGCCGATTTAGCTAATTGATAATAAAAAATTTTGTAGATAATTACTTGGAGCCAGCAAATGCATCGACTCTTCTGAAAACTGGAGTTTACATTCCCGGCACTGAAGAAACCGCTGGACATATCGCCGCAGAATGTACCCACTCCGCCCATCTACCTGAGCAATATTGCAATATGCAGGTAATAAATGCGCTTCATTATTGCCGATTCAAATTTGCCTCAGCCACAAGAATGCTCCACCAACTTGGTTTACTTTACCGATACCTCTGTCTACTCGATGCCTACCATGACCTTTTCCTTCGTCTGCCATACCGCCATTCTTCCAATTTACGCCGAGCTCAAGGTAATTCATCAAAGAGCAACTCCCCTCCAACTACTGTTTTATTCAGTCGCAATCAGCCGGCCAAATGAAAAAAGTTGCTGCGACGTCTCTCGCCAGTTGCTTCTCGCTCTATTTCCTCGCCTCGCTCTTTGGCTACTCGACATTTTACAACTACGTTCAATCTGAACTGCTGATGACCTACAATCACACCGATCCTTCAAATGTTCTTACTCTCATTGTTCGAGCCTGTGTCATCATTGGCGTTATTCTTACACTGCCGATCGTTCACTTTCCTGCCCGAAGAGCGGTTATCTTCCTTGCCAGGTACAAATTCAGTAAAAACGGAAACAGTAAGAATTAATTTATTTCTTTTTATGTTTCTTTCATAAAAGAAAATGTGCCCGTACGGGTGATAAATCTTTTCGTTTCATTTTACTAACTGGTCAATCAAATGAATAATAAGCATTTTATATCTGAAGATTTGGCGCTAGAAAGCTTATCTTTCCTCCGGATCTGAATAAGATCTTTATCTTGCATTCTGCATATTGTATTTTGCTTATCGATAAAAATTTTAGGCCAAAAAAAGATGCTGTCACCGATTTTTCCTGGGCATGGCACATTGCCGTCATGCTCCTGCTGATTGGCACCTGTTTCACGCTCGTCGTACTCGTCCCTGACATTCGTGATATCTTTGGCCTGGTCGGCGCCACCTCGTCTTCCATGCTGGTCTTCATTCTTCCGAGCTTGTTCTATGTGAAGCTAGCGGAGGGAACATACAAAGATAACAAGAGAAAACTCTCAGCAATGGTTTTCCTCGTCTTTGGAATTTGTTTCAGCATTCTCACGCTCTCCATCATCATTTACAAGAAGTTTCAGTAATTCTCAAAAACCAATACTATGAGTTCACTAATTAGACTATGAATTTTATCTTTCTGATCGTTCAGCACCGCTCTTTATCTCAATAAAATAATATCTTATTATTCGTTTTTTTTATTTCTATTTTATTCATTTTGTAAACAGGTCTTTAAACTATAAACTATGCAGCAGGCAAATTTCTTATTTTCAATAGGCTCTGCTTCTCGAGCGCAGGACACTTTGAGTTCGCGGCATGACGGAAGTTCTGTAAGTGATTCCAGAGCTTTGGACGAATCCACCAGCGTTTCGGGTCGATGGTTGTCGGGGAAGGTTTCGGATGTCGACAAAGCCGTCGGCGTTTTTGCCAGAGGGATCGAAGAAGACGGGCCCTTTGTTTTTCTTGATAGGATTGTAGCTTCGGTTGTACCATGCTGAAAAATACAGTAATGCTTTAGATCTCCCAGTTCGGGGCGCCTTGAGAAAGTCGCTGAATGTCGCTGAATGTCGCTGAATGTCGCGTAATGTCGCCGAATGTCTCGACTCATTTTTGGAAATGCTTGTATTTCTAAAAGAAGTGGCGACATTCGGCGACATTTGGCGACATTCAGCGACATTCAGCGACATTTGGCGACATTCGGCGACATTTGGAGACATTCCCAGTGTCGTCCTTCAGTTCAAGGCATACCTTCAAGGACAGGCTCAGTTCCAATACTGTAAATGTCCATGAGTGAGAGCAAGATCGTCACGCAAACAAAGAAAAAGTGAATGTTAATGTAGATCGACCGCTGAATATGGTCAGCAATAAAGCAAGTGGTGTAGATGTCATCATCCATGTCGGACAATCCTCCTCGGCAGGGGTACTCCTCGCAGTAGAACTTGGCTGGCATCAAAAATTTGAAGACGTAGATTCGGTATTGGAAGACGGTGAAAACGATGTCGATGATCATTCGGGCCCAAGTGGTGAAATAATACCAGAGAAAGAGTTTTGGGGGGACATGAGACTATAAAACAAGTTTATGACAAATGACTAGGGAAGTAATTATTGAGCTTAAATATATTTTGTGAATATATCAGCTGATATTTATAAAAGCGAGAAACAAATGTTATATGCGTGAAAACATATGGCTACTTGTTCTGAGGAGTCTAACATGCGAGTTAACATTTTGATTCGTGAAAAAATACTTGCCGCGAATTTCCCGATCTAAATTGTTTTACTCATCTTTAGACTACCATCTTTATTCTCTGATTTATAATTGACTTACCTGAAGACTTCTGAATTTCGTGTGGCCTTCTGCGAATTCTCGCTCAAGTTTATCAATTTCATCCTCTTCGACATCGTTTTTCTCCCGCAGTGCTTTTTGTTCCTTCAAATATGCGGCGATGCTGATGTCAACCTTTGCCTTGTACGCTAGAATTTATGATTAGAGGAGGCTCAGGGCACTGCTAATGTACCCATGAACATAATCGTAGGCAATCCAACGCAGAAAACTTGCAATTGCCAGTATCGAGCAAGCGCAAATGGGAAAAAATAGTTGTGGCACATTTCCGAACATCCAATCGTATTTGTATCGCATTCAATATCTCCAACAGAATCCGTCGTGCTTCCCTAAACAAAAAATCATTCAGCAAAGCCCGTTCAACATCAAGTTTAGTAAAAAATATACATGTGAAATTCAATGTAAATTTGCTTTTGCGTAGATATCGCGTCTTCAAAAAGAATTTTAAACGCTTCCTGACATGAGACTGTCTCTCACGTCTGTCAAGAATGAATGACTTGACCAAAAATGCATTTGGAACAATGAAAAAATCGCTAAAGAAAATGAGTTTCAGGCGTCATGGAGGAATATTAACCAACACTTGACAACTCATCAATTCACATAGAGCCAGAAAACGGCCAATATTTGTACAGGCGGCTGTCCAGTTTAGGAATTACTAGCATAATTGAACTCGAAGAAAACTTGTTTACAGAAGACATTTGAGCTGGTAGTCTTCCTTGATATCAGTTTTTGGTATCAACTCATTTACCTTTGCCATCGAAAGTGTTAGAAACAATCTGAAGACAACAAAGATTCTTTCGTAGTATTTTCCCATCAAGGTGGCAAACTTTGAGCTTGCCACCATATTCTTCTCTACGGTGCCGAAACCCGCCATCTCAAAATCTTCCTCTCTTTTCCTTCTTTCTCTTACTTATAAACGCGTTTTTACGAAAAAAGATCCAAGCTAGAAAATCTCTTCAGCACGTAGTACGGAGCTCAAGTGCACACTCGCAGCATAAGACGGTTAAATATTAACTCAATCTTTCATATTTGTAGACGATCACAATGGGCGCGCGCATCGTCGATCTTTTTCAAAACGTGCACATATAGCGATGGCCCGGCTGCGACTTGGAGAAAAAGAAACGAGTCCATGTTTGAACAGTGATGATTCTCCCGCTCAACAGGGAGAAGTGGCGACTCTTGAAATTTTATGAGAACGCGTAAATATTGAGTTGGAAGACATTCAATGAACCGCTATCGTAATTTATGAACTCATTCTATCTGTGTAATTTTTTCATAGATGGAAAATGCGAGGTTGAGATGCAATCTTATCAGAATTTCTTATCGACTTGAAACTCCGTGAAATCAACTGTAAACTCTTGATTGGAAATCATTGATAGCGCCACCACTGGTGCAGCTAAATTATCAATATAAAAGACTGGTCAATTTTTGTTTATCCATGAAATGAAACTTTTATCATAGTTAGCTCTACAGCTTTATGACATTGTTTTTCTTTATTGCAAATATGCTATGCTATTTCTCTATTTCTATATCCTTATTCAGAATAATTTATTCTGCAAGAAAAACAAAGAACCAAGAATAAGAAAAATAAAATTTTATTTACAAATGATCAAAATAATCGTATCTAGACTTTCCGCCTTAGATATTATATAAGAGTTATATGTGCAGAAAGCATGTTAATTGATTTTCGGAGTAGCGTTCTTCTCTGAAGCCAGTTGAGCTTGTCGTTCTCGCTCTCGTTCGATCTCCTTTTCGACGATGCTGACAGCGGCGAGTTGTCGAATGTTCATGACTGGAATGACGGCTTCGGTGTCGACGTCCACCTCGTCGGTTTTGATCAGGTCGACGACGTGGGGCGCTTTGACGCTCTTGGAAGAAGTGGACTTCTTCGCGGAGTTGGACTTTTGGCTCTCGTCGGAGCGGCTTTCAGTCAGCGCGTTGAAAGACAAGTGATCAGCAATCATGTCGGTGACCTTTTGAAACTGTTAAATTTTTGATAAAACAGGAGACTTTTACCTTAGCTTCCATGCCAGAGATGTACATGAGCAGACTCTGAGGATCAACTCCAGCAGCGTCGCTTCCAAGTCGCGACTCAATTTCCTTCTTGTCGCATTCCAAGAAGTTGAAAATATCCAAAATCGTCGAGCTGATCTTGGAGACTTCTTTTGAGAATCGTCGGCAGCGTTGGCCGTGTTCTCGATGGACGCCTTGATTCCGTCTCGGTCGAGCTTGAGCGCGTTCAGTTGTCGCTGAGACTCTTCGACAGATCGGTCGGAAGCGGCGGTAAGGGCGGCGACTTCCTGCTTGATGAGCTTGATCTTGTCCTCGGTCTCTTGCAGCTGATTCGTCATCTCGTTGATGACTAGAAATAACATTGAGAAACAACAAAGATAAGGTAGGACTTACAGTTGAATTTGGCGTAGTTGGCCTCCTCCATCTTCAAGTAATGCTCGACGATGCCCTCGAAGGAATTAGCTCCGGTGAGCTCTTGAACCTCCTTGATCGCATTCTGATATTCGTTCAGCGTCTTCTCCGCGGAAGCTTCAAACTTGTTCTGCGCAGCGGCTCGGCGGCTCTGCGCAAGCGCCTCAGCCTGGGCAGATCGGTCCTTCGACTTGGTGACGAGGAAATCTTTCACAGAAGTGTCGTGGTCGATGTGTCGGAGAAGCTCTCGCAACTCGTTCATGTTTTGAGCGTTGTTCTTGGACTCACGCTCGCTGACGGCTGCCATTTTGGAGTTGGCATCGTCCGTTTGATCGAAAGCGATCATCGACTTCTCAGTCAAGCTTCGCTGCTCATTCTGAAGAAAATTTGAAGCCACTTTTTTCAGAATTAAAATTTTACCTTAGCAGAGTTGAGCTGGGACTTGTATCGTTTGTACTGGGTATTGAACTTCTTTCGCTCCTTTCGCAAGTGATCAATACCCTCTCGAAGCCGGTTGTTCTCGGCGGTAAGCTCGTTGTACTCCACGGTAGTCTTGTGGAGTCGATCTTCGAGGCACTTGATGGAATGCGTCGTCTGCTGCTGCTTGATATGAGAGTTGTTGATTCCGCCAATCTCCTTGCGCTTTTGGGTCGTGGCTTTTTCAACACGGTCCAGTTCATCTTCGACAGCGCGAATTCTGAAATAATTATTGCCAATCCGTCTCTAGAACGGATTCTTGTTTACCTTTGCTTTTCATTTTCAATTTGTTCGTCAACAGTGTCCTGTCCTCGGACGAGTTCCCGGAGCTTTTCAATATTTCGCAAGTCAGCTTTACGATGCTACAAAATCGGTCTATTTCTTGTTGATTTTGAAAGTAGAATTTACCGATTTGGAGTTCAAGAGATTAGCCGTTGTCTGGAGCTCCTCGAATTCCTTGTAGAGGCGGGATTTTTCCTTCTCGAGGCTGTTGCTCGCGATATTGTAATAAACGTCCGCGAAGGATCGATTCTTGGCTTCCTTCTTGATCGCATAAGCTGACTTGATAAGCTCCTGGTAGTTAGCTTCTTCCTCATCCTCAGACTCGGAATATTGCTGAACAGAAAAGTTTGCTTTGGGAACAGAATGAGTGAACTTACGTCAGAAACTTTTCGCTGCCGTCGAAGATGTCGTTCCTTGGTCGCATGCTCGACGATATTCTTGATTTTATCTTCCATCTTGAACATCTTCTTGTTCGTTGTCCATTTGAACACCATCTTGCGTTGCGCTAATATCAAAATTGATCATTCCCTTATTCTGAAGTTTTTGTCTTACCCTTGGACGAGCTCCTTGTAAACTGAAGAGTTGATGCTCGAAAACATAAATTTTGGACGATGTTCTAGAAACATTTTTGTTAAAAAATAAGATAATTTATCATTTTCAAAGTCAAAAATTTTCAAGCAGAAGGTGAAGAGTTATTTCGACCAGGATAGCCATGGTTTTTTGTCGGTTTTGGAACTCTGGAAGAGATGCGAACTAACGTAGCCAACGCCACCGGCAACTGCGCCATAAGTTGCGACTGCACCGGTTGCAGCTGCAGACTGGGCACCAGCGACTTTAATCAATGTTTCTTATAAGTATTCTCTCTTTTCCAATGCTTACATGCTGACCCAGCTGCGACGCATCCAATGCCGGATTGAACTGCAGCGGCGAAACTGCCAGCCGCGACACCGCCGGCAGTGAAACCGATTCCTGCCATGACGACTGGAGCAGCAACCATTCCACCGACAACAGCAAGTGAGCCTTTTGCGGCTTTATCGGCGTACCAGTTGTCCGAAAATTTCATTTTCTCTTTTGCGAGTGAGTTGCCAATGCAAATAAAAAATGAGATCTCGCTCGAGAATCAGTGAGCACGAATGCATTTTCACGGGGCGCGCCTTTTACATCAGCCAATTGAATAGGCACCCGAGCAATAATTGAAATTCTTGAGAGAATACTCAGAAATTTACATCAGAATAGCTTTCATTTGACGACTTTTATTAGTTTAAAATTTAAACAAGGGAAATTTATTTCCAAAAACCCCACAAGTTGGAGATTCCATAGGAAGTTCCACCGACGACCGCGCCGTAGGTTGCAACTGCGCCAGTTGCGGCTGCAGATTGCGCAGCAGCGACTGAAAAAAATATTGGTGAACTGTTTGTCTTGCTTACAAGTGGATCCCGCTGCAACGCATCCAATGCCCGACTGGATTCCAGCGGCGATGCTACCTGCCGTGACGCCAGCAGCAGTGAACCCAACGGCTCCCATGGCGACCTGGGCTCGGCAAACTGAGCTGTGTAAAAACCTGTCACAGGTCATGTTTCCTGTTTTTGGGGAACCTGTCTGAGTACCTGTGTAAAATCGGGTTATAATTTGGGCCTGTCCTGTGTACCTGTGTAAAATTGGGGAAAAAATTTACTTTAGCTGTCCCTGTTCCTGTTTCTGTCTGAAACAGGCCTGTGTTTCCCGCTCAGGTCCTGACCGTAGACAGGTTTCTGTGTAACCAGGTCAGGAACCGCATAAGTCAGGGAAAATGTTCAAAGAAATCAATAGCGAAAGACGCAAAAAAGAGTTCAACAATCAAAATAACCGATAAATTCGCGTCTTTTTGTTTCTTTGTAATATTTTTTTCTCAGAAAGATCCTGTTTTTTGTCCTTTTACAGGGCCTGTTTCCTGTTTTCTGACCTGCTCAGACCTGTTCAGGCAGGCCCTGACCTGTGTAACCTGTTTGATAAGCTGTGTAAAAAAACCTGTCTGAGTACCTGTCTAAAATCAGGGTATTTTTGCTTCCTGACCTGTGTACCTGTGTAAAATATGGGACAGAAATTTTTTTTCCTGTTCCTGTGTCTGTTCCTGACACAGTTTGCCGAGCCCAGATGGCGACTGGGGCAGCGACCATTCCACCCACAGCAGCGGCTGTGCCTTTCGCAGCTTTATCTAGCCACCAATTATCGAACCAACTTGGCATTTTCTCTTCCGAACCGGTTATCTTAAAAGAGTCAAAGGCAATAGCTTTAAAATAATGGCATCGTTATTTCCAAAAAGCTCTAAAATGACACATCGTCCACCAACACCTGCTGAAGCCTGTGTCAAGGTAGAAAATCATCTTAAAATAACAACGCGAGGAAAAGCTTCTCTCGGCAATGCTTCAGATTTGAAATCTGAGATTTCGGATAAAATTTTAAGATAGCAACGGAGGTGAAACCAAATATCAGCTTGCATGCGCTTTATTCATGCTCAGTGCTTAGGTCCAGTAGTTTTCACTTTCACTGAAAGTCTTTTAGGCAACAATGTTATCGTATTCATACCGACTAGCAGACCATAAAATCGATAGAAGGAAACGTAACTAATCAATAGTAGCTCAATTTTCATTCGAAAGAGAATTTTCTAAAAAATGGGTGCCATTATTAGCGATTTGCGCTACGAAAACGGGATCGAAGGAGTAACACAAGTTGTCACTTTTAAAATAACCGTCGAAAACAATGGAGTCTCGCAAAACTCCTGGACTATTCCAGCCTCAGCGGGTTTCAAAGGCTTCGACGCAGCATTTGACCTTGTTTACAGAAAAAATGACTTTGAGCTGATCATCAAAAAGAAGGAAAGCAAAATGGAGTTTCTTCTCGACACGCAGACAACTGACAATCAAATCGAAGTTACTCTTGGTTTCATAACCTGCAAGCCAGTTCTGATATCGCCTGGGTTTATTCCAGGAGTGTGGTTCACAGAAGAACTGAAAAATCGAATCAAAAAGGGGCGAATCTTCATGGAACAAACATACCAGCCATTAGAAGTCAAAAATCAACGTAAAAATTCATTACTTGATTTGAAAAAAATTATAACGCTTTATTCAGTGAATATTCATAAATTCGACGCGATGTTGAAAATAATGCTCGTCGACGAGAGTTGCTTGAAAATCTTCATCAACGGAAGTCATACAATTTTCCAGCTCAAGACGAAAATCGAACGCCAACTTGTCCACAAAGGGCATCAAAAGATAGAGGCAAGAAACCAACGACTAATCTTCAGAGGACAAGTTCTTTTCGACGACACAAGGGAGCTGCGGACTATTGCTGGACTCAAATACGGGCAGATTCTTCATCTTGTTCAAAGATTCGAGGGAGCAGAACAAAACCAGCAAGAAGCAGCTGACAATTTGCAAACGAGGGCGTTATTTGGTGCTTTATCCTCGGGTTCTCAAATATTTGTCCATCATTGCTGTAATATTTCTTCTCTAAAATATCGATAAGATATCGAAATGGAAACCCGAGAGTTAGATGGAAAGATCAGAGATACAGAGATCTTCCTCAGAAATATGACCGAATCAATTCAAACCGCACAGCGAGAAAGTGATCCAAGAGCAAGAAATTACTACAACTCTCCTGAATTCGAGCCTGATGTTGGAGACTATAATATCGGAAAACTTTTTGGTAGCGCTTTTTCTCGCCTCGTTTTTTAGCTTTTTAGATACTCTGGGGACGAATATGATCTTGTGGTCATCTCAGCTCCATAAATTCGGAACTTTGCTTGAAGAAGATGAAAAATTTCCACGAGAAAATGAGCGAGCTATCAACAGACAAAAATTCATCATTCAGAATAATGTCAATACTGCCAGGTAAACAATCAGACATACCTTCCATAATCCTCTTTGAAGATATGCTGCGCCGCTTTTGAAACATGTCACAGAATTCGTGATCCCTTCTGCTGAGAGTACCCGTGGCTACGAAATCCGAAACAACTCAAGAAGTCAACAAGATTGAAATGTTTGAAACTGTATTTAGAAAAGAAAAAATAAAGCTGAAAAGATATCGAATCACGTGGATTTTTTAAGAAGACATTGCAAGTCGCTGGGTGCACTGGTGTATCAGCATAGTTTTCATGCCTAAATTTGGTTGATGAAGTGATCTTTCCGAAGGATTTTCTTACGTTTTGGTTTGTTTCGTTGAATAGGGCGATGGTCGTCTCGGATGTCTTCAATGATTTCTCTTGAGACTTTGGCGTTTTTGTCTTCGAACAGAAGCTGTGAATGTTCAATTATTTCCTCGACTGATGAAGCAGTACTTACATTCATGAAATGGTGGCAGTTGACTACTTGTTTCTCTATCGCGAAATTACCAAGACCATCAATGACGTCTACGATTGAAGATGCCTTCGCTAGTTGATTTGCTCGTAGATTGAAGAGAGTGATTCCAACGCGGAACAAAACTGTATCGCCTTCAAATAACAGACAATCCCAGATTCTCAGCGTCGTCTTGATTAAGATTGCAAACATTATTTTCCCGATCCGTTAGTACCTGTATCGGCAAAACATCAATATACAAGCAAATGAACCACTTGGCCGTGACGAGATCCCACTGATCATCATGACCATCGCCAGTTCCTAATATTCTGTCTTTCACGAGATCTCCAAGAACAGAACAGTCTCGAGTAATCCCCGTCAGTTTCTGGCAGAAATAATCTTCGGGGAGAATTTCCTAAGGGAAAGTTAGACGTCCAAATAGCGTAGGGCAATATATACTTTACTTCAATTAGACAAACAAGAAGCCAGAATGCCTTTTCTTCCTCTCTGACGACCAGAACGATCAGGCCGGCGATGTAGTTCATTCCTTGGCAATAGCCAATTTCTTTGTTGTATTCTGAAACACTGAGTTTTTGGGCTTCGGAATTGGCTCTACCTGCAAAGGCCACGAGAACATTATAAAGTTTCTTCCTATCTTCCTTGCCGTCTTTGAAAAACTTATTGTCAGGGAAGGTTCGATGAATGTCGAGCTCGATCTGCTCGAGGGTTTTGAAATCTTTGTCCACCCGCGTGAGTAGATCTTGGTAGAGGCCGAGTGAATTCTCCATACGACTCTGGGCATTTGTCAACTGCATCCAAACTTTAGCGCGATATTTGTGGGGCACACCTGTTTGTAGGAAATGAAATATTTATATTCTCTTGAGTGGTTTTTACCTTTTCTGACGAATCTTTTTAGCTTTGGAGATTTTTCATCTGGAGAGACTGTATGAATTTTGAGAAGAGCATTCCAGCGCTTGAGTCGGCGCTGTCTTACTGGTTGGTAGTATTTCTCGAATTGGCGGTAGATTTGGTTATCTTTCAATTGGTTCATTTCGAATTCATAAAAAAGTCTTCCTTGATTTCAATCTACGATAAAATTGACCCAATCCTGGCAGCTCAAAGCCGATTTTCTCCTCGTGACTACTAGCCCTGATGCCATGTTTCATCAAATCTTTACTTCTCTAGTCGTGCGGAAAACGCAGAAATCTTTATACAGGCGTTTTTCTAGGCAGTATTTTTACTGATAGTCTGAAAGCAGCTTGATCGCCGGACAGCTTGTCGGAAGAAATGGGCGCTAGTGAGCGATTTTCGTGACCACAAGATTTTCAGCCAATCAGTATATTATCGATGCCGTGGTAAAACCGAATCAGATAAGGTTGATTAAGAATTTCGCTGATGAGACAACTGCCTTCCAGATTTGTCCAAGAGCAGAAAACGTGGAATTGACTCAGCACCGCCATAGTTCATGGCCCCGAGTTGAAAGAAAGTGGTATCGCCGACGCAATATCGCGCAACCAACAGGTTAGCCACGCCTGTGGAAATGACCGTGACCATGGGCAGAAAACCACCTCGAATTAAAGCTGGCTTTGCCCAGGAATCTGTGTTTTTGCAGAGCGAGGCTTTTCCAGTCAGACACGTTTTTCTCGAGCAGAGTTCAAGCAAGGTTATCCGGGCTCGGCAACCTGTGTAGAAAACCTGAGTCAGGTTCAGAGATAACTCAATCGAACAGCCGAAGTGCGGCTATTTTAAAAACGAAGCCGCAAAGCGGCTTCGCAAATTTACTATTCGAATGAATAATCAAATCCTGGCGATTCCTGACTCAGGTTTTCTACACAGGCTGGCGAGCCCAGCTATAAATGGAAATTGAAATCACTGAACGCCGATTCTGCACTTTTTAGTTCGCCATTTTGGTTTTTAAAAGTTCAAATTAACCTCATTCTGGTCTCCGCTAAACAAAAAATTAAAAGCGTGAATAGAAAAACGCTGTTCTGAACTGGCCGATGCAATTTTTGGTTTCACGGCGATTTTGTTTTCACCATTGCGACATCGCCTTCAAGATATGCGCTTTATTAATGAAGTTTCACAGTGGTAGAGTGGATTTCAAGCATAAACATACAGTAACGCTTTAGTTGGAGGGTTGGGCTAATTGATCGGATTAGTGGGGTTATCTTTTCTCAAAGCATTCCATGAACTCTTGCTCACTTTCTCAAGAATTGCATCATTGCCTCGCTCTTGGAAACCTTCGGCAATCAATGAAGAGGACTTCGATAGCTGATATACGCCAGAAAAACCCTTTTTCAATAGGTTTTTAGTTGCTGGAGGAGGAGAATAGCCTTGAGGAACGTGTTTGGAGTCAAAACAAAGACAGACAGTTGATCTATGCAAACGTAAACGTAATTACAATCAAAAGAAGCGTCCCTAGCTGGGATCGAACCAGCAACCTCTCGATTAACAGTCGAACGCGCTAACCAATTGCGCCATAGAGACCTGTTGGTCGGTGATTTACCGGTAAGCTATGTTTCTAAAAAATTTTTCTAGATTTTCCATAAAACCTTCTAGATCGAGTCTCAACGATCAATAGAGCTTTATTTTTCTTTGCAAATGCAGTGTAGCATAGAGAATTTAGACGTTCCACTGTCTTGAAAATCTAAATTTCATTTTTTTGTAATTAAGAAATGGATAACGAGTTCGAAGATACCGGAAAGGGCCGCTACGAGACTGATATTTTATGCGACATGCTGAACGAGGGATTGGAAAATGTATTCAAGAGGGAGCGAGAGGCCGCATTCAAAAAATTAAGAATGTTCTAGGAAAGTGCTAAATTATAATAATTCATGATTGAACTATGTATAAATTATGCAGTATTATTTGGCACATTATCAGGAAACAATCGCAAACTGAAGCGTGCCGCCTTCAAAAGATGCACTTTAAGAAAAAGGCTTTTGAGGAGATGTTCTAATAAAATAAGTTTAAAACTTTAACTATAAAAATAGGGATAAGCCAATTAACCTAATTCTAAATTATATAAATATCTAGGGTAAATCACTAATAATTCGCCTTTTTTCAGGGCTTACTAAGGGGGATATATGATACATTTTTAGAAAGCCCAGAACCTGGGGATCATTTTGACTATTGACACCAGGGGGTAATTTCGTACCCCGAGGCCATTAAGGTACCTCCGAAGTCAGAAAATCTGGCCACTTTCGGAAATTCGAATTTTCAGCCGCCCAGACCGCCCTTTTAGAACCAACGGCAATGCTAGAATTGTAGCCCAGGCTCTGACGGTCATTTTGGGGTCGAAAAGTACTGATTACCCCCTTCCTGAGGCGCTAGAGACCCCGAAGTTGGGAAATTGACCGAAAATAGGTACTTTTCTTCAAAAGTACATATTTTCCTCATTTATGCTTCCAAAATGCTTGTAATAAGTTGTTTTCTACATTTTGAGGCAGGAGACACAGTTTGGGGTCACCCGAGGTCATTTTAGGACACAAATTCAAATTTCAAGCATATTTCATAATCTTCACCTCAAATGACCTCGGGTGACCCCAAACTGTGTCTTCTGTCTCAAAATGTAGAAAACAACTTATTACAAGCATTTTGGAAGATAAATGAGGAAAATATGTACTTTTGAAGAAAAGTACCTATTTTCGGTCAATTTCCCAACTTCGGGGTCTCTAGCGCCTCAGGAAGGGGGTAATCAGTACTTTTCGACCCCCAAAATGACCGTCAGAGCCTGGGCTACAATTCTAGCATTGCCGTTGGTTCTAAAAGGGCGGTCTGGGCGGCCGAAAATTCGAATTTCCGAAAGTGGCCAGATTTTCTGACTTCGGAGGTACCTTAATGGCCTCGGGGTACGAAATTACCCCTGGTATCAATAGTCAAAATGATCCCCAGGTTCTGGGCTTTCTAAAAATGTATCATATATCCCCCTTACTAAGCCCTGAAAAAGGCGAAATATTAGTGATTTACCCTATAAATATCTTATTTTCTGAACAAAATACAGAAACTCGTCGAAGAAGAAAAAAGACTTATAAAGAACTAGACAGTATTGGAAAAAGGACCGGTTGAAGTTTGATCGAAAGTTGAAATTTTTGAACTGACCAAAGAGTTCTATGAGCAACCGACAAAAGCATGAACGCATGTAACACACCAACTTACTACAAAGGTCTAACTATCGACGTCTGTCACGATGAAGGGGCCTGGCATTGCTACGAGGGGGACTACAAAGGTAAAGCTTTACTCATTCTTTAGTAACTAACGCAATTGTTCAGAGACTGAAGAGAAAAGGGAACGATTGTGGGACAAGATGTGCGACCTTATTTATGAACTTCAGGGATTGACTTAAATATTTGAATTATAACTTATAATCTGATCGTTATTTATTAGTTTAAATATTAACATTAGTTTTAACTATCAAATTGTCGAATAAGTAAGTTTACAAAGCAATTCAATGGCGATGACGAGCGAACCAATTTGGAATAAATATCTTTCTTTTTATCAAAGATGTGTCTGCCAAGTTATTAAAAATTTCTCTAGAAATAAAGTATTTCCTCGCCATTTGTTATGATCACTTCCTTTTTGAGAATTTCAGACCTGCAATGAAATTACTGCATATTTTCTTACTTTTCTCACACACGCAAGCAAATGCAAAAAGAAAAGAGTCAAAACCAACGCCGAAAACCAAGGAGAAACAAAATGATGAAATCAAAAATAAGAACGCAGAGCATTTCGAAGTATTCCAAGCAGAAACCACTTCAGCAAAAGAAAAACGCGAAAAATTACTGAATGTAAGTCTTCTTCCTTTCAACCGATAGTGAGGAATCTGTTTTAGAGCTTAGATGAGTCAATAAGTGCGCTAGAAAAATTCAAAAATACGAAGATCGTGAATCTCGATTCTCGCGAAAATGCAATACGGGGATATTGCGACGGATTCAACTTTGAAAATGCGATTGAAATATCTTCCAAACGTTAGTCAACGACCTCCATTCAAACTCTCACCAATAACTTCAGATCAAGACAAAGAATTGAAGAAGAAACTGAGTGATACGCAAAATCTATGCAGACATACTCTCGATTTTATAAAAACAGAGCAGATGGGCCTCCGCCTTGTCCAAATGAAAGACCATGGCAAACTTTTACTCGAACTTATAAAGGTAAAATCAACGATAAAACTCAACTACTGTAAAAGCCGTTTAGGACAAAAATGTTGTGGCACACTGTGATCGAGCTACAGTTCTTGGCAAATATACGAAGATAATAAACGATGTTGATGATTTATTCGTCGATATTTCCGCGAAAGAGTACTGGAAGAAGAAATTCAAAGCGGATTTTATCGAAAGCGAGCTAGCAAAAGCTGTGAATGTTCTCAGCGAAGCTTCGTAAGTAAAGTTCTCTAGAAAATTTGCCAACGATCTTTAGGATGTTCTTCATCACAAAAAAGTGCGAAAACGTCGACAGCAATCTTCTAGCAGAAAACGTCCTGCAGTTGAAAAACAAGTACACGAGCATCAAGATAATTGCAGACATGGAAGAATACGAATATTTTGAAAACATCGCGGATGATTTCAATCAAAATACATTCACCATTGAGTTCGATCAAAAAAGGCTCGTGTACGGCGGAATCATTCTAGGAGTGGTTCTTCTGTTCTTGTTTTTGGGATGCAGAGGCAAGGATGAAACGATCATCGTTGTCAATCCAAGAGCTGGTCCGCAGAAGTCGTCTTTCTCGCGATGGGTGAACGAGAAGTCCTGGGAAATTCCGCTGCGGCTTCGGATCGCTCACGAGAAGATAGTCACTGGAATCGGCAATTTGTTCGCAAAGGAAGAAGACGTGACCGTGCCAAAAGTATCAGCTCAGCCGTCTCGTGAATCCTTCCTCGGCTCTGCTAGAAGCACACTGGCAAAGGCATACGACAACAGTGTCTACTTTACCGAGGGTTTCAAAAAACTCTACCGAAAAAGAATGAACAGCAAGTTCGAAAGCGAATACGAACTAATTATTTCCGACAGCGAGGAATCTATTTACGGCCTCCGAATTCCCACTTCAGGTGAGAAAATCAAAATATCAAGTTCAAAAATCACGCTTTCCCTCAATCAGGTGATTCTTCCGATTTTTCCGACGAAGATGAAATTTTCTCTCGGCCAGAGTCTCAATCTCCTGAGCGGCGATACATGGAGAAAATTCAAGCTCTTGAAGATTCAGCCACCTCACTTTTGAGTGGAATAAAGATTCCCAAATATGAAGCGACAAACAGAGAATGTCACTTTCCAGCAAAGAAGAAATCAACTCCGTCGAGGATCCCAGTTCGAACAAAGCGCACAACGTAAGTTTTATCGAATCCCTTTTATGAACGAAATTCTAGCTCTCTGGATAAGCAAGACTCTGCCCTGGGCTCAGTAACCTGTGTAGATGACCTGAGTCAGGGTTTGAATGATCTCTACTGAAAAGCCGCGTAGCGGCTTTTTCTAAAACGAAGCCGCGAAGCGGCTTCCCAAATTTACCCTTCTACTCAATTTTAAATTTCTGGGAAACCACTTTGCCTTTCTGACCCTGACTCAGGTTTTCTACACAGGTTGCCGAACCCAGACACTGCCCCGTCCATCTCCGCCGCCAGTTCAGCTCCGATGATATTTGAGCAAAGCTACAACAGCAGCTAAACAACAGTGAAACAGTACTTCTGTATATCATCAATTCTGCCTTTATCCCAAACGCACAATAAACTTGTATTTTATAATTGAAAGCAAGTACACTTGAGTAGGCCTTACAATTCAATGGCAAAAGTGTGCGGCGAACAATTGCTTGGATCCGAAAAATACACTTGAGCTTTTTCGGAAATCGTTGAAGGAAATTCGAATAAGAAGTTAATTTGAAGCTCAATTCTCCTTGCGCTAGAAAGAAAAGGGGTTCGAATCAATGAATCATCAAAATTTCAAATTTAGCACTTTTAACAAGTGCATAAACTTGGGCTCGAAAATGAGTCAAACAGACTTGAGAGTGTTAATGTATCTGCCTTATCCGCTAGCTACGTGTTAGGGAGCACGGTCAGCTGTCCAATGATAAAGGCCCCGTCGCCTCCCGCCAAGTTTAATCCCCTCTTTTTCTTAAAATTTTTAAAGAGTTATTAATTGCAATCAGAAAGAAAGAAAAAAATTGAATAAAGAAAAATGAGCTTTACAATTGACTTGAATGGTGGTGCTCCTTGGGGCTTCGGAATTACTGGCGGAGTTGATCGAAATCAACCACTTACTGTCTCCAAGGTAAGAGATGGGCTCAGCAGTCTGTGTAGAAAACCTGAGTCAGGGTCTGAAAGATCTTAAATGAAAAGCCGCGTAGAATTTCCAATATATTTCTGAAATTTTGGCAAAGCCGCTTTGCGGCTTCGTTTTTTAAAAAGCCGCTAAGCGGCTTTTTATTGAAGATCTTTCAGACCCTGACTCAGGTTTTCTACACTGGTTGCCGAGCCCAGGAAGAAACTTTTTAAGAAACAAGAAAACTTGTATTTATGATTAATTTTTGTGGTCGCTAAACAAGGTCGTTTTCTTGAAAGTACAAAAAATGATTAGGTTGACAGCTGTGTATTACAAGAAAAGAAAAAAGCGACTCGTCATGCTCTGAAAAGTATGATTCAGGGTCTTCAGACTTTTTGACTTTTGTCATCAGAAATTTAGATTGATGCTCACTTTGTTCTAACAGCAGGGCGATTTGGTCATTATACGGCCTAATTACCACTATCCATCCAAAACTTTGATCTTTACCGGAAAGCAAGAACCGGAAGGCAATCTTGATCATCCGACTTAGATTGATTTACTAGTTGCTTCGTTTTTATATACGAGCGCCCGTCAAAATCATAAATATTCCTTTGCTCTTCTTTTCTGAAAGTTGTGAAAAAAACGAGCGTTTTTACAGCGGCAATTAGTCGGAATTCTTCACCGAAATAACTCATAAATGGCTATTAAACTAAGCTGTTAAAACTCAGCTTGCTGGGCTTGTTGATTTAGCTATTTTAGGTGTCGCCCGGAGGGAAAGCCTCGGCAGCTGGCATGAGGGTCGACTTGGCGATATTGGCGATCAATGGTACCCGCACTGATAATATGAAGCTTCAAGATGCCACACAGTTCATCAAAGAATGTGGACGAAATGGATACTTACAGTTAACATGCAGCAATCAGTAAGTTGCTCAATTTCGCGCCCCGAGCTGACCTATTTTCATGTCCCCGCTAAATCCGACTTTTCGGAATACGCTCAAATTTTGTCTCAAAATTTCAAACTCAAAAACTCAAAAACGCACCAAAAGATGTTTCTCCAAAAAGTGTCTCATCGTCAATACCCACTTCCTTATAGAGCCCATTTGCGGAAATCAGAAGATCTCAACACGATTTTGGGCAATATCTCGACAATTCCTTCAATGTACCGCGAAGAAAACGAGTTAGTTCTTTTGCCAATTTGAAATTTGAAATTTCTTAACTTACAAGTTTTGAATTTTAACTCCTTACCAACTAGCGCCTCAACCGAAAGATAAAAACCACCAGGTGCTACTATCTTATCCTGGGCTCGGCTACATGAATGTAATTCGACTAATTTCAAATTCGGAGGAGTTCCATCCCGACGAAATAATCTGACGTGTAGGAGTGTTTGATTACCTCCGCCGAGTTAAAACTTTAAAAGTAGCTTCAAGAGCTTCCTTCCTTCAGGCGTTTGTCGCATAGCAACTGTCACACTTTGTGGCAGCCGCAAGAAATCAAATCAACGTGTCTGTCTATTTCTTCTTTTAGGCAGACTCTGGATCTTCGTCCACTCGACTTGGGCGAGTTCAAAGGAATCACGCATTCTCGACTTCCTGATCTAAAATCATTCAATCCAAAACCAACTCCACAACGTGCCGCTCAAGCCCAACCTGAGCCCGTCTACAAGCCAGAACCTGTCTACCAGCCAGAGCCAAGAGTCTACCAACAGGAGCCAGTCTATCAACAGGAGATTTACGAAGAGCCAGAATCTTTGGTAGGCCTTATCTTTATTTGGCCTCCTTTTACGCCCAGCTGACCTTTTCAACGAAATTTATAGAGTGACCCATCATTATCTGCTTCGATAAAGCCAGTTTAAAGTGGTCAATTGGGATCCTTTGAAATTCTGAGAGGGCTCCTTAGCCGTGTCTTTTTTTCGCAAGCGCTTCGGGCCTGGTTCAAGGCGAAAATAAGAAATACAGGAATAGAATAAATAAGAGTAAAGTCAGACAAAATCAGGCATGAGTGACTGAACACACTGAAAAATAGGGGTGAATAGCAACGTTGGATCCGAAAATCGTGACGTGAGACTACTAGCGCTGCGGCGGCTAGCGCTGCTCAGCGCTATCCACGCTCAGCGCGCTCAACTGCGCTCAGAACTCTCTCTTTGAACGCGGTATATATTTTTTGCGCCTTCCTTGCGCGTCCCCGACCGCTATAAACTAAACTTACCGCGAGCACAGACACAACAGGCACTGTCAGATTAGAACAACGCTCTTAAAGAGAGATCGCCCGAAGGAAAACACTAGAGCACCGAAAACATGATCTCCCGTCAGCCAAAAAGCTTCAATGCAACTCCCAAACCATTTCCCGGTTTTCAGAGCTCGACTGCAGCAGCTCCCGTCGTCGCTCCCAAATCCGTGAAGCCTCCGTCGCCCGTGCAGAAGAGACCAGGTACGCTAACTTATTACTTAGCTTAGTGATAATCCAAATTCTAACAAAAGGTCAAGCACGTTATGGTGGGTAAACTTGCGCCGCAGGATTTACGTTCAGCTTTGTTCTTTGTAATTTTTAATTAGCGCGCGCTCAATTATCTAGCACTAAGTCTAAACAGCTAAGTACATCTTTACGAAAACGATAATTCCTTCATTCAGACGTCGCTTCTTTCCAAACCAGCACACCATCCTTCACGCCGAAGCCAGTTTCAGCGCCGACAACAAAGCCCGTCTCGGTGAACGTCGCGACTTATGATCCAGCTGCTCCTCCAGCTCAAGTGAGCCGAGCTCCCGCTACAGCAAGCACTCGCAAGTCGCCACAGCCCCCGGCACAGCAGTACCACGATTTGAATAATCCGCAGAAGGAAGGTGTTCTCCGCTTGCCAACCGTCAACTTTCCCAAGCCAAAAGTACAAACCCCACCTTTTTGTCCTTTTTTCACTTTAATCATTTTCAGCCATTGGATGCAAAATCATCGGCTCTTGGAAACATTTCCTCCTTCATGAACAAACAGACAAAGCCAGCAGGTGGGCCACCATCAGCCCTTGGCCGACCAGAATTCATCGCACCCCTGGTTGACAAAGAATTTCCCCTTGGCGAGCCGGCAGTACTCGAAGTACGCGTCACTGGTGCACAGCCACTTACTGTCCAGTGGTATCACAACAATCAGCCCGTTCGTGAGAGCATCGAGCGAGACATTCGACTCTTACAAAAAGGTATTTATACGTCCAACGATAGGCATTGGATAATAAGCTAGAGGACTACGTAGAATGCAGATAGTCAGCTTTACGTTCTTTCTTATCTTCTCTTGGGAACGCAGGGAGCAGAACTTCTTATCAGTGCGCTTTAGTCAGTGATTTTATTTCCGGCATCAATCAAGTTGATTATGTGACAAGCTTTAGCGAAGTACGATGACGTTTACTTTTTGATTGCGTGATGAAAAGCGCGAATTTAGGGTAGCGAGATCAAATTTTATCAACGAATTTTCTCCGAACTTTTTGAATTATTGAATTGTTGAATTCAATTTTGATGATGAATGAAAAGAAGAAAATTTGAATTGAAAATGACAAGTATACAAAAAACGGGTAGTAAAGCGGCTTTCCGTTTTTTATCCTCGGACAAATGAATAGATCCCCCACGTGTTTGATTGTTTTGCTCACAGTCGGGAGTCGTCGTTGCTTCCTCGCCTTGTCACAAATTGACCTTCATCAATTGGGCGCAGATTCACAAGGTGCTAATCATGACAGGAAGTGACTTCGTGCTACTACGAGTTGAGGAAGCATAATCATAAAATAGCCGACCAAAAGCATGGCAGTTAATCACCTTCTGCAACGACTACTAATTGCCACATGAGCTTTCATTTGTACGAAGCATTTCAATGATTAATCCAATGATCTGAAAGCTGGGCGCAAAAACATGTGTGGAAAACCTGAGTCAGGTTCTGAACTTCTGAAGACCTTGAAAGAAAAGCCGCGTGGCGGCTTTTTTTTAAAACGAAGACGCGGAGCGGCTTCTCAACTAAATTAAAGGTAACATTCCGAAGCCGCTTCGCGGCTTCGTTTTGAAAAAAGCCGCTACGCGGCTTTTAATTCAAGCTCTTCAGAACCTGGCTAAGGTTTTCCACAGAGGTTGCCGAGCCCAGGCTCTCATTTCAAGAAAGAAGTACATTAGTATCTTCCGAAAACAGAAAGCTTGTCAAGCTTTGACAGGACTAATGAGGGCGATTTTCAGGAAGCCTGACAAAATAATTACTACCAGCTAATAATCAAGCTATTTGCCTTCAAGAGCAAGCTTTCACTTTGATCGTTCAACGGTTGAGCCTCAACCTACTGTCAGATGATCTTGTCCGTCTGATAGAAAGATGGGAAAGATTTATGACGTTGAAAATACTTTTTATAGCGTGATAAAAACTGGCTATTTTCAGGCAACGTTTACACATTGGTTTATGGCGAATTCACATCCCGCGAATTGGGTCGATACACCGTTCATGTTTCCAACGCCCGTGGCACCAATACTTGCTCCTGCACTTTGGTAGAAGGCGGCTACGACGACGACGAAGGCGTCTATCCAACTGCTACTGTAAGTACTCAACAAAATCAGAGCAGGATAAACATAGCAGGAGAGCATGAGAAATTCGACAAGAAAAAGCTTCAGGAAATCCAATAATTCATAATTGTTACGGGGAAGAAAAATGTTGATGAATAACTTATACTCTGCTTCCGAGCTGGTTTATAAGATCCTTTGAAAGCTTTTAGAGGATTATCAAACGTTTTCTTAGACAATCTTTTATTTAGCACGTGCCAAGAAAAGGCATTTCTCTTTTTGTTTCGCAAGTTTTATAACGATCAATAAATGGGCGTCGAATAATTTATAAATTATAATCAAACTAACAAATATAAACTTGAAAACTGCAACTTTCTAGCGACTGGAATCGTCCTTGTAGGCGATAAATGTCACTTGATTCAAAGGTATTGCCGGTCCTATCTTCTCTAATTATTTTTCGCGCCGCCATAAAAAGCATCCTCGGAAGCAGAATCCTCAACAACTGCCATAAATATAAGAAACATGACGAATGGCGCCTAACTCAGCGCAATTTTCGCAACTTTTTTTTTACAACTACGAAACCGGCCGACCCAATTTGCGCCAAACTCCTTTCATCCCTTTTCTCAGTTAATTTTTCAAAAGAAATACAGTAAGACAGAAGAGGAGGTGGATCGATTTTGATTCAATTCGTTCAAACAGATTCCTCTTTGAGCCCTCCTAAGAAAACATCTGAATAATTCACTTGAAAAATAGACAGAAGAAGCCCTCACTCAATCAATAACTTATCGATCAGAACAAACCTTGATTTGAGGATAAATTAGCACTCGATGTTTTTTCAGTCTCCTTGTCTTCTTTAGTACCTTAGGTACAGTTCCAAGTTCGGAAAACTGTGTAGAAAACCTGAGTCAACGAAAACTTGAATCCCTGACTCAGGTTTTCTACACAGGCTGCCGAGAATATTTATCTTAGCTTTCGTAAAATCGACCTTGGAAAAGATCCTCTCAATAATCAGATTCTCGTGATCTAATCCGGGAAAAGCCCAAAAAAATCTGTTTTCCCAGGGTCCCCCAAAGAGAAGATCGATTTCTCCTTCCGTGACTGTAAATTGGTAAAAGGACACCGACACGCTAACAGCGTCGTTTTTTTTCTAAATATGCACCTGTCAAATAATTGATCAGCGAAAATTGCTGCTCTCGAAATTGATGATTCATGCAGCAGAATGAACGGAAAAGGGATGAGACTTGAAACAAGAAAAGCGCGTGGGCAAAATTGATATTCAATTTTAAAGGCGGATAAATTCAAATTCTCAATCTTTTTTTCTTCCTTTCTTTTCGATTTTCATCGAATTCCAAAACGAAGAAGGAGGTGGGGCCACGAGGGGCGCCAAGAGCCGCCATCTCGCGTTTGAAAATTCTGAATGAAAAATTGAATTGAAAATGCTCGAATTCAAATAGAATGGAATAAGCTGCTGGTGGGAAATATACATAAGGATTACAGGTGTTGGGCAAATATTACATCACCTTCCCCATTCACACGAAAAATAGCTGACTAAGCTTTTTTATAATGATAAAATATTTTTCTCTTGAAAATGACTGTAAAAAGACTGAAATGGGCCACAAATTCGGCTCGAAAAATGCGATTTTATGACAAAATAATTATTTTAAAATTCAAATGATTTTCTACTTTTCCAGACCAATTTTAGTTACTCACAGTAACAGTATGACAGTATTGTCCAATTGCAAGTACTGTTGTTACTGGTATTTCCCGCGTGAGTCTCTGCTAGTGCGAGTGAGTGTGGCGCGATTTGGTTTCGCGATGAATTTCTTGAATTTGCGCTCGTCGATTTTCGACTCGCTTCGCGATTGGCTGCGCTGTGTGGGTTGGCCATCAATCGAGCCAATTGGCGCGCGCGCCCGAGTGCGACTATTTGTGCGGTTCGAATTGCCTCGAGTCGACGGTGCCCAGGGCCAGCCAAAACGAGACACAGCAAACCCGGCACACCGAATAGAAAGAAAGAAAAAGCGAGGGCCCCCTCTTAGTCAACTCAACGTTTAGCGAGACACACAAACTCACACACCCGCGAAGAGAAAAAGAGCTTTGTCGAAATTAACAAGAAACAGAGAATAAAAAAGCGAAAACGAAAGGAACGATGCCAAACAGCTGAAGAGAAACGATCAACAGCACAGGCAAACAACTAATGGAGAATAGAACAAATGCGGACTCAAAGGAATGGAGTTTTTAAAGTTTTTTTTCAGGAAAATTTTATAATTTTTGGGACTTTTAATGGTTGATTTTAAGTTATTTTTCGGGAAGAAACATTTTCAAACGAGCCAAAATTACTTTTTTAATAATGTTTTCTCTAAAATTGATACTTTTTTTTATATTTTCGTGCTAAAAATGCACTTTTTTCTTTATATTTTTGATTCGAAAAAGTGCATTTTTTGCTACCAGCTCTCTTTCTTTTTCCCACTTTCAAGGACCCGGATCTATTTTATTATTTGCCCTTTCGAAATATTCAAATAAAATTGCTAAATTCGCCATTTTTTAATGTTGGCTTATTTTCTTTTTCCTGTGATGTAGCTTTGGATTCGCTTGGCTACACAAATACGCTCTCAATAACGAGAGAGCTAATAGAGTAGAAATAAAAAATTTTGCGATCTCATCATTAGTTGTTTTTCAATTTGAAGTCGCTTATTTTTTCAATTTCGCAAATTGTAAATTGCCCTTTCTTCTTCTTTTTTTATGAGTCTAGTAGGGTCTCAAGTTGAGTTACACTCAGAAGCTGCGAAGGAGGCCTCTATCTTTTGTCACTGCTTGCCCTGGGGATCAGGGTTCGACAGAGCAGGTTCGATCAAGCTCATCCAAAGTGATCTAGAATTTTCTTCGAATTTATTTTTGAGATTTTTTATATGAAAAAGCCACTTTTTCTTGCTTTTTCTTTATTTGATTTTGGAGAATGAAGTACAGTCATTACAGTGTTAATCCGTATTGATTCTGTTGTGATTTGATGCTGGATTATTGTCTCAAAGTCTGTTTTTATTTCGCCAGTTGACAGTTTTGGCTTGAGTTGCCCTTTCTCCATTTTTTTTCTTTTGTGAGGTGGTAGCGAGTGGTTCGATCCCGTGACTTACAAGAGAGTGGGGCTGAGCCCCGCCGTTACTCAACGATTTTTATCGCTCTTGATCTCGTGGGACGCTGGCGACGCTCTTTTTCTCGATTTACTCATCCTCGTCTATCGACCCAAGGGACGTCTTTTTTCGATTTTCCATTATTCCTTCTTTTTTTTCTTTTTAATTCGGCGTTATGTATATTTTATTATTCGATACTCTTAGTTACCAGAAGATCAACTGCGTACGTGATAAGAGTTAATTGAGGCCGTCTGCATTATTTTAAAATACTTTTAATCCAGCTTTAATAAGAATTATTTTCTATTCATAAGAAAATTGAATAGATTTACTACGTAGTATTTAGAAACGAAGAATTCAATTTTGAAAACTGCAATGTCAGCATTTTCAAAACGCATTTTCGAGTTCGCATTTTTTTGCGAGTTCATTCTCCTAAGCTACTGCGTATTACGTAGGCATCTCGTGATGCTGCTTCTCCTGCCTGCATGCTTTTTTTTATCTTCGCTCTTTCTTTTTCGCTGGGCCTTGCCACGGGGCGGGCCCGATCGCCAAAGCGACCATCGATCGAGTCCGTGTTTTTTTTCTTTGCTGGTTTGTGCGATATGTGTGTTTCTTTCTATTCTCGGCCGTATGTCGCCAAGGAGAAGATAAAGAAGCACACACAAAGCAGCAAAGAAAGAAAAAGAAATGCCTGGCTTTGTCCTAGCACTGTTTGCCCGTGACTGTTGTTTGCGTAATGTGTATGTGTGCTCAAGACAAAACAGAATAAACGGCGAGCGGCTCGGTTCAGTTTGCTTTAGGGGAATGTATATTTCTGGTGGCGGGCGGAGCCAAGAAAACCAAACCAACTGTGACGCTCATCACTTGGCAAACATGCCCCACGCTTTGAGTTTATTCTTTCGGTTCGTTCTATTCAGTTTTGAAACAGCTTTATTTCAATTCCGAATAGTTGAACTCAAGTCACTTTTGCGGTAGATTTGAAAATTTATCAAGTCAACAATGATAATCCCTCTTGACCCTTATTCTTTGCGTATTTTGACACTTTATTTGCAATATTCAGTTTAAAGAATTCGTCGTTTTTTTGCTAGCTTATTATGAGTTAATCCGAAATGTTAAATAGGCAAAAGAAGAATCCGCTATTTCAAGCGGGACTTTTTCCTGGGCTACCTCACTTCTTTTCTGGCGCTGGCCAGGTCGCGGGTGGCCCAAGGGCGCGCTAGATAATCCGGATTCGGCTCAGAACATTCAGGACGCTCTTGTGAACCCTTTTCTGGCGCGCTTATTTAACGGCTTTTGATCTGCTCTCATCCGGTTTTATTTTTCTTTCAAGTTTTTTAATTCTGTTGTTGCTCCTGAATAATTTTAAAAAGGCTTGACATATTCTTAATTCATTTTTTCATTTATCTTTTTGAGTAAGATCTTCTCAGTAGATCGATTTTAGAGTCAAGTATTCAAACTATCCCTTGGGAATTAATGATTTCGATTCTTTATCATTTAAAAACTCCGAACAGACCCAGTCCGACCATGTGATGTTCTACCCGATGACTTCACTACAGCGTAGTCAAGTGTCCGCACCAGCTCCGTTCCAGTACGTTCAGGCCCGTGGTTACAAAACACACAACAGCACTGTTACTTTTGGCACTCTGGCCATTACTACTACTCCGAATACTGATTCGAGCGTTTTTCAAACTGACTCGTAAAAATAGCAAAAAAAGCGCGCAAATGAGAAAGAAGCTAAATACCATGAGCGATTAGTATTGTTTCTTTTAAATTTACGATCTTGCGATATTTCTAAAAGTCAGAAACCGTCTTAGCCCGCACCCGCTAAATTATAGTTTCAAAAAGATTCGAGATTGGGGCTAGCGGCGGCAGTCCAGTCCATCAAATATAATTGCCTCAGCTCTTTCAGAGTTTTCTGAATTTCAACCCCCGCGGCCAGGGTGCGCCCCGCCATCGCCAATTTTTTTTTCGTGCAACTTGAAAAATCGTGTTTTGTGTAACCATGATCAGGTAATTGGACAAAATGGACCCCAAAACGGCTTGAAATATGTGCTCACTACTGGGCTCAATGGAGGAGCACTCTACAAGCCATTTTCGACGGAGCAGATCGTGCTCAACAAGTCGCCCCGCGTCGCCGTGAAGCAGGTCGCACCGTCGATGACGTCGATAATTGGCCAAAAGGGCTCGCCGCAGACGGCGAAGGCAGTAATCGTGCCCAGCGGGCCCAACGGACTCGTCAACGGTGGCAACATCGTCCTCAACAACAACCAGACGGTGATACGAAAAGAGCCGATTATCCAGCAACATCCGCGAGTGACCCAAGCATCGGTGATCCGCGCACCGTCAACGACGCAGAGCGGCGAAGTCTACGCGACGGCTACTCCCCGCTACGTCATTCCGACGAGCCAACACGCCGGTGGGACCAATGCACAGGTCTTCCAAAGGCAACAGATTGTCTACTACAGTCCATACGCGAGCTCGATATCACGAGAGTCGAACAACAATACCCCACTTGCTCAACAGAAAAACGGATACTACGTCATGGCACCTTCGCTTCAAGCGGTGCCGACTTCAGCGGCGACGGCTGCTTCTACACCGCCAAGTGTGGACGGAGCCTCAACGCTGGACCTAATCGGTACAAAGCGCCAAAAGCCCACAATCATCTCCACCCCACCAAACCGCCACATTCAAGTCAACCCACGATCGCTCAACTACATCCAACCACCAACTAAAATCCCCAAAATAGATAGCTCCGAAGTCAACATCAAAGTAACCAGCACAGAATCAAGCAATCACGTCATCACGTCCAGCAGCGCGAGTAACAACAAACCCTCACTGAATTTCGCCCAGCATGTTTCCGGAAGCAGTAAAACCGTCACTACTGCTGGTACGTTCAAGCTGGGCAGCAGCGAGCCAAGCATAGCGATCCAGACAACGCAGAAGCCCATCACACCAGCACTTTTGCCAACAGCAATTCGTCCAGCAGGAACGAGTTCTATATTTTCTTCTCCGAGAATTTCGCTTCCAGAAAAATGCACTAGTCTTTCTGTAAATTCAAATAAAGAACTCGCAACAGGTCTGACAACAGCAACGGTGGCAATCCCAAAACAAGCGCTTGCGCCCGCGCAACCGAGGAAAAAAGGTCGAGAGCGGAAGCAGCTTCTCCCGCAACCGGCTCCACCAGCACGTGACGATGTAAGCACGGACGAAGCCGATGAGAATCAGGACGAGCCGCATCACCTGGAGAGCAGACACCCAGACGCTCGAATCAAGCTCGAGCAGGAAGTCTACTCGGAGAGGCTGAATCCAGAAGTCTCGTCCAGCGGGCGGTGGCGACGCCCTCGACTCACGTCAACCTCTCAAAACAAACAACCAAGTTACAGACACTTCCTTCGCCTATCTACATCTGAAGTCAACCCTTCCCACTCACGCTTCGCGAGCCCCTCGTCGACAGCACCTTCTACTCCATCAGAAGTGAAGAACTTGGGAAGATCAACGCTAAAACGATTGCACCAAGTTGAAGCATCATTGGGAGACGCTGAAAAAGAAGAAGCTGAAGTGTCCAAGCGATTCGATTCGGTCATTCAAAAGGAACGGGATATTCCTCCGCCAGGCAGAAACTTGTGAACTCAGTATTTATTTAATGACAGAGACTGATGAAATTCAATATTTGCCCGCACGCCTTGTGAAAAGCAAATTCCGCTAAAATCAGTTTCTTTTTTGTTCCTTTTTCAAATATCGCCCCATCTCTTGTATTCACGATGCAACTGAATATCCCTGAATAGCTACAGAATACTTCAGTCTACGGCGATCTGGGCGCCTGCCTCGAAAGACGCAAGGAATCCAGTCAGGAAAGTTTCGAGGAAATTTCAACTTCGCTAAAGAGTCTGGTGACGAACTACTCCAAATGGGACAAGCATCCAGAGAGGACATCAACTCGCGAGACACCTTTGTTGCGGAAACTGCTACGGAAAACGAAGCAGAAAAGCTAAAAAACTATTTCTCTCCTTCCCTCTATCTTTCTCTCTCTCTCTTCTACTGAAACGTTGATTCTGAAATGACACCCGGCACCTATCTTCGCGACAGATAATGCCACATTTTCAAAAGACCCACCTTTCTGAGCTGTTGTCTCTATGCACCACTTTTTTATGTTATGGATTGGCTCTTTGGAGAAGCCTTTCCGCCCTATATAATTCAAAAATCTCCAGATTTTATTATGTTAAATAACATGTTTTTTTCATGAATTCTTCCAAAAGTTCCCTTCCCCATTTTTTTCTTGGGGAATGATCATTTTTCTAATGAACGAAAAAATCATGTTAGAATTCTTATTCTTCCAAAAGTTCCATTTTTATGTTTGAATAATTTTTTTTTAACCTTCAAAAATGTGTCGGTCAACTGTAATGAACGGTAGGTGCTGGGAGTATTCAAAATCATCAAATCATGTTCGATCGCCCGATTTCGTCAAAGTTCATTTTATTTCAAACCTTAAATAGATAAAATACGGTTGCTACGTATTGTTACATAAAAACTCACGTCTGATTATTTGCAGGAAGGCATTTCGCAGTTACTGGCATGCATGAAAGACTACACTACATCTGTATCTAATCGTTCTCATACAGGTTCATGGTGGACCCCCAATGCCATCTCGCCCGGCTTACAACCAAACTGTTCAACATCGATCGGACGGACTTCCAGCTACAACCAAAGTCGTTACAAGAAAGGTATTGCGCTGAAAGAGCCTGCCTATTTTTGGCGTTCTCGATTTATAAGGAACTTTAAAGTTTAAACTCTAACTCATTTTCCTCAAGCCAATCAATCAACTGGTGACTTCTGGCAACGCCGGTCTTTACTCACAAAACAAGATCGAAGAAGGCCTTCACTCCGCTCTAGGAATCCAGCACGAGGACAATGATGCTGCGTAAGTATTCTGTCGTATTACTGGTATGATATTTTTTAACAGAAACAACCGTTCGTACGTCCTGGACGCGCTGGAAGATAGCAGTGTCCCTGCAAAGAGCACCAGCAGAACCATGAACCGACTTGCCCAGCAGCTCGGCGATATGTAATCACGCGAATGCACAAAAAGACCAAAAGCAGAATCAAACTGTATTTCAAATTAACAACTCCGGAAATATGCATAACTCGAGTAAATAGAATCTTTTCACAACTCCATTGCTAAATATACCAATAAATAAAACTCTTTTATTATTGTGGTGTCAATGAATCAAAGCTGGAATTAAAGTTATTCTAAAGGAAAAAAGAATATCCTGAGTCGGTTTTATCGGGAGGAGCCCATTTTATCCACTAAGTTGACCATCAAACGGAGAAGGATAGGGACCATTAGCTGGGTCAGTGTCTGCCAATTGGGGATCGAAAATAGAGTTGTTGATGATCCACACGAATAAAACGACGAAACCTATAAAAATGATAACCATTTGATGGGTGTGGCTAGAAAAGTTCTTACCCGCAATTGTTGAGAGTGAGATTCCAGTTATTGACAAGCCTCTGGCCCAGTTTCCTCGCTTCTTGCATTTGAGTAAAATCTCTTGTAAGTGATCGAAGTTGAAGTTGTCGTCGCGCACTTTTACCACAAGTTTCTGAAGCTCTTGTTTCCTGAAAATACTGAAAACTACTGTTACCCGGACGCTAAAGGCTAGAATCAGCGCTGGAATTCCAAGAGGAAAGCATAGAAACAGAGCTATCCATGATAGAATCAAGTTTGTATTAGTCTTCGCCATTAGCAAGGCCATGTTGTCGGAAATTTCTCTTCGTTGTCTTCGAAGCGCAGAAGTCTTTGACATTCTCGTTGAAGATGAAAGTGTGGATAATGTTCTCTTTGGAGTTCTGCTTTTAGTTTTGAATTTTAGCCTAGAAATCCGCGTGAAAAGAGTCAGGGACTCCAAAACCTTCCTTGAATTTTGCGATCTAAAAGTGCCATGAGGATTTGGGATTCTCGGTCTATCCCATTGCGATGAATGAACGGATAAAAAGACGTTCTCCACGCACTCGCCAGAGCGGGTTCTGAAAAGGGCGCGCGAGAGGTTCGAGGTCAATCAGCTGCGGCACTCGCAAGTTACGCGGTAGGACACAAGACAATTGCAAATGAAGCTAAATAGCCCAGATTGAGCTACAAATTAACCGCGGAAGATTCAAAATCGGTCATCACTTTAGAAATAGAGAGTTCTCGGCCATAATATGCCTTGAATTTCTCTTTAACTACAGTCATGATCTCTTCGTAAATCTCCTGCGATTTACCTTGGAGGATCGCAAACACAACTGGGACATGTAAAAATTTAGCTGGATTTACTGGGTCTTGAAGATAGACGCTTATCGTGTAAAGTTGAGTAAATGGTTTTAGGTTTCGAACGACATAGAAAGTGCCATCGGCATGTATTGGCGAACTTGGATGTCGTCGATACTTTTCACGACAAGCGTCATCTAGCTTTTCTAAATCTGGTTCTAAAAAGAACAAGTGATAGTGTTTCACCCCTTTTGGCGTTTGTTCAAAAGGAACAGTTACCTCCGGGAGCGACAAATCAGATTCAGAAATGCTAGGCTCAAAATTTGGATCAATGATAGTATAGTGCGCACAATTTTCAGGAACAGTGTCCGATACAGAATAACCACTCGATCTTTGTATCTTTTTAAGAGCGGAATATTGTTCCTTTTGGATAGAAATTCCAGCCTCAAGGACCAATTTCCCGCCAGGAATTACAAAGTTCGAATTGTCATACTGTATTTTCGACTGATCTGAATTCAAACTTACAGATACCTTTCCGTTATTAGAACGAAACTCGCGCTGGATGACATGGTAGCGCAAAGATGGCTTGCAGCTCTTGCAGTGGTCTCTGGTGGTCGTGACTTTGCCGTATTTCTTGATGTCTTTGACGTCCGGATGATCGTAGTTGAGCTTGAAAACGTTTCTTGGCTTCTTGACGTTTTCTTTCCTTTCGACGATGATGAGTTTTGGGTCGAGAATCTCAATCTTGGCTGTTCCTTTGCAAGGGTTTACTTTTGAATCAGCCGAACTGCACTGAAGAATCGCTGCTTTGGCTGAGCATGCTCGAACATGCATATTCCATCTCGCATCTCCTCGTCCATATTGTAAATGGTAATTTATAGAGGTCTTTTGGACTCCCTCTGTGATGTAAAAAAGATGAGGCTGCTCTTTTGAGCCAGCATATCTTGGTACGCTTTTTAGTTTTGCGACAGATTCTGTGAAATCCATCTTGATGAGAAAATTCTGAGTCGAATGATATATATATGTCCAACCTTTTGGCGACATCTAATTACTTCCAGTTGTTTTGTCCGCTGTTTGATGATAATGATGAGAGAACTTCCGCTCGCAAATGTTCCGATAACACCTGGTATTATGCTCATTTGCTTACCCTAATATCTTACCGCGCACATCACCTGGGCTCCTGCTAATTTGCTAATCCTCATATCCTACCGGGTGTGCCCATCTCCTACCGCGTTACTTGCGCGTGCCTCAGTTGCTCCACCCTTGCCCCTCTCGTGCGCCCTTTTAAGAACTCGCCCTGGCAAGTGCGTGGAGAACGTCTTTTTTCCCGAATGAACCTCCCCCAATTTCGGATATTTCTCTTGATCGTAATAATAGAACGATTCCTGCCGGTCTCTCATCATAGTATTTTTCTTCACAAAAAATGTTTGAGCCAGGCTTGATGGCTATTTTATCGACATGCTTCGGAAAACACAAAAGAACTTTTTATGCGAGCTTTTTATTCTTTTATATTGAGATCGATGATTTCGTTATTCTACGAAATTTTACGAGCGATATCAGAATAAGAGAATTTCGTAACGATTTGCCCTTATTGAACTCGTGGACATTTTTGATAGCGAATAAACCTGCTCAATAATTTACGTTTGCTAAAAATCGGATTATTTCATAAACAGAGCCAAGAACCATATTTTCTCTAGAACATGCTTTGTTGTCCGTTCAAAATGCTAAATGAGCTCAGTTTCTCCAAGTAAAATGTCCGACCAGGGTCCCCAATCTAACCTTCCTCTTCTTCCTGGATACAGCTTCTCCACTACGTTGGGCAAGGAAAAATTCTACAAGGTAATAAGTTATTACTAATAACAAAGCGAAATTCTTTCAGTAGACCATCTTACAAAGAAATACTCGATAAATCATCTTTTGAAAAATCATTCTAGTCTCATCACTTCGATGTTCGACACGGCGATCCCATGTGGGTTGGCGACAAGAAACCCGGCATCGGTGGTGTCCCAATCAACAATCCTCTCTTCTCCACAAAGCTGGACGAGTGTCACAAGGAAAGCTTTTAAATTTTAATTTCAAATCCTTAGAACAACTCAAAAATCAGCAGGTTGCAAAGATGGCCAGCTGATAATTTATCCGTGATAAAGTACCATAGGTAGATAGATAGGGTCCTCTTTATTCTATGGTTCGTTTTTTCCAGCTGATCATCTTGCCTAAACCACCTGCTTGGCCTGTATAAATGCATGAAAAATGCATCATAAAATGAAAAAATGAAACAATTGCATATTTTGTATCTTTGTTTAGTAGGACGTTTTAAACTTTGTAGAAATTAAAATGAAACATTTGATTCAGCTTCTGATTCCTGATCGGAAATTCCGTTTTTTACCTTTATAATAAATTCTGTCTAAATTTGATCTTTTCTTTAATAATTGGTCATAATTTTTAGCGAATAACTGCTGAAATAAAACAAATTACTGCTAAGGGTCAAAAGCGGCTTGCGGCTTCGAGTATAATAAGACGGCTGGCAACCATAATCTTAAATTTAAAGCTTTAAACAAACATAAATTTTAGCGATTTCCATTATTTATTGGATAAAATTTAAAAGCAAAAAAGCAGGGCTGCGACTCAAACTGCATGTGTAGCTGTCAGTGCAAGAAAAAGTGCAGCTCCTGTGGCGAAAACATCAGCAGCAAGACACACTAGAAAGAGCATCAAGGAAGAAATGAAAATTGTGAATTGACTTGTGAACAGTTTCAATTTGATGGGTGACCCTAATAAATAAGCTCTATTTTTAGTCACGTTTTATGCTTTTTTATTCGGTGCTCGATCGCAGCGTGTTCCATGAGTAGTCCAGTGCTTCGTTTGGCACTAAAATGAGGTTCGGTTGAGTTTTGAATATGGCGGGTTCGGGAGCTTGTGGCCGAGAGTCTTACCTTTTGACTACAGTAATTCGTATTCCAGCAACAGTACAGTGCCGCTGGTTGATGACATAAGGCGCACCAGGGCGATTTCTTTGTTTTCGCAACGAGTTCTTCCGTTTCTTTTCGTATTTTCTTCAATTTGTTTTAATCAATAATTTCGATAGCTTTTCTTACTGTTCGTAGATCATCGGCTGCCTGCTCAACTTCCGTTTGGTGCGTTTTGAGAAGGCGTGAAATGGCCTCTTTGTGGGAGGCAACTAGGTCGTCTTTTTCGCGCTGGTTCGATCGTTGGAGGCTTTTGATCATTTTTATTAGATCTGTGACTTCCTTTTGATTCTTGTCTTTCTTTGTCTGGATCATTTCCGAGTACAAGTCCATTGTTAGTGTTTCAAAGCCTGAAATTGAATCAGCATAAATTTTCAAAGGGGGAATCTTAAAATTTGAAGAACTACTTTTTACCTTTGAGCATTTTGTTTTGGTACTCCTTTGAATTAACTGCTACAGGCATCGCCATCACATTAAAACCTTTCATTGGGTCAACAATAGGACTACAAAAACAGAACTAGGAATTCATATAAAATTACTCTCTCAATCTCTTGGTCCTGACAAGACTATGACTAGGATTTGCCGGTACTAAAGGTCTAGAAATTCATTCTTAAATTTGACCTTTTCCTGAAGAACTGCTGTCGGAAGACTTCATCTTCTGATCGTTCAGTATTATCTCTGGCGGACTGTTTACAATGGTGCCTTTAACAAAACTCTAGGGATTTCAGAGTGGCAAATACCGGCTGCGATGAGTGAGTGAGTGGCGTATGTTTTTTTTTACTTTTGCGCAAAAAACTGGGCTTTCAGGCTGTCTCTATCATTGGCCACGGTGAAATAATCGATCCATCAAAAAGGAAAAAACTTTTCTGTTCCGCTCCGAAGAGTTGATAAAATCAGAAAACAGAAAATGGAACTTGTCTGAACCCGGGAAAATAACAATAACACGCGCTTATACGTTTTCGGAATGATCTGTGAGAAGATTGTCGACGCTCCAGTGGAGACCGTTTACGCAGCAGCTGCTGGATTGTGACGTGATTGTAATTCATCAGACGTGCTTCATATTCCGACAAAACATTATATAACAAGAATAAAAAACTCAGAAAGTAGGTGATTTTTTTAAAATAATTTATTCAAACTGGTCACAGTGCATAAACTCCCTCAACGCCATCGTCGCATATGCTGACGGAGGAAGTTTAATCTTCAGACTAATTCCAACTTTCACTTTCTCTCCATTTTCACCCTTTTCGTTCTTGTCGCCCAAAAGACCTTCTCCCATTTCATCGGGGAACTCTTCTCGCTCTAAGTTCACAGTTAAATTTACTCTTTCCTGACTTTCTTACCAGATTTGAGAAGATTTTCTTCATTGGAAGAATACATCAGTACATTAGCTTCTGCATCTTTTGGCACGACAATCATTTTTCGATAGCCTCCTGGAAGCCTGTAATCCTTTACATTTCCGGCGAAGGATTCTCTTGACAATCCCAAAGCTGCCAGCTCCTTATCCATGAATTCTGCAAGAAGAGGACTGTATGAAACGTCGAAGCCTATAAAATGAATAAACAATGGATAAAATTTTTTGTTCGAAGCCGCAAGCGGCTTCCGGGTTTTCAGCTGTTATTTCACTGTACTACAGACTGTAGTAGGAATGGAAATTCGAGAAAAAATGGAAGATGAAATTAACCTGGTATGGTGATGACTAAATCTTCAATCGTAAAATTCTTCATATTTTCCTCGGATAAAAGTTGCACCTTCAGTTTTTCATTCTCATTCGGCTGGACAAGGTCTCCAATCATCAAATCTTCGCCCAGTGTCAATCTGTAGCTAGCCAATCGATTCCAGATGTAACTCTGGACAGCGTGTACGTACATTTGTCGCATCGGGCGGGTCAGTCTTCCCAGCGCGCCGACAAAGTCATTTGGCTTGTCTTTCAATCCGCAAAGGACCTTTCCTTCGTTGCAGAACTTCTTCGGTAGTTTTTCTAGCGCAGCGGCAGCGTCTTTCGTTTCCGACCAGATTCGACGAGTTTCTGTCAAGAATGAATTTCGCTTCGGCTCATCCCTTGGCTTCAGAAGTAAATCAACAGCCCCGGCGTAATTTTCCTTCAAGATTTCGATTCCAATTTCGTGAGTGGCAATCGCGCTCGTTCCAAATCGCTGCAGCCCGTAATAATTAACGAATCCTTTTTCGTTCAATGATTTGTAAGCTTTTGCGACAATCGACGAAAAATCTAATCAAAAAAGGAATTTTAAAAAGCTCAATTATTTAATTAAAATACCTGGCTTGATCCGTTTACTCTCAGGCTCGTCATTTTCAGAGACAAGCTCACAGTCTCGCAAGACAATATTGAATTCGTTGCCTTTCAGATCGCCCAAAGTGAGATGATCTCCATTATGAAGCTCGAAATTCCCAACCTTGATATTCTTGAGCTTCTTATTCGCGACGATGAGCACTTCTGGAGTCAGTTTTGAAGTGACGAATTGAGCGGTAATCGCGCGTTTGTCTTTTGTACCGGCGAAATTGAAGAGTTTGGCATTTACGCGAAGAATTCTGAAAAGAAACATCAAAATAAGCGTTAAATTTGTTAGAAAAAACCTGCATAAATGATCCACCGCCGCAGTCGTATCCATGTTTTCCTTCCAAAGCACAAATTTGAACTTTTCCTCCTTTTTCTTCGGATCTCTTCGCTTATTTCTCCGATCTCCCTTGCCTCCCTTTTTGATCCATTTCGCGCGAATCTTGTTTTCTTCCTTCAGCGTAAAAGTTTCTAGAACCCCGAATTGCTGCTTTATTTGCTTGTGATACTGTGTCCTCAGTTCTTTGCTGCAGTCTGTTGGAAAGTCCAAAAGTACTTCACCCTCCTTCGATTCTTTCGTTTTCTCGATGAATGCTTTCAATATTTCCAACTGTTCTTCTGTAAGTACTTCTATCTTCGGCTCTTCATTTTTAACTTCTTCATTCTCGGATTTTGGAACATCGAATTTCGTCAATTTCGCGACAGATCCGTCAAGGCCAATTTCTCTGACGTGGAAATCCGACCAACGATGTTTTATGATGCCCTGGAATAATTTATTTCGATAATTTTTAAATTCAAATTACCCGTAATGAAGGATTTTCGCATCGAAATTGCGTGATTCCGGCGTCCTTCTCTTTCAGCATTTTTCGATTTTTCAAAATTGCGAAATATTCAATTGCGCATTTGAGAGAATGAGAATTTCCTAAGCGCCTGATTGGCTCGCGCCAGTTGGAGAGCGCGAAAGTCTCCTTTCAAAACCAGATCATCTGAGAGACTTTTTATTGCTTTTAGCTGATTTGACCCAGATTTAATGGATTTCCAAGATTTACCGCATTGGTTTTTCGTTTATTTTCTAAGAGAAACGGCCCATTTTCCCATCAGTACCCCGCAGAGAATGTTCCATTTCAACCGGTGATTTAAAATCTGCAATCTTGATATTGATCTTTCGTCAGAACCCTCCCACTGATATTTGCTCTTGCCTCTCTAGCATCACCATCTGACGCAATTCAAAATTGGCCATTTCGTAACTGTGCATATTGCTAAATTATTTCATAAAAAATGAGAATAAAAAGTGACGAATATTTTGAGATGGAGGAGAGTGGGACAAGTAAGGATGAAAAGATCGAGATTGCGAGGCGATTCATTGACTTGATGGAAGAAGATGAGGACTTTTCGAAGGCTCAGGCGATGGCTGCTTGTAAGGAGCTCGCCAGTTGGCTTGAGAATACTTCTGGTAAGTTTTTTAATACAATCGATTTCCAGTTTTCTTCATTATAATTTCAGACGATGACATCATCACTGCTGCGCTTGATTGCATCTCTACTCTCTTAGAGCGACTTGACGATGAATTCCGACCTTTGATCGGCCTGACTGTTTCTCCTTTACTCACGACTCTTGGGCAGACTTCGATGAAGGCGAGAAAGGGCGCGATTTTGATGCTCACCAATCTTGTGCACATCTTCAGCGCCAAGGAGATCTTCGACATGGTGATGAACGGATTCACCCACGAACTGCACCTGATTCGGGAAGGATGTGCTCTCTTGGTTCTGTCCGTCATTCAGCGGCTCGGAAAGAACAGCGGTTTCCTCGAACTTCTCGCAGAAAACAAGTCGGACAACCTCGCTCAAGCGCTCGTGACGATGGCCGTTACTGATCCAGCGACTCAGCCTCGGATGGCAGCGCTGGTAGCTATCACGAATCTTATCAAGTTATTGGGTTGGCCTGCTCGTCAAGCCTTCGACAAGTGCCAAGGAGCAGACGACGCAGAGCTCAAACAAAAGATGAATGAAATTCCTGTGAAGAAACCTGTGGCCCCTGCTGCTGCGAACGGAGAATGGATGGATGATGTTTCAAAAGCGGATATTAGCGTTGCCGATCTTTACGATAGATTAGACACTGTTGGAGCAGTAATTCGCGAGGGCGGACTTGATCCAGACGACCGAATCAAGACGATGCGAAAGCTGCGATCTGTCTTGTATCACCACGCCAAGTTCGCATCTGAAAACGAGCTCTGGGATGAAGTTGCGACCTTCTTCCCTGCGTTTGCCATCGATAATCTCAGACTAAGAAAGCTGACAGCTACAACAAGAGAAGTTTGCCTGACGATTCAGCATATCTGCTCGATTGAAAGTTCTCCGAACACACCATTTGATGATGCAGTGGCGCATTTGGTTCAAATGCTCCCTAGAATCTCTGAATCCACCAACGCAACAGCTGGCGTCGCTGAAACAGCACTCAAGATGTGCGTCCGAAGATACCAGCATTCAAAGGAATGTTTATCAAATGACTCTTAATTAAAATTATCTTGAAAGAAAAAGAACTTTTTGATAAGCTAAAAAAAGGTCGTACGAGTTATTCTCGCCAGCAACCCCGGAACAAATCCCCAACTCAAGGAACAGAATACTCCAAAGGTTCGCCGGAAAGTTATGGGCTTGCTGGAGTCCGTTCTCACTCTTTGGGAAGATGCGCGACCACTTCGAAAACATCGAGCTGGAATTGTTGAAGCAATCAACAGAGGAATCTACGACAATGATGGTGAAACCAGAAAGTGCGCTCGACGAGCTTGGCATGGTCTTCACACTCATTTCCCGCAAGAGGCCGCCGATATGCTGCGAAAGCTAACGACTGCGCAACAGAACTTGATCCTTGGTAAGGTAGCTGAATCAAGAATGCCTTCGAGAAATGGATCAAGAGCGAATTCTCCTGGAAGAAGAAATGTTGGTCGACCAACGAGAACGCAGCCAGGCTCACGAACAGTCTCACCTGGAAGAAACGGACGTTCTGCTGGGGCAATGCCGAAGCCACGCGTACCACTTTCCCGTGGAGGCAGTCCTGGAAGACGAACAGGAACGCGAATCGTGAATCGCAGCCGAACTACTGTTGGAAGTAGGGCTGGATCACCAGGTCGAGGAAGAGTCGGTTCATCAACGAATAGGACGCCCGAGGATCGAACGGTCTCAGTGATAAGAGCTATCTCGTCGAACAACATGAACGACAAACGAGCTGGACTCGAAGGCTTCAAGCGATTGTTAAAGCAAAGGTCGCATTCCGAACGCCCGAATTGAAAAAGCTTCTCGAATCATTCAAGTATCTTCTTACCGTACGAAACGACCTCTTTCTATCTGCTCTGGGCGCGTTATCCGAATTCTTGATGGTCTGTGGGCCAGTTCTCGACTATCCCTGGTGCAGTTTCCTTGTGCCAGCTCTAACGAACAAGGCTGCGGACTCGTCGCTTCCCGGACAGACGCTTGCTGCCTTGGTGAAGTCGAGAACAAGCGCGATTGAGAATTTGAATCCGACTTGGCAACTTCAAGCTGTTTCGAAGTTCATCACCAGTGATGAAACGAGATCATCACGACACAAGGTCCAGATTTTAGTTTGGCTTACCGCTCTTGCTCCACGAGTTGAAGGAGGTTAGTACTGCGCGGCCATGAAGACGAGAGTTTGACTTTTGTTTAGGAGAACTGCACTCGGATGAAGCTAAAACAGCGATTGTCAGAATTGGCGAATGGGGTGGCGATATAACGAGAGAGAATCGGTCTACGAACAAAACGGCGGCACAAGTAAGATTTCTTGTGAACATTCAATTTTGAACTTCCTTATTCTAACATCCTTAGAGCCGTAACATATGGAGTACCAAATCAGTAAGCTTATATTATCAATGGTGTTTGTACTCTTCGGTGAACTGATTCACTGTCAATCTTCGTCCTAAATTCATATCAATGTTAAGACAAGATACGGCGCGGACTTCTCCCATGACGTAAAGCCTTTACTTACCATTATTTGCTAGCATTTACATTGCCAATCATTTTTTATTGATGAATCTATTCTATTTCTCAAAAAATTACTAACCTGCTTGATGAACTGATTCAAATAATAAAGCATGGAATTTTAACGTTTAGCGCGGTTCGGAAAATTTTTAGGGGTGATGAATTCTAACAACACTTGTTCATCATCTTTTTAGATCCGTAAATGTGGTCACGAAGCACTCACTGCTCTTCAAAAATCTTGTGGAGACGATTTCGAAGCCCTGATGGACCTTCTTGGCGAGACACGCGTTATGCAAGTCAGATACCTTCTTGAAGCCACATTTTCCACGTAAGAACGCATTTAGCAATCAATATTTCACCAGATTTTTATAGAACTTCTTCACGAACAACTTCAAGACAAGGTTCTCGCATCGGCTCCCGAGTTGGCTCTAGAGCTGGTTCCCGCAGAGTCAGTCCTTCTCGTCGACCAGTTTCACGCCCAGGCAAGACTCGCTCTGAACCAAACTCGAGCACGAAAATCCCCCGAGCGACAACTGGAGTTGCTTCTAAGACACCCCAGAGCAGTTCCAGCATTCCCATCCGCAAAACCTCGTCGTCAAAGCCAACTACCCCTTCTTCACTAAATCCACCAAAACTGGAACTTCCTATCAATTCACCAAGCTCCACGCTTACTCCAAGCACACCGCAGACCCCAGCGACGGAAGAAAAACTCGTTCTTGAACCGCCATCGTCATCGTCGATTCCTGAGCCGATTTCGACCGATACTCTTGGTTCTCAATTTTCACAACTATCCATGACAAGCTCAAATGCGAACGACAAGTCTAGTGCCAACTTGAATGAGGATCGACCCGACAGTCGGCCACCTCCCTCGCCCTGTCGCTCTGAGGAAGGAACATCTGAAAGCCTCTCTCCTGCTGACATCTTCATTGATTCCAACGCTCAAGCTGCGGACAAGCTCGTCGCTCTAGAAAGTCTCGAGCCAGAGCTGCTCGATGAAATGGAAATTTCAAGAGTTTTACTTGCGCTAGAGGTAAAGAAAATCAGACAAAGCCTTTTTCTTATTTCCTTCTTCAGAAATGCATAAAAGACAAGGAAGAAAGCACACTTCAGCAAGCAGCGTTTGAGATGATCTCGAAGATGGCAGAACTCTGTCCGAAATCATTCCAAAACTTCACCTCCGGTCTTGTGAAAACGCTTGTGCAGCTGTCTACTGATGAATCTTGCGAATTACAAGCTGAAGAGTGTCTTGAGGTAAGATTTTTCTATCTTCAGTTTTAGAGCTTCGTTTTAGGCGATTTCAAAGCATCTACCAGCAATTTCACTTATCGAGCCTTTCTGTGAAGGACTGAAGCAGTCTGAAAACGATGAGGTCAAGAACATCTTCTTTGGTTATCTTATCCCGATTCCACTCAAAGTCGCGAACGAAAATGTGAAATTGGCAGGCGCTGGCGATGCTTCCTCCGCCAAAGAGTTCTCTGAGACAAACGCGTGGACGAGAATGGCGCAGATAAGCTTGGAAGCGATCAGGTCGAACTTATCATCGATGAGAAAGAATGGATGCACTCTCCTCGCTAATATGTCCGTAGCAACTAAAAACGAAGAAGGTAAAAACATCAAAAATGTAAAAATACTGAAAGTAAATTTTAGCCGTTGAAAAAATTGTTGGCGAACTTTCTGGAGCCGCGCAGAAGCTGGCTAATTCTTACATAAAGAAAGCTTCAAATGAAGCTTCTAAAACTGCAAATGCTATCTAAAGGTGTCACTGATTCTCGAACCGATGCTAAAACCGATCACTAGGCGTAGTAGCACTTTTACTCACAGCTGCTTATTTATTGAACTTAGAGTCCTACTATTGGGCTGTAATAAAACAACACTTACTCTTCAAAACCCCCTTGAATTTCTTGCAAACGAGAGAGACGATTTTAGAGTTTATTTTATTGTTCGGAATACCAGTAGGCGATAAACTTTGTTGACAGAAAGTAGCAGCAGGATCCAACAATGACCAGCATGAGCACAAGTGAGAGCACTATTTTTACGGATAGGCGCTGGAATATTCTTTAGCTCAAAATAAAACACGATGCCGGCTGAACTTTTTGTTTCAATACCAAACAGCGCTGGGAAAAGATAGTTTTTAGCGTTATCCGTTCGTGAGATGCGCGGGCCAAATTTCGTCTTCCTGACGATAGCAGCTTTTGAGTACCTTCGATTTGTCGGGGCGAACGTTCTATTCACCTGTAAGACGCTTTGATACCGTAACTATTGAGGTTATTTTTGGCCACCCAAAGTATTTAATAATTTCCTGAATTTATAGAAAGTCTAGGGTTGTAAACTTCTGAAGACGCTATTAGGCTACATGTGTTAATTCGGACGACTTACAAGATCCTAGATATTTTTGTATAAACTCAAGCCGTACTTTTTATATTGGCTGAAAATCTAAAAACAAGTTCTGACTGGACTCGTGCCAAATGAGTACCGCGAAAAGCGCTAAATTCAGCAAAGTGTAAATATTTCACCGACTCATTTTGTGAACACCATTCTGCTGTCCCTGCCAAAACAGCGTTATTTTTAGAAAGCAATTACGCTTTACAACAAGAAACAGAGTTAAAACGAAACCGTGAGAATTATGAAACTACCTTGTTGAATTTTTGAATTGTTGACTTTGATTCTTGCTATTTGCGCTGTCTGGAAAGTTTTTCCTTGCCATATTACCTTGTGTTAAATTTTGTGTAAAAGAAAATCGGCCAAGGTGAGACCAAATTTCTCATTGATTACTGACTGAAATCAATGACGTTCCTGGACGTTCTCTTTGTTCGGCATTGATGACCCTCTTCGTCCCTGAAAATCAGAATAATCAAAGCAAAAATCACTTTGCGAAGGCCTTAATTTCTGTCTATTTACAGGCTATTTTGTGGTATAAACGAGGATAGTGACAGTATATACGGTCTTGCTGTTCGCACCCTCCAAATTCTCTAGTCGATCATTATCATCTCAAAATTCGAGACTTTCGTTCGTCATTTTCGCTAGGTAGCTTATCAAGTACGAAGTAGTTGGGAAATCTGACAGCCATAAATTACCTGCATTTTGGAAGCAATCCAGATTTATATAAAACGAACGCTCTCTCAAAGAAAAAAAAAACGAAGTAAATTCCTTCTGCACTGGTTCAAGCGAAAAACGCAATAAATAAGATCATCGTGAAAGACATATCATACAGCCACAGAGGGATGGTAACACTGACTGAATGAGCTTGCTTCTAGGCTAGGGCAAGATTTATGGCTGAAACGTCAAACGAAATAGCACCCCCTAACTCAATAAATATTTTTTGAAAAGGTACTTTCAGGTGAAATGCTTCTTGTTTATGAACCTTCTATCAAGAGTTCAAGAGCTCATCATAAATTCCAGAGCCTGATTTATACGACATTCCATTTTAGGGATAACAACAGTATGATAGTTTTGATAAATCTAATCCCTTCCTAATCTGGTGTAATTTCCAGCACCTTATTAGTCATTTCGACTCTGCGTAGGCTGTTGGTGCAACGGCCGGGTGGTGGTGGTGCCTTCCCTCACGTTTCATCGAAATCGAATTTAGACTTCATCGAAAAATTCATCGAAAATAATGACTCATTGGCTTTGTTCTCGCCCTTCGAGGGAGTTCCTCGGATATTACTCAGAAAAGTCTACAGATCGACAGACAGCTTGTCAAACGATGATTGAGGCAGAATTTCGAAGGAAGAAATTGCTAGAATGAGGAGCTGGAGATTAATTATGACAGAAAAAAAAGACAATGGCAAGTGATCTCATAGACAAAGTGAAAGAGGCGCCCGTAAAAATGGTTCAAAAGGGGTTAGAATGGGAATATTGTTTTGACAGAAAACTGTTTGGATGAATGACAGTGATCTTTGTAACTCCAAACTGTTGCCTATCGATCCAATGTCGACGAAATGGAGTGGATTCGGAATTATCCCAGAAGCTTTATTTATGCCATCTGATGATTTTTTTCCTAAAAGATGGTGGATTCAAGAGATGACTCTTTGAATAAGAGCCTAATTCTTGAAGCACGGTAAATTCATCATTAGCATCAAGGTCGAAGAACTGACTTCCTGCCTCGTGATCCTCCAAGACGATTCTTCGCTCGACCTTGTCCTCGTCCCCTTCAGAGCAATGACTCCAAAGACGCACATTTTCATTCCGAAATTCGCAGCGTTTGGCGCCCTCTCGCACCCGTCTCGGCTCTTCCGTATAAAACCAGCCGGGTGAAGCCCACTTCTTTGAGCCAGAAGAGAAAATATATTTTCGATAACTTTTGACTTGACAACAATCAAACCTTTTCCCCCAATAGAAGCATAATCCAACACAACACAAAAAAAAAGATGGCTGAGGTAAGTTTTTCAGAGAATTTCAAATTGACTATTCTTCGCGTGAAAATTAGTGGCGTGGAATTTATTGGACCGTCTTTTGTCCTCCAACCCGGCTCATTGAATTTTATTCTCCTAATTTCTTATTGAAAATCTATTCAAAAAATTATATTATTTTCTTCAAAAACTATGAAAATTTTCTTATCACTGATAAGTTATCAGACTTTTGTTTATTTAACCAAAGTATGTTAAACTTGTGCAGACTTTTGGCTGACAGACATGAGGGTTTACCCGCGAACATCCGGTATTGACCCGGACTTATCTAATTTCCCGCTGGATCGCTCGTTATCAGCAAGAATAGCGCCTGGGGCGATTCATTTTGCGGGCGATCTCCCGCCGAGTTCACTTTTTTTGGTTGAACCGCACCCGGCAAAGGAAGCACCTAAGGCAGGAGCAGCTCCATGATCCTAGCCATCTGCATGTTCAATTGAATTCATTGAATTCTAGTGCTGATAACATATAATATCCGCTTCTTCAAGCTTCTTTCAAGCGAGCATAAACAGCGCTATCACACTAAACGCAGCGGGAGTCGCGCCAGCGCTTATCAGTTAGACAAGTTCTTGTTTTTTCAGTCTGATGATAATAATAAATAATCCCTCAGATCATAAGCGATCAGAAAATCAAAAGGGGATGAATAGGCTAAAGGACATAATCATTTCCGGTTTGAAAATTAAACCAACTCAAAATCAAAACTAATTTATAATCAGAAACCACTTTATTTTTATATTTTTCTACCGCAAAATGCATATTACAAGCAAGTCCAAGTTTCCTGGTTAGAGAAATTTAACAACACTGATTTCCATTGTTGATTTTATCATTGCATTTTTTGTCTAACCAACTGGACAGAAATCGCGACGAGTGAAAAGAAAGAGTCGATCGCGTAAATCAAGGAAAATAGGTCCATTTTTTACGCACTGCCGTAAATCGTCAAATAGTTTACGGCCAAAGATAAATATGAACTTGGGCATTTTTTATGTTTTCTCGCGGCTCTTTGGTTTTTGTTTATGTAATTGATTACATAATGAAACAAGCCAGAAATTGACCAGGATATTCGTTGAGCATTGATGGTCCTTGAAGACGCTAATAATTGAGATGACAATAAAATGCCACGTTTACGAAATTAAAATATTACCTATTCACTAAAGAAGAGCGCCAGCTGAAACTGATCGTCTTTTAGAGTTTAATAATAAGGACTCCTTAGTTTCTCAAGTTGTAAAAATGTCGCTGGATAATTATGATTGTGACGGGCACCCTATGGACGAGCTCATCGCCGGGACTACCAAAGTATGCCTAATTCTCTCTCAATTCTTTCAACTTTTAATGATCCCCTTATTTTTTACTGCCAAGGACTAAGGTCTCATTGACTCAGGGCAAGGTAGTAACTTCAAGGTAGGGGAGAATCGTTTGCGGCGGGTAGGTAGTATTTGTCTTTGGCGCGGCCTTGGTATCATGTCCTTGGGTACAATAAGGAACTGATTTTTGTCACAATTGCTCATTTTTTTTCTCCTTTGACAAATCGTCCATGCTATTTTATGACGTCAAAAGACTTGAATTGGAATTTTTCAAGGACTCGATTTTGGCTAAATTAATAGCATCATAATTAATGAAGAATGCTAGGTGGTCGATTTTTAATTATCAGACCCTAAATTCTAGTTGAAAAGAAACACCGTAATGAACCGTGACCGGCGTAATTTGGTCGGTACATGGAAAGCGACGTTTCCTGGCCCCCTGCCAGCAGGATATGCCGCCCTATATGCAGCACTTTGGCGCGACGCCAACGCTCGCTCAACCCAATCCCGATAAGCGGTTTTCACGATAATGCTGAGATGCTCTGTGGCCCCATCATTTTTACTCTTGGTGGAGGTTTTCGGGGGCTATCAATAAGTCGTTTCAACTGTTGTTTGAATTTGGCGCCCTCTCGCCCGCACAGGCCTCTTGGCGTTGGGCTCAAACGACAGGGCTCAGACGTGAGCCAGCTACTACTCCCGCTGCAGAATTCTATCACTCTCCTAGTTTTTCGTAAAAGAGACCCTAAAACCCAAGATGAGCTCTGGAGAACCTGCCGCTAAACGACCAAAAGGGGTAATTGTTTCTAGAACATTTGCGGGGACCGTAAACAATGAAAAACGTGTTCAATTAGTTCAACGAACAGTTTTCGTAACATAACAATTTGATAAATTACAATGTCCGGAGGAGGAGGTGACGATAGAGTCCCCAATAAGGGAGAGCCAGCGGTTCCGCCGGTACGGGAACATTTTCACCGAGAAAGCGACCAGAAATGCTAACCGATTATGTTTAAGATGAAAGCCACCAATGTCACGATCCATAGCAACCAGGTCAACCGACAAGACCGATCCAGCGCTCTCGGAACTGGTAAGTCTCCCTTTTCTCCCCAATTCCTTCCTTTACATTCCTTTCTTTAGGAGGTACGCTCGTAGTTATGATCATCGTAGTAAGACATGCACATGTTGCCAAAAACTTTGAGAAATTTTCGCAACTTTGCTTTATCACGACATTCAATTTTTTGAGATTCGAGTAGCCCTAATTCTCTACTCGAGTCTGCTCTTAAACTCATCAAGTGAACTTCTTAACAATTGAAAAAATTTCTAGGTGGATTCAACGGCTGCACTGTCTGGTTCACCGGTCTCTCCGGAGCTGGTAAATCTACCATCGCCATGAAGCTCGAGCAGCACCTCATCTCCAAGGGTGTCCCAGCTTACGTCCTTGACGGTGACAATGTCCGACACGGCCTTAACAAGGATCTCGGCTTCTCTCTCGCCGACCGAGAGGAGAACATCCGACGAATCGGTGAAGTCTCCAAGCTCTTCGCCGACGCCGGTGTCGTCTGCCTCGTCTCCTTCATCTCCCCCCTCCGAAAGGTAAGTTACTTTTTTTTTCGTCGCAAGATCCAAAACAGACACGCTCAATTTTCTTCCTTCCTTGAAAATTTTTAAATTCATAAAACTGAAAATTGTGTCTGTTTTGGTCTTCAAGCCGCCGGTGTGCCCAACACAAACACCCTTAAATAAACCAAAGCAAGCCGGGCCATAATAATCACAAAAGCCAAAGAGTTAGATTTCGCTATTTTTTTCACCGGACATGCCGTTATTACGGGCAAATGGATCATTGAACAACAGCTCGTAAATTTTAAAAAGCTGTCGATCGAAAAATTTTGCGAAATTATGGCACCAAGCCAAGAATCACTGCAAATTTCGTTCTTCAAATAAAAAAATACAGCCTTCTGATTTTTAAATTCAGACATCAAATAAGTGCTTTTGGATTCAAGCCAAAATTTTTCAAAGAAATCATAAAATTCTAAATAAATTTCAAGGTCAGAGCAAATAGTAAAATCAGGGGAAAGTTTGTGTTGGGAGGCCAGGCATAGTACGTTTGCTCGTATCCGCATGTGTGTGTTGAAGAATATCATCACATGCCCATCGCATGGATTCTTTGCTTGTACATTTCGGTGTTTCACTTAAAAGTTTTGTTGTTACAGTAACTGTAGTGCATGAATTAACACATTTACCTTCATCTCACTTACCAACTTTTGGCATGCTCTGTTCTCTAACAAATTTTTCATAAAGTTTTTATGAAAAATTTTCGTCATCGTTGCCATTTACCACTTATCCATCATTTACCATTATACCAATTCCATCTTAATCCTTCTACTCTTTCCTAGGATCGAGATGAGGCTCGTTTTCTCCACGAGACCTCCGACCTACCCTTTGTCGAATGCTACATCAACACTCCGCTTGATGTTTGTTAAGGTGTCAAATAGTAATGCTATCATATAATTATTACTACCTAGCCTCTAATATCCTTTAAATTTCAACAACTTTGATTCAAACAAATCTGATTCGCGATTTATGCACAACAACAAAAAAGGAAATGCTAACCCAACAAAACTGTAGCTTGAAAAGAAAATCTTTGCCACCTAAGTGGAAGTGAAACACGCGATCCGAAGGGACTGTACAAGAAAGCACGAGCGGGTGCGATCAAAGGTCAGTTGAGGTCGGCGACCTACTAACCGGTTAATTTTCAGGACCGAGACTTCGCCCGAAGTATTCATCAGAACTCGGATCTCCCCTTTATTGAGTGTTACATTGACACTCCACTCTCTGTCTGCGAAGACCGAGACGTCAAGGGTCTTTACCAGAAGGCTCGAGCTGGAGTCATTAAGGGTAAACGCGCGAAGCGAGACAAGGGTGCTCCCAGCGCACGGCAAAGGGCTCACTTTAGCCGTGCGCTGTGGCCATCCGAAATATAAACGGTGATTTCCAAATGATTTCGAAATTCGGTGATTCGAAGAATTCATAATTTAATCAAAAATGGTGCTCGGTCGACACTACCGGTTCACTTTGCCCTCCGGGGGCATGTCAGCCTTACTGGTGTTTGACGACCAACAACAATGTCCGGCCGGTAGATATCTGAATTAAATTCCTGTTTAGGATTCACCGGAATCGACTCTCCATATGAACCCCCACTCAACCCAGAGTGCGTCGTCAAGTCTGGCGAAGACAGCATTGACGCCTGCGTCGCCAAGGTCGTCAAGACCCTCCAAGACAACAAGGTTCTTGCCGGTAAGAGTGAACCCAATCAAACATTATCTAAATGATATCTGAAGGAACCAAGGCTGCTGCCCCAGAAGTCCGTGAACTCTTCGTCAGCGCCGACGAGAAGGACGCCAAGATCGCTGAGGCCGAGACCCTCCCCAAGATCGAAATGACCAAGATGGATCTCCAGTGGTTCCAGATCCTCTCCGAAGGATGGGCCACTCCACTCAACGGTTTCATGCGAGAGGATGAGATGCTCCAGGTAATTTGCGATCAAGTGTACATCCGATTTATTCATCGTTGTAGTCTCTCCACTTCAACTGCTTGTTCAAAAACGGCGAGACTTACAACCAGTCTATCCCAATCACCTTGGCCGTCTCCACCGAAATCAAAGAAGCCAACAAGGACGCCAAGGCCGTCGCCCTCACCTACGAAGGCAAGACCTACGGTATCCTCCGAGACCCAGAATTCTACACTCACCGAAAGGAAGAGCGATGTGCCCGAACCTGGGGAACATACACCGTCAACCACCCACACATCAAGAAGATCTACGAACAGGGCGACTGGCTCGTCGGTGGTGATCTTGAAGCTCTTCACCGAGTCACCTGGAACGACGGTCTTGACAAGTACCGAAAGACCCCACTCGAGCTCCGAGCCCGATTCGAAGAGCTCGGCGCCGATGCCGTTTTCGTCTTCCAGCTCCGAAACCCAGTTCACAATGGTCACGCTCTCCTCATGACCGATACTGCTAAGAAGCTGAAGGAGCGAGGTTACAAGAAGCCAGTCCTTCTCCTCCATCCTCTCGGAGGCTGGACCAAGGCCGATGATGTCCCACTCGAATGGCGAATGAAGCAGCACGATGCCGTCCTCGAGGAGAAGGTTCTCGACCCCGAAGCCACCGTTGTTGCCATCTGGCCATCCCCCATGTCCTACGCCGGTCCCACTGAGGTAATAATATCTCTAAAAATACAGTCTCTAATAGAAATTATAGGTCCAATGGCACGCCAAGGCTCGATTGGTCACTGGCGCCCAGTTCTACATTGTCGGACGAGATCCCGCTGGTATGGGCCACCCAGACCGAAAGGAAGACATCTATGATCACTCTCACGGCCGACGGGTACTTGATAATCATCAAAGCTCTTTGTAAATTCGCTTGTTTCAGGTCCTCTCCATGGCCCCTGGTATCCCACAGTTCGAGATCATCCCCTTCAAGGTCGCCGCTTACAACAAAGAAAAGGGCGCTATGGACTTCTATGATCCCTCCAACCACGAAAACTTTGACTTCATCAGGTGAGAATTTCGCCAGAAAAACCAAAAACTAATGTATCTCTTCAGTGGAACCCGCATGCGAAAGACCGCCCGAGAGGGAGGTGCTCTTCCAACTGGTTTCATGGCCCCCAAAGCCTGGAAAGTTCTTCAAGACTATTACGCCTCGCTCCAGTAAAGCTGCGATTCAAAATACTAGCGTTTTTGAATTTCATCGTTTATCCGCGCAGGTGCAATAACTGGGTAGACGCAACTGTACAATCTTTTGAACCCTTTTCATCCTTTTTTCCTGAGATTTCTGTTCGCGCTCATCAATCTCCCCAACCCTACATCCAACTTTTTTTCTTAAACCTTTGAATATGCTTTCAATTCTTATCTTCCAGTATCTCACAGTGACATCAAAGTGGGGTCACAAGGGTACAAGCCTGGTTGCTTTGCACCCAACTTCTTAACTCGTCATTATCAACGACCGGTTCCGGTTGGAAATAATCGCTTCTATTCCACTTCTGTTATGTTGTGTCGTAGTCTTACTGTCAGACTGCTGAACAGCGTTCAACAATATCCTTAGTTCTATACATATATTTATATTAAACTAGAGTTTCTATTTGAGCTCGAGAAATTCCGCCAAATACAACAAAAAGGCAAAAACTTTATTTCAACTTGTTACAGTGTCTCATTTTTTTGCAGGAATTAAATATGCAGGCTACAGTTTGTTACTGCGAAGGACGAGAGCTGTAATTGAGCAGGTGATTCGGTAATCAGGAAGAAAGAGAGAGAGAACTGTTGATATGGAACGTTCGATATGAATTTCATATAGTTAGTTTTTATGCTGTTAGTTTTACAGTTACAGTTGTAGGGCTGTTTTTTTACTTGAGACTTGTGTAGAGACTCATTTGGCTGGAAAGAAGGTTGATGTCGTCGAGATACTTTTTCAAGAGCTGATTCTCCGACAGGAGCTCATCATTCTCGGCGGTTACTTTTTGAACTTCGGATGCTAGAAAATCGTTGAAAGAACAAATAAATTATCGTCTGTTCTTACCTAAATGAAGATTGTTTTTGATGAGGCGTTCGTTTTCTTGCGCCACATCTCCAGCAGGTTGCTCATTAGTGCCACTAATGGAGTTCGAAGCTGGCATCAGTTTTTTGAGTGCCTCGTTTTCTGCTTCCAGCTTTTCGAGTTCGTCAATGAGTGCATCGTGGTCTGCTTCTAACTCGTCGTACTTTGATCTCAAGACGACCTAGGGAAGGGTGAGCTGAAATCATGGAGGAATAGGCAAGTATTAAGGCGATTTTTAGTGTCAATTACCTTACAAAATAGCTTTATGTCGATATATCCCTGTATTTCTACAGATAAAGCTTTCATTTGTTAAAAGATTACGCCAGAGAGTTACTGTAAAAGCACGACTTCATTGTGTTAAAAATCAAAAAGTCCTCCCACACCGGGAATCGAACCCGGGCCGTCGGAGTGAAAATCCGAAATCCTAACCCCTAGACCATGTGGGACTGGAGACGTCCCTTCAAATGAATATAATAATCCATGCATATTCAGAAAAATAATCGGTGAAAAAGCCGGAAAAACTATCAGTACTCACGTAAGCTTTTTTCTCTTCATCTTTGCTCGTTACTTTTTCTTGGGCCTCTTCAAGTTGAATTTCAAGATTCTCGAACTTGAGACGAATCTGTTCCTCGGCTGATTTGGCGGCAGAAGTCGCCGCAGCGGCCGTCGAAGCAGCTTCGCGACATTCCGCAGCTTCTGTGGAGAGTTTCGCATTCTCTTCCTGCAATGAATTGAGCTGATTCTCCGAACTTGACAGTTGTTCCTGCAGCGAGGCTAGTTCTGAGTTGAGCGCAGCGATTTCGTCAGCAGATGAAGAAGTCTCGCCGGCAGCGCGTTCTAACTCCACGATAGCCTAAAGAAAAGTTATTATTCGTCTCGAAAAGAGGATGAAAAAGACCTGAGAAGATTGCTCCAAGCTCTTCCTTAGCTGAGCATTTTCTTCGTTCAAGTTCTCCACTTCTGCTTTCCACCTGCCGTCAAGTTCCTGAAGCTCTGCTTGAAAATTCTCCAGCTCAATGTTTAGCCTTGAGATTTCGGCTTGCCCGTTCATCAGCTCCTTTTCCAACCGCATTTTGTCCGATGCCAGTTGTTCTTCTCCGCTTTCTTTGTCCGCCTAAATTTCGGTTAGAAAGAAGAAAGATGGTTTTACCTTACTTTGAGCTGTTTCAATTCTTCTGCTGCCTTTTTAGCGACCTCTAGGGCTATCGTAAGCTCAGTTTTCTCGTCCTTTAGTTCTTCCATGATCGAGTCCATTTCGATGTTTTCATTTTTGAGTTCGATCATTTGTGTGCTCAGCCCAATATAGGAAGCTTTTGAGGTTTCGAATTTTTCTTCCAGCGCCTGGAATTTTTCCTGTGACTCGACAAGTCTCTAAAGATTTGTTGAACAATTTAAGGATATAAGCTATGAATTTGAACTTTCGTAGCGCCTAAATGCGCAGTAGGATCATTTTTATTTCAATAGTAATCCTACCTGAAAATGCACGCAAAACTCAAATCTTGAATTTTTAAAACTTTTTTTGTAGAAAATTTGCTCTCTAGAGCGATTTCAAATCTTACGATCTCGATTTATCGAAATTTATCCATTAAATCGCTAAAACTGAACCGTGTATTGTATTAAAATGATGCTAAGCTAGAAAATTGACGGGCTTTTGTTCCAAAACTCGCTCGAATTTTCATTCTAGCGTTTTCCTCTTTCTTGCTCGTGTTTTTCTTCTTCTTGTGCTTTTTCGCGTGCAACCAATCACAGCGCTCCGCTCAACCGCGCTACTCTCACGGAAAAGAGGAGTCGAGAGAGCGAGCGCCCAGCGCGCCGCTTTGTAGAGCTTTTACGCGCTGAGTAAGCTTCATGGAAATGGCTCTAAAATCGGTTTTGGTCGGAATTACGGAAAACTTAACCGTCAATATTGTAGATAAGGGTTAAGAGAAGCTATTTATCGAAAAAACTCGACCAATTTAGTGGAAAAATTTCGAGGAATCGCGATCGTAAGATTTAAAAACGCTCTAAAAGGAAAATTTTCTATAAAAATTTTTTTAAAAATACCAGATTTGAGTTTTACGAGCATTTTCAGGTAGGATTACTATTGAAATAAAAATGATCCTACTGCGCATTTAGGCGCTACGAAAGTTCAAATTCATAGCTTATATCCTTAAATTTAATATTTTGAAAACACCTGTTCTGTGAGAGAACATCGTCTTTCTGCACGTTCTAGTTGAAATTTCAACTCGCGGACTTCAGAATCATCGATTTTCTTATGATTTTCCTTGTGAATTGAAGGGTCAAAGTTGTCATCAAAGCCACTGACATCCATCGCGCTTGAGCTCTCTATTGCTGGTTCTTCTGCAGTTTTAGTATCGCTATAGGAAGTATCTTTTTTGTCTTCGTCTCGTATTATCTCATTGGTGCTCGGTTGTATACTCTGTGCATTAACGAGGCCCTCTTCAGGTGTGCTTGACTGAATATCGCTCTCAGAAAGCTTTGTTGATTCCTCGGAATCTGCGGTCGGGCTTGATGATTCCTGGTTGTTGTTAGTCACATCATTTTTACGATCTTGTTGCACACCTTGAGTTTCAGCCGTTTCTTCGTCACTTGCTTCCTTATGATCTTTTTGAGCCTCTTCATCTTTCTTTTCAACTAGCTCTTCTTTTTCATTTTCGTTGGTTTCATCATTCTGTTCTAGAGCTTCTTCTTTATCATCAACAGATTTCGATTTTTCTTCATTTTCCTCGACAACATCATAGTCAGAGAAGTTTTCCTCAACTTGATCAACTCGATCGGTTTCATCGATTTTCTTTGACATTGCATCATTGTTTTGAGCAGCTTGAGTTGGAGATGGAGCTCGATCATGATCAACAGATCCATCTTTCTCTTCTCTTTCGTTATTTTCTGGCGATTCGGATTGTTCTAATTGGATTTCTTTGGAATCGTCTTCTCCGTCAGAGATTTCGGTCGTTTCCTCGACATTAATTTCTGATGATGAAGCTTCTTTTTCGGTGTTGTTTTCCGCACCTTGATGATCAGCCTCGGGTCCGTCAGATCCATCTTGGTTCTCTTTCAAGTTGTTTTCTGCAGACACTTGTTTCTCTGATTGAATCGCATTTGAAATTTCTTCGCTAGAGACGTTGTTTGTTTCCTGTGTGACCTCGGCATCTGCTTGAGAATTTGCTGACTCATTCGATTCACCTTGTTCTTCTTGAGCTGTTTCTTGCTTCTCTTCTATTTCTGGCTCATCGTCTATTATTCCCAATTCCTCCAAATCAACCTCATTATTTACAGGCGAAGAATTGCGAGAGCTCGTTTTATTCTCCGAACTATCACTTTGGGACGCATCGGAAAGTACTTTTTCAAAGGTCAAGACGTGGCCTGAAATGCGTGAAATCTTTCTGAATCTAGTTTATGACCCTCCCTGATCCATCTTCGTCTTGATCGATTGTCTCTTCTTCTTTTTTATGATCTTCTCTTACGTTAATTTTCTCTGACTTCTGAGGTGACTCCTCAGAATTCTCCATACTCAAAAAGTCCTACAAATCCTATCAAAATAGCTTTCTCTGCAGCTTCATAAGCAACGTTTTCTTCTGAAGTTTTGCCTGTAGTTGTCTGTATAAATGCTTATTCAAGAATCTATTGAAATTATTTCTTGTCTTTTTTTCACAGCGTTAGAAATCAGACTGCCCGTGGGGCGAAATTAGCCTGGCATTCTATTTAGCTCCGCCAAATTTAGACCTTTTTAAACAAAAATCTCTGTGAATAAAAATGCCTTGAGTGCCTCCTTATCCTCTTTTGAAATGAAAACGCTAATATAATCGAAAAGAAGAAGTTTCTTTATGCAGTTAAGAAATTCACGCAATTTAAGTCCTGGTCAAGGTATAATAACGAGATTATTAACCATCTATATTAACCATATTTTTGTTAACCAAAACTGTTGTTCGACTAAAAATAAACTCAAAATGAAGTAAAATAATTGATCTTTTTATTAATTTCCCGGAACGAGAATGTTTCTATCAATTCAATTTTTAAAGCAGCAGCAACATTTACAGAAGCAATTAATAACGCAGGAGATTATCAGAATCCCAACAACGACAGCAGCAATTGTGGCCCCAATAATTGCCCAACCGGTCGATGAAATTTTGCAGTGCCCGATTTCGATCCCGTCTTCAGTTTTCTAAAATTACAAATCAATCTCGTTTTTCCTGGAAAGCTTGAAATTAGTACCTCGGCATCATCTTCAACTTCGCATTCGACTCTTCCATCCCAAATTGTATAGTCGCCGAAGCAACACTTGGGCACCGTGCATTTCCAGTTGTCAGACAGTGCCTTTAGCACTTGAAAATGACTGTCTGGCATTTCGAAGCATATTCCCTTTTCGATCAGTGGATTTTCTTCTGCAGAGGAATCTCTGAAAAGTGCGAAAAGAAGCAAAAATAAACGCATTTTTGAGTTTTTCGAGGGTCCCTTTTTGCGATGCTGATTGCGATAGTGAAGAGGAAACGCTTTCTCTATCGATGGGGGTAATAAAAGAGGCTCTTAGTCACGAAGAAAGACAATCATCCCTGCTTTTATGAACAACATCGTAACTTTAGCAACATAAAACGCTGACGACGCAATCTTTTAGACTAATTTCTTAGTAATTTTAAATGATTGAAGTACCCATAAGAATTAGTGTATATTATATAAAGTATATTACACTATTATCGAGTTACTATTTATTTTGGATTAAAAAATATTGAATTTCTAGCGCTAGAATTGTCAAAAGAATGCCTCCTAGCGGAATCGAACCACCGACCCCTTGTTTACAAGACCAGTGCTCTAACCACTGAGCTAAGGAGGCTTGAGGACGCACAGACTCTTGAACATTATAAATTATAAAGCTTCGATGGTTTCTGGCGTTCGCCCGAAAAATCGCCCATGTATCCACATATGGATTCGGGTAAGCCAATCAAATTTGTCGAGACACGAAGTGGTGGCGCTGTTGGATATTAGAGCGAAAGCCATCGGTATTCTCTTATCATTCTCCTTCTTTTTTTCTGATAAACCCATATTATTCCTTGTGAAAATAATTTTATTAAAATATATTTCATCTAAGATTACAAACAAAATTCAGAAATCAGTGGCATCGTCTTTTTTAGATTCAGTTTCACAGTCTTCTTCTTCTTTGCTCTCTGCTTCTTGATTGTCTTCTTCTTGCTTTTCTTCTGGATCTTCGAAATTCGCAACTTGATTATTTTTGCCACTTGACACATTTGCCTCAAACTCATCATATGCTCCTTCTTCAACATATTCGTAGTAGAAATACGCCAGCAGGGCGAACGCTAGAGCGGCCACAGCCATTAGACCGGCTTTTTATTGAGTTTTCGATCTGTAGTTTCTTATTGATTTGAACTGAATGTCAAACTCATTCCGAAAAGGAAGTATTCCGAGCTCTGCTTCTCCGTGAATTTGATGGAAACAATGATCAAGTCAATCAAATTACCAACACAAACAGTAAGCACCCAGAAGGCATTGACGACAGATTTCATGCTCGGAGGAGCCTCAGTATATGCCCACTCGACACCTAAAGAGTTTGTAGGGACGAGATTAGGATGTCAATTAACCTGTGACGTTGATTAACACTTCTGCAAGTGTCATGACGAAATATTGCGGGATGAACCACATGATGGAAAGTTGCGCGGAGTTGGAGTCCTTGTGCACATTGATCTTGCAACCGGAAGATGTTTCGGTAATGATGAGCGTGTAAATAGCAGAGACGCCCTTAAAAATTTCATAATACTGTTAAAACTGACGATGGAACTACCCATTCTTCCGTAAGACCATCAACAAGGAGGCCATCTTTCACGGCATCTACAAATTTCAGCGTGCATGTCTTTCTGATATTAGTCGACGAGCTATTTTAGTTTTATCTGACTCCGTTTATTACTGAAGATAAACTTACCTTGATTCAAAAAGATCCACTTTCAAATCGAAGCCAGTACTCTTCGAATCATAAGTAGTTGTGCTGACGTTGGCGTTGTTGATTCCACCGGGTTCGAGTCGCTCGATATTCCTGAAGTTAGATGGGAAAGAGTTTTCGTTATTTGGCTGGCTAAGACTCGCGTAGAGACTTGTTGGGTTGAGCATTTGGAAGATGACATAATTATTTGAGGATTTTGCGTAGCGGGCTTCGAAGACATCGTACCCATTTTCTTGCCAGAAAAAGGTATTGACTGAATTTTCCTTGACGTTATCTTCATCGAGGGAGATAACTTCAAGTTGGTTTCCATTGCAACTGAGTTTGATGTCTTTCCCTCTAACATCGCTAAGGTCAAGAACAGTTCCGTAGGTATCAGTTCTTTCGCCATTCCGAAGAACCATATCATCATCCCAAATTTCAGAAGATACAGTTAGCTGAGAGCAACTGCTATCACCATTTGCTACGACAACTACTGTTTGGCCATAATAATCAGGAACAGGGGTGAGGCCATCTTCGATTCCAATCTGCAAGAACCCAGAAATGATAAAAGCGCCGACGGCAAGGAACATGCCAGTTGACATCTTCTGCAGTGGTGTTGTCAAAATGTTACAACGAGCGAGAAGAGGAAATACAACTGAATTACAGAGGGGAATGAGGATGAGGACAAAAAGTGGGTTCAAGGATTGAATTTGGTCTGGAAGAATGTAGAACGTATCAGAAAGCTTTCCATTGAGCTGCAATGCTGAAAGTGTCCAGCGACTTCCTTGGAGATCAAAGAGAGCCCAGAAGAATGGAACCGGTATGTACATGATCAAAATGCTCCCAATGACTTTGATCGCGCCACATCCGTGCTTCAAAAGTGGAGAGCCCTCAGAAGGCTTTTCATAATACCAAGGCGTCCCGCCAAGGAAAAGTAGCAGCGCGGCGAAAATGATTCCAGTCGAGGTCCAAAAGCTCAACAAGTAGCAAGACTCGACGCCATATTCGTCCATTCCGCATTGAACATCGCGCAATAGCGGGGTTATAAACTGGGTGACGAAAGCGCCAACGTTTGTCGAAAAATAGAAGGCAGCAAAGAATCTGGAAATATTCGTCGCGTCTTCTGGCTCGAACTGGTCCCCACCCATTGGAGCGACGCATGATTTCATACCATTTCCGAAGGCGACGAGCATAAGACCTGATAACGCAACTCCCCGAACAGCTGGTTGACTGAGTCTCCACCAGTTCTCTCCTTCTTCGTTGTCTACATATCCATCCCCAAAAACGCTGGGCATAGTCCCAATGGAGGCAAGAATTGCACCAGTTACATAGACACAAATCGCGATGAAAATTGTCCTGTACTTTCCAAGAAAGCTGTCTGCAAGAATAGCAAGCACAAGTGGCCAAATGTAGGTTAGAGTAACGAAAGCGTGGTACCTAGAAGATCTTGCACTAAATCTGCAACACTCACTCACCAGATAGTCGCAGTATCGTCATCGTAGTCGAGAACATCCTTCATAAAAAGAATCAACACCGCGCGCATTCCATAATAAGCAAATCTCTCTGCAGTATTCTCCGCAAAAAGCCAAGAAGCACCCTTCCATTTTGGAAAGGTGCCCTTTTCTACGAATTTTCCGACAAGTCCCGAAAGCATTTGACGGAAGGACTACTCTGCGAGGAAAGTGGGACGACAGAAACGTATAAAAGAGTTTCTTATTTGACCGCAAATATAGTGCGCTCATTTAATTGAATATAAACTTTCAAAATAACGCTTCGAACTTTCAACAGAAATTTATTTTCGAAAATTGCAAACCCTTGCGAAATCGCTCGTCGATTGGACCTTGACTCTCTTCCTTCCTTGACATTAAATTTCACTGCGACAACAAAGCCTCTTTGTTCAAAAGAGTATTCGTTGAAAATTTTGAAGAGGTTTACTTAGAGTAAATTGAGTAGAGAAGAGTACCACAATGTTGTTTCAGCAGCTTTTTCTAACTTTTTTCAACTTTCATCTTGGCACTGCTAGAGCTACGATCTACTGGAAAGATGGCATTGTTCCATATCTTATTGATGGGCAGTTTGATCAACTGATGGTCAAGAAAATCAAGCGGGCGATTCTGTCAGGGATAAAATTAATGTACATCGAGTAATCTGACTTTGATTATTCCAGAATAGATTTGGGAAAAGGCCAGTTGCGTCAGGTTTCTTCCCATGAGCGGAGTCGACGGCGATGGAGTCATTTTTACAACTCGATACTGCGGATGCTGCTCAGAAGTGGGTCACAAAACCGACTCCGATATTCAAGCAATATCTGTGGGACCAGGATGCGATGAAGTCGGCACGATTGCCCATGAAATTGGCCACGCGCTCGGCTTTTACCACGAAATGTCTAGACCTGATAGAGACACAGCCGTCAGAATCCTATGGGAAAACATTCACCCAGATAATAGGAAGAACTTCAAAATCGAGGAGGAAATTGAATCGTTTGGTTTACCTTACGACCCTTACAGTATCATGCACTACGGTGTCTACGATTTTACATGGAATAGCTTGCCCGTGATGGAATTTCTGCCCGAGTTGATGATTGACAAAGATGAGTTTTTGAAAGACAAAATAGAATATCAATGCCTTAGCTCGGCAAGCTGTGTATAAAACCTGAGTCAGGTTCTCAAGGATTAAAATGAAAGAAGGATTAAATTTAGAAAAGAAGCCGCAAAGCGGATTTGCAATTATTTTGAAAGCATCGAGATAGTCATTTTGTGAAGCCGCTTCGCGGCATCGTTCTTAAAAGCCGCTACGCGGCTTTTCATTTTAGCTCTTCAACACCTGACTCAGGTCTATACACATCAAAAACTCTATAAAAGAAGATGTCGGTCATAGAAAATCGCTCAGTTTCATTGATGAATGGAGAATCAAGTCGATGTACAATTGCAGAACTTGTGGACGAAGCATTTTTCTTAATAAACGACTCGTTCTGTCAGCGGATGATATCGCTTTCGGAGGAGAAAATTGTCAGTTCGGAGTCATTGTCAGTGACGGTCTAAAAATCAAGGTCAAATTGCTTGAAGAGATTTCAGATGGATGGATCGAAATTTATGCTTCGTGTTTACAAATGCACAAATTTTAAAGCAAGGCAATAATAATTTTGTAAACACGATAAAAGACGGGCCACGGGTTGAGCCAAGGATTGGTTCCAAGGGAGTAATTTCAGGCTAAGCCGAAAACACGGAGCGTGATATCAAAGTGCCCTTCTGGAGCCAAATACAGTAAATTACTCTTCCCATCCTTGATTGATAAAAGCGACTTCCGAAGCTCATCCCAGCACGTGACGATATTGGTCGACTTGTTTTCCGCCAACGCGACTTTTTCCGGGACGAGTTTTTTTTTTTGTATTTTGGAACGCTCAAACTCCTCAGTAGTTCGAACCAAATTGAACTAAAATAACACTGCGCCAAAAAGTTTGGCCGTACAAAACTCTCATTCAGTGGAGCTCGTACCGGATTGTCATCGGAAAATAGGATTGAGGTTTGTTGATAAACACGAGCAGTAATCGAAATCAGTCTGCAATAATCCTCCGTTTGGGGCAACTTTGTTTCGGCAAGGATGAACTTTTTTACAAACAAAGGTTGAGAGCGCCTCAAGAAGGCTTTCAAGAGGTCTTCCTGGTTCTCACAAAGTTCAAGAGGATGATAATTCAAGGAGTAAATCCGTCTCATGAATTTTTATTCTGTGTGAGATTGCGCGGTAAAATTCAAACTTTCGCAATTTTTTCGAAATCGATCGGCAACCTCGCGCAGATCTAACAGCATCTTCGACGTTTTCATTGATCAACCCATTTTATCCCTCAAATGATCGATTGTCAGCCGACCTTATCTGCCTCACGACGATTTCGAGCCCAGTGGGCTACCATATCGAAGGAAAGTGGGTCATCATTGATGAATGAATTGTTGCTTTCACAAACAAGAAATTAAAAAAAGTGAACCCTGGAAACAGCTAGGATAGATCATCTGCCTCCAAGGCGTTACCAAAACATCAAAATCAATAGGGATGGGGTGGAGCAGCGTCATTGAAATTCAGGAAGTCGCTTTGATTCTTCGTATCATTAAAATATGCCCGAAATCAATTGTTATCGGAAGTACCGCCCCTGAAAAAAGCAAGATCCTTGGTCTACGCAACGGGCCACTGGATAATCGAGTTTATCGAATCCGGAACGACAAGGCGGAAGTAAAATTTTTCGCCAGGCGGGATCGGTTCCAAAAACTTGTCAAATTAGTTACTATTTTCTACTCTACTGACTCTTCCCGTAATTATAAAGGGGAAATCATCCTTTGAAGAATTCGCGAATCCGCGATTTTGAAGTTCGCTTCTCTGCCGTCTGGACGCCATGTGCGTCAAACAACGGAGGCTGCGAGCATTCCTGTCACTTTTCTGGAACTAATGGTGTGATCTGCAGCTGCTTGGAAGGATACCAGCTGGTTTATGGCTCGGCGTGCCGTCGCAATTGTGACTTCCGAATTGATTACAATCACGACACAGACAGGAACAGCACGGAACAGGTTTACGGCCCATTTCAGGGAGGAGGCCATGTGAATGTGTGAAAATTGAAAGGATTTATGGGCTAGTTTCTTCCTTCCGGGAGATAATTGGTACCCAAGGGCGGAAGAAATTTCACACAAATAGGACGATTTTTGATTGATCAATTGATCATCAGCTCTATAATTTGCAATTTTAGGAGGGAATGATTCAATCTCCTGGCTTTGGGCTCGGCAACCTGTGTAGAAAACCTGAGTCAGGGTCAGAAACAGCATCAATGAAAAGCCACGAAAATTTCTGGTAAAGCCGCTTCAGAGCTGTTTCTGACCCTGACTCAGGTTTTCCGCACAGGTTGCCGAGCCCAGACCTAGATATCCAGAAAAATACGAGCCGGACATGAAATGTCGCTGGGAATTTGGAATTCCCGAAGGGATGGGAATACAATTCTTCAATTTATCAATGGATATCGACATCACCAGAAACTGCACCGAGGATCGATTAGGCCCTGGTTCGAAATAAATTACTTTAATTTGCAAATATTCAGGAAAAAAGCAGCATCTGGAGGTGCAAAGCACTAGACCATAAATCGAACCACCATCGAGAAATATTGGGCGAGCGTTTTTGCGGCCTCTACCAGCCACATTGGTTTGCACCGCGAAAATTCACAGGAGCGAAGGTTCGAACCCACTCTCTCAAGCACGTGTTAACTCCTTTTGTACCCGGATTGTTCTTTATTTACAAGATAAATCCGCCAACATGGCTCGTTCGTAATTTTAAGTTGCTATATTTGAGCTTTTACATAAGACACGGCTGTGATCATCTCATTCATCTCGAACGAAGAATACGAAGACGAGGGATTTCAACTCTTCTACCGCTACTTTATCCTGCCTAATTAATAATGAATGTCTCTGTCTGAGCTCTTGCCAAGTTTATATTCCCCGGTGGCTTCCCGCAAGTACAGAATAAAGGGGGTTCAATAACAATTGAACGCGTGAAAGTGCGTGCTGAGTTGAAATCATAAAATCTGGCGAGGTGACAAGGACCTTTCAAAGGCGATCCTAGCCGACAAGACTATTGAATAACTTCAAAATTCAGCAAGCACTGTAGAACTCAGTCTACCTTTCATCGTGGGTGAGCTTTCAGCAGGTTTTCAAGCCGAACGACAACGTTGCGGGGTCAGTCGATTACGATAGTATTGATGGTCAAAAAGGAACTTAGAAAAGTAAAGAAATAGACCGGTTTCATTATCTTGAAATTTGAAAGTTGAAAACATCGAGTTTATGAAGCTGATAACTAACTTGAGCTGTTGTTTCTGCATGACCAACAACTGTCTACAAAATTAAGGACAAGGGAGTTACGTAACTTGCCAAGGAGAAATGCTAGCGTAGCATGAATGCATCATTTAAAGGCTTGAAAACGTTCGACTTTTGTTGACTTCCAAGTTGGCAATACTCAATCTTAACCAACCAAGAGCCGAAATTCACTAGAAATAGAATGTCCGTGAAGAGGTGGCGAAAATTCCAGGGATTAGCTGGGAGCCCTCTTGACCTTTCAGGTTCAGAAAATTTCGGGATCGGGCATCCCGCTATCCCCACCTATCCACAGATGGCGCAACGCTGGCGCCCTGCCAGCCCTTGCGTATTTAGAGACTCATGTCCGGATCATGGGACAGAAGCAGCGACCGTCTGGCTCAAGAAAAACACCAACACATCGAGAAAGAGGGTGTCGCAGTCGGCAATTACGAAAGCAATGAAATTTTTATACTTCCTTTTTCGATCTGGAGAGAGCGACAACTGCAGCCGGAAGTCGAGAAAGGGAAGCTCTTCTCCTGAAGAAATCGGCCCGATGCTGAAATTTAGCAATACCCAAAATCGACTCATGGCAGCGAAAAGACAAGCTTTCGCGATTGAGGCCATTACTACTGTCAGACTGTAAATATCACCTTCGGCCAGAGCTCAGGTGAACCCCTAAGACTGTATATTCTTCTCCTCCTCGTCCTTAGCTCTGGCTCGTCGTTCAGACTGTCTTCCCGTCAAATTACGATTATTCTTCTGTACATATTGAATTCTAAACTTTTTGAAAAGCGCACTTAAAAAGCTGTATTCCCTCGTAAACCCCTCCCCCGTCGTCAAAATCGACCTCATTTATTTCAATAAATGTCACCGAAAACTATCATTATTGTTCACTCAATTTCGCAAGGCTGGAAAACTGATATCGTGGAAAAAATGCATCTTGTTTGAAAATCTGCTGAGCTGGAGGTCGCTACGTGCGAGTTCAGGATCATCCGTGCGCTACGTGATCAAGTTCGTCTGGTGGTCGGAGTGTGGGCGGTTCCTACGCGTTTGGCTGCAGCCAATGAGCAGGGAGGCAGGAGTGGGCGGTGGAGGTGGCGGAGGCAGGCGTGGACGAATGGGCAGGCGCGTGGGGACAGATTCAAGCGTTACCCGACGCCGTTTCGCTCATTTTACAGTTTGACCACGCAGAGTCCGAAACCCGAACCAGCCCCCTTTTTCGCCCTAACAACAACCCAAACACAGAGGCGCCTCGTCCCACGAGCGAGCAGGAGCAGCAACACTCGCGGCCCACCGGCCACCCGCCTCACCGCGCCCAGCCACGAATCGAACCATCTCTCTCGCCAAGGTGAAATCCAAATCAAGCCAATTCTAAAGTCAAGAATATCGGACAGTCGGACATCCGTTTATTCAGTCATAGAGTAAATACTAGAGTCAAAATCAATGAAAATTCAATTTAAAACATTAAAAAAAGTAAAACTTCAAAGTCGAATTTAATTTTTTGCTCGAAAGCCGTGTTCTAAGACCCTGACTCAGGTTTCGTACACAGGCTGCCAAGCCCAGACCTGAAATGACGTCTGAAAAAATCAATTTCTCCTTTGAAAATGCTCCTTTTCTCTTTGAATTCATTGAATTCACTAATTAAATTGATAGAAATGACAGTGACCCTTTCTTCTTCCGTTTCTTTCGTGGCGTGAATCAAGTAAAAAGATGTGCGAGTGAATTAATCCTTGCTAAGAGGAGTTTTGTAGTGCTTTGTAAGTGATGCCAGAAGTACGGGGCAGGCGAGGCGAGAAGGAAAGTGGCAATCATTCACCTCAAGCGGTCGAACCTCCTACCAAAAGACAAAGGTCAGCTAGAAATGGAACTCCAACGAGGACACTCAAAGGGGATGCCAAAGCGAAGAATGGCAGTTCGCCCAGAGCAAGGTACCTGAACACTCTTCTCGCAGGATCGTACTAAGAGGAAATTATAGAGTAAATTCGCCAAAAGGAAATTCCCCGAAAAGGAGAGGAAGAAAGCCAAAAGCGCGAAACTCACCAGAGCCTCAAAATTCCAACGGTCGATCGAGAAACGGTGATCAAGAAAGCTCAGATGATGAGAGTTCCATTCCCGACCTGGAGGATTGTCCCCCTGTGAGAGGATTGTCGCCAGCGTCGACGGACAGTCCGACGAAATCAAGGTCGCCGAGGAGCCAAAGAATCCGACCAAATGCGACGAAAAATGGAGATTCCAATGGAGACGCACTAGAACTCGAAAATGATCAAGTTGTGAAAACGGAACCGATTAATCCTCTCGACATGGTGCCAAAAGTAGAAACGACGTCGACGAAGCCAGGTGCGAGGATCGAAGAAATCTTCGCGAAATTGGACGAAAAAGAGCAGAAGAAGCGAAAAAGAATCCGATCAAAGCAGAAGCAAAGAACACGAAAACTAGTCCTCCAAAGGCATGGGATCAGAATTTTCAATTCTAAGTTTTATCAGAAAAAGCGAAGTCGTCATCTGTTTGATTATAAAAATCATGGATGATTTACGATACATTAATTTACGCGTTAATTTGAGCCCGTAGCTTATGAAATCGTCGCTTATGGTGATATATAATATCGATCCCAAAAAAAAGAAGCCGAGCAATAACGTTCTGAGCAAACTTATTGGAAAGCCGATTTCAAATTGCGATACAATCACTTTTCCTGACGACGATGACGACATCAACTTCTTGAACTCGGACGACGAAAAGGACATTGGCATCGGAAGCGAAGTCGTCATTGATCAAGAAATAAACATGTTGGAAGCGGTTGGCACGGCGTCCCCGGATCATTCGCAGGACGAATTCGACGGAAACTTTAGCGATTCGAACAATCAATTATTCAGCGAAGTTACTGAAAGCACTCAGCCGAGAGAGGTGTCGATCAAAAATGAGCATTTGGACGACGATGACACTGGCAACGAATCTACAGACACTCTGACAGCTTCGGAATGCGAAGACGAGCCCGGAGCGAATCCGATCAAGACAACTTCTCCAAGTCGATTTCCTGCGGGAGGATTCATTAAACAAGCGCAGCAGCTTTCTGAAGCGAATAGAAAATACCATCTTACAGTTACGGGAATCGATAATTGAGGGGGTACACAGCGCACTGATGATCGAATAATTAAGTCTCGCAAAAACGTAGATTGTGAAATATATTGGAAAAAAGTATATAAATATGCAATGGTCCATTATGCTCGCTTTTATTGGTAGATTTTATTGACAAGTAGAAAATAAACGGATAAGCCCTTTTCATTGAAACAATGTACAAAAGAGACATTTTATAAATGGTAGAATATTTTCGATTCCAGCAATCAGATCTCAATGAAATCAACGGAATCGATGCTTCTGGCTTCGATCCTGCGTTTGACGACTATGAAGACTCTTTCGGCAATCCGAGCATCGACGAAATCGAAAATGATGAAATCGAAGGAGATGAAGATGTGATTAAAAATCAGTACAATGAAGCACTTGCGAATGGTCTTCTTCCACCAGCAGGATCTGGTGGTAGAGGGAGATCCAGGACGAACAAAACTGGCCCTCCTCCAGTCGAGGTACATTTTTGATAACTTCTGGCATCTTTTAACTATTTTTCGAAGCCACTTACACACGAGCAACTCGCAAATTTACAGCATGGTTCTGGCTCGATCACCGATCCAGATATCATCAACATTCTTACACAAGTAAATTTCCCCCAAACCGAAATCTTCCTAATTCTCCACTTCTATAGCTCGATCCAGTTTCTACATCGAACGACTCGGGAGAAGGACCGCAAACCCTCGTCTTCACGCCCAACCAAATCGCCTGCGTCTGCAACGTCCTTATGGAAAAAGGCGATTATGAGAAACTTACCAAATTCATGCTCTCTCTTCCAAACGACAAGTCACTGTATCAAAATGAAGACGTTGTTCGCGCACAGTGTGTTGCTCTCTTTCACATCAATGACTTCAAAACGCTCTATCATCAGCTCGAAAGCCAGCATTTCGCTACTGAGCATCATCAATTCTTACAGGCAAGGTCTCGAATTTGGTGTGGCCCGCTGTGCGAGAGAATGAGTCCCCTGAAATGTATCACAAAAAGATGTGCGCCGGATTCGCGGATCACAGAAAGTGCTGTGATTCACTCGCGCACATCGCCAAATCTGATGTGGCCGGTCACAGCTCTCGATCACAGAATGATGTGATCGAAAATTTTCAGTCACAAATGTCGCGTGATTCAAAAGTAAAGGATGGGCATTGATCACTTTGAAAACAACAAAAAAATGAATCATGCGCCTGTTTTTAGCTTACTTTTTTGAAAGTTGCAAATTAAATTCATTTATAATATTCATAACCTATGAATCATAAGATTAATTGATTAACAGGGACCCGGAACTCGAATTGTTTTATTGATGAAGTACTTTAACCTCTCGCACCGCCAAAAATAGGTCATGGTAATCCCTCTCAGTGCCGCTCGGCGCCAGGAAGTGTCAGTAAAATCATATTGGCCGGAAAAAATAAAAATTTTTCGTCTTCGAACAGCCATAACTCATGTGATACTTATTGAAACCAAGTAAATTTATTTATAAGTACACTTATTTAAAAAAAGGTATCAATCGAAAGTTCAGATTCTGACTCCTGAATCAGGAGTTTATTTGTCTATTTCAGTCATAAGATAAATTTCTTCCATATTTTGAGAATAGCCATAATTTAATTAATTTTCTCTACTTGTTATTATGATAAGATTAATTTAAATTAAATAAATCAAATTCATGATGAATAAAGTCATCAGAATTCGGTCGCTGTGACTCGATCACAAAAATATGTGCGCGAGATTATCCCTAATATCCGCGGTGTGATCGAGCCTCGATCGCAGCTCCTTTGCGCTCCGAAAAACCCGCGCACATCTTTTTGTGCGCCACTTTGGAAGAACCCTTTTCGCGCACAGCGGGCCACACCAAATCCGAGACCTTGCTTACAGGTAGGAACTTCTGACAAAATCAGGCCAAACTTACCAAATCTTTAGGAACTTTGGTACAAAGCGCACTATTTGGAAGTCCAACGAATGAGGAACAGGCCTTTAGGAGCTGTTGATAAATACCGAATTCGAAGAAGGTAAAACAAGTCTGTGAAAAAAGATCTTTGAAATGGTGATGTAGGTTTCCGCTGCCAAGGACCATTTGGGACGGAGAACACACGATTTATTGCTTCAAGGAAAAGTCTCGCAATGTTTTGAAAACGAGCTATCACCGGAACAGATACCCGTCTCAAGAAGAGCGGCGTCGTTTGGCCGAGTTGACGGGTCTGTCAATGGGTATGCTATGCAAATCTAAAACTAATTCTGCAACTCAGGCATAACTGCAGTGCAAGTCTCCAACTGGTTCAAAAACCGAAGACAGCGGGAGCGAGTTCCGCCGCCGAAGGAGCAGTACAACGAGAATACAATGGCCGTTCTTGATACAGGTAAAATCAACAATCAATAAAAACTCATGTCATTTGAAGGTATTGCAGCATCTGGTAAATTCGTAAATATCGCTCCAGCTCCTCAAGGTATTCCACGACAAGTGAAGCAGATAAGCCCGCAAATCCTCCGCGACAATTCTTCACAAATGCGCCAAGTCGTCAAACTTGTTCAAGTAAACCTCTTTATTAATTTCTTCCTTCGAATCAATTCTAGTCCCCTTCGAAGAGTGGCGAGCAAATTGTCCTGACAGCGGAACAAGCTGCCCAACTCGGTTTGATTCCTCATCCTGAACAGCAGCAGCAGCAACAACAAGCTCAGCCTAAGCAGCAAATCGTCAGAATCAGGAAAAAACGTCCTCAAAAGGTAAAGTCTTTTTGATCGATGATGATGGTTAATTATTGCAATTTACAGGTCCAGCCTCAGCCCCAACAAGCAGTGATTATGCAGCAAGGCGGTGGACAACAACAGGGTCAACTTGTCATGCTCCAGGATGGATCACACGCTCATCTTCAACCTGGTCAGCAATATCAACTCATCCAGGTTTTGAAACTAAACGACTTTCCCTCTTTGATCGCATTTTACAGACCCCTGATGGGCGTCAATTGATCCAACAAGTTTCTCCCCAACCTCCCCCGCCGCCGCAGCGGCAACAAATCATTCTCCCTCCCGGCGCACAGATGATCGCCCAAGCCATGCCAGGCCAGCAAGTGATCGTCAACGCTGGTAATCAACAGATCACGCTGACGGAGGGCGCCCAGCTCATTCGCCTAGCAACAGGACAGTTCCAAATCATTCAGCCAGCCCCTGTACAGTACGCCAACAATCAAAACCAAATCATTCTCGTTTCAAAACCAAATAGGCCCACTCCTGTGAGTATCCCTCCATTCATTCTTTCTCTAAATGAACCCTAGAAGTCAAATGCAGCCCCTTCTAGCACTCAAGCAACTCTAACAACTGCCACATCCACAGTTCAAGCAACACAAAGCACCGTTTCTTCCACAGCCCCCGAATTGGTAAGTTTAGAAAGGAAAGTATGAAAGAAGAAATGCTTGTTTTAGATCACCGATCACAGCCCGCAAACATCCGAAGCCTCAGCGGCGGTCGAATCAGCACAAGCAAATACACCGAATTCCCTTCGTCTGGAGGACATGATGAAAGACGAACCTACTTCTGCCGGAGACCAGCAATTCATTGGTAAAGCGACAATCAGAAAAAGTCTTTAAAAAACTTGAATTGTAGCTGGTCTGGATGCTGCAGAAACGCTCGCCCAAGCCACTGCTGTCCTTGAAAACGCTGATTCAACGAGTTGAGAAGTTCAAAAATTAAATTATTTTATATTTTCGACATGTATCAACCGACACTTAGTATCTTATTATTTATTTTAAAGCCCCACTAAAACACTGTCTGACTTTTCCGTCCAACTGACCGTGTGCCAATACCAACTTTTCAAACGAAACTGCCACTAAAAACGATTCACAACTAACCACAAAGAAAAACACTGACAATTCATAACTACGAGCAAGTCATCTCACCGATGAATTGTCAAAATAAAAAAAAATATTCTACTGTAACTAGAGCTTCAGTTCAGAGCTCAGAGTTTGAGCACCAATTTCATTCACAAAATACAATTCCAAAGTATAAAAATTCGTTGTTTTTAATAAGTCAGATGCGAGTGCAGAATCGATAAGCAGGGACGCAGGGCTATATTCTGTGTCAGGCCTGAGTCAGGGTTCCGAAAAAGCTTCAGTAGATACCCACATTGCAGCTATTTTTTTACGAAGAAGCCAAGCTTTTTGAAAGAGTCGCTTTATATTTACATCCCATTTTCTCCATTTTGTTGGAATCAGGAATTGATCGACGGCGTCGCAAAAATAACTGCGTGGGCGCGTTTTCTCAAGCTCGGCCTACGGCCACTCTCCTCCAATTTTATCCCCTTTTCCACATTTCGCAGATTCTAAAAATTCGAAAGATAGGAACACAGTTTCGTAAAACTTCGCAAAAGCAAAAAGAGATAAGAAAGAAAGGATGAAGCAAGAGATAGCAAATGCACCAGGTGGTGGTGGAGAAGGCCCTGCCTTTGCGGTTAAACTTCGGGGTTTGCCATGGAGTGCGACGAAGGAGGAAATTTGCAACTTTCTTGAGGATCGAGCTGATCCGGGCAGTGTTATCGTGAGTATAAACTCATTGACATTTAGTCAATAAATCGATTTTATAAAGAAGTTTATTTAAATATTTTCTTATGTAGATTTGCCTTGGCCGCGATGGTCGACCCTCTGGCGAAGCTTTTGTCGGCATCTACGACGCTGATAGCTACGAGCTCTGCAAATCCAAGCACAAACAGCATCTGGGCCGTCGATACGTCGAGGTCTACGAGTCGTCCCCCGCCGAGTACATGAACGCATCCTACGACAACGACGATGGCGCGGCAAATAGCTTCAACGGCGGTGAATTCATCGTCAAAATGCGAGGCATGCCCTTCAGCGCGACTGATCACGACATTCGCGACTTCTTCGAGGGTAAGTCTAGCTGGGCTGTTTCATCGTCTCTCTTTTGTTATTTACAATTTTCATCATTTGCGAATTAGGGTGCCAAATCAGCCCGGGTGGGATTGTTATTTGTCTGGGACAGAACGGGTCGGCAAACGGGGAGGCGCTTGTTCAATTCGATGATAAAGAAAGCGCTGATCAGGCTTTGGAGAGACATAAAAGAATATGGGACAACGGTAGGGTACCACAAACTACTTTTAACATTAAGCGGAACCAGGAGGGCACGGAAAGTCAACGAGAGGGAAAGACACTAAAGACAAGGCCGTCGACTAGCTCCTTTGACTTTGAGCTTGTAATTCACAGAATTTTAGATACATAGAAGTCTTCAAATCGTCCGCACGAGACTTTCAATTAGCACAAGGCCGTAATGGAGGCGGTGGTGCCGGCGGCCCAATGCGCCACGGAAGATCTGGCGGTTCAAATCGCTCCAATCCATATGGCGGCCAATCCTATGGCGGCGGTGGAGGCCGTAGTGGATACGGTAATTCAGCTCCTCAAGCGGATTCTGGAGCCGGCTTGGACGAGAATGGACAATACAAACACATTGTTCACATGCGAGGGCTTCCTTATCGCGCGACTGAGAACGAGATTTCCGACTTTTTCCGACCCCTTGAAACCCTTGCTGTTCGAATCATCTTCAACAGGTACGAAAAGTCAGTCAAGAGAAAGAGATGCATGTTTTGTTTAGAGAAAATCGTCCAGCTGGGGAAGCCGATGTAGCTTTCTACTCGCATGGTGATGCTCAATGTAAGCTCCTTACAAAGTTTCTCAAGAAAATTGATGATTAAATTTAGCTGCGATGGGTAAAGATCGCCAGAACATTGGAAGTAGATACGTCGAGCTTTTCCTCCGATCGAAAGACGATGGACCTGATCGTTGGGGAGGCGCTGGAGCATCCGCAAGCGGTCGAAACTATGGCGGCGACAATCCATACGACTCATATGGCGGTGGCGGATACGATGACAACTACGGCAGTGGAGGAGGAGGCTACGGAGCTGGCAGAAATAGTGGCTATGGAAATAGCGGTGGTGGCGGCTACGGCGGTGGTGGCTACGGAGGTGGCGGCCGAGGCGGTGGTCGAGGAGGAAGCCGCGGTGGCGGTAGAGGAGGCTATGGCGGAAGAAGGCAGTACTAAATGCGACTTCAACTCTCCTGCTCGTTTCATTTATCTTTCCAAACACATTTATAGTCTGAATTTTCCTGCCGTCGAGAAACCGTCTTCTCTTGTCTCCAATTTTCACTCATTTATTCGAAATAAAACACAAACAATTATCTGCACCTTGACCTAAATCGAAGTGAAATATGCACGATTCTACTTGACTGATCCAGTTGTCTTCAGATGGAAGGCGGGTCAGAAATAAAGGCGGAAGTTAATACGGGAGAAGGTGCACAGCAGACTAAAGCCCAAGAGACTCCCGACGCGGAAGAGAACGAAAATCCCCTTTCGGGTTTCTTTGCTCCGAGAACAGAGGCAGAGCCCGTTCAAGAACCAGTGCCGAGCAATGGTGGTCCAACAACACCAGACGATGCTCTTCCACAGCCTCCGATGCCACCAGGATCAGCTGGATGGCAGTCAGCTCCACCAGAAATGAATCAAGGCACGGGCTTCGGTGCTCCAGAAAATCAGATGTATCAAGAACAAAATCAAGGCACGCCAGAAAATCCACCCGGAAACGATTTTTCCCAAGGTCCCCCAGTGATGGGCTTCGGAGGACCCCCTGAAATGAACGAACAACCACCTATGAACCAGGGAATGATGGGATTCGGTCAGATGGCTGGAATGAACTTTTCCGGTGGCTTTATGGGACAAAATCAGCAATTCGGAGGGATGCAGCAACACCAGCAAAATCAGCAGTTTCAACAAGCGCCCCAGGGACAATACCAAGATCAGCACCATCAGCAGCAAAACTACTACGGACAGAACCCTAATCAGCAAGGAGGTTATGATCAAGAACCGCCCAGCAAGGCGCCGAGATTAGACCCAGGCATGCAAAATGAACAAAGTGGAAAACCCGAAGCGGGCAAATACGATGTTCGAGGATTAGATGACAACTGTGTTTTTGACAAGATCATTAAAATGTCTGGACTGCCTTATCGAATAACAAGAGGAGAAATTCGCGATTTTTTCAAACCACTCGACCTGACAGACGTTAGAATAGAGATCGGAAAGTAAGTTTCTCGTATTTCTCCTCGGAAATTGATAAAAATATTAGAGATGGTCGAACAACTGGTAATGCTTTTGCCGCTTTCTTCACCGATGATGATTTGTACAGCGCAATGCAGAAAAATAAACAGATGTTGGGCACACGATACGTTGAGCTTTACAACAAAAGTCCGGGCGCTCGAGGAGGTGGAAGAGGTGGCTTCCGAGGCGGCGGATTCCGAGGTGGTGGAGGACACCGTGGTGGCGGAGGATTCCATCGAGGAGGGGGATTTGGCGGAAGAGGCGGACACGACGGCGGCGGAGGCTTCCACAGAGGAGGTGGATTCCGTGGCGGGCCACCAAGAGGCGGAGGAGGCCACAGAGGTCACCGAGGCGGCTACCGTGGTCGCTGGTAACGAAACGCTGCCCTGCTTTCCCACTCACTACTTTCCTTTACTAGCCACCTACTATTTCCCATTCTCTGCAATTTTCAAAGATTATCTAACGTAATTTATCTGTTGTAAATATTTAAAAGCGAGTTTTAATTATTCTGCCCAGATGCTGAAAACTTTATCAGCGTCTCTCTTTATTTTTTGACTACTTTAGGTAAATAAGATCAAAATATCAAATCAGTCGGTTTTCCAATTTCCACAAATTCAGATCAATTTGAAAATGACGGTCTCGCTTATTGGGTTTGGAGTCCTCATCTCCTTGTTCATTTCATCCTGCACCTTCCTCTACCGAGTTCCTTTCTTTCGCGAAAACTACTTCTCCACGAAGAACGGCGCCCTTGGAGCGTTCTACCGAAGTGCTTTTATTGGAACACGACTTGACCGAGTTTGTTCTATCATCAGTCTTTTACTCGCCGTTTTCGTACTTTTTGCTTGACAACTTTTGAATCTTCTCTTTCTGTATCAAAATATCCCTCTCTATCAAAACGATATTCAACTCTTTTATTCAAGAACCTAAAAAAAGTAATGGACTTCGACATAACGAAACTGCAAGACATCTTCGCCCAAGGCCAGAAGGAAGAAGAGTCCCCAAAGGCTACAAATCCTGGTCTCACTCCCGCGTCTTTCGGCTCTAATCAAAAACAGATCCTTCCCCACAAAGACATCCCCAAAGCTAAACCATTCGCTTCGTCCTCCACCGAGAGCGAAGAGCCAAAAAAGACGACCTCGAAAGACATTTGGGGAGAAGATGAAGACAATACGTTGATTGACCAGTATGACCCGCGAGAGAGGCCTGATGTGAAAGATACGTATGTCCAAATGGTTGGCGCGGAAGATATTTTCTTGGGAATGGGGACTAAGGATCCGGGGACAACAAGCTCAGATGGGCTGAGAATGACCTTTCATTTGCCAAAAGAGAAGGATATGAGTGGAATAGAGTTAGATGTGACGGACACAGAGATCAATTTATCAACTCCTAATTAGTAAGTCTAGCTTTATTGTTGATTCATTAATTCGAGCATAAAATTTAGCGTTTTACGACACATCCTGCCGCGCTCGGTAAATTCTCCAGCTGCTCGAGCAAAATGGTGTTCCAAAAAATGCGAGGTAGACTGTCTCCCTCTTTTTGCTTTTGTTTCAGAATAATCTTCAGTTGACAATAACAGTGCCACTGAACCCAGGGGAATTCGACTTTCTAAAACACTAGTTCGAGACGTCCAGACAGCTCAGACCTAACCCGTGCTGGCAAAAGCCAACGTCAGATGTCCATTTTATTTGTCTGTTTTTTGAAATTTTCAGATCCTATTTTTGTACCTCAAAATATACTTTTATTTTTGCTAAAAATTGCTTTTGTGAATTCGAATAATTTAGAATTCGGATGGGTTGTGATTTATGTCATAAGTCAGAGACAGTAATAGAGAAGCCGATCACGGACTTGGTCAGAAAGTTGAAAAGTGTGAAACAAGAGCGCGCAAGAAGAGGCCGTCAGTGGGATCGTGCAACGGAAAAGCACGCTAGAATCAACGAAATAAAAGCTGAAATCGAACGCGTCAAAAATAGGTTTTCTCCTCTTCTTTGTTTTGAAATTGTGACGCGATATTTCAGTATTGAAAGTTTGAAAGATGGCTTCAGGATGCTTACTCGCGAGAATATGGAAGCAAAGTCTGCCAAAAATAAACTCGCTACGATCGAAAAGGTCGACTGCGAAAAGAAAATTCACAAGATCGAATACAAAACACGCGAGCTCGTGAATTATTGGATCGGTGATGAAGTACATTTATTGAAAAATAGGAAAATAATGATTGAAAGCAATTTTGCACTTAGACTATTTGCTCACTGGTTAAAGATCCGGATAGGAGTTTTTCTGCTTCGTATTCTTCGATTTCAGCTTAAAATGGTTGATAAATTTTATTTTCGAAAATATACCGACCTTGAATTTGCTCTTTTGTCAGAGATCGAGCTCGAGATCTGTAGGCCCTGTTGAATTTCACATCTTTAGAGTCGGCACTGGTTCTGCTTACTCTGCTGTCCGAGCCTCGAAGTTGATTTTCACTCGAGTTTGACGATGTCAATGAATATCTAATCGATTGATTGAATTATAAATTTATAATTTATAATGATATGGTATATAAATAATATATAAATTATAATGTAATCAATACATTGAAATACAGTAGAGCTACCTGTAGCCGTGAAAATCCATAGTACTGCTGACACGAGAATTCGGAGCACCAAAGAACTCGCGGATACTCGCTTTTAGGTTGAGGAAAAACTCCTTCATTTTACCGATTTTTACCGATTCACTTTGATCTCTTGCAAACAACAGTCTTTTAACTCTAGAAAAAGCCTATCCTCATCACATAAAAAGCAGAAAATTCGATACTATCAATCGTATTCCCCTGAAACAACCTCTAATCGAGCAGAGACAACAAGAAGCGATCGGTAACGCAGTTTTAAAAAGCATTTTCTAAGTGGTTTATTAGAAATTCTCGGTCTTTCAACATCAGAATTCGAAATTCGCCGCGTTCCGACTCCGCAGCCTAATTCAATGATGATGTCCATGATGCCGTCTATTTACTTTGGAGCCGCTCCCGAGCCACTTCCAGAAGAGGAGCCCGAAGAGTTCCAGGCTTCGATCGACCGTCATAAATTAAGACGAATCATTCAGTTGTCAAATTTGATTTCTTCATTTGCAGGTGCTCAGCGTTTAAAAATGCATAAATCAAAATATAATTGATTAGGTCCGTATTCCCGACCATTGCCAATCAGCGTCGGCCCAAAAACATCGTCAATTACGCTCGATGATGAACAGGTAATAACAACTTTTTGTCATTTACTGATGTCATCAATTTAGCTTGGAATAGCAGTGAACATGAATTTGACTGTGACATGCACAAATCTTCCTCCTCATCTTTGTTTTCTGTCGGCGGAGCTTGTCAACTCACTTCCGCAGATTTCTGGTAAAAGCTTGCCATTTTATTCGTCTAAATATTCTTCAAAGGAAACCTTCTCGAAATCGAGAGCGAAATCGCGGAGCAATGGGAAGCACTGAACATTACTGACTTGCCAGACTCGTTTTCCGATATGAACATCCAGTCTGGGTACTTCTCCTCCATCACGGGCTTCCTCGGAGCGTGGAAAATCTAACAAATGAAAGTGAAAACAAAATCGACATTATGTGCCTATCAGTGACATTGAAACTATTCAAAAACCTCTCAGCCCTCAAATACCTCGTTCTTCTATTCTGCTATTCTACACTTTTGTATTTCATTTTTCTGAATTCTAAATCCCAAAAAGTTCTGTTACAATATTCTGACAACATAACCGTTCATCAATAAACAAATTTTCGTACTTCTAGATCGTAAAATCGGCCTTGAAATGGAACTTCAAGCAAAACAGCGTTTTAGCACTCCGCTCCAGAGCTCTAATGTTTTCCTTCCAATATTTTTGAGCTCGATGAGGCACCGGCCAGTCGATATCGTTCATTTACCAAGGTAATGTTCCATTATTGAAATCAACGAAGACTCATGTCATTAGTGAGCATCACGAGATAACAAAAGAGCCCTCTTCCACACGAGCGCAGGCTGGAATTCGTTACAGATCCAGAGAGCTTCCAAGAGAATCCGAACTTCCGTCTGAAATCAAGCTTATAAAAGATCGAAATGGGGCGACGATTTATGTGGTTGGAACTGCTCATTTGAGCCGTGATTCGAATCATCAAGTATTAGGTGATTTATGATTCCATTAGTAACTTGTCTAACATGCAATATGCAGAGATAATTGATCGCGTGAAGCCGGATCGCGTGATGGTCGAGCTTTGCAATGAGCGGCAAGGATTAATGTACATGTCAGAAAAGGCGATCATGGATCAACCCGACATTACCTGGTCAGATCTGGTCAATATGGCGAAGGCAAAAGGAATCGGTGCTGCTCTTGTCCAACTTTCGCTTATGGGCGCGACGGACCACGCTAAACACGAGCTGCAAACAATACCCGGCGGCGAGTTTCGCTTCGCCAAGCAGCAATGTGACAGAGTGCCCAATTGCAAAGTTGTCCTGGGCGATCGAAGAATGTCAGTGACTTTTCGGCGGCTTACAGCGGCTATGTCCACTTGGGAAAAGATACGCTTCGTTGCGGGCACAATTTGGGACAGCCTCTGGGTCAAAGAAGAAGAAATCGAAGAAATGAAGCAAGAAGACACATTAGAAAAGTTAATGGAAGAAATGAAAGTGGGCTATCCAAGTGCGGCAAGAGTGATTCTCGACGAACGGGACATTTATCTGACAGGCATGCTCCAAGCGACGGCGCGCTCGCCCCAAAAAGTCCCGAAAGATATTAGCGAAAGTGGACTCGTGCCGCCTGTGATTGTCGCTGTCGTCGGTATCGGACATCAGAAAGGCATCACGCGGTTGTACAACGAGAAAATGGTTACGAAAAAGGACCTGGACGAGTTGAATAGAACGCCCGAGCAAGAGCCCGTCAACTGGCCGCTTGTAGTTTCCATGATAGGTGGAAACTGCGCACTGGCGGTTGTTCTCTGCTGCTGGGGCTGTAGGAAACTAACGAAAGTACTCTTCCGAAAAGAACCGGCTATTGATCCGATGAAGTTAATTAAAATAGCATAGCTTTCATTTTCTGTTTCGCTGGAGCGTTACTTGATGCGTTCTAACTTTCCAATCTTTTATGTGCTTTTAGTACTGATACGTCATACATGCTTCGGTGCGCTTAAGCCGTTGATTGCTAAAGATCATATATATTCAGAAATAAGCAAAAATGGTGGTGAGTATGGAGCTAGGAAATCGTCTCGACACATGCGCCGGAACATTGGATTTATCCGGCCTTGCGCTCAACAGCGATATCAAAGGACTCGCTGAGGTCCTCAAGACAAAACCAGTCACTCATCTTGTGCTCGCCGACTGCTTGCTAGATCCATCCGCCGCGGAGAAGCTCTTCAATGTTCTTTCTGGACTTTCGGTTCTTGACGTGAGGGGAAACGATCTTCGGGGCAAATCAGTTTCTGCTTTGGCAGGGCTCGTCCGAAAATGCACGACGTTGCACACAATCATCATGGAATGGAACTCGCTTGGTAATTGCGAGTTCGAATTTGAAGAGCTCTGCAACGCAATCACCAACAGTAGAAGTATTACAAAAGTTGATCTCGAAACAATCAGCTTGGTAACTCGCATGGGCAGAGTATTGCGCAATTGATTGCAGCAAACCCGCCGATTAGATGCCTTGATTTGCGATGGAATAGAATCGGTGCTTCGGGCGGCAGAGAAATTGTAGACGCAATCAAACACAACAGTACAATCGAGGAGCTATTGCTGGAAGGAAATGGTCTGTCGAAAGACTTGGTTGACTCGATCAGGTTCGTAAAAATCCATTTTCTCTAGCTTTGTGAATGAGAATGAACAAAGTGAGAATCTGCTGCATAGGATTTAACTGTAATTGGCAAGAGGCCACGGAGGCACAAACTAATTAATTTCGCTCAGAGTGATTTGCGAGCGAAACAGGTGTCACTCAGAAGCAGTTCTCCGGGGGCACAAAGAAGCCTCATTCCTTCTCAATGAGCTCGAAATGACAAAAAATATGGCAATGTCGGAGACGCAAAAGCTCGAGGGTCAGCTGAGTATTGGCCGAAGAGAGAAAACGAAGATAGAGGGTGATCTGTGGGACACAAAGGAGATTCTCATCCAGCTTCGTTCAAAACTCGAGATCGCCGAAAGCCAGCTCATCGAAAAAGATGCTCTTTTAGCACAAGCGGCCGAAGAAATGCGACTTTACCGGCAAGAATCAAAAGAAATTGCTCAGAAGCAGCAAGTCGAGATTGACGACCTAAAACAGAGAGGCAGGATGGCCACAGAGGAAGCGAATCATGAAAAGGATTTGCTCAAGAAAAAGCTGTTAGAGACAGAGGCAGAGAGAGATAATGCTGTGAGGGATGCGAGAAGCTTCAAATTGGAAATTGAAAATCTTCATAAAAGTAAGAAAAATTGAATAAATCTTAGCATATTTCTTTTCTAAGACATCGAGAGTGAGCGCCGAAATGCAACGGAGACTCGCGAAAACGACGAAATGCACTTTCAGCGTAATCTCAATCGCGCAAACGAAAACGTAGAGCGAGAGCGTGCAGCGAAACGCGCAAATGAAGAGGAGTGCGTCTCACTTCGCCAGCAACTCGCCGAACTCACCCTTGCGCACCGTCAGTACCAGGAGGAATCGACTGTAAGTACAATTTTTAGTGACGTGTTAATCTTTGTAATGTGACGAATTTTGATCTTGTGACAGTCATCATGAATTTGAAGATTGGTCTCAAACTCTTGTCAACAAGAATTGTATCAGTAGTCACAAGATTTAACGCGAAGAAACATGCTAAGACTGAATTAATTCTTAGACTGCGCGAAAAGAAATGGAGTTCAATCTCAAGCAGCAAAGAGACGGAGGTATCAAACAAGTTGAGACTGTACTGGAAAAGGAGAGATCCCAACGAATCGCCTCTGATCGCGCCCTCGACGCTTCCAGGTTCGCGATAGTAGGTTAATCAGGCTATAAGAATAGCGGTTCAGAACACAGATTGAAGATCTTCAAACGCGAATGAAATGCAACGAAGATTCGCGTGATCGCCTAACGAGTCAACTGAGGACGACAGAGAACTCGATCGAGCCCACCAAAAAGGCGCTAGAAAAAGCAAACGCACAACTTGTTGAAATGAAAGAAGACCACCTAAATGCGATCACTGCTGTTCGCGCGGAAGCCGATAAGCTCAGGTTTGTACATGATCATTTGATGGAAGACATTTGTCCCCGGTTAGAAAGAAAAGTAGACGCCGCGAGAGTCACGTTACTTAGGGTTGTCCGAGTTTATTTCAAGCCTCATGTCTGGCCAGTCAGAATCATTGAGACATTCGCTAGCAAAGCGTATCGAGGATATATCATTCAGCCTCTTTGGGCCAATAAGAAATCCTTATAGATCCAAAGTCCAAAGAACTTATGGTCTTTTTAGGCAAGAGCTTCATCACGCAACGAGCCAGCTCGCCGAGCATCAGCAACGCCAAAGAGTTAAGGAAGACTCCCTGAGAATAGCCCTCACTCAATATCTCCAATGAAGATCAGTTTCGAAGAAGATGCTTCCTTCAGAATGAACTTTTTCTGTTTTTCCGAATCCTCAAATCACCATCTGTCTCCCCTGTGCCTCCGTTTTGCTCACTTACCAGTGTTAATGATTCTATTTTTTCAGTTTCTTACTATTTTTATAAAAAAAATCATTTTTATAAGTGTCGATCCAAAATTTTGTTCAGAAATGTCATGTTCTGTTGTTGTCGAATCGCTTCGTGCGTCAAAATTACCCGCTGAGGGATTCGATGAATTAGGCTTTGCTCTCCGAGATGGGGCAAAAACATATTTCCTCGATCAAGTTCCCCAGACTCAGCGTTGGATTCGATTCCTCGAGCATACTCTTGGCTCCTCCTGGAATCAACACACCGATCCCCTCGAGTCTTCCGCTCATTTAGATCAATTACTATGCGAGGGTGTTCCATTTGGCCTGCACGGCTTTATCTACCCGATTCTGTGTAATGTTTCGTCGATGAAGGCGGGGTCAAAGCTTTCTTATGTTGAGTTGGTGGAGAACTCGGGCCCAAGCGATCGTGCTATTGAGAAAGATTTGCTTCGAGCGCTTCCTGACAATTATTACTTTCGAAAACTGCAAGATCGAGGAGTTCAGTCCCTCCGCCGAGTCCTCAACGCCATTCGCCTACATTTACCTCACTATGGCTACTGCCAGGGAATGGGTATGCTCGTCGGCTACCTTCTATTGATCTTAGAAGAAGAGGAAGCCTTTTGGGTGACCGTCCACATCCTCTCAAACATTCTCCCTGAAAAGTATTATAGCGAAGAGCTCACAGGCCTCCGAGTCGAGCAAAAACTTCTCCGCAAGCTCGTCAAGCAGAAGCTTCCACTTACTGACGAGTTCTTGAACGAGCGAGATGTCGACATTACGCTGGTATCAATCAATTGGCTGGTGACCTTATTTGCCGGCGTGTTGCCGCCAGTAATGGTCTATCGAGTCTGGGATGTGATGTTGTACAGGGGCTTCTCAGCAATTCACTCAATGTCGCTTTTTCTTCTGAGGTAAGTTTGATTCCAGTTGCTGTTTTGCTAAAATATTTATCAGGCATTACGAAGATGACTTGATCGCCATGCCTTTTTCCAGTGACGGGTTCAAGTTCCTTGCAAGTCTTCCCCAAAGAATCCGCAAAGACGAACTCTTCATCGATTTCGACTGCATAAAATTAAAAACTGAGACTCTCGCCCATTACCGGAAGAAAATAACGGCTAAGGCTCGCCAAGCTCCGGTAAAGAAAATCATCATTGAGCTAAAGGAAGATGATCTCAATCCTGTTGAGCAAAACTTCACGCATCTCTCGCCGCATCTCAAGCAAGCTGAAGTTGTTTTATCAATCCGCGCCGCTGTTGACGCCATTTGCCGGCACTTTGATAAGCAGCTTAACGATTTTCTTGATTACAACAGGGAACGATCTCGGAGCTCAGCCAAGGAAATGGTGGTTCGAGCAAAGGTGCTCGAAGACTTTGAGGACTTAGACACTGGTGAAGTGAGAGCGCTGACTGATGAGATAATTGAAATCTGTGATCAAAGTGATGAAAAATATTGGCTGGGTAAATCAGAGTCGGATGGGCATATGCGCTGGTTTCCGTCGAGTATTCTGTGAACGGTCTTTTTTATCCTAGAGTTAACTTTCTTTTGTCTCCACTTGATTCAATATCTATCAGTAAAATGACCCCGTCTAAAAGTCTGTTATCGATGAGTCCCGCCTTGAGTACGATCAAAAGGGCGATCTTATTCAAAATCCGAAGCTCGTCAAAATCATCGTTGAAATGCTCCTTGTCTCTCTCAATCTCGTTTTTATGCACGGACTGCTGCCAAAAAAGAAGCTCACGCACTCATGGCAATTCCTCACTTACTTTGCCTCCAAATTTAAGAATTATCGACTGAAGACAAATCGACAAACGATTGGGCGCTCGTTTTCCCTTCAAATGGCCGATGGAATGCGCACAAATGATGAGCTCTCAGAGCTTGTTGCTTTGCTCAGAAAGATTGATTTGGCCCCATCAGCTACTACTGAAGAGAAATTTTTTACTTGGATCTTGCACGGGCTAAAGAGAGGATCCATCCATACTTGGTGGGATTTTATTTGCTCACAAGGTATTTTCAAGGCCAACAACAACGATTTGAATATTAACTCTTCAGAAGAAATTGTAAAGAGCTGGTACACCGATCAATCATTCGTCGGCTCACCAGGATATGAACAAATCAGCTGTCTCCTGAAGCCTTTGAGCTATCTATTCTTCCATTTCGAGGTCACCTCGCGTAGTACATTGTGTCCTATCTTCTTCACCAACCAGGCATCACGAGAGTATCTCGAAGAGCTTGACAACACGCATGAACTGTTCAGTTGGGAACTGTAGCTTTCGCTTTGAAATTAAATAATATCTTATGTTCATCTTCAATTCTTTCTATTATTGTAATAATCGCGATTTTACTTTCTATTTTCTGTATAAAACTTTCGCCGCTCAGAATCTTCATATTCTTCTTTCAACCATTTACGCCTTAAAATTTAATGTATTCAACTATCTTCTGTTCCAATATGTTTTTATAAAAGCTCATTCTGTATTTATAATATTCCAACGATCGATTTCTAAGATATGGACGATGAATTCGCGAAATTTATGTCAGAAGTTTCTGACATCCCGGCTGCTGCCCCAGAGCCGGCCCCAGTTGCTCCCCGAAAGCGGGGGTTGCCAGCGGCATATGCAAATAGGACAAATATGTTTTCCTCGTTGAAGCCCAAAGTTCAAAAGATAGAGGTTAGTTATCAATTACTGCTGTATGGACTTTTATCTTTAGATCGCGATAAAGCAGCGATAGCAAAAAGGAAAAAAGTAAAGTATATTATACTGTAGCTCGATCCAGCGACGATTCCACAAGATACGCACTTAGCTAATGCAACGATTAGTGCAGCACCGGTTAAAAATGAATGGGTTGCTCCATTCATGAGGAAAAACGAAGATACTGGACCTAGGAAAATTGGTCTGGAGAAGGTTAATGTGACGCCGTTCTTTGGAAATGAGAAGCAAGCGTTTTCTTTGAAGAAGGAAGCCGCAGTTGAGAGCGCTCCAAAATCTTATGCAATCAAACAAGAAGAGCAAGAAGCAAAAAGTAACTCAAATCAGTAGAAATCAACGAGGACTAACACTATCTTTAGTTCAGCACATGAGCGACAAAGACCTCAAAGCGAAGTTGGAAATGCAGCCGACTAGGTAACTCGTGGTCTTGATTAAATTTTAATGAGTTCTATTAGTGCATTCTCAGTTGGACCCAAAAAGCCAGAAGATAAAAAGAAAGTAAAGAAAGAAAAATCTGATAAAAATGTAAGTGCAATTTTACGAGCAGTTTTGATTGCTTCGCTAGAATGAGTCCGGTCAAAAACCAGCATTCGTTGGAATGGATAAGAAACTAGAAGCCAGAGGTAAAAAGTTCATCCGCTGCGCAGCTGGAGAAAAATGGGAGGACCACACTCTCGGAGAGTGGGATGCTGCTGATTACAGAATATTCGCTGGAGATCTTGGCAACGAAGTTACTGATGATGTGCTCGCCAGAGCGTTCAACAAGTATCCTTCATTCTTAAAAGCAAAAGGTAAGGCGAAGAGAAAATGATTACTTTAGAAAGAATTTTAGTTATTCGTGAAAAAGGTCCAAAAATGGGCAAATCAAAAGGATATGGGTTCATTTCCTTCCGCGACCCAGAAGACTTCATCAAAGCGATGCGAGAGATGAACGGAAAATACGTTGGCAATCGACCAATCAAGCTCAGAAAATCAACATGGAAGGATAGACAAGTCGAAGTGGTCAAAAAGAAAAACAAGGAGAAGAAAAAACTCGGCTATCGAGTTTGATACTTTTACAAGTCGCCTAGTCCCTGCCCTTGAACATCATCATTACATAATGTCTGGATTGAAATTTTCAATTCTCTACTTTTTCATGTCAAGAGAGGCAAATTTATTTTTTTTAGATGAAAAAATGGGATTCTACATTTCTGAAAGTAGCTACAATACTTTCTTCGAGATCGGGCTTTGGAGAGATCCAGTAAAATCTGGAGCTTTCTTCACTGGAGCTCATCTTTGTTTGTTTATCGGAAACTGGATTCTCTCAAAAGGGCCTGTTATGATAATTGCGCTGGCGCTCACGTATAAAGTGCTCAAGAAACCGTGGACAGAGAAAATTTGGCCAGAAATTCAAACACCAGGTTCCATCTTTTACAGTCCTTCTCCTCTTAACTAACAACCCAGAATACTTCCGCGCAAAAGAATTCACGACTCTTGACCCAGAAATACCGCCATATTCAGAAGGAGCTTTGCTCATCTCCGAAATATACACCCGCATCGATACCTTCCGCATCGTACGTATTTCTTACATAAGAGCTTTTCCTCGAAATAAACATTTTATTTTAGAAACTTATTCAACTGAAACATCGTGATCCCCCAAAATATCTTGCTCTTACCTCGTTATTCTTTATTGTCTGTTATTTCATTGGTCTCCAACTCTCTGGATTCACCTTTTGCTACCTCATTTTCCTCTGCTTCTCTATTCTACCCGTTCTTCTTAAACCAAAAATCCTTGGTAAGTTTTTCCATTCTTTGTAAGTCTCATTAAATCAATAGAAATCGCTAAAAGTAATGACGTACTCGCAAAAGAAAAAGCCGCGCTGCTCAAAAAAGCAACGACTCCGCCTCCAAAGGTTACAATAACGGAAGAACCGCCGACTCCTTCAGACTCGGAGAGCTCATCTGACGAAGAAGAAGAAACGGCCGCGGATAAAAGACGGAAAAGTGACTTCGACCCGACCGCGGAGCCAACTTGGCTTGAAGATTTCGGCCACAACGTTTCGGCCAAAGCTGAAGAGGCTAAAGAAAGGTTTTTGTTTGATATTTTCGCAGAGGTCTATCATAATTTTAGCTTGAAAGATAACTACTCTCTTCTCAAGCAACAGATAGCTGATGCGATTGGTCCTCTTAAACGTTCGAAAAAAGGTTCAATCGAACAAAGTTCTGCCAACAATAAATACTTTTCAGATGGCTCAAGCACAGAAGGAAGCGATAACGAGTTTGTCCTGGTCCAGCCCGATGAGTTCAGCTAAAAGTGTCTTACTAACCCCTAAACTTGCCATTCTAAACAAGCCCCTGATTTGTTTTATTCTCTAATTCTGATTTATTTCAACAAACCCTCAAATTCGAAGCGCTTTTCAAAGTTCAATTCAAATATAGTTCCATCTATTCTTCAAAAAAAATACTCCAGCACCAATCTGTTACACCAACTTTTAAGCATGCTGTAAGATGGCGATCGTGATCGAGACAGACATAAAGGGGGAGGGTGCTGATGCGGAAGAAGTTCCTCTTCGGTCTTCTATTTCGAGCAATCATGACGACAAGATCGCGGATAGTTCTGACGAATGCTAAGGGTTCTAAATCATCGATATAAAAATTCTCCTAAATGAAAGTTCTCTGTGAACCCCAATGTTAGCTCAGCCTGCTCCGGATCTTCTTCTGGATCTCTAAAAGACGGGAAGCCAATGTGCCGTATTTGCCACTCTAATTCAGGGATAAATAAAAGTACGTCCGCCCATTTATCAACTATCGCATAACATGCTTTTTCCCAGCTTCTGGCTCTCGTGATCTGATAACGCCGTGCAAATGCAGTGGAACACTGAAAATGGTGCACAGGAATTGTCTTGAGCGTTGGGTTCGCACTGCTGATACCAAGTCCTGCGAGGTATAAACCTGCTTTTACTTGATAGTAAAGCATTTTCTCTAGCTCTGCCACTATCGATTTGACATGAAGTCTTCCTTCCCTCCTTTTCGCAATTGGAAAAGCCTGACAATGTCTGCGAACGAGCGCAAAAAGCTTATTATGTCTATCACGTTTCACATAATTGCTCTGGGCACAGTTGTCTGGAGCCTGTATGTACTCATCGGTAGGCGTTCTTTTCCTTGATTTTCGTCCTTGATTAACATCTTTACAGAAAAAACACAGCAGGAGCTGCAAGAGGGTGATATGAAATGGGCTTTTTGGGCAAAACTGATTGTTGTTGGCGTAGGATTTACTGGTGGTCTTGTCTTTATGTATGTACAAGTAAGTACAACTCCTGGTGACTCAAAATATGAGACCTTCTAGTGTCGTGTTTACGTGGATCTAATACGCCGATTCAAAAACGAAAACAAAGTTATCTATGTCCAGTCCTTGCCGTCCTCATCCGTTGAGCAAGTTTAACACAGTTTGCGAGTTGCTCGACCCGTGCATCCTAGTTCCTACTGATCTCCTAATTTCTTCATGTCAAAAAAAAACTGAGAAGTTGCACATAATCTTCAATCTCACTTTTTTCCTTTTATTTCTTTTATCTGCACTTACCGCGCTAAAAGATTATTAGCCGTCATAATCGCCCTGTCTCCAAAAATACTGTTCCTTTCTAACTTTTCTCATGGTTCCTATTATTGTATTGGAAGTCATCATCTGACCGATTCTTGCTCAAAATAAAACTGATCATTACAGATGCGTTTATCAGCAATTTCGTGCATATAATTCATATCATTTTTATTGATGATCTTCATCATTAAATTTAACAAGCTAATACTGATTTTCGAAGAATTATTTTCGAGATTATCTTGACAGAGTCTTGACTGCTTTCAAATTCATATAAAAAGTTCTCAAAATAGCCATCTCAATTTATCGAAAAGCAAATAGAATGTCCGAGCTTTGGGAGAAGACAAAAGACTACACCTACAAGACATCTTATGTCCTCTATGTCGGTGCAATCATCTACGTAATGGTAGTTATTTCCATCTAAGCATGTGACTAGATACAATCTTTTTCAGACCCGCACAAAGGCGACTCCAGGCGGACCCTTCCCACCAGAGAGTACTTCAGCCGCCGTTGTGAAAATGCTCATGCCACTCCCAATGTAAATTGTGCTTGATTATTTATTCCTGATAGAAGTCACTGTAATTTACTGTGTCTGCCTCTTAGCTTGAATGAAATGAATAAAAATTGAGACCAGCAATGAATGTTTCACTTCAGATGTGTCCCCGTGCAGATCAATGACCAGGTTAACCGCCGGGGACTTCGAATGGGGTCGGGTTTTAGGGGAAGGGAGCTACGGGGAAGTGGTCCTTGCCAGGCTCAAGGATCCCTCTCCCTTTCCAGAATGGCCTGCTGAGCTCGCCGTCAAGCGTCTGTCAAAGCGCTTTATTCTGAAAGAGCAAGCAATAATGCAGTAAGAGCGACTTTTACCTGCGAGTTGTAACTGATATTTTCAGTCGCACTGGAAGAGATGTACAAAAGCAATGTTTTACTGAGAAAAATCTTTTATCAAAACTCAACTCTCCTTTTGTCGTTCGCCTTTTTACTACATTCACTACCACAGAAGAACTGTTTTACGCGATTAGGTAAGCCAGACTCTCTTCCTTGATCTCAAGAATTCTGATTTCAGCTATCAAGACCAAGGTGATTTACGTGAGCTGCTAAACGAAAAAGGTGCACTAGAAGTAAATGCTGCTCGATTCTACCTGGCCGAAATTTTCTCTGCCCTCTTTTACATTCATGATAATTTGGTGATTCACAGGCAAGGACTCCTGCCAAGGAGCTATTATCTTTGGACGTCTTTTTATAAGAAAATTCAGAGACATCAAACCTGAAAATATTCTACTCGGGAAAAACGAGTACGGAGTTCACTTAAAAATCTGCGACTTTGCCACTGCGAAAGATGTCTCCCAACTCAAAGATGGCGAGCATGCGAGTACATTCGTCGGCTCAGCGGAATACGTGTCCCCTGAATTGCTGGGCTACGACGAGAAAATCGGAAAATATGCGGTCTATGAGTCCGATTTGTGGGCAGCAGCTAGTGTGGTTTATTTTATGCTCGCTGGTTTGCCACCGTTTCGCGCTGAAAGGTAAGAAAAAGTAAACCCTGCTTGATGATCAATTGAAAATCTTTAGCGAGTATTTAATGTACAGAAAAATTGAAACCAACGACTACACGTTTCCCGAGGGTTTTCACGAGGACGGAAAAGCCCTCGTAAAAGAGCTGCTGCAGTTGAATCCAAAAGCGCGACTTGGAGCTGGACGCAATCATGATGCTATCAAAAATCATATTTTCTTCAAAGAAACAAATTGGGTGGATCTCCACAAGCAGGAGCCTCCAACGATTCGCCAGTACTCTGACTCGATCGAAGAGATATTTCACGAAGATCCGATGACTGCGGCGTTCGAGGAATTCACCGTAAAAACTAATCAAACTTCAGAAAACGGTGATTCAGGTAGAGGATCTTCCACTTTCCTACCATGAACTTAATTAAAGGAGAACCAATGTCCGAAGTAGATGACCCTGCCGGGCTGGGAATTCCAACAATTTTATCCAAACAAGAATTCGAAAAACGACTTGTCTCGCAGAGAATCGACCGAAGCAACAAATCGAACAGATGGGCAACATTTGTCGACGATGATGAACTTATTATCAAGCTTGGTTACATGCACAAAAAACGAGGGCTTTTCTCGAGAAAAAGAATGTTTCTTCTGACAGGTAATTTTCGAAATTCTAAAAAGAGATTGTCCAACTTATTAGAATCAGTGTATTTTGAGAGTACACTCATAAATTGAGTTTTGTTCTAATTTGATATTTATGGCATTTTAGGAGGAAAACGAGAAAAACAACCGAGGATGATTTACGTGGATGCAAATTCATGGGAAAAGAAAGGCGAAATAAATCTACACGCAAAAATCAGAGTTCACCAGAAATCCTTTTCCCGCTTTTACGTCGTCGACCCTTGCAAGGGTCGGGACGGAAGGTACTCTTCTCCTTCCTCTAGCGAAACATTATCAACAAATTTCAGGATTTACGACCTAACAGACAACAATTCAAATTCTGACGTGCCCGACGCAGGCGCCGCGCAATGGATCCGCAAGATTCAGCTTGTCAAACAATTCTACTTCTCCAAGCCAAACTAGTTGCAAAAAACATCCGTTCAGAAAAAAAATCACAGATAAAATCCTTATTCTCCCGCTGTTACAATTTCAATTACAATTATAATTTATTCTGTTATCCTTCTTTACTGTTCCGTTCAAGAATATTCGAATACACATTATCACAAATTGATAAACAAAAAAGTAATGATGTCCTGAAAGTCCTGAACCCTTGAATTATCCGTTCAGTTTATTTAAAATCCAATCAGCCAACAAATGTGACATGTCATTCGCCAGTTCTCTCTTTCATAATTATTCTAAATACATTCTATTCGATAATTAGGCCTCATCAAGACAATTCTAGCACTTCGTTGAATTTGAATATGTCCGAGTGGGGCTCAAAGACCGTCGCCGAATTGAAGAAAGAGTGCAAAGAAAGAGGCCTCAAAGTGTCCGGGACAAAAGCCGAGCTTGTTGAAAGGTGAAACAAGAGCAGGAATTTCAATTTGAATAAAAAATATGTTTAGAATCGAAGAAGCCATTGCGGAGGGAAATGATACTCTCGAGACGACCGGTGGCAACATCGAAGACGAACTCCTAGCTGAGGTTGAGGAACCAGAGCCTGAGCAGAGTGAAGAGACTGACGAATTGGTAAAAATCTCTATTTTTACCAAAAACAAACGAGTTGATTTGTAGTGATAATCGATATTTTTCTTTACTTTTTTCTTCAATATTTCATATTCAGAAGACAGAAGATATCATTGAAGAAGAGCCAAAAGCTGAAGAAAAGAAAGCTACCCCGCCGGTAGAAGACGAAGTCGCCAAAAAGATTTCTCGGTAAGTCTTCAAGGCGAGAGCTACTGCTTTTCATTCCTTCATAGAGCGGAACGATTTGGGCTTGAATCAAAAGAAGTTCTTGAGCAGAAAAAGCTGAGCCGTGCAGAGCGATTCGGCCTCCCAGCTGCCGAAAAGGCAAAGGCAGATGAGAAGAAGCGCGCCCGTGCCGAGCGTTTTGGCCTTACAAATGCCAATGGTACCAGCGGAGCCGCTAAGAAGGTTTGCGCATACTTCCTTATCAGTGCAAACATTTACTAGTCTAAACTGGAAGGCACGGACATCGCAGTCGACCCAGAGAAGATCAAGAAGCGAATGGAACGCTTCGGCGCATTAGACGACCCAGAATCGAAGAAAAAGCGCGAGCCGCTCGATTCGCCATGGCCTAGATTTACACTCACGCCACTTGTAGTTCATTTCATTTCCTCAAATTAGGACTCCTGTATCAAAGTGAAGATGAAAGGGCCTTCGATCTTTGGCTCTTTCTGTTCCTCCTTTAGCTCGATTATCATTTATCGAAGGCTGTGCCTGAAATATACTGCCTGACAAAAAATTATCCCTTTCGTTTTTGAATAGCATTCAAATGATATTTTTCAAAAACGAAGTTGTCAAAAATGTAGCAGGGCAGTTTCTAGAATGCATTTCTGTTTTTTTTTCCTGGAAGTTGCAGTTGACCAGGGCGTCAGTTAGAAAAATCACTTGTTAAAAGTTACGTTGAAATGGGGAAAGGAGCCCAGAAAGATCCCGTTGCAATTGATGAGATCCACAAGGATCATGTTCGAAAAGAAAATGTTGCGGCCAAGCATTGGGCATCAAAGTTCCAGTATTATAAAGACGAAAATATTAAGGTACTGTATCGTTAATCGCAAATGCAATCGACTAATTTACAAATAGATGCAGGAAGAAATGAAAATTGTTCAAGCCGAAACGAGCCATCTTCAAGAAGAAATTCCTGACTGGAAAAAATCTCTCCCCGTAGCTCGCCCCAAAGACTCCCCAAAAGTACCCAAGACGACTTCTGGTCGTATTGGGTGGCGATCAGGCTTGCCAGAATACAAGGCCAGTTTCAAATATAATTCTTTCTGAAAATAGTTACATGTATCAACAAATGGTTATTAACAAAATTTGGAACCATAATGAGCTTGAAATCTACGGCGATACGGTGAATTGTAGACGCCGCGATATTGTGAAGAAATTCGAATGGCCAAGTGAAGGTCTTTAAAACTGTATCCATTATATGTTGCTAATAAATCTGGTGCCTGAAAACGATCGAGTTTTTGGCCCGTTGAAGACACATTTATTCAAAATGCAGAGTTTATTGTTTGAGAGAGCATCTTCTTTTCAAGTCCTGCATATCTTCTTCCCGAAGCCGTTGACAGAAACCTCTCCGTCGCGAGTTGATCCTTCTTGATTCTTGTCGTCCAAAGCCAATCTCGTCCCATAGCGAGACACTTTGACTCCGCGGGTTTACTCTGATTATAATTTAAAAGTGTATCAACAGGGTCTCGCTACCCAAAGGCTTCCACGGACTCCGAAAATGACATAGTTCGCTGAGAAGATCGACCGAAAGTGATGGCTTTGACAATGTGTCCAGATCTTCGTCGATGCCCGCGTTTGCGTGAGTCGTACTGAAGCTAGTTCTAATAGAGTATTAGATTAACCTCACCTGGAGATAGTCATATAAGTATTCCATTCTCTTCGAAAACTTCTTTAACTTCCAACACAGAAAATATATGGCCACATAGCTTATGAAAAAGGCGCTCATGAAAAAGTTGAAACCGACTACGGAATAAAGAATGACTTTATTTAAATCAAAATCAAATGACAATAGTGTCATGCTGTCTAATTGACTGAGGTCTGAATCCATAAAATTATCTGATTACGAGGCCGATTCTGTCGATCACGGATTAATTGATTTGTTTTATTCGGAATGCACAAGGAAAAATGACAAGAAAATATACATATTCACAGATTATTGATAAATACAGTATAAAACGGAAAATAAGCTACAGTATTTGCTCAATCTTTCTGGAGGCGTTGCCTGTATTCTAGGTAGCAAACGATCGGGTGGTACATCATCGCTACTTGTGTAAAAGCTGTCCAGACGTTGACTTGGTAAAAGCCAACTACATGTTCTAGGCGGAAAGCGTAGTCGACCATAAATGAGGCGATGGCGGAAAACGCCTAAAATGTTAAAAATGATCAGGAAAATCATGCTACCTGGGAAACACCAAAGAGTTTGCCGAAGTGATGATGAGGGAAGAGAATTCCAATCAAAGCCGTGTGGCAAGCAAAAGTGAATGCACGGTGCAAAGCACTGAGAACCATTGTTAAGTATTGTAACTCGATGCTCTCTGCCTGAAAAAATTTCTGCTTATAAAGTTTCTCGAAAGGTTAACTTACCACTTCCATGAATGAAAAGGCGACTCCAAGCACATTACAACAAGTGACGGAAATCAAGACAGCGAGGTACTTGTTTGAGGTTTTGGAGAGCACTTGATCGATGATGATCCCGTTGATTGGGGCCAGAAAAATGGCTAGACTTTGAATGACGCCGAACACGGTTGTCATCTGATCGGTCAAGTCCATTACTTCTTCTGAAGTCATGTTCTCGTCACTTCGACGAATTGTCTCGTTGATCGAGCCTCCTACGCTGGCAAGGTACCAGTACACACTAGATAGGTTCAAAACGACTTCGATCACCATTTTCTTACCGGAAGCAATTGACAACAAAGAAGAGATTCGCCGAAATATAGATTCTTCTTGTAGCACAAGCTTTGAAGGTTACTTCTTCGTGGTGGTCCTCTTTTTCATCGGACGAAATCTCGGATCCACTTGAGTCTGTTTGTACCATTTTCTCACTCTCCAAATCGTGGTAGACATCCTTTTTTGGCATCCTCAGCTTGGCAAATGGAGTGATCCATTCCCAATTCGCAGGAACAGGGAAGGGAACATTATCAAAAGGAAGTTGGAAGATTGTTCGGATAAGCTGGTAGACGCACATGATTCCATACAGTAAGAACGTCAGTTTCATGCCGATCATTTTGTACAGCGATAATAGCAGAAGAGCAGTGCTAAAATAAATTTGCATTCTGTTTTCCTCTTTCTTCATTATTACATAAGAAGTTTGTTGTTTACTCACAGTGCAGATGAGTCCAAAGCTCCATTGAAGAGATTGAGCGCGGCTGTCCTCCCAGTTTCGTAGATATTTGGCAGTTGGAAGTTGCTAGTAAGGAGGAAAGAAGCGCCGATGGCAGTGGTCGGTACACCTGTTTGGAGTCCCCAAGGTTCTTCTGGAGTCGAGAATGCAATTAGAACAAGACCAAGTCCGAAGAGAGATGTTCCTATCAACCTGGAAACTGCGGTGCCAAATTTGTCGAAGATCAAGCCAGCAAGAAGAGCTGGGACCGCAAAGAATAAGGAACAGTTCTTGAAGATTTTGAGCAATTCATATTTCTGAAATCAACGATGAGTACCGCTCCAGATGGGCACAATTCTGACCTGGTTGCAGGACTCGTCCGAATTCGGTAAACATTCAAAGAAGCCTTCTTGAATGAAGATTTTCTCGAGGTTGGCCCATCCAAAGAAGTAACCGGTGCAGAATAAAAATTCTATCAATCCAGCGATTACTGCGAAATGCTGCAAGGAAGAATAAGCGACTGCAAAAATAAAGAGCTCTCATACCTTGGTAAAACTTGAAATTCCCATCTCGATAATATCAGAAAAATATTTTTGAGCTTTTCAACTAAGGAAGTCGTAAGTTACACCCAAAATGCGAATTTTACCACTTTTATGGGGTTTACGTTATTTGTCTTTTGCGAGCGCCCCCTGGATTGACCCTTGTTAGCTCTCCTAATTTTTGTACTGTCGTCTGCTTTTACGCGCAGATAAGTACGTCAAAGGACGTGTTTTGTGGAGATGATTTTTTCTCTATCTGGAGGGTTGAATCGGCCGAAGAACGGGGTACTTAATCTCCTTGATGGGCTCTTTGATAAGCTCATTTGAGAAGATTGACCTTGATTCTTGGTTCGAACCAGCTGAATGTTGTAAGTTCTTCACGCGTTCATAGAATGTCTGATTGAAAAGGGAGCAGCCTTCAGATCTCATTCAAACGAATTCAGTAAATTTTGGCGTCCGGAGAGGTAATGAAAATTGTAACAAATGCAAGCTTTTTTCATAAATTGTCTTCTACCTTGATTTTTTACCCGAGTTTCGAAAGACCACTTTATGTCTTATAGACGCCATCAAGTTTCGGCAGGAACTGTAACGAGCAACAATCGTCTGTCATAAACTTCAGTCGTTTTTACAGTCAGAGTCATCTGCTATTCTTGCGACGATTCACTACGTCGAGTATATTCAATAAAAACTGTCTTTATATCTCACGACACTCCCATTTCCTTGGGATTTCTCAAGGAATTATGCAACTGACGGTAGAAATAGGCCGAGGAAAATTCCAGAAGTTCGATAACTAACTTTACTGGGCTTGCAACTCACTAGATTTTCATGGTTGAAAGATCACCATGAATTTGGAAAGTAAATACAAGATTACGTAAGTCAGAGTGATTTCTAAGGATATTTCTGATGTTTGTTTCGTTCTGAAGGGCAAAGAATCGAACCTACTTAAAGTTTATAGTTCCGATATTTGTTCATCTCTCTGGTCAGCGACCCTTCTTGACTCAAGGTCCTTGAGAGTCTATAATCAGTTATGACGCAAGTAGATGTAATGATAATTATGCAGTCTGCAAGTCACATGTTTGTTAGCTGCATGTATTACTGCTAAATCGCCTAACAGTAGGCAAATATAGTTTGATCCGATTTGACCATCAATCCGATGAAACTAAAAACTAATCCCTTTTTAATAATGTTTATACAAGTTGTTTTCGAATTCGGCTTTACCATAGAACAAAAATCTGAGAAAAAAAAATCACGCGATAGAAATTAAAATTTTATTTTACTTCGTCGTACATTTGAGCGAGCGCACAGCACATGCAGCAAAAGCTATTCAGGCATTCTCTTTTATAGCCGACCGCCGGAAGTATGTCGTGTTTGTCTGAAAAAGAATTACAGTTGAAACTTGTTCAAAGAGTAAAATAGGGTCAACGGATAGGAATGATCGAATGTGCCTGAATTTTTCCATCATCATTTTCTTCTCACCTTTGATTTCTTCCCGCAGCAACAAAGTTAGAAAGCACAGGAGCTCCGGGAAGCAACAAAAGTATGCGAAAATCCCGGCGCATTTGAAATTTTCCGAACGATTAAATTTTCCAAAGATGTTGGATTCTGATTTCTCGGCAGTTTTGGACATCACCATTAGTGGGCAAACGGAGGCGTAACAGCAGGTTCCTATCATTGAATTATTGAAGTAGAATAAAATCATACCTGTGCATCTAACAAGTGGGCGTTTCCATTTTCTAGCTTCATCTTGAGCATACGACCAGGGCTGATCTCTTATCACAACTTCGTCGTTTACTGGGATCGAGTAAATGCCCTCGTCTCTATCAACAGACGCTAGAATCATTTTTAGACTTTGTAAAAATGAGGTTTTGCTTACATTCTCGATAGTGCATAGTTGTGGGATGAGTACTAATTTATACAAAAAAGGGTTGACAAAAGACTGATTGAGACGCGCGCTCTTATCACCTCTGAAGGCCAAAAGCTTTGAGCTTCCGACCATCTGCCAGCTCTATTGCAAGCCTTTCAAGGCTAGAAAAAATGTGAAAGCTTCAAGTTCTCGATGAAAATTTTGCTGTCAGAACTGATGAAAGGTTTTCTTGTGCTTGTAGGAGGCGAGAGGGGTAGGAGAAAGTTGGCATGGAGACGATTCTCACCTGTTAGACAATCGAAATCGGACTCAAAAATGGGATGAGTGGAGAGAAGCGGTACTTTATTTCGAGGCCGTTTTGTCGCTGCACGCTCGGCATCTCCGCATCTTCTCAAAAATGGACGCGGTAGAGGGCGCTTTTATGCTTATGCACGCCGCCCAAAAGGCAATACCTGTCTGACAGCGAATTTTAGTAAATAATCTAAATCTCTTTCCTCGAAATCGAACAGCGATAAATGTGTCTGCCTGATTCCGGTCAGAATACATCTTTGTTTTCGCGGTAATGGACTTCGGAATTGCTGTTCAACCAATATTTTCCCTTTTCATTAAGGGTAATGGTATACATCGGCGCGGCGCCGCTCGCTCGATCCGCGCTCCGCAAGAACCTATTTCTCACGAGGCCGTAAAATCTGAACGGATCGAGATTTTTTCGAGATTCAAACAGATTCGGAATCCTCAAAGTCTCTTCTATAAACTGATTGAAAATTAAAACAATTTTCAAAGAGGAACAATGTGAAAAGTGCCAGTTTCCTTCAAATGACATTTTCTCCATAATTTCTCATCCAAATTTTTTAAAAATTAGACTGTCTTGTAGAGAATCGTCAGCTCTACAATTCCTCTGTTTCAGATTTTTCATTTGGGCTTTCAAAATTATGTGCGCTCTTTTGAAAAGAGAGTTTTGAAGTGAGAGCCAAGCGCGGCGCGAGAAATATGCAGCGGAGAGGCGCGAGAAGAAGTAGCACTCTTTACAAATTGCGATGTAAAATTAATGAAAGCTTAAAACAAAAATCTGAAACAGAGGAATTGTAGAGCTGACGATTCTCTACAAGACAGTCTAATTTTTAAAAAATTTGGATGAGAAATTATGGAGAAAATGTCATTTGAAGGAAACTGGCACTTTTCACATTGTTCCTCTTTGAAAATTGTTTTAATTTTCAATCAGTTTATAGAAGAGACTTTGAGGATTCCGAATCTGTTTGAATCTCGAAAATCTCGATCCGTTCAGATTTTACGGCCTCGTGAGAAATAGGTTCTTGCGGAGCGCGGATCGAGCGAGCGGCGCCGCGCCGATGTATACCATTACCCTTAAATGCACTTTTATCTTTTGGTATAATGGCTGCTCCAACAATGCCTGTGGGTACGATTTCACGCGGCCGAAAGACCCCGTGCAAATATTCTGAGCATTTTGTCTCCTGATGCATTTTGGTTTCTTTTTATATTTATAGTAAACAAGCAGGAGATAATATATTGAAGATGACGGCCATTGACAGCATTTTCGTGACGCGAAATCTCTTCCATAGTGAAAGATTCATCCAAAACCAAGCAGGTAGGAAATATTTTTGCAAAATATTTTTTGATCTTGTGATAAAGATGCAACTGTAAATATTGAGTGTGGAAATTTTTAAGTGCCGCTTATCAAGCTCATGGAGTTGCTGGGTCCGGGAGGGGCTCTGGAGCGGCTGCACTACGAAAAACTACCGAGAAAAGCGCAATATGAAGTGATCAAGGAAGTCCTCTGGACGGCGTACCAAGATACTTGGCGACTGGATTGGACGACTTTATCCCATGAGAAGAAGTTGAGAAAGCGGCCTACAATGAAAGTAAGAAACTATCATTTTGCTGAGAAAAGCGAAATAAGACAGTTGTCTCAACATGCCAATTTCTTGAAAGCGCATGTCAGATTTTCACATTTTCGAACGTTCAGATTCGTAACTATGGCATTATCTTGTATTTACCTGTTTTTTTTCGACGCTAATGAATTTATTATTTTCTTCAGTATGCGATGAAAAATCTCCTCGAGCATTTGGGCTTGAATAAAAGTCCCCGACCTCCGAGAAAATCAAGAAAGAGAGCGCGACGCGTCCCACCGCTTGGTGCTGGATTTGGGGGCTTGAAACGAAGAGATATTGAGAAACAACCGCTCCGCTCGAATGTTGAAATTTTCCTGCCGTCTATCGCTGAAGAAGAGCCAGCTCACAAGAGCAGCTTTAAACAACTTCAAAAACACTCTCTTTTCTTTCGACCGAGCGGTAAGCTGAAGGAGCTCATGAAATCAGATCCGGGCCCGGGCGCTGGAAAGTTAGAGAGAATAAGAATCGCTGCAGGACTCAGAACTCGTGATCAAATTCTTCAAAGAAAGGACGAATTGCTTTTACGAGAAGCGCATCAAGGAGTAAAACGATCATCAGCTCATCATGTTCCTCAAATTCAACAGACTTTTGGAAACAAATATGGATCCGGGAGATACTCTGTTTTCGATCCTATGGGGATTACATGGCTTCTCCTGTAGATATGGAGCTCAAGGCGAAACTTGGTCGGCCAGAATTCAGTCCGAGCATTGAATACCGAGCCGGAAATATGTACAACTTTGAGAATCGTAGCTATGAAAGGATGAAGAAGAAGCTTCGAAGACAGTACTACAAGAACATGACGGCGGAGGAGAAGCAGAAATACAAAGAAGAAAGAGCTACTCGCCGAGCGATGCGCGCTGCAAATGGCGAAGTACTTAGCAGCGAGTCTGATCTCTCCGGAGATGATTCCATGTCTGATGTCGACCCGCAAGAGTATCAGAATTTTATATTAGAGAAGCAGCGGCGGCGAGCGCATAAAAACATGCTCAAAGCTGCCGGACAAGATCCCGGCTACGATTCTGACGAGTTTGAAGACGATTACTGGTCTGAGAAAAAAGGAAATATTCCACTTGACATGCAACGCAGATTGGGCTTTGCTCAGATTCTCGCGCCTGGTCCTGAGTTGCTGGATATAAGCTTGCCAAAAGACGAGGAAGCGAAACAGAAGGTTTTGGAAATGTTCAAAGAGGTTCTCAAGGACGAGTTACAAGACATGGTCGACGGATTCGAGCTTGACTCTGATGAAGAAGACGAAGACGCTCTTGGTGATGAGGAAATTGAGAAAATGCTCGCATCAGGAGTTGACGTTGGAGATATGCTCTCTATGCAAGATTTGTCTCCTGAGACGCGCAAAAGCGGATGAAGCAAATTGCAAGATACAAAAAGTACAAAGAAATTGCGGAGAAAATGGGACCAGGAGTTTCCGTCGCCGATGTGAAGAAAATGTCAAAAGAATGCTGCAAAAGGCAAAAAGCAACAACCTCGTTTTCGGAGAAGACGGAAAGCTCAAGCACGTAGATTTTACTGACGACATGATAGAGCAGTCGGCGCGTTCTGTTATGGGAGGAAAATTTACAGGAAAAGACTTGATAAGAGATCTTCAAAGTGCTGCGGAAGTGTTTGACAAGGAAATTGAAAAGAAACAGAGAAGAAAAGCAGCCAAAAAGCCAAGGCAAAAGCGGAGCGTGAAGCAAGGTTAGTTTTTTCAATGTATTCCTGGTTTAATTTTTCAAGGCGCAAAAGGGGTGAAATTGTTGAATCCCCTGCTGACGATGAATCCTCAGGAAATGGATATTTTGATCAATAAAATTGACTTTTTCAACTAAAAACCCATAAAAAGACGATGAAACGCCCGCAGAAAGAAAGCTCCGCAAGCTCAAAAAGGAAAAGAAGAAACTTGAGCAAGCCCAAAAAGTTGCTCGCAATGCCGAGAAAAAGGCTAAACGAGAAAGACAGCAGCATAAAATGAAGATCAAGGCAGAGCAAACTGAGCGCCGCAATGCTCGAGCAGCTAAAAACGCCGAGAGACAACGAAGACGAGATGCAGGAGAGTCGGATGTTTCATCGGATGAGTGCGACTCCGATTCGTTGGATCTTTCGTCGGATGAGGAGATTTCATCTGACGAGGATGTGTCTGTTCTCTCGTCGGATTCTTCAGAAGACGAAGATCTTTCGGAGTCATCTGGCGTCACTGTTTACGAAGATGTTTCTGTCTACTCTTCTAGCGAAGCAACTGAGTACGACTCCGACGGAAACGTCACCAAAGCCAGAAAAGCTCGAACAAGAAAAGTCGTCAAAATGAAAAGTCGGGCAAAGTTCGAGTATCAAAGCTCAGTAGACACAATTTACGACGACGAAGGAAATGTTGTTCAAGAACATCAGAGCAGGAAGAAGGTTGTCGTCGTCGAGCGCGTCGATGAGCATGGAAATATCGTCAAAAAAGTCGCCAACGAGGAGCAAATGAAAGAATTTGTTTCAAAAGCGGAGGCAAAAGCAGAGGCAAAGGTAACTTTTTCCTTGAAGAGTTAACATTTGATATTTTTTCTAGGCAAAAGCGGCAAGCCAGAATAAATTGAGAAAGGAAGATTCATCACTTGCACCGCCAGATACTGTTCTAAAGTCGTCGATGAGTCGTTCTCATTCGAAAATTGGAAACTCCCTGAGCAGAAGCGGATCAATGGCGGAAAGACCCCCTTGGAGAGCTGGTAGGTTGAATGGCTGATAGCAGTACTAAGGTCTTCAGGTGCGGTTCGGGACCAGTCTTCCAGAAACTCCGTCACCTCAAGTTACCGAGCAATGAATCGTGCCCCAAAAGTTGGTGCTCCGAAGAAGTCGAGGAAAGGAAGAAGAGAATCGAAATACGACTTTGCGGATTTGGCCCCACTCAGGCTTGAAGACAAGGATGACGGCAGCGAGTTTGATTGGGGGCAATTTGGTCTTTCTGTAAGAATATTTCGGTAAAACTATTCGAATTGAATATTCAGAATTCTCCGACTAAAACACCTGATTTCGCCAAAATGGAAGAAGAGCTGAAGCAATTGGAGCTTGCTGAAAACTTTGAAGCAGCTGCTGAGCTGAGGCAGAAAATCAGAGATATGAAACGCGAGGAAAGAAAACGCATCATCCGGAAGCAGAAAGATGATGAAAACGCCGCCCAGAAAGAAAAAGAAGAACGTCTCTTCAACAAGGTACCGAAACAACTTGCGTTTTTATAGTAAGATCGATTTCTAAGCAAAAACGTCAAGGCGATCTAGCTCAAATGAAAGCTAATATTGCGCTCCAAAGACAAGAAGCTAAAATGGCCGCAGAGGTAATTGGATTTATAGGAATCTTTATCATACATTAAAAATTCTAGCGGAAGCAGAAAGAGCGCCAGGCGATGCTTGATGCTTGTCAAACTGAAGAAGAGCGACAGGTCTGATCAATTTTGAATCTTTTTGCTTTGACTTATCAATTTTATAAAGGCTCTGCTCGATAAATGGGAGGCAGAAAGACTAGCTGAAGAGGCTGAAGCCGAACGGCTACGATTATTAGCCCTTGAACAGAGGTTTACTGGTTGCAAACTAAATTTGATAACAATTTTCAGAAAAATCCAAATTGCTCTGCTGAAAAAGCAATACGCACTGAGAAAGAAACTACAGAAGTGGCGAGATTTACAGCTAGAAAGCTTTACGTTCAAACGAACTCAAGCCATCAATCGACCATTTGTTTATTCTCATCTTCCAGGTAACCACTTTTTGTCGAAAAAATTGACCATGATGACCAGGCCCTCCAATTCTACCGCCCATAATGTCCGGAGCCTAATGATTCCTGCGCGAACCAGTTATTTATTCAAAACCACTCCTCTTTATATTTATCTGTTTTGTAATAAAGTTCATCATTCATCAAAAATCAATGACAAAATGATGACGTCAAGTTGTCGGGATTTTTGAACTTCCAGAAAGTTTATTATGAATCAGACAGAAATATGCCACTAGAAAGAGTAAGTAAGCTTAGTTTTTTTTTGTAATCATTGACTACGGTATTTCGCAGGGTTGAATGATAAATGAGTAAAATATATTTTTTGAAGAATAGAATTGTTTCGGAAATATAGCGGGAGGGAGTAATCGTGACGAAAGAGGGAGATTCTACTGGCTGAGAGAGAAATTGCAGTTTTACAGGAGGATAAGGATGAAGGTAGTTATGTACAATGGTAAACTTTGATAAAGAAAGCTGGTCGTATTCACATTTGCTGTGAAGGCGTAGAATTGCTCCAGTTCAGAGAGAGATGATTGTCTGCTTTGCTAGGCTGCAAAAAGCTTCGGGGAGGGGGAGTTTCGTATGATTTCTAGGGAGAGTTAACTTTAAATGAAAGAGATGTGAGTTTACCTGAAGAAAGTAAGAACGGAGAAAGACAGAAAGTTGAAGGAAAGCGATTCCAATCAGGAAAATGAGAATGAACAACGAGAAGAACTCCCGGAGCATGTATTTCTCAGAGTTGACGATTCTAAACAAATAATTAAAATACGAGAAACGCAGTCAGCATTTTATCGCGAATCAATGCAATATTTTCTGCGAAAAGTAAATATCTCAGAAGAGGCGCTTCTATTTCAGCACAATATTTTGAAAAGAAAAAAAAAACGAGAAAAAGAATATGGAGGATCAACCAGATGATGATTCAGTCACAATTGTATCTATGCCTGGTACTGCCGCTAGTGTTAGTGATCTGGCTAATCATGATGACCTCGAAAGTGAGAGCTTTTTTACCGCAACGGCCTCCGAAAATTATGCGAGATCAGATGAGATTAGCAATTTACGTCAAGAAATAGACGAGCTAAAAGGGACAATTGAAAATCTTCAAACTCATATTGGAACTCTATTTCAAAAATACAACCTACTTGATAATGAAGTTTCAAAAATAAAGAATGATCAACCTAAGGCCAGTGACAATGAAATGAACGCATTGCTAATGCTGAAGGCATTTCAAAATGGATCAAAAACATACGACCTTCCGGTAAAATGAAATGGGCATGAGAAAACTCTTTTTTTTTTAGCTCATAAGAAAAGAGAATGTGACAGTGATGCTTGAAAATTGGTCGTTCGAATACAAAATGTTGGACCAAGATCAAACAATGCCCCAACCTGCTCAAGTTTCTATCAAATTCGGAGGTTTTTTTAATTAATTATTAAAACTCATTTGCAAACACATAATTAAAAAAAATCTTATCGGCGGAATTTAGGAAATTTCAAGAAAGCCTCATTCATACTGAAGGGGAAAAGCAAGAAAGGAAAATTGCTAGAGTCGGCCTCTCTACAAGAATTTGATCCACTGTCTACTGCTATCGTAACTTTTGGAAAGAAGTTTCCACAAAAGAAAGTAGAGCTGTCTGTTACGCTTCAATATTGAGATGATAATTCATTGAATAAACTTTTAAAATATGGCTAACTTACTCTCGATCGACATCATCTTGTTGTTTGTCCTTTGATCCGAAGACGCGTTCGATCTCGTCTTCTAAAATAGCCTTGAAAATAGATTAATCATTCGTCAAACCTGGATCGGAGTCGTGGTCATCAGGATCATCATATTCTTCTGTAGATCCGCGCCTGCGACGCAGAATCATGTCCTCTTCCTCCATTGTTCTATACTCGCCCCTCGAAATTTAATGATCTCTGAACAAAGCTTATTAAGATTTCCTAGGTAGTATTTAGTTTCAGGCATAACTGCGAGTAGAGTCAAGATTTCGTAAGGCTAAAGGTTGAACATTTACGGAATTTTAAAGGAAGATGCCACAATAACAGAAGACTTGTAAAGAGGTCGTAAATAGGTGAGAATAAGTAGTAGAGCGAGATTTATGTTAGAAGGAATCGTTCAAGGGATGCTTCTTGCGAAACTCAATTTGGTTTGGGAAGAATCTATGTGTGTTTGAAGACGGCAGTAAGGAAGCCTTCGTAGGAGAAGTAGGCGTTTCCGTTTCTCTGAGTATCGAACTGCTGGAAGCCAGTGGTAAGGCGTTGGAGAAGAATGAGACAGTGGACGAAGCCATCAAACTAGAGTTTTTCATGTAGGAAAGATATATTTATTTGGTTAGTTACCTGGAGACGGCGCTCTCGGCGAAAGTCGAATTTTCGCATCGCTTCTTGGACGAACTGGTGAGAGAGGCGGTAACCAAGCTCGTTCAACGCCTGGCCAAGTTCATGCTGAGAAAAGGATTGGAATCAAGGAAGATAATGGAGTCGATGACTCACCTCGTCAATGCTCCCGCCGCCGTCGCGGTCAAAGCGATCGAATGAGCCTCGCCAGTCACCGAGGTATTTCCAAAGCTGACAGAACTCATTAACGTCGATTGTTCCTGTGTTGTCCTTGTCGAACATTCGGATCATGAGCGAAACGGTCTCGATGTCGAAGGTAGTCAAGTCATTGTTTCGAAGCGCCTTCAAAGAATTAACACAAATGTTCATGAAATCTTTTACTCACCATTTGAAGCTCTTCAGCGTTGAGAGCACCAGTTCGGTTGGTGTCAACTTTGTTGAACCACTTGGCTACTTGAGGATCGTATGTCATTCTAAAAAGGAAGAGTTGCCCGTCAAGTTCTGGTTAGATGTTCAGTTTATCATTGATTGATTGTTATGGATAGATTCAGAAAGAGATGGTAGATACCAGTGGATTCAGGTGATTTCCAAAGGCAAAACAGTGCGCCCCGCCACCGATAATCTCAATTTCTGTCTGGTTTTCTGATTCTTTCGTTACTCGAGCTCCGTTTCCGACGAGTAATAATTCTTTGGAGCTCATTTCTTTTATCGACATGATTTTCCAGCTTTCTCTATCAATTTCAATAACTAAAAAGAAAATCACTCGCAACTGGATACAACTGGTTCCTCTCTTACCAGCATCATTAATCTCGTGGAGCGTTGAGATTCCACCAATAATTAGCATTCTGTTGCCAGTCTCACAAATATGTATTGAATGTCCGTAAAAACCGAAATCAAGCTTTCTTCGCCAGGTAATTTCGCCTAATATGAAATTTATAAGCCAACAGATTTCAATATCTAGTTTCGCAGCTAATGCACGTCTCTCACCTTTCGACCCGTCAATTCTGATCCGCAATATTTCATCTGATATCTTTCCATTTGGCAGTAGACCGCCAATTATTTCAAATTCAGTGTCACTCAATTTCGAACATGTAGCCGATGCTAGTCTTGGCAACTCTTCTTCAAACACGATATATCTCGTGGAAACTGCTACAGTTCCAGACTCTTCCACTGATATTTCCACCATCTTATTTGAGAAAGCACCATCAGCTCTTCTGCCTCCGAAGCACAAAAAGCTCGACTCCGAGATTTTACAAATCGCTGATCTGTAAACTCCAAAAACTTCTGACTTCTCTTCAAAAATATTTCCATAATCACCCGATCGAAAAACCTTCAAATTCTGATTCGGCTTTCTTGGATTTCTTCGCCCTCCGAAGACCACTAATTTATCCGCCAGGCTAACCACTTGCGGGAGTAGGACCTCGTCCGCATCGATATTCAATGTTTTCGCGCTCTCTTCCTTGATTTCAACAAGAGTCGAGACATTGTCTTGTTTCGCACTTGATTCGTTATCAACTCCAAGTCCAGAAACGCATAATTTTCTCTTAGAATCGATTTGATAGCCAGAGAAAGTTCTCCCAGGAAATCGTATTCTTTCCTCACATGCTGCGGAGTTTTTGCTGCTTTCAGTTGATCCAGGCTTGAAGCTGTTATCAGAGAAGTATTCGCTTAGTTCATCTGCTGATTCAGAACAGTTCGTACCAAATCCGATGTAGTAATGCTTCATGTAAAGATGGAGCACTTCGAACTCATCAAACGGCTCAATATCGCTTATATCCGGCGCAAGAGGATAAATAGGACAGATGGAAGAGATCTTGAAGTGTTCCGTGAGACGTTCCTCGCGTGAAGACAGTGTCCGCAGATCTTGAATAGTGAGAATCGGAGAGCCCATCTTTTGAAAGTGCGTGATCATCCGATTCCCAAAAGTAGAGTCGGGGTTTATTTGCTCGAACTCGCAGAATGTTGCTCGGTGAAGGCGCTCTCCAATCCATTTGATCACATTCGTTGAATGTTTCGAGTTAAGATATGCTTAGGAAAAGGATAAAAATTGAGCTAAAGATAATAATATTTTATTAATTTTATTAATTTGATCTTTATCCACCCTTACTAAGGTCCGGTTTCAATTTAATGTGCCAGATTTGCTTTTCGTTTTGCGGAAAAACTATAGGTACCAGCTTAGTACTATCATACCTTTTAAGAATCCTCATAAAAAAATCTTTTGTTTTATCGAGGCCGATTTTTAGATTTCAAGTTCATTTCCGAGTTTTATCGGTTTTTGTGTTTTCTAGTGCATTTTTCAAGTTCACATAAGTCCGAGACTATCAATATTTTTTAAATTTTCGTTCGATAAATCGACAGATCTTGTCGAGACGATTCCATAAAGCTGTCAAAGTACTAGATTCGGAAAGCCATGTAGAAATTAAGGGATAGCCTTGGCACATTAAATTGAAACCCTGCCTAAGACGACTTCAGATAGAACAAAGGTTGGCTCATCGGGTTCAAACCCTGCTGCGACAAGTTTCTTTTCCATTTCAGGAATGTTTCTCAAATCAGCCGGAACAGGAAAGTACCCATTCGACTTTCCATATGCTTTCTCCAGTACTGAGCTCTTGTAGTTGAGATTTTTCTCAAAGTCAATCTCGAACCACTTTATGTCTTCTCTTTCCTTGCCCAAATTGAGCCGCCAGTACATTGTATCGCTGCCCGCGCCCAGAATTAAAAATTGACGGATGCGGGCTTCTTTTGTGTTCAGAACTTTATTCACTATGTCCGAGATTACTTTGAAGCGGACGAAGTACCCTGCATTGATTATTGGTGACCTTCGTTTCGCCTTCGGAATGAGCTACAAAAATTAATCAAAGGGTGCAATTATCCCTAAATTTCAGCCATCGTATTTGTCTCTTATAAGGCGAAGTTACCTTCAGTAAGCCTTCGTCCTCCCAGTAGCCCAATTTCACGCACGAAGCCTTGCTCAACGCCGCCTGATCATCTGTTGCTATAACTCTACTTGCATCTGTCATTCTGAAAACCGAACAAATTAATCACCGAAAAAACTGTTATGAAAAGGTACAAAAATAAACTATTTGACAGGCGCTACAAAACATAAATTGTCTCTGAAAGAATCACTCCTTCAAAGTGTCAGTCCAAATTCTGCAAAAAACGAGTTCATTCTTTTCTCTAACTCGGGCTCCAGATGCTCCGGGCTTTCAGAAATCAACACTTGTTTTTCTTCTCTGAGTTTCTAAATAAATTTTAGGTGATGTATTCCTTGATGAGATCTTACCTTTGATAGTCTTTCTTTAAAATCATCCCTGCTCTCACCATCTTTCATTCCATCATAATTCGCATAGAAAACAAATCTGTTATGCAGGCAGTTAAGTCGCTCGTTGACATCGACCAGCTCGTTCTCCATTCTTTTCGATTTTTTAAATGCCTTGGCTGCGTTTTCCATTTGACCAAGAAGTTGCAGGTTCACTGCGAATAAATTGAAGACAAATGCATTCCGATGGAGGCTAAGTACATGACTAAATGCGTTAAATGCGCCGACTAATTGTCCATTCCGCAAGTAAAACATGGCCAAGTTCAGCCACGCCTTCCAAAACATCGGATCAATGTAGGTAGCTCGACGGAAGCAGGCCATTGCTGCGAGTTTCTTGCCTTTTGAATGCACAGAACTCCGAGATTATTCTAAATCTCTTAATAAAAACAAGCAGAGAACAAAGGCTCCTTACCCAAAGTTGAGGAGAAGCAGGATTTTCATTGTAAACTTCTCTGTAGCAAACGATGGCTTTTTCCGCGGAGGATCGCTGAATAAGAGCGCCGAGCATGAGAGATGCGTCTGAATCGCTTTCGGTGGCTAGGCGAAGAAATTGCATCGCATAGTTGAGGTCCGTCTCTGGCAAAGCCCGTCTTGTCCGAGATCAACAAAACAATTTCATGACTAAAGAACGTCGATTTTTGAAATCTCTTCCTTGTTATCAATAGACTGTCAGTCGATATTTCTCCATGTTTGAGGCTCAATTTATGCGATTCTGGAAAGAGCTCAAGTCCCTTCTTTATCGACTCTAGCGCGTTCGACTTGTCAGAAGTCGTACTTGCTAAGTCCGCCATTTCAACATAAGCGTCTACATTTGGAGACTTTTCCAGCGACTTGGAGAAGTGCTTTGAGGCTTTGTCAGTATGTCCAGCTGCTTTGTAACATTGGCCAAGGTAGAGATGGTGTTTCCAGTCTGAGGACTCCTTCGCCTTGTCTATTTGGTTTAGAGAGTCTGCTGCCGCTTTGTATCGCCCAAGAAGATAGAGAGATCGCGATGCTGCTTGCACTGTCTCCATTTTCGCCGAGTCGTTTTCTTTCATCAGGCTTCGGAATTCCTTCTCTAGGTTCAAACTTGTTCAAGAAGCGTTTCTCTTATATATAAAATTGGGATGATTGGGCCGAATGAGTGTAATGGATAAGAGCTGAACCTTTCCTGAAGTGAGTCAGAAATCTTCCCATGATGTCGCTTCAAAACGCCGGCAGTAAAATGACAATACGTTGATTTAGCCGGCACTTTATCTGATAGCTCTGTGAAGCCCCTTAGATCTCCTCGTATCAACTGCTGGTGATAGAGCCAGTTGTGCTCGTTTGGATCGTACATGTCTCCCCGCCATCTCGATTGTTCTTTCATGAATTTGAGAATTTTGGCGGTCTGAAATTTCGAGTTGACGGGAAGGTCGCTTCTAACTGGAATATACAGGCAGTTGATTGATAAATGGCAGAAAATCAGGGAAATTGAGGTTACATGTCGAAATCAGCGAGTAGCTCGTCCTCTTCTCTTTGTCGAGCTGAAAAACATAAGCTACAAACTCAAAAGAATATTGAAGCTACCTTCTTCGGCTGCCTTTTCAAGGGCTTCCATTTCGCGAGCTCTCTTTTTCTCTAGCGCTTTTCGCTTGTTTTCTTCCATTCTAGCTTTTTGCTCGTCCGTCAATGTCTTTTTCGGTGGGTTATGTGATTCGCCCGATTCGGGGTCTGAAAGTGCGCGCTTCCGGTTCGATTCTATCATTTCATCCAACTGGGCGAGATCATCAAATGCAGCCTGAAATTGGAATGTAAATATTATCGAAGCAGGGACAAAAGAGCTACCTCTGCTGATTGCGCTACATCGCCACGGCGCACTGAGTCGTCGTTTTCGTTATCAAGCTGTTCGTTGAGCTCATTTAGCCGAATACGCTTGATTGTATTCCTACAATTCAATTATACTGCGTGAAAAGTAATTCGACGATAATCACCTTACGAGGCTTTTCGTGCCCATTGATTCAATCTTCTGGAGAGTCGCGTCCAGCGTAAATTTCGGATACAAATCGTGGCTCCAACGCTCTAACCGCGACATTAAGATTTGAAGATTTGCGTACTCAGAGTTTTTCTCCTTTGACAAATTCATATTCTAAAGTTCACTCTCCTGTCGATGAATAATGCAGCTTGGGAGCTCACCTGGAAGTATGACAAATATTTAACGAGACCTTGCTTTCCTGTAACGCGATTTTCGTTCAAGGTTACGCGATTGCTCACAGTCTTTTTCTTTGCTAAAGAGAATTTCGATTCATTTATATTCAAAAACTATCGAATTTACCCGCTGTGGCCTTTTTCTTCTTTCCATCTTTTGCCTCTTCCGCTTCTTCCACCCCTGGCATGTGATCATCTTCCGAAAGCTCATCGAAAAACTCCTGTGCCCCTGCACCTTCCAATCCCAGATCCATCTCTGAAAAGCGGATAATAACCCTTTGTTCTTTTTCGGCAGTGGTCAGAGAATATCGCACAATAGAATAGAGTCAGTCACTGTCGCTAGAGTCCGAGTCGGTCTCGCCGAACATGCGTTTCTCCTCGCTACGCATATCCTCTTCGTTTCTCGAATTCAGGAATTCTTGAGCCGGACCTTCTTCAGAACCCGTGTGCTAAAATCAAAATGAGCTTCATTTCGAAAGACAAAGAATTTCACCTTTGCAAGAACTTCTGCTAGTGGCTTCATCAGATCGAAAAGTTCGTCTGAATATGGCGGAGCTGCTATTTCAAGCACCTCTCCAACGAAATGACGAACTTTTTAGCGTTGACAAATCCTGAATTCAACACTTTATCGAGAAACATATTTTTCAACGATCCTAGAGAAGCATCGATTTTGTCATTGTTGAAGATATTTGAAATGTACGTAAGAACAGGCAGGACGAACCCCCTCGAGATCAGATGTACCATTCGATCGAGCACAGATTTTTTCAAGTTGAGAACGAGTAAAGTGTCCATTGATGGAAAGGGGTTCTCTAACAACCGACAGAGAAGCCTCATAACATCATTGTGCAAGGCGACATGTGATGTAGCCACTAGAAATGCTTATATAACAGGATTCAACAGAGCAAGAACTACCTTCATCAACAAGAGCGAGTGAAACTGGCGTTCCTTCGACTTGTTTCTCCAAATATTTCGGCGTTGTCGTCGCTTCGACCCATCTCAGCACTCCAATAGCGACACAAGGGACTTTGATTGCGTGGAAGATCGAAGAAAGCACACTGATGAGGTTGAGCGGGCCTTCTGTCTCTTGAAGCAAGTTGGAGACTGTTTCAATGCTTTGAGTAGCCTTGTCGATTTCTTGAGGATTTCGGTCGATGGAAAGCCGCCTTCCATTTTTGTCCCACTCTTCGTGCACACAAGAAGAGTACCCGTAAAGCCAGATGCATCGCATACGACCATCTGTGTCCAGGATATTTGCCTAAAAAGAGATGATAAGATCAAAGCGCCATCTTCAAAAAAAAAAACAATCTGCCGAATAGGTCAGATGTTCCAAGCAGATAACTCCTAGGTGTCGTAATTGGTCGGTTGAGGTATATATAGATTTCCTCATAGACCTTGCTGTATAAAAATAATGGACGATTATTAATCGCAAATTATCAAATTTTTAAATGATTACTGCTTGATAGTTGTTTGCTCGAACACCAAAACGTGATGACTTTTCACTAATGAATTTTAATTGATTAAATTTTGAAATGAAACTGATTATTCTTTGCTATCCTTTTTGATGAATTCTCTTCCCTATGTGGTGTACCTGTGAAGGAATAAAAAGAAGCTTCAGGAAAATCTCCGAAACTGCTGGCGCTCTCAACAAATCAACAGGCGGTGGTTCATCAACGTCTCTGTAAAATTTGAAAATGCGAACAATATCTGACGAGCGTGGATTTACGTCCTGCAGCACTTTTGTTATAACATCGAGAACTTCTTGATATCTTCAAAGTCAATGAATAAATTGCATATTGCTCGTAAAAATACACACCTTGTCGCGCCGGGAATAGATCCATACCAAACAGCATCGACAGAATGGCCTCTGGTTCTAGCAAAGAGCTCGACTTCTTGAGAAATTCGACGGACGAGACCGGACTTTGACGATTTTTCTTGAATCTCAGTGAGCAAGCTTTGCGTGAAGAGGTAGGTGTGTTCCGTGTGATTGACCATTTCGCAGAACTTCGGCAGTTTTTCTTGTATTTCTTCGTCGGGCGAGGATAGCAACGTTTCGAGACTTGTTTTGATGACTCTGGCAAAAACGTCGAGCTGGCTAGCGGCAGTGGACAAGTTCGTAATTTCCCCTTGGTGGCCCGCGTCCGTGATCAACTTGATTGCGTATTTGAGGAAGATGCTCTCGGGGTTTTCTTCGATCAACTTGTAGAACAATTGCCGCCATTTTTTGTAACCGATCATGTTGATCAACCATTCGGGGGTTTTACTGGCGTTGGCGATGAGTTCGTCTGCCTTTGAAGCGTCGAAATGCTTCAGAAGATGCTGTTGTAGATGGTTTTCTACGAGCGCTTGGACTTCTGCTTCCGTCATTCCTGATAGAACAAGCCATTCGGACAGTAGATTTACATGCTAGGGAAGGATGTTTATTTGGTAGTCGATTTTCATTAACCTGTGCGATCGCAGCGTAGTTATCTGTAAGCATAATGATAACGTCTTTTGCCTCCTTCTCCGGATTTTTGCAAAGTTTCATGTATTTTCTCACAGTCGCATGGCAGCCCGGCTCCATCACATAATCAGGCTGCGTGAGGATCGGCCTCAGTACTTCTTTTGCCTTTTCTCTTTCCTCCAGATTCATTCTACAAAGTTCTCGATGATAATTTTCGATCGAAATGTGTTTGGTGCTGACAACAATGAGAAAGAATTGGTATAAATTCAACAAATGTAGGAATGCTTTGGGAGAACCTTGAGTGATGCTTGAGTAACCAATTTGAATGGAATTTGCATGTTATTAACTTTACAACACGCTTTATTCTGCTCGCCTGCTCTCTCTTGCCCTTCTAGATCTCCCTTATTTTCATTATCCGTTCCTGCCCCGAAGGGTGTGCAAATTTAGGATGATTCTCTAGATGCATGTGTTGCAAAATCTCTAGAATTGTTGTCGATATCAGGGCTAAATGAAAATCAGGATTTCAGTCTTCGGATTTTGAAGGTCCGGCCAACACGTTCTGCTAGTAAGTACATTTGCACTGAGAATTTGACAGTTTTTAGTTGCCAAGCTTTGAAAATATACTAATCGTTAATAATTTTAGATGCTGCAGCAAGCCCACCAACCAGGGCATCTCCTCCAAAGCCTGCCAAGGCGATGTCCATCATGAGCTCGTCAAACGATGAGTTCATGCGGCAAAGTCTGACTGTATCAGTCAGCATAAAGCTGACCGGTGGTTATTGGCAAGAAATTGACCTGTTCAAGTTTCCACCGGCATCTCATTGCAAAAGCAATGATAACCTGTCGCAAATTGCATAAAGCAATAAAAACCTATCTCTTTCAACCCTTTTCTGTCTCATTTCTTGCAGGATGTTAGCTTAGAAGAAATCGGAGCGGTTCAGAACTAAGTGTAGTCTACTGTAGAACATGAAGCTTTACTGGTGTAGGAATTACAGTAGAACTACTAGTAATTGAGTTTGTAAGCTCGTAGTTTGCTTTTTTTATTCATAAATGAAACGGCTAGATGGCGAGGTAACTGACCGGATATTTTCTTACTGAACAGGCTGAAGATGTGAATAGTATATTTTTTTTCATTGAACTTGGTTGGTGAAACGGTGCGAGTAGGTACAGTGAATAGAATAGAATATTCATACAGTAATGTGTGATCATGGTCGTAGACGCATTAAGTTATATTGCAATCGCTGAACAAACTGTCATGATATACAGGTATTGGTTCGAAAGTCTGGAAATTTCAAATAGTGAACTCATTGGAGCAGTTGCTTCGGAATATAAGCCAGGCCAAGGGGCAATATCTCGACGACAGAATACATCAAGATGCTAGAACCGAAGATGAATTGATTGAGTCATGAAAGTGATCTACCTGTAGAGCGTAAATTTAACTGGAAGGTCAATGTTCCATTTTGAAGATGGCATGAAAAGAGGGTGTGCAAGTCGACTCAGAATTTCAGACTGAGTTTCGTCTTTTGAGCCTTCGAGATGAATAGGTGGAATTCTAAGAGGGAAAGTTAGTCGCAAGTACTAATTCGATGATGAATACCTGAAGGATTGAGTTAAATGTTTGGCGTATCGTAATTGTGGGTCTTTGAAAGCTCGTTTTCTTTCAGCAGAGCCCGAGTAGAAGTCCAGTCTCAGGAAATCATAGAACGATGAAAAAGCAGACACTAATAGAGGCTAAAAAGCAGAGTTAACGAACCGAACGAAAGGGGTTAAAAACCTTCAGAAGGAATTCACTTGAACCAGCAAGGATTCCCGCGAGAAGCATCCGAACGATACAATTCACAAAAACTGATCTAGCGGATGATAGAGCAGTTGCTTCTTCGAAAACTGCAGGTAAAATAGGCCCAGTGCTCAGAGAGCGTGCCAGGATCTGACCAAATGCTACTCCTAATACTGCGATTCCGTCACTCAAGCCCTAAATGAAAGTCGTTTGAAAGATTTCAATGCTGAAATCATACCGGATCCGTCGATTCAACGGTTGGGTAAAGGCGATAGAGAAAAAGGACGAGAAGAAAGACGATCCAGGGAGCGCTTTCTTGAGAAATAAGTGAATCGAGCTAAAAAGAAAATTTGATAATTTCAATTATGAAAGAAATATCACCTGTTTGTCGATTTGAAGAAAGAGAGACAAAAGAAAACATCCTAAAATTCCACCCGTAACGACATCTGCCGGCGAGTGAATTCCGATATAAATTCGACTAAAAACGAATATAGAAAGAACCAGCGTTAATAATCTTCTACCTGAACATTACAGAAAGCGACCAGGAACACATGACAATAAAGATTCCGACGACTTGTACTGAAGAAAGTCCTAGAGCAGCAGAATTTATGTAACTAAAGATCCACACATACATCGGCAAGCATGATGCAATCGTGGCGTGGTTGGAGGGTAAGGCCCAGTCTTGGGCGAGTTCTAGTGGCTTGACGAGGGGTAAACGCGGCCTTGGTAGACGAAAAATTGCCTGAATTCAACGATGAGTACGAAAAATTATAGAAAGAGCCGTGTACCTTAAAGTAACCAACAGAAAACATAGAGATGGCCATGAGAATACTGTACATGCGGGCCAACTGGCTGTTCACACAAAGTTGGAGAAAGGTCAGCCAAAGTCCCAAGAAATCCTCCGTGCCGAGAAACGAGGCCGCTTTCATGCATTGTGTCATCAGCGGAGTTCGTTTTCTTTGAAGCAGAACCAAAATTGGTTGTCCAACCTGAATGAAATTTAGACCCGTGAGCAGTTGACACTTCAAAGCACTTGAACTCTGAAAGATAACCATTTAATTACCTCAATTAGAGCGAGGAAGAAGTGGCGGACGGACCTGCCAACTGGGCCGCAGTAATCAATCGGGGCGACTACATAATAGTCAGATTTGACGGCAGGATCGGGACATACAGTGTCATCGCTTCTCTCCGCCGCCTCATTTCGATTCGAGTCCTTGCCTCGACGTCTAGCTTCCATGATGAGCTCTTCTCGACCAAGCTAGACTATCATTCTAACTCAGAAAAAGCGGATTTAGTGAATGGGGTAACCATGTTTTTTCCATGGGCAGTGGTAGGATTTTCTTTCTTTGAGGAATGTGTGAAAACACACATGTGATGCAAACATGTGTCAGGATAGATAGTAATAAAAATTTAAACTACATTATTTGTGAAGATTTTTTTTCATTTGAAGTGAACTTGTGAGGATTGCTAATTTCGGAAGTGCAGCTAGTCGAAGTTCGCCTGTTTCAAGGATAGTCAAATGTATGTAAAAATTTGAACAAAATTCGTGAAAAGATGGTTTAAAGATTACTCAAGTTTTGATTTCCTAAGCTTGACATAATCATTCCAGTTGTCGAACTTGTCCATTTCGTGTTTCTCTTGGCACTTGGCACTGCTACTGCTGTCGAGTTTGTGCTGGCTCGTCTCCTGCGAGGGAAGTGTCTCAGAGAGTGGCCTCCGGGGGATGTCGCCATCCACGACTCCAGTCGAGGAGAACAGTTCTTTCTTTGGCAACTTCTTGAGGAGCTTAGCCCCCTCGTCTCGCGTCGGGATGTACCAAACACACTTCCTGGCAAACTCTTCGCCGGAAGAATAGTCTCCCTGAACAAAACAGCATAATAAAAAGATGGTAAATAGCGGCGAACACTTGTGAAAAAAATGGTTCGATGTTTGCTGACAAGAATCTAAAGGCCTCTTAGGAACAAGTTCCTAGACAGAGTTTATTCGAATCTTGGCTCTAAAATCAATATCGTCTAATTTAAAGTTCCTAATTGAAATAGCACACCGACCGAAAAAGGCTAGAACAAACCTTCTTTTCAATATAATACTTCGCCAGAAATAGGTACGCATCGCTGTAGCCTTCGTGTCTCTGATCCAAGTGGTCCTCTTCGACCCAGAGTTCGAAATCTGGTAGAAAATCCGTGCTCCCGCTCCCTCCCTGCTCCCTCACCCTGAAAAAAGGGAGCTCCCTCGTAAAAAACCCGTGCTCCTGCTCCCTCCCTGCTCCCAAAAAAGGGAGCTCCCTTTGGGAGCTCCCAATTTTGCTCCCTTTTTTCAAATTCCAAAAATTTTCGAAAGTTTTTCATTTTATTAAGTAAACTCTAAGTAGCAACACCATTGTTGTATGGTTATTATATAGCGCTGATAAAGAAAGTATAAATAGGCATAATGGCAAATAGCCTATTTGAAAAAGGCGAATTTCGTGAATGACTTCAATGTTTTCTTATTAAAATTATATAACCAAATCTAGGTCAATTTTAGGCTATTTATTTATATCAAATTTCAGAAGAGACATTTAAAGATAAATCGAATCAAAAAACGTCTCTTCTAATAAAAATCTGAGCAAACACGGTATCTTAATCAACAATTATGCTTATAATCTGAGAAAAATACATTTTGTTGTAATTATTAAAGTCAAACTAGATGTGATTTTGGCTATATATTAATATGAAATTTTAAAAGAGACGTTAATTAATATATCTTGTCAAAAAAACGTCTCTTCTAAGAAAAATACTATGAAGTAAGCGTTTCTCATTTTTCGGTGCGCAGATTAGATTCTAGACTAAAAATTGTTGATTTTCAAAAAATTTTTGAAATTGGGAGCAAATTGGGAGCTCCCAATTTACTCCCAGCCCTGGAAACCTGTGCTCCTGCTCCCTCTGTGCTCCCAAAAAAGGGAGCTCCCTTTGGGAGCTCCCAATTTTACTCCCATAGATTTCGAACTCTGCTTCGACCTCTGCTTGAACATACATTTCGTAGTATTTCGCCGCTTTGTCGTCATCTTTCAGTCTTCGACAAATGCGGGCAATCTTCGAAAGACAACTTGCGGAAGAGAACTGACCCAAACTAAAAACAACGTAATGAAAATAACCATCACAAAAGCGAAATATCTCTATCGTCAGCGTAATCATTTAATTCATTATTACGAACTTTGGCGGATATACAAATTCGATTTCAATGACTAAAGCAAAATTATTTTACCACCTTATTTCACTATGAAGATTTGTAGGAAAAAGAAACTCACCGGGAAGCACGCTTGAAATATCGTTTGGCAAGATGCAGCTGATCGAGCTTTTCGTATGAGTCACCGATTGCTTCGCAAATTCTATCGTTATTTGGCCGCAAGTCGAGGGCTTTGAGATGATGTGTCAGGGCGCTCGTGTGATTTTTCAACATTTCATAAGCCTGAACAGAAATCATCGCGTGTGTTTCCCAAAAGTCGATCGTACCTGGCCAAGGCCATACCATGCCTTGTAGTCGTTCGGATTCCCAGCGATCGCCTTTCTGTACGAGTGCAAGCCTTGCGAAAAATTCCTCAACTCGATATACTCGTGTCCAATTAACGTCCATGCATCGTAGTAGCTCGGATTCAACACCATCGCTCTACAAGAATTTAAAAACATGTTAGAAATGAGGAATCTTCCTTGGCAGTAAATTGCCGGACGGATTTTCAAAATCCGTCTAACCTTTCTTTGCTCGCTGTTCTTACCGTTCAAAATATACGATCGCAGTTGATTTCTCGCCGCGGAGACTGTAGTAGTTGGCGGTGGCGATGCATGTCTCGAAACAGTATTTTTCTACAGCCCAAAGAGCGTGTACTAAAGCGGCGAGCTCCGCTCTCGACTGACTCATGAAGTATTGATTACTGAATGAAAGCGTGAGCCGAATATTAATGATTCTTGTAATAGCCCTAAGCAGCTGTTTTCCACTTGGGGAGGGAATATGGGATATTCTCCGATAATAATTCTGTCGTATCGTATTTGCTGCTAAAAATCGTCAAGCCGCCTGCGGCTTTGAGCAAAAATAGACATAAAAGCCGCGCTCTGCGCTGTTGAAGTTTTATCAATGATAAAATTTATCATACTCGAAGCCGCAAGCGGCTTCTCGACTTTCAGCAGTAAAAATCGGAATTTAGCGTAAAATTTGCTTGTAAAAAGTTCAGGATTTTTGCTGGATTATTCCTATCTCGTTCATACCTTAAAATGTCCATATATTTCACTGATGTATCTTCAGTAATGTTTCGAACAGTCTCTAACGCTGAAATCGCCAAAGAAGTGTTTCTATTATTGGCGTAAGCTCTGCCAAGAAGCCCATGAATGTCAGTATTGTTGGGAAAGATATCAATCAACGTATTGATCGCGTTGATGGCCGAGGAAAGGTGCTCGTCGTGTTGGATCGAGTATTCCAAAAGAAAGAACACTTTCAAGTCGCTATTCACGCAAAGAAGGGCCAGTTCTTGCTGCACGCTTTCCAGCGAGCCGGAGAAACATGTCAGTAGACCGCGCCATGCGGGCTTTTTCGAAGTTTCAAAATCTAGGATCGACAAATGCCCCCGAAATCCGGATCGGGTTTTCGTCGGATTTCCTTGAAGTCTGATTTTTCCGATCGGGTTTTTGTCGGGTTTTCGTCGGGTTTTTGTCGGGTTTTTATCGGATTTTTGTAGGGTATTTTTCGGGTTTTTGTAGGGTATTTTTCGGGTTTTTATCGGGTCTTTGTCGGGTTCTTGTCGGGTTTTCACAACACTGAAGTTGAATCAAGTAAAATGAATCAAAATCGGTGAAACTAGACAGAATTTTTGGCTACCAGAATTTCGGGTACTATCTTTAATCAAACTGATGAGTAGATCCGAATAGAAACCCGACGAAAATACCCTACAAAAATCCGATAAATGACCCTATAAAAACCTGATTTTGTAGGGTCGCCAAAATTTCAGCGTCGGGTTTTTGTAGGGTCGGCAAAATCCAACAAAAACCCGACAAAAACGTCGGTTTTCGATCGGGTGTCGGGTGGGACTTGTCGATCCTAGTTCAAAATGGTGATTTTTTCTATGAAAAGATTTCTCGAGAAAATATTTTCTTCTATTTAGTGGACTTTCTCGTAGAGTTATTTTAGTTGAAACTTCCCCATAAGTAGGAATACAGCGTAATCGCCTTTATAAACGTCTGTTTCGCCTTGTCTAAATCTCCAACCGCTTTGTACGCTAAAACAAAAAGACAGTTTTTCAAGAGGAAATGGCGCGAATATGAAGACTCACCAAGACCTAATAAATAGACAGTAAACGCATCAGCATTTCCACTGAGGACTTTCTGTTCGAGTTTGAGTCTCAAGGGGCCGAAGCCAGCTTGTGTTGTGATAATGCCGACTTCGGATGCAGTTTGCTCTGTCCAATTCTCCGGTAGATTTCGCGCTAGTTGTCTTTTCTAAGATTTCAATGACAATTTCAATAATCGGAATCATTGAAAGGGATAGGCTTGGCTGTTTACAAAATCCGAGAAAGAGTCCTGAAAGAGCTTTAATGAAAGCCGCGTAGCAACGAAGGCGCCAGATTTTTTAGGACCCTGACTCAGGTTTTGTACTCTGCCCAGCGAAAGGTATCTGAGAATCATTCCTGTACTCTGCCAAAAACCGAAGATAATCGGCTTCTTCTGAATTGCAAGTCGACTCTTTCAAACAAAGTTGAACTTGTGAACACTGAAAATTGTAAATGTTCGTTCTCGCTTATTCCCAGAGCTAGGAAAAAATAGACTGATAAACAAGCGATGAATAAATAAGCTCTCCACTAAATCAGAGCCCTGGTGCCTTGAATTATTCTAAGCCGCTCGCGAAGATTCGTAGGGCATTTCGCCAGACTCTCTTCTTGACCATTGTGATGGTAATTTTCTGATAATGTTGCGCCCAGTTCTGCCAGAAACTGAGCATCTTCGTTCAGACATCTGAATCAGTTCAAGATGAGCTCATTTTAACCGATTTTCAGCTGGAGAACCTGTGTAGAAACCTGACTCAGGGAACTGAAAGGGTTTTGATTAAAAGCCGCGTAGCTCCCTGAGTCAGGTTTCTACACAGGTTTTCGGGCCGAGGACCCGTTAAGACGAGAGAAATCTCGAACTGTTCCTGTTGAGAAGATCATCAGATGCTTGAATAAGATTCTCTCTGAAATTCTTCGAAAATGTAATATTCTCCGCATGATAAAACGTCGTCTCTTCTGCACGCTGCGATAAATGACTTTCGTCCACAATACTCATCTGAAATGAAAAGTTGTTATTTTCCAAAATAACATAAATTTCTCAAATTGAAAAGAGAACTCAGATTCAGCGTCAAAATGAAATCGCTTCGGGAAATTCCTCTATGAAATTTGGCGCGCTACGATTGGCCAGATTTTTAAAGGGCTTTTCAGTTGGATCAGTTGTTTTTAGGGCTGGTTACAGCTCAAATGACTGTAATAACAGCTTCATTTTCAATTGATTAAAATAATGCTTATTTTTAACAAAATAAAAAAGGAAAAAATCAAGATTTGCAATAACTTTCCAATAAAAAATGTATTCTTCCAAATCTGAACTGTAAAACTCAGTACAGTGGGTTGCGCAGGTAGTTGCCCCCTAAAGAGCGGGCGAAGGGTCAACCAATCCTGCAATCACTTTGCGCGAGTCTAGAAAGAAGCAATAGAAAAAGCGCGGGGAAAGGGGCAACCAAAGCTGCAATCGCAAAGGGTCAACTACCTGCGCAACCCACTGTAAATGAAAAAGGAACAGCTGTTTTCACTCTCTTGTAAAAGTAGGGCGAGGGCCGATTGGCATTCCTCTGAGTTGCGCGGCCAATCAGCCTCTCCTGAGAATCATCCTTCAATAAAAAACTTATCCACTGAATCAGAGTATTTTTCGTTCATTTCTTGAACTCATCAAAATGGTCGAGATTCTGAATGTGAGCCAGATGAACAGACTCAAAATTAAGCCTAATGGAGTTCTAGGGAAGTTCAAGATAAAATCTAGAAGAAATAATTTTCTAATTAAAATATTTTATTAATTGATAATTGATTGATTTGTTTACAGGAGTGTGCGGGTTCGTCAGCGCGATCGAAGGTCCTCATAAATGGTCGGATTCAACCGACTGGCGTCTCTCAATCAAGCTCTCTTGGTTCTCCCGTCAATCCGAGGACGACCTCTTCATCGCCGAACACATCTATCTCTGGATCTGGACCTCTGGCGATTCAGATAGCTTTCCGTTACAATGCTTTCCCGTTGTAAGACCCGGTGACTTTCTCGTTGCTCTTCCTTGTTCGATAAAGCCTACAGGCGATTCGATGGTTCTTCAATTACCCGCTCGACAAGCTCCAAAAAGGTAAAACACCCTCATTGAATTGATTGAAAGTTGTTTCTTTTGAAGACTTCTGACAAGTAAATGTGTCCTTTCAGGGTCATCTTAGTTACGCCAAGCGATCGTGCCGGCTCATGGGAAAGTTTCCGACCTCTCTGCAGCGTGAGGAACGAGAAGAAACCGGAATTGTACAAGCGGATAATGTCTGGTCTTCAGGAAAGCATGTTGGACTTGAAGAATACTCCCACTGCGCTCATTAGTTCTCTCAGGGATGAGGATGAGATCTTTGGACTCGTGATGAGCATCGTTCTTGTTGGAAGACAGCAAGACTCAATGGAGAATATCGAGATGGTTCTGACGATTTTCGTTGACGACGAGGCTGAGTCGTGGCCAGGAAGGTTTCAAAACATGCAGAAATGATCGTGCATTTTCGATCAGAGTTTTGAAATCAAGGAAGACATCCCGCGCGACGTGTTCAGCGGCCAAAAACTCACTTTATTGGGAGACGATCTTACTCAGCTCTTTCCAAACCAGTTCCTCAACTACCGCCAGCTTCTACTCAAGTCATCATCAGCTCTCAGTGCCATAGGTATCAATAAGCTATCTTTCGTCACAGTTAAAGTTTAGGTCAAATGATTCAACCGGGAAAATTCGTTTCGCTGACCGGTACAAGAATGATGCTGCCATTTGAATTTATTCGCTCAGCAGATGCATCAGGAAAGGATGAAATGATCAAATTTATTGACAGATTAATTTAATTTTCAACCCTTCAATGGAAGATTGCCAAAAAATCTGCTGCTCTGATCTGACCCAACCGAACTCGTCCCTGATGGTGTTGGACGAAACATGCCCAGTCGGAATAAACCTGCTTCAAAAACTGCGAACTTCTGATAAACCGACCTCGAGCTGACTTCAACTAACCGGTCGCCCAATTTGAAATTAACATTTTACAGTTCCTGACGTACTGCTTCTTCTTCCTGCTACTAAAACCTTGAATCTGAATGAGTCTAAAACATGTTTTTTTGCAAATTTCCGTTTATTTAATAAAAGTCGATATAAAAATGGAAATATTGAAAACTATACATTCTCGATAGATACATTTCGATTTGAATTATTGATATCGCTTTCGATACGCTTTTCTCCAGGCGGATGAACTCAACGGGTTGAAAAAATCGGTACACCCAGATTCGTAGCAGCACTGGCGGCAGACAGAAGGCTGGGGGTTGTTTCGTTTTGATTCTGGTCGGCACTGACGATTTCGGCCGAAGTTTTGGGCCTTGTTGTTTTGGCAGGCGAGGGGTTGTTTGCAGAGCATTCGCACCTAACAAGTTATATTAGCTGGAGGAACAAATGGAGAAAAATCCTTTTTGGCTCTTATGAATATATCGGTTTCCAATATAAAATTGGCAATGTTCGACAAGCAGGTTCATTAGTAGTCAGAATAAATGAAGCTCATAATTATCCAATACTCGTTAATCAATTCATTTTCGCCGTCTCCTAACTTACTTGCTCCGTGCGTCCTCCACGATGCCTCGCTTCAATCATGCAAGACTGTTCGTTGTAATCGCATTCTTTGTAGTACCCCGTCGCCATGCATTCGTCCATGTTTTTGGCATCGCAGTGAAAGCAGGTTAATCGATCACTCCAGGGCCGTTTTGTCGGTTCTTTGGTTGTCCTTTTCGTTGTTATGGTTGTCGGCTTTTTAGTTGTGGGTACGGCAGTTGTCTTTTCAAAGGGCTGTTTTCTTGGTTAATTAGGAATTATAAAGGAAGAGAAAGGGAATATCAATTATTGATAAAGTTTCATATCCTGTTAAAATTAATTATAGACATGTCACACGTGATACATTGTCGTAGACATTGCAGTGTCAGACAATGACGTTAATGATAGATGTAGATATAGATTCTCAAATTAATAGCAGTCTAGTAATAAAGCCTTTCCGTTACATTGTATCCTTCGCAGCAAATCTGTCGCTGAATTCTATTCTCAGCCGAATCGTCCATGGCTTCGCAGTCAAGATCGAAGTAGTCGCAGTAATTCGGATGGATTACGGTTGAATCCGGTGTGTTCTTATTTTTCTTGTTTTTCTTCTTCTTGCCGTTTTGAGAAGCAGCGAGCAAAAATAAAACTTGCAAAACTTTCATTGAATTGTTTTTGTTTTCTGAAGGTTTGGCGAGCTATTTACATGTGTGGAAATTGGGGGTAAACGACGATGTCAATCAAGGCTTGCGAAACAGGAAATCTAGACGTGGCTGGCAATTATTGAGCGCAGAACTTGAATTACGCGGCGATTTGTTGAACACGTCCGTCAGTTACCGGAAAATACACTCATTGTCTATGTTTCCTCGAAGAGCTTGAAGTTCGATTCGGTCGATATTTATTGAAAAATGAACCAGAAAGCTATTGGATATTCAAAATTTGAAATCGTGGTTGGATAAATTTTGCGGCTTTGTGAACAAAGCTGTTGGTCTTGGTGAAGAGACGTTGTTATTCAGCTGAGGTGGATAGCCCATTTGCTTGGCGGTTTACAATCAGATTCGGGTGCTAACGAGCTTATAGGAGAACTGCATTTTTAATTAAATGGCAATGAGTCAAGCACACTTTATAAAAAGCCGAACGGGGCGATAGATCGACCACAGATTGTAAAATGCTCAGTTTTGCGGGTTCAACATTTTTTATTTTATATTTTTGATTATTGATTTGTTTGAACCCCTCTTCAGCTTTCCGATCTTTCTAGCTCTGGCGCAAGCAATTAGTGCTTACAGCATGCACACGAATTTCGGAAGCTATCGACCTTATGGAGAAGATTGGATGAGACAGGATAGTAAGAGAATGTGGCAGGAATCGGATGATTCAAATAATTTGCAGTTTTTTCTCCAAGGAAAAGGTCATTTTTTACCAAACATAAATCAACAAGGATCGCGTTTTTGACCTGGAGAGAAAGATCTAGCGAACGATCTTGGCAATGAAAATTTCTTGATGGGCGGCAAGTAAACGAAGAGATATTCGACTGTTTAAAGTTCACTGACTGTATTAGCCATACAATGTTCGAAATAAATAAAGCAAGAGGCAATTACTGTCGTGTCCGCTGTTTACCGACTCTTCAGATTTCAATTTTGTCAAATGCAAATTCAAGGGCCCTTTTAATTAAATATTAAACAAGCATGTTACTGTAAAGAAAATTTCTAGAAGCCGACTTCAATTTCAACCAAAGTTTCAGGGACACGTAAAAGAGAAATTTTAGACAATTTATCCATCATAAATTATCGTCAGGTAGTCATTATCTTGTGCCCTTAGGGTTAGCCGGGCAACTCCCATAAAAGAAAAGCCCATTCTTTTGTATTTTTGGTAGGAAGTTTCAAAAACATAAAAACGAAGAAAGAGAATGAGTGGCGCCGAGTTCAAGAGTCTCGAAGAGAGCCTAGAGAAACATCTACCCAAGGAAGACTACGATGAAGTGCGAAGAATTCTGTACGGCAAGAATGTTGAGAAGCTCGCTTGTCCCGAAGCTGAGCGGCTCGCCGAAGCGGGCAAATTTGAATTCAAAGCTTACTCGCTCGCGCATACTACTGCCCGAGAGCAAGGACGAAAGGTAACTCTGCTTTTTAATATCTATATGATTTTACATTTTAATAGCCGAATTTGGTCAGAATCGGCCTCATTCAAAACCACATCCACGCTCCTACCGATGCGCCCGTCGCGGATCAATTCGCCGCAATCTACGCTCGGATCGAATCCATCATTGAAGCCGCTGCAGCTGCTGGTGTAAATGTTCTTTGCCTCCAGGAAGCCTGGACGATGCCCTTTGCTTTCTGCACCCGGGAGAAACAACCATGGATGGAATTTGCCGAATGCGCCGAGACTGGCAAAAGGAATGGATATGTAAAATTTATGCTCGATATTTTTTCAGCAATTTATTTAAATATTCGGTTATTCAGTTTCTTATGACTTGAGGGTAAAATTCTTCTTCCTCGTAAAATGGTAGTTTTTCTGGCACCGAGCTTCCAACAATATGTTCTATTGATGGGTCTTTGTATAGCGGGTTGAAACCACTAATTTTGGCCGTCAGTGGTTGTTTAGCAGGAGTTACAGTAGCTTCTGTAGTGGCAATTTCGACATCTTCCATCCATATTTTACAGCCTTTCAAACCGAGAACAATGCCAACGAGAGCAAGGATGACCACGAAAGCCATGAAGGGAACGCTTTTTCCTTCGAAAATCGTATCATCTCCATAAATTTCTGGGGCCTCGAAAGCTGCGGTCGCGTTTTGAAGAATGAACATTTTTTAAAAAACTAAATCTTGAGTTTTCTTTTTGCTAATTTTGCGTTCATTTCGCCTGCTTAAATTCTGCTCATGTTTGCAGAATATCTCAGGAAGGGAAAGCATTCGATTACTCAGAGGCGAATTTTTTTATTTACAGATGGTCAAGGATGTAATTTACTCACAGCAGACATTACACAAGATAAGTCTGTTCAGTTCCTTTGTCGGAAATTGTCATGATCAGCTCTTGATAATTTCGCCTGATCGTTTCTAAATTGTCTTCTCGAGCCATGTACTGGATAATTCGTTCTTTGCACTCTTTCTCTTCGTACAGTCGTTCTTGAACGATCCAGGACATGAGAATCGTCGCGATGAAGAGGAGAATCATCAGCGCTAGAATTATGATCATCGTTGAAAGAGACCAGGCGTTTGAGCGGGCGGTAGACATTGTTTCGAGCGGAAGTAGGGCGGGATTTCCTTCAGCTGCGGCGGCCAGCATGTAAAGATGAGCCCCAAGAGTAGGGAGGATGAGGGTGAATGTGATGACTCCAAGGACGCAGTGAATGAGGAGCCAGACGGGCTTTGAATTCTTGATTCCGTAGATCGTGCAAGTCGCCGCAACAAGACCAAAGATCGAGCAAATGTAACCGAGCATTGCGGGGATATTCTCTAGTGAGGCATTATCGGTGAATAGCTGCCAGGAGAGGATCAGGGCGGACAAGCAAACGCCAACTTGGCCGAGGGAAATAAAAATGAGATAGTTTTTGAAGTAGTTTTCCATTAGTAGTTTTCTGATTAGTTTTTTTTTTTATGATGATAGAATTTTCCGTGATCTTTTTATATCCCTACTTTGTGTTCAAGAGCACCATCATTCTTTTCATTGTGCTCCATCTAGATTCAATTTCAAGAGATGGAATCGGTGCTTGTGGGTTTTCCCATGTGATGATAGGGGGCGATTAGAACCTTGCTAATTGCTGTTTTTTCATATTTGGCGACGCCCGCTTCGCGGAAATTTCGAGGCTAAGCATGACCAGCTGCGTGGCGAAATGCCCTAATTGCTGATAGCTGACGGGATATGAGCTGGTTAGCTACTAGTTTTTCATGGGAACAGAGGTAATGTTTATTCAAGGTCAGTAGTTGATACCTGGAAGGAGTGTTTTTACGTCGAAATCTGAAATAGATTTTTTCGACATCGAATATTTCTTCCATGATTGCAGGTCTTAAAGTTGAAGTAGGATTGATAAGTAATAACTGCAGCGTAAAATTTGAATGAAAAAGACGCGCGCTCGGTGCATTTACATATCTCGGCATCAGCACCAAACTCCTTTCAACCCTCGCCGCCAAGCACAACATGGTGATTGTCTCGCCAATTCTAGAGCGCGACTTCAGGTGCGTCACTGCGGCCCGCGTTTGATATGTGGCTAATTTTGTAATTGTGAAATTGTAGCGACCGAGAAACGATTTGGAACACGGCCGTCGTCATTTCCAACAGGGGCGAGTATCTTGGAAAGACGAGAAAGAATCATATTCCACGAGTCGGCGATTTCAACGAGTCTACTTATTATATGGAAGGCGAGGATGGTCATCCAGTAAGTCTCAGTAGCGGATAAGTCTGGGAAGATAAGCCGCCCGTCTGTCGATTTTATTCAACACCTTGTTTGCTGAAATATATTAATAATTGATACATAGGTTTTTGAAACCGACTTTGGAAAAGTCGCCATCAACATCTGTTACGGGCGACACCACCCACTCAACTGGATGGGATACGGTCTCAACGGCGCTGAGATCGTTTTCAACCCCTCCGCAACTGTCGGTGCGCTTTCCGAACCCATGTGGGGCATTGAAGGACGATGTGCTTCAATCGCATGGGGCTACTTTACTGGAAACATCAACCGAGTTGGAACTGAGCATTTCCCGAATGAGTTCACAAGCGCTAACGGAAAGCCAGCGCACAAGGATTTTGGACACTTCTATGGATCAAGGTACTTTTTTCTTGTTTTCGACCACTCTGATATTCTCTATCCAGCTATGTTGGAGCTCCTGACGCGACCAGAACCCCGGGACTTTCCCGAACAGAAGAAGGCCTCCTCGTTTCCGAAGTCGATCTCAACCACATTCGTCAAGTGCGCGATAGCTAGGGTTATAAGATGAAAATTTGACCCATTTTTCTAGCTTTGTTTAGGGGTCTTGCCTATTTGGTCAAAATTTCGGGCTCTTATATATAAATGAAGACGTATCTATCTTAGAAATGACGTTAACGGGGTCCAAACCGTCTGGTAGAGACGAAAATTATCGCGTTTGATCCCTAAAAATCCGAGAAATTTACTATTCTAGCGCCTCTAACGGCCACTAAGTTCCGAGTCAGCAGTATTTTATTGGCGTTTTAGGAAGCTCAGACGATGAGCTTTCTAACGCACCTATTTTCGAGCCATTTCGAGTGAACCCCAGCACCCAAAAATCGATTGAAGAGTTCTAGTGCCGATATTAGAACTTCCGGTGCGATAAATTGCCTTGCGGGCATGACCCAGACCACTTGAAATTGTGCCCAAATGAAAGCTTATCTTCTGAGCTTTCTAAAACTGTATCATAAGACCCCTAAACAAAGCTAGAAAAATGGGTCGAATTTTCATCTTATAACCCTAGCGATAGCTGGGGCTTCCCAATGACCGCTCGTTTGCCGATGTATGCTGAGCTTCTTGCGCGAAAAACTGCCCCCGGATTCAAGGAACAAATTGTCAAGCAACCCTAGAGAAGAGAGAGACTCGGAGAAATGATACTGTCCTGACAATTTTGATATTTTTGAATTCAAAATTTGATTTGTCATTAAATTGAGAACTGCTTTTATTAATAAATAAAAACTAAAATTAATGAAATAATTTATGATCTGAGCTCGGCAACCTGTGTAGAAAACCTTAGTCAGGGTCTGAAATATCTTTTATGAAAAACCGCATAGCGACTTTTTTAAAAACGAAGCCGCTTTGCGGCTTAGTTAAAAATAGTCGCTGCGCGGTTTTTATAAAGATTACTCAAACCTTGACTCAGGTTTTCTACACAGGTTGCCGAGCCCAGTTTATGACTACTGGTAGAAGAAGTCTAAAAACAAAGCATGTTTCTGTGTCACGTGACAGAAGGGACGCAGATTTCATTTCATTAGACAACATTAGACAGGATTAATTTTTGCTCATCCTTTCAATACAATTATTCTTCTACAGTAGCGTTAATTATTAACCGTGCCAGGCGCAGGGTCCGATAATTTGAGCTCACGCTAAAACTCCACGAAACAAAGCTTGAGAACTCAGTTTTTAAATTGGAGTTTTGAGAAACTCAGAGATGAGAGCTCGCGTGAGAAATCAAATTTTGTGGTGGCGCTCGCGATCCACGAGCCAGTCAAGGCGGGGTGGACGATTTTTGTAAGTGCGCAGCCTTACGCAACGCGCCTACGATATGCTGTGGCTGCGCCGACTCGCCGCCGGGCCAACCGGCGGGCCAATCCGCGCGCTCGCTCAAATGGAGTTTTTGAAAACTCATGAGATTTCCCTGCTCTCAAGGAAAATCTCAGAAAATCTCCAAATGATTTCTCAAGTCGAACTGAGTTCTCAATTTGAGAAAATCGAGAACTCAGCCAAAAATGAGTTTTATCGTGAGCTCAAATTATCGGACCCTGGCCAGGCGCATATGTATAATCTCGATTTGTCGAGCTCAGCTCGGTTCAACAGCTCCCTGATTCGAATCAGACTGATTTCACTCATCGATTTGCAGATTTCAAATTCGCCAGTTTTTTTTTTCACCAGTTTCACGATAATCAATTTATTTTTCACCAAGTTCTAGTGCAGGAAAAAAGCATAAAAGAAAAGGATACAATACTCAATTCGCGCAATTATTAATTGAATTCAATTTTGTGTTTCCGGAAGTCGAAGTTGTCTTATTCAATTCTTTTCTTTTCAGGTCTCTTTTATTTGGCTGAAATATCAATAAGAGCATGTATTCTCAATATATTTCCTTGTCACCTGAGTATCATTTTTTCGTTTTTGAGATTTGACTTGTTTGTTTTTAGAGGAGGGATCACCATTGGAGTATCTCGTCGTTTTTCACCATCTTGAATTGAAGTTTTAATGAAATTTAACGAGGCTTTGGGCTCGGCAACCTGCGTAGTAAACCTGAGTCAGGGTCTGAAAGAGCCGAAGCGGCTTCGCAAAAATAACCATTTTAGGGGTGTCAACAACGATCGAATAAGGGTCCTTTTTATGATTTTTGACCTCTACCGGGGTCAAAAGTTGGCTGAAAATCGTTGTTGACACACTTAATCTATGAAAAATTCTGGCGAAGCCGCTCATTCAGACCCTGACTCAGGTTTTCTACACAGGTTGCCGAGCCTTCGACTTACCTTCGATGATATTTACAGTAAAATCAGACTTAACAAAAGGTGTATCTCTTCGCTGCTCTTTTGTTTCTACTCCTATCTCGCTGTTCATATTTTCTTCCATCAGAAAATGAAAAAATAAAAAGCAGTGTGCGAATCTGAATTTATAGAAATATTCGGTCTTGTAATAATTAAGCTTTACCTATTTTGGCTTTTCCACTTGATGGTGCGAGATCAGAAAGAATCGATCCTCAAAGTGTCGCTGTTATTTTTCTTCCCGTGCTGGCCAGAGCGCTCATTTTTGTTGATGACGATATAAATTATTTATATCGGTGAGCTTTTATTACAACACGTGACTTGGCTCATTTTTTGTGGCTCTCTTTTGGACAAATTCGACGCTAGAACTTCCTAATTGTCGATTTTTCGAATATTTTATTAATAAAAATTTCCATTTTCTTGAACTTGAAGGTCTAAATCGGTGAAAAATGGTCAACTCCATTATGTCATTTTCAATTTCCAAAATCCATGTGAGTTCTTTATACGTGTCAATTGCCTTAGTGCTGATTTCAAGCCCGGATTTCTTTCATCTTTGAATATTGAATTAGCTCACGCGAATCGGATCTGACAAACCGAAACTAAATTCTCTAAACAATGTTTTAAAACGTCATTCTATGCATCAAATTTTCACTCACTGTGAGCATTTTCACATCGCAGGAGAAGGAAGAAGCCGAAAGAAGAATATTTTCTTCGGCTTTCTGATTGAAAAAATATGAAGATTTTGAGCTTTTTTCTTAGTGTTATAAACAGCCAGAGCGAAGAAGACGGATACAAAGGGAATTTTAGAGGACTAGATTTGTACAACTACATTCAAAGAAGTAATGCTGTTTATGAGGTAATAATATAATATAATATAATATAATATAATATAATATAATATAATATAATATAATATAATATAATATAATATAATATAATATAATATAATATAATATAATATAATATAATATAATATAATATAATATAATATAATATAATATAATATAATATAATATAATATAATATAGATCTTTTATTTGTTCGGTCGAATCGATGTGCCGATTTAACTACAGTAGATTTATCGATACATTTATGAGCTTCTCGTAGATTCCAGCTCCTCATCTCGAGATATCAAATCCCTCTGATATCGACCACTGTATTAGCCCGTGTTTTCTACAAGTGCCCGGGCCAGTTACAACTAGGTCTTTCGACAAATTAATTTGGTCACCCCTCCTCTTCTATATTTTTATTCTTTCTTTCATTTTTAGATCCAAAATGCGGTGAATTTCGATGAATTTCAACGCGGCCTTGGCTTTGGGAATATCAATAAAGCTTCAAGCGTATCGGCCTTTGGCCTAGAAGTCGCCACGGCGAATCGGGTCAACCAAATAATGAAAATGACGATGTTTCTTCAAGAAACGCCCGATTTTGACAAGTTTTATCGATACGGCTGCTGGTGTTTTGTCAAAGGTGATTCTGGCAATTTCAATTCTTTTTTTGCGAACTCGCTGGTTTAGGTGTGGAAGCAGTCCTTGGCGGTCACGGAGAACCAGTCGATGAGATTGACCGTGTCTGCCAGCGTTTTCACAAATGCATTTCATGTGTCAACATGGACCATGTCGACTGTCCAGATTGGGCGCCGTACACCTTCAAGTCGAACAAGTCACGTGCCACGGGCGAAAAGAACGTCGTCTGCAAGAACAAGGTCTATCAACCAACAATCTTCCATTCAACCCTTTCTAGCGAGGCTCTTGTCGCCGACACCACTGCGAATGCGACAAAAAGCTGGCGATGGAACTTGTCGCTCTTGAATCCGAGTATTCCCCGTACTTTTCGCATGCTAATGGCGCTTTTGATACGGAAAAATTTTGCTTCGCGAACAAAAAGAACGATGAGAACAGCTCAAAAGTAAAGGCTGAGCAAGCGAAACTGGAGTTTTCAGCTGGAGTTAGTAGGAATGAAGAAAGTTGCTGTGGGGAGTATCCGGAGAGATTTCCTTTTAGGACTGTGGGTTGAAAAAATGAAGATTTTAAAAACCATAAAAGAAGGAATTTTTTTTATAATTAATAGTTTTTCTTTCTTTTATGATTGGTAGAAAATTATAACCAACATGAGCATTAGCACGGCAAGTACGATTAACCGCTAACAATTCTTAACCTTCTTACATAATTGATAACCCTAGAAAGAATTTTCCAAGGAGGAAACATACGAAAATGCTGCGGGAACCGAACCTACGACCCGAGAAGATTAGCTTGCTGCCGAGGAAACGAACTAAAACCGCTCGGAACATGTACATGAACTTCAAACAAGCAAATAAAATACACAATTTCTACAAAAATACAAAATTTTATTTGTGGTAACATTTATAAAAATGGAGATATAATATACAAAGAAGCGTCAAAGGAGGTTGAATCCTTTGGGGAGCACCAGCGATTTTCTCGGCTTCGACTTCATAGATTCGATCATGCGGGCTTTGAGGATTTTTCTTGCTCTTCTCCTTCTTCAGTCCATTTTCCGGAAAGAATCTGGTCGAAATCGCGGTCGGTAATTGAGCTCAGATCGTCTTCTGTTAGCAGTAAATCAGCAGCTAAAAGGAGATTGTTAAATCATTGATGTTTGAAAGTTCCTTACATAAAAGACCTTCGAGTTTTCTATATCTGTTGATGCAGCTTATTTTGATCATTGTTTCTAGAGCATTTCTAGGCATGCGAGTTCCACTGTACGCCCAGCCTTGAGAGATAAAGTCCTGAATGTTGGGTTAATTAGCAATTTTTGGGTGAGCGAATCTTACATTTAGATTTGCTTCAATTAATATTCTGGAAAAGTCTTGCTGCTGATTTATATAACGTCTTTCTGAGAAGAATATGCTTGAATTGTAGAGACAGCTTAGGTTTGAATTATTTAACTGCTTCGAAATTTCCCAAAGATCTTTGACGATTCCATTCGCAGGCCCTTCTACCGTTAAATATTGCTAAAAAGAGTCAGATGAGCTTCTCCAAGGAAACTTACCATTTGGCCAATTTGTATATGATATCCAGTCGCGTGTAGATCTGAGTCTTTATCATTTTCGACATTGTGCTTTTTGACGTGTTCCTTGAGAAGGTCGAGATTCGTTGATGCTCCGCCAGCGGATGTGAACATTATCAGCCCGTATGGAGTGTGCTCGTTCATTTCAACCCGTGGAGAGGATAATTTATACGGAAACTTTACTTGCACTGTAACTTCCAGCTCTATCAAAAAATGGTTAAAAGCTGTGACCTGGGCTCGGCAGCCTGTGCAGAAAACCTGAGTCAGGGTCCGAAAGAGCGGCTTCTAGAATTTTTTATAGATTGTAATTGCAATATTCGCGAAGCCGCTAAGCGGCTTCGTTCTCAAAAAAAGCCGCTGCGCGGCTTTTCATTTAAGCACTTTCAGACCCTGACTCAGGTTTTCTACACAGGTTGCCTTGAGTTTACGAACCTGTTCCAGCGTCAACAAAGGCGCCGGGAGAAAGAGGAAGTAGCTGCCCTTTGTATCCTTTCATCAAGGTGTTCTGTTTTCCAAAAACGGGCAGACTGACAGTGAGACTTTTCGCTCCTTTGGCAAAGTCAATAAGTGAAAGTTTCGCCTCCCCATAAGAATTTGGAACGGGTGTCTTGATTGCGCTTGAAAGTCGACTTGGGTTGATTCGGTTCCATACGGGATCTGTTTTGACTGATTTCTGGGCTCTCTGGATCAAATCCCGATCATGAACTAAAACAGACAGTTAGCTCAATTTCGTTGCATCATGCCAGCTTACCTCTAAATCGGAAGATAACCCGTCTGAAAAGATCAGCGATCCTCTCTTTCGGGATCAGTCCGGTAAGAATCACGAACGACGTGTTTAGCGCGCAAACTGAATCCTGCTGCACCGGGTTCGTCGTGTAGTTTTTCCCAAAGGCGTGAAAGGAGGCAGTAACAGGCTTGACATCTGGGTGGTTTTGGAGAAACTCTGGCGTGTGAGGCTTTCGTGGCATTGGACCCAAACGGCCGAGGGTGATCTTCATCGGATTGAAATATTCTTCTTGCCTTGTCGTGAGAAGTTTCTTGTCCAGCTCCAATTTGCCAGCGAAACTGATCCAACTTTGACCATGCTCTTCTCCATTACCACGCTTGCCTTTTGATGATCTGAGCATCGTCAGCTTATCGAAGAACATCTCGCCCATTTCAAACGTCAACGCAGCGGGGGTATTTTTCATGTACATTTTCGTGCCTTCAATCTTCTTCGAATTCCTCGTACTCGTCGTTCTCGAAGTAGAGGCGGAGGTGACGCGAGATTTGTCCGAAGCGACGTAATCGCCTTCTGAGACTCGTTGGCAGGCTTCGTCGAGGTATGGCTTCCACCAGGCGCTGTCTTCTGGTTCGGATTTGATCAGCGTACTCATTCGGTAGACGCGAGGTCGGTCGTGCTTTGCGCGGGTGGAGATGGCAGCGCGGCTGTCGACTAATTTTGTGTCCACTTTGTAGTCAAACGTATCATTGAGCTACACTTATTTAAAAATCTGCTTGTGAAGGTATTTTACCTTTCCGAGCTCGCGTGTGAGTTGATGAGTATGGTTGACAATAATCCAGGAGACATTGTCCCTTGTGTTGATTTTGATCATCTCGTCGTACATGAAATTGACACCCTTTGTATGCGTGACTTTGACAGCGTGGCCGTAATTGACGATGTCGATCTTACGGGACTCATTCGCTGGACAAGGATGGTACTCGATGTGGAAGTGGTGTGATGGCTTGCAAGCTGGCAGGTTGTCGCGCCCGTTCTAGCTTGTTTATGAAAAAAAATGATAAAGAAAGGTACCTGTATTAAGATCTCATTGGAATCATATTCTTTGTCCTTTCTCGCCGGGAAAACAATGATGAAACTCATCTTCGCCTGGACGGAGTTTTCATCGTCTTCTTGGAATACAGGGACTCCGGATCCGTGATTTCTCATGTCGGCTCCGGTCCAGGGCACCTTTTCAAACTGATTACTCTCATCGCCAACCTCAGGGGTCAATATCATGTTCTAGAAACTCTTTACTCTTGAATTCAACATTTTTTTTTGTGAAAAGGGGTAATTTATTTTTGTTACACTTGAATATAGGAAACACGCCTGAGGACGCGTGTCGCGATTCAGATTGCTTGCACTTTACATTATGCGCTATAAAAGGATCTCAACTTGGTAACCATTGAATAATGGAAGGCTAGAAAGAGCTTTTGTACTCCGACAATCAGCAAAAACTCGACGAAGACACTGTATATTTTTAGCAAATTTGTCCTTGATCATGAATTGTTATCTTGCTATTATAATCCGGAAGCGACCTTTCCGAGGACCAAGATGAAGCGCGCATGTTGATCTTTCTCCGAATGTTTAATAATTATTTAAAAATCTCGTCATGATGTCATCAGTACTGGTAAAGATACTGTGCGCTCGTCAAGTGTTTTCCTTCATTATGATCCACTAAATATTTACCATTATCCCTTCCTGCTCATAAAAACAGTAGCTGCAGAAGAATCGCCCCATTCCCATCGAAGCACTTGAGTCAAGGCACAGACTCAATGTCTGACCGAGTAAATAGAGACTGGGATATTAAGGACTCGACAAAGTATTAAAGGCAGTGATTAGTATATTTTATTTAAAATATTTCAGGTATCAACTGCATGAGATCGAGCATCTGAGAATCACGGAATCAGGAAAAACCGTCCGTGATATCAGAATTGAAAACGAGCAGTTAAGAAACAAGCTGCTCGAAGCGTATGAGGATTCGATCAAGCAAAAGGATGAAACGATCAAGCACGTCCAGGAAAAAAGTCAGATGCAAGCCAAGCTACTCCAGGTTTATGAGACTCAGTTCGCAACAAGATATCAAATGAAGGTAAAAAATTAAAACTTTTTCTTCTAATTTTTAAAAATTTAAGGACGAACAACAGAAGAATAGTGGAATGACCTTCAATTGCAACGGAGAAAATGGCAAACAAACGGTCACATTACCACAATCGCCAACGAAGCTGACTGAGGATCAACAGCCATCAATGGAATCTACACGACGATCCACTGAAGACGGAACATTCGAATCTTCATTCTCTGGAATGAGCTTCAATTAAAGCCTCCATGTGATTCTTTTCCCTTTCTCAGATTTATTTCCGCCTTACGTTTCATGCAAACACTGAGTGCAGTCAGTTTTGCAAATATTACGTGTGTTTATTTTCCCTCTTTCTGATTTTCCTTTCTGATGCATTCGAAAACGTATTCAAATAAATATCCAAATGTTATCATTGCTGCTTTCCCTCTTACGCATGTGTATGTAAATTTATTTGAGTACAGCTATCACTATGTCAATACGCAGAGTTCCGAAAAGCCATCATCGTCGAAATTTAATAAGTTCATCGACAAGACGAAAGGAAATCAAAATGGGATGCATGTCTTTCGCAGTTCTGAGAATATATTCAAATGATTTTTAAAAATATCATAGGTAGACTTTTATCATGAAGAGACTCATAGAATTTTTAGATGATATTCTTGAGATCCACCACTGGAACTGCACGAACAATCCTTTTGAAGAAGTGAACGTTGAAACTTGCCAAAAGTGTTATGACAAGCCAACATACTATCAACCATCATCACATGTCGGGTAGATCAAGAAAACCCTTTCCTTAAAGCTACCTTTCTTTCAGATCCCCTTGGGCCTGCTTTGCAACACATCAGGAGCTGCTCGTTTTCTTCTGGATAATCGTCTTGGACATTATTTTGATCTCTCTCAAAATCGTAGTTGATTGTCTGAAAAACTTCAAAGAACGAAACGACTACTCTTATGAATACGAAGAAGAAGACGTGTGTACCATCGACTCTGAGAATGAGAAGTTTCTCGCTAAAATCTCAACCGCTGGGGAATTATCAAACATTCTTCTTGTTATTCTTGGAATGGTTGCGCTGAAAATCAACTCGCAAGAAACACTGGATGCATTCGTTATTTTGGCGATTATTGATGTTGTGTTTTTCGTTGGCTGCCCCTTTCTCAGCTTTTTGTGGATAAGGTCGGGTCCTGAGAAATGAAAAAGAGACATAGGATGATGTCTTTGGACCCAAAAAAGATCGTTTGAGGAAATTTGCGATTCAGAAGGCCTCTCAAACTTCGTCGATTTCGCGATATCCTTTTCGCTGAGTTTAACAATGATCATGATCTCGTTCAACTACGCTTTTCCTCATTGAAAATCTTATATTCTGAATAAAAAACGTTTAATACTTCTCATCTAAAAATCTAGCCGCTAGATGGCAGCAGGATCGAATTCTTACAGAACCAAATGTGGTCATTTGCGCAAGTGGCGGCGTCAAACCTAAGTGCGTGCCATCGGTAGTATCCTTCTATTACTTGAAATTTCGACTCCCGGTTTCAGAAAGGAGACCTAGAAAAGAGAATATTCCATGAAGATTTTGAAATTTGGTATCCCCGTCTACGTTTTAGCAGGAAAAAAGAAGGACCAAGAGAAAGAAGCAAGAGTATTAATTTTTTTCCTTTTTTAATATTTGTTTTTTTCATCATTTATTCAGAGTGCTTGCTCAAATTCTGAGCTGTTTCTTGGTCACGGCTCTTTTATTGACTGCACAAACGGATTCAATAAAGGGTCAAAGTGCCACTACGTTTGCAATCCTGGATACGAGTTCGTCTGCAGCACGAAAAATCAACGCTCCCTGTTCAAGTGCAAATGCAAAGGAAGCGACTGCAAGTGGAAGGGACAAACTGGCTGTTGCGAACGTAAGACAACTCCATTTTGCCTTCATCATTGATTTAGCTAACGATGTAGCGTCGGATATTCTTTGCCCAGAAGCTGACGCAGAAATTGACTTTGAAACCGGAAGTATTCTCAGGAGCGTTTTTGCTGTTTGAAAATAGAGTTTCATACAATTTTGAAAACAAGATAAAGCTTCAACGACAATCGAATCCTTCCAGCATACGAGAAATTCTTTCGAGATAATGGAAGCTTTCAATGCTCAAAGAGCGCGGTACTCAAGAAAAGTGGTAGAACTAATTCTTCCTGTAGCTTCGGAAGAAAACAGACTGGGCTCGACAACCTCTCTAGAAAACCTGAGTCAGGGTCTGAAAAATCTTTGATGAAAAAGCCGCAGCTTTTTCATTAGAAATCTGAGACCCTGAGTCAGGTTTTCTACACAGGTTGCCGAGCCTAGAAAACAGAGTTTTGCTTAGGTGTACCACCAGATAGATTTCAACCGAAGGAATAGCGGAAGTGATGTTCGATTTTTACTACAAGAGCGCGAAGCCCTCCGGTATCACTTTTTCAATCGCCGACACCGAGAAAAGCAACGGAAACGGCGGGACAGATGGCCTCACACCCTGGCACGCGGAGGTTCAAGGACGCAATGGAAATATGGAAATCTTCATGAACTCAAACGACGATGTCAGTCTATTTGAAATCATGCCCGAAGCGCGTCCTTTTCTTATCGAAAATTTGACGAACATCGTGGCCTCTTATGCGCACTTGTCGTTGACAGTCAAGCCCGACTATTTTGGCTGGAATGACAATCGACACGAAGATCATAATTGGGAACTGAATCGGGAAGGCTTCATTTCTAGCAAATATCTTTTCGCGATGGACGGGAGAACTTACATTCCAAATTATGGAACAGGCAAAGAAGACAAAGGTACCTGAGAAATTATGATTTGTTACAAATTATTCCCTAGCCCTGTATCTTGGCATGAACCAAGTGGTCTATCCTTACGACACAGGAAACATCGGAATGGGCCTCTGCAGAGCTTGCATCACTATCCGCCGAAAATGCAATGATGCGGAGCTAGAAGTCGACCTAACAACAGGACAAACATGGGGATTTCCCACCAGTAACGTCGACTGGTACCGGCCATTGAAGAAAAGCGCGTTGGTAGCCGGTGGGTGTTCAATGCAAGGAGTTCTGAAATTCACAACGTCGACGATCAAAAAGATGAAAATGCGCTTCTTTTACGGAGATGTCGATATTGCCGGCACGCATATGATTCTTGCTGACTCGCCGAATGGAGAAGGTTTTGGGAACGACTGGGCGAATAAATACAGAGCACAGATCCACGCCTGGAACAAGGAGCTAGCTCAATACGTGGCGTTGCATGAAAACTGGCCGAATGGGGTCCAAGGTGGTCATAGATTGTACACTGGAACGAGGCTGAGAAATTTCTACGAGAACGGAGCGACTTATGATATAACGCTGGAAGATCGAGTCTTTTCGGTGGGTTCCCTATCATAACTTTTTATTGAGAGAGGTTTTTTTAGTATTCTAATAATGATGGCCACAGTGGGTCGAAAATGAACCCATGGATGTTCCGAATGAACAATAAGAAGATAAAAAGCGAGCCTCTCGACGAAGATATTTACCTGGGCCTCAATCGAGTTCCAAGAGATGGAAAAGACGGAAAGAACTCTGGACTCTGTCATGTCTGTATTTGGATCGATTAAATTATCCACACTTTTCGCTGTAAATAAAATTTTCCTATAAATTATCAAATGATTGAATACCATTTTCTTTCGCATATTTAACTCATAAAATATTCATTTAATTTGACCTTGATTCACGTAAAAGAGCTTTATCCTTTTTGATTGAGAATATCTTATTTGATGACATTGACTCACGTCGACCGTCATAAACGTATTTACCTTTCGCTTGCGTGTACAAATTTATCCTTTAAAAGCCGCTGAATTTCTCCGCTGTTTCAGATGTGAGCCAGTATCCGAAATTCTGATTATGTACATATTCTTGTTTTTGAACTTTTTCTCGTCTACGGAGGAGAAATACTTTCGCTAAAAATTGTTGTCGAGCAGCGTGAAAAATACGATGAAATCATAGAAGACGTCCTTCAGGAAATAAGAGATGCGTATGGTTCTTCAGATAGTTTCCAGACAATTTACAACGCCAGTTCGACAATTGAATTACAAAGTACCAAAACGAGTCTTCCAGGAGATGAAAGAGAAAAATGCATCTGCTCCATCACTAGAAAAGATGATGATGATCGCTCAATGAAAGGACCGAGACCAGAACCAGTCTTTATTCCTCTTGGTGTCTCAGAGTCAATTACTCTTTCTGAGCCAACATGTCCGGCTACAAAGAAAAAGAGGAAGAGAAGGGAGGAGAATATTGGAGGTGATTCTTGTAAGGCTTCAACTTTTTGCTCCGAAGAAACTTGCGATCCCAACGGATGTCAGGTTGTTTTTCTCGGAGAAGAAAATAGCAACTGCAAAAGAGAAAACTATGAAATCGCTTGCGAACGGACAAGTTATGCATCAGAAGCCGTCTCAATTATCACTATGAAGAACGAAAGATTCAGAAGCGGGGAGAAGGACTATCTCGACAAAGCCATAAAAAAATTCTCTAAGAGCAAAAAATTTGCGCGCTTTTCGAATTATTCCGTGGCAAAAGGAAACTTTTCAGTTCTCCATATTTCAAGTTCTCATGCTTTCTTCGTCAATCACTGCCTCTGCGTTTTACATTCTCTGGAATATCTCAAATTTTGGATTTAAAAGCTGGATGGCTTGCCTTCTCTTTGGCTTGAAACCCGTTCTCGTTGTGTGGCCTTCTGTTTATCTTTGGTACGAGTACACGACGTCGGAAGATATGGCTGTTGATCCTGACCCCACTGTTTCTGCTTTTTTTCTTGGCCTGGCATATATTCAACTTGGCCTTCATCTTTTGACCATTACGCTGATTTTGGTGAGCCAATCTCGCGACGTAGGAAGAAAAGACGATGATGGACAGCAGAAAAAGTTTGCTAACAGTCGATTCTGGCGAGTTGTCTTTCGACTGCTCATCCAATACCCAATTATTCCAGAGCTTCTTCGTGGAATCAACATCCTTGCTATCTATTTTTACTACACTCGCTATTTATGTAAGACTCTCAAAGTCAACACTACTGACTCAGAGTTTCTATTTAGTTCCTGGGCAAAATGCGCACGTATGGAACTTCGTCTACCTCGTCGCAACATTCATCTTTCTTCTTCCCGGAATTCTGAGCGCTTTTCACGCTTTTCAGATGAAATTGTTTCCAAAAACATCATTTTTTCAATTTTACCGAAATCAATGGTCAATAGGCCTGGTCAAAAATGTCATATTTGAGTACTCTTATTAGGAATAATTTCTGACCTCGATAAAAAGACCCAACAAGTAAAAGACGAAAATTCCATGAAATCTGCTGCCAATGCGCTGAATATGGCTTTTTTATGCGAATTAATTACTACGTATTCGAAGTGATGAAGATGATACAACTCATCAGTTTGGCCCTTCAACTTATTCTGACATCGTTGATCACTCGTCATTCTTGGCGATACGTGCAAGGAGCAGATCAACTGTAAGACAAACAAGACCGATTTTTGTTTATTAAATTATTTCTTCTTCAGTCAAGGGGTCAAATCAAGCGTCTCAAATTTCGACCCACCATCTTATGCTAGATTTACAGAACCTTATTCAACTCGATTGCTGGACAACTCCTGCTCTTCCTTGAGCTCAGTCGAAAGCTTTCATATAGGACCTGTACCCCTCAACGATCTTTTGAAAGGAAAGTGCATGCTTCCAGCGGAATGGGTCCTCTTTGTCTTTGGGATATTAATGATCTCGCTCGGAATAATTTCCCTTATTCTTCTTGTTATTGGTTTTGATCCAACGACAGAAGAACTCGAAGAAAAATTGAAGCCAGAAGAAGATGATGAGTATAACTTTATCACTCCAGGCTTGGTTTATTCATCATTTTTTTCATATTATTCATCGGTAGAATTAAATTTTTAAACCATTTAAAGCCCAGCGTGCAAGAAGTGAGCCGCAAAACAACAACTGCAGGAGAATATCAGAAGATGTCACTGCCCAGTACAACCAAGAAAACGTCAACCAAAGCAATAATCGAAACGAAGAATTGAATTTGCTTGTCCGGGACAGAGTTGTCCCTCTTCAAAATAGCTTTCAAAATGCTTCTTCTGAAATCGGCTATGTTGAGCCAAACAACGGACCTGCGTACGAAGAACCTTATCGTCTAAACCAAAGACGGTATAGCAACGATAGCTTTGATACAGTAACCGTTGTAAATTGAATAAAAATCCTGACGTGCCATATTGATCCTTCAAAAAATCCTGCAATGAATCATTTCTGACACCACTATCTTCCCGACAACTTGTTGAAACTGACCCAAATAAATACTTTCTGTTGCATAATTCCCTTTTTCTAAACCAACCGTTTTTCGTCACCGTAAAAGGTTGTTTAGTTTGCGTCAATTTCGTGACCTTTCTCAAGCTTGCTTATAAGCGTGTCTATGTTCCATTTTCTCTAAAACTAACCAGAAATGAAGTTCCTTGCCGTTTTTCTTTCATTGATTGCAGCAAAAGAAACGCTTATTGAAATCGAAGGCATACCATCTGTAGAGGAATGGGAGGCAGTTTTAGATCAACACGAGGTGGTTATTGCTGGCTATTCTTATTGCTTCTTTGCTAAGTGAGTATTTTTGCTTGTCTATTTTTTCAAATAATTATTTTAGAAACACGATCAAGAAACTCGACGAGTTAAAAATAGACTATGCTTGGCTTCAAATGGACAAGCAAAAAGCAAGTTCGGGAAAATGGTACAACTTTATGAAGGACTACACCGGAACGGGAAAAATCAACATTTTCATGAATGGCGAAGCTGCTTTTACATCAGAAATTGCGTTGAAAAAGTCACTGATGATGAAATTGTTGCTAAATATGTCTCTGCTAATTGAGTTACAATTATCAAATAGACGAACAAAAATAAATCGTTTGAATTGATTATTATTGTAGTCAAGTGTATTTTGTTTATTCTCAAAATATTTCCTTGCTTGGAATAACGTCAGTAGAACGAAGAATTATTGGAAAGATTAATTAATGAAGGAATAGAATGCTTGAGCGCCGCCGAAGAACTCCATGTTTTCGGCGTCTTTGTTTTTGAAAGTGATGTAGAGAAGTTCGCCTTGGTAGTCTTCTTCGAGCATGACGCCGAATTTGCCGTCGTCGGAGTATCTAATGCCGGTGTCTTCGTTGGTGGTTTCGTTGAGGAGGGCAGTGGCCATGACGGTTCCATTGGCTAAAAATTATTCTTTAGAAGGAAAAGTAGGCGCCTTAGAATCTTACCCATGAGTTCGATGTCGGTAATGGCGACGGGGTCGTACTTCTGGTTCTTCAGTTCAAAGGTGTACAAGTTGTCCTTCTTGTGACCTGCGGTATTGATTACTGGAATAGCATAGGTTCCATCGTTGTTTCCAGGAGCGAAATTGAACGGAGCCATGAAGAGTCCCTGCTTTCCTTCGCCGATGTCCGTGCATTCGATGTCGATGTCTTCAGACGATCCGCAGGCGTCCTTGACTTCTTGGGGAGTCAGTTTTGGGTTTCTGAGCTGGTATGGCCAGGCGAAGGGGATTTTGAACCAGCTGACGAATCGAACTCCATCTTCTTCGCCGTGGCCTTCGTAGGTGTGGATGAACCACTTGTTTCGAGTGATACTGGGTTGGGTGACAAAAGAACCGCCAGCGTTGACCCAGAGAGCTTGAAGATCACCGGCGAGGGTAACTTCGCAAGTCTGATTGGCAGCCATGGGAAGTTCTCTGACGGCTCCGCAGACTTGCTCCATGCTTGCAGCGGGCCATTCGGTGTCCTGAGCAGCGGCAAAGGCGGCAAAAGCTCCGAGAACCTTCATTTTACTTCTGATTTTCTCTTGAAATGATCTTATCTCGCTTCGGTCTGGATTATATAGGTTGAGTAATTATGGTGGAGGTGCTAGAGAACCCAAATCAAAAACATGAAAAAGAACACGCGTAGCGTTAGCGCACGTGCCGAGCCCGTGTTCCGAACGCTTGTTCCACTCAACGGCTCTAATTTTCTGCTGAATGCACAGAAAATAGAGACTATCAAAAGAATTAACGATTGATTAGCAATTTCCAGGAAAGGATGAAATTCTCTAGAATATCTGTTGATTTTGGGGAAAAATCCATCTTTGAAATCAGTTTATAATTTTCATCAGTTTGAGCCGCAGTAACGGAGCCACGCGAGGCAAATGCCTGGTGAAGCAGTCAAATTCGACGTTCCAAAAGCAGGTAATGGATAAAGTAAAGATAGTAGACCCTAAATCAGGAATCAGAACCAAGAAAGTCAAATATCCGCGTTGGTCCTCGTAAGCAAAGCACTTCCGATGGCCGTCGAATATCAACAGCTCCTCGAAAGTCCGCTCCTTCCACAGTTTATAAAAGGGGCCAGTCCGTCATGTCCAACCCAGTTCGCGAAACGAAGATAAATGAGCTCGTCGACCAAGAAATTATTGACGTAAGTTGGTCCAATCATCTAAAATCTCCTTATTTTTGGACTTAACCAATTTATGGAAGTGCATTTTTGGATAACCAATGAGATTGCTGTATTTGGCCTACCGGCCAATCAAAACACTGATCCATAAAATTGCTTTCATAAATTGGTTTAATCCTTATTTTGTCTTTTTAGAGTCTCCAAGATAGTCAAGATAGACTAACAGAAACTCAAATCAGTGCTTTTCGCGAAGCGTTTGAAATTTTCGACAGAAATGGTGGCGGATCTATTGATGCGACTGAGCTACTCAGGTTATTTTTGACTCGAACGAATCTATTTCTGATTGCGGTAATTTTAGCACGCTGCAAGAGTACGGCATTAATTTGGACGAAGATGAGATTAACGAGGTCATGATGACGATGGACGGCGACGGGAATGGAGAAGTTGATTTTGAAGAGTTCCTCTCCTTAATGACGGATACAGAAATGTTCATCGAGGCTCTAGCGCTGAAGGTACTTTTGATTAGGTTTTCCAAGTTTACGTTTTTTGTTAGCGAGATGGAGCCATGGTGTCCAATCGTGTGATTCTCTTCGATGCGCTCACTGAATTTATGAAGAAGCAAGCTCTTAATAATGCACAAGAAATTGTCGGCTACTACGCTAAAAAGTATCGCAAAGTGGCCAAGAAGATCGCTGTCGGCAAAGCCGCGCACGTTGTCGGTCATTACGCGGAGAGTAACCGACTGATTGGGTTGACCGATGGTCAGCTCTTCAAGCAGTTGAAACGAAGTAAGCGACGATTTCAAATTTTACGGTGCTAAAGAGTATTTTTTTAGTTCGAGCCGGAGTGGCGAGCAACGATTCAAAAGACTCTCCATATGCTACATCAAACGTGAAAGAGCTACTTCAGACGATAAGGGATAAACCGCAGCTCACGCCGAGGAAACCATACGTCCTCGGTGGTGCGAGGCTGCCCCACCTAAGTCGACTCAAGCATTTGACCAAGGTGCCAATGATTGTTGCTGTCGAGAAACCAAAGGATGTAAGTCACTTCCATCACTATCACTTTTCCAATTTTACTTTCAGACAACTGCCAAGATCAGACTCAAGTTCGTAGGCACGAATCAGACACAGCCAATCTTGCCTCAGAGGCTGGCCGTTCTCGACATGAACACAGGGATACCTAAGCGTCAAAGATCAAATATGGAAGCGCGCGGCGACCGGCCACTCTATCATCTGCCCGGTTGGCTACCTCATCGAGCACTCTGTTACGACGTCGAAATACCCATGAGCACCGAGTTCTCGGACGTGTATCTTGACCAACTTCCTCGACTGAGGATGGAAGTAGACGAAGCTGTCAAAGAATTCGAGTCAAAGTAAGTCCCTCTTGTATTTGATTTCTTCTAATTGTTCTTTCCATAGAGTCGATACAGGAAGATATAACAAAAATATAAGCATCTATCGCTCGCTAAACACGAGGCCTCCAAGAACGTGCCGACTCCAGAAGCAAGTTTATCGCTCAATGATCGCATATAGCTCCGCTACTATGAATGACCGAAGTGGTAAAACATCCATGACAGTTTTAGGAAGGGTTCAACAATATGATATTTTTCGTTATAAATAAATTTTCGGTATTTTGTTAATAAAAAAAATATTTTTATTTTTTAATTTTTTTTTGAATTATTTTTTAATACAATTGTTGAATCTCTGAAAAGCCAAAATTTTCAACGAAGATCGAAAAGTGAAGCCAATTATTACACGACAAACAGCATTCGGACCGCCAAAGCGCGGACTCTCGGCAATTCTGTCCTTATCACGTTGACCCTTATCCCTGTTGCGAACTCGTCATTGCTTGTTGTACAAATATACTATATACCGTGAATATTATTTCTGAGTGACTATTGCTGTCCGCATACGCACGTCATTTTAACATTTTTACATGGGAAAAATGTTATAACGAAAAATTGACAATGTTAACTGACGGAGCGTAGGCGGACATAGTAGTCATCTAGAAATGATAATCGCGGTATTTTTATAAAAAAAATAATGAATTTACCAACTTCATCTATTCTGGTAAATTCTGGTTTCATCTTGTTTTCAAATTTTTCGCAGAAATCATCATTTTATGATCAGGTGGATTACGCTCCAGCAGATGAGGAATATTTTATGATTTTTAATCGAACACACCCATTTCGTTACATATACGCCTCTCGGAAATCTCCCGAGTTTGTTATTATTAGAGACGAAATTGATTGAAAAATGAAGCACGATTCAAGACGAGCGTCTATGCTCTACTCGGTATGACAAAACATCACCTGAAGATACCTTTAAATTCTACCATTTCAAATCTTAAGATAAGATGACTTACAGAAAAATTATTAAGGGATACCAGTTGAATGGAAAATACAAAGATGGCGAAGAGCCTCAATTCAGCAAAATGGGCACTTCGATCGTTTTTCGAATGGGCAACAAGGGTTCGCTAGCAACGGCGCTCTCTTTCCTGAAATCAATCGGTAAAAGAGCTCGAGAAAATTTGTGGAAAAAAATTTTCTTAGATTTGATTCACATCGAATCCAACAATCTTGGCGATCTCGGCTACGAATTCTATGCTGAAACCTCCACAGCCGAAGATGATAAAAGCTTCCAGCAGGGTATCAAACGATAGTAAAGAACCTGTTTATTAGAGATGCAAAAGAGAAAACCGTTTGTACCCCTTTCAGGTAGCCTTGTCCGAATTAAAGGCATCTGGGCTCGTGAATTCTGTAAAAGTTTTTACCGCCGGCGACACAGACGATAATATTCCCTGGTTCCCAATGCATGTTGCTGAACTTGATCGCTTTGCGAATCAGATTTTGTCGTATGGATCTGAGCTCGATTCTGATCACCCGGGATTTACTGACCCGGCTTACAGAGCACGACGAAAGGAATTTGCGGACATTGCTTTTCACTACAGGTTTTGTGCTTGAAATTCAATTCATGAAGAAAATTTTTCTAGACACGTTGAAAAATTACCCCTTGTCGAATACACTGATGCTGAGAAAGCCACGTGGGGCGTCATGTACAAAAAGCTGAAAGAACTCTTCCCCACCCATGCTTGCAAAGAATTCAACAAGGTGTTTCCCATGTTGGAGCAGCACTGTGGATACTCGGAGAATAACATTCCGCAAATCCGAGACATCTCTGCCTTTTTACATCGAACAACTGGATTTCGACTCCGACCAGTCGCCGGATTGCTGAGCTCACGTGACTTCCTCGCTGGCTTGGCTTTCCGGTACAAAATGACCAAAAACCTTTCATGAGCAAATTTTCTAGCGTGTTCCATTCAACACAATACATCCGCCACTCGTCAAAACCGCTCTACACGCCCGAACCGTAAGCAAACAAGATTTCCAACAACGCTAAAAACGTTTTTATTTCCAGAGATGTTTGCCACGAGCTGATCGGCCATGTTCCTCTTTTTGCTGACCCGAAGTTTGCTGCCTTCAGTCAAGAGATTGGCCTCGCTTCGCTTGGAGCATCAGATGAGGACGTGAAGAAATTAGCGACGATTTATTGGTTTACTATTGAATTTGGACTTTGCCGGTAAATCAGAAACAAACATTATCATAGCTGGAACCGTTCATTTAGGGAAGATGGAGAAATCAAAGCATACGGCGCTGGCATTTTGAGCTCATTCGGCGAACTTGAGTACTGCCGAACTGACGAGCCAAAGATCCTCCCCTTCCAACCATCAGTAACTTCTGTGACAGAATACCCAATCACCACCTACCAGCCAACCTATTTCGTTACCGAGTCATTTGAAGATGCAAAACGCCTTGTTTCTGAATTCGCCAAAACGATGAACAAGCCGGTTCAAGTGCAGTACAACGCATACACCGAGTCCGTTGAAATTCTTGACAATATTGAGCAATGCAAGAATATCGCCGACGGAGTCAAGAATCAAGTCGAAGCCCTTTCCGCTGCACTCAAACGCATGATCGAATAAATTATCCAATTTCAATGAATATTTTCTTCTTTCTTTTTCAAGCTTCGCGCCTTTGAATTTCCCGCTAAGTGTCAAGTACATCCACAATTTCCCTTTTCAGCTGCGTCAAATTGTAGAAAGAAATTAGAGAGGAATATGTCTGGAACATTAGATTTAATTACGTTGAGTGAAGAGCACGTGGATCAAGTGAATCAGTTTCTACGAAATAATGCCTTCACAGAGCCGGTTATAGTGACTTTCAACGGGGATAAGCCGGTTGAGGGGACTGTTCTTGAGGAAAGAGGGATAGACGAGATTATCTACTTCTCTAGGGCTCTTATAACTATTTTCTCTTTCCCGAAAATTAGGATTCAATGGAGTACATCGTCACAAACTGCATCGTTCACGGCGTTTTAGACGAAATTCAACCCCACTCTTTCGGGCTCCTGTTGGATAATGAGCTGGTAGCCGTGATGTTAGGGACGAAAGAAAAGTTCCCGAAGATCTGGAAGCCAAACGAGCTCCAACCTATTCAAGGACAGACCGCTGTGAACTACTTTTCGCTCATGGCAGACATGCAAATTGGCGCGATGAGCAAGTCTCAAGGTCAGTCTACTAGCAGGTCAAAATACGAGCGAAAAAGTCTTGAAATCATAGACGACTCGATTATGTCCAGGTCTTGATCGTAATTTTAAGGTCGAATGAAGGGCTATCAGCTGGTCACGTGCCGAGTTATGTGCGTCAAAAGCGCACTTAGAAAGAAGGGAATTGCCTCAACTTTCCTGTCAACTTGCATTAGCAATTCGCAGAAAGAAGGAGCAGAGGCCTTTTTCTTCACAGCCCCAAACAAGGCCAGCCAAAAGCTAGCTACGAAGATTGGCGTATGTTCCGTTCCCTTAGACTTTTCTTAACAAAAAATTCAGCTGAAAGAGTACAACTACATCAAATACGAAGCTTATTCGAAGGACTACCCTTTGTACAAGAAACTCGAAGACAAAGAAGAAATTTGCAAGGGATACCTTGCTCTGTTCAAACCTTTTTAAAAAATAAAAATTTTCTACTTTTAGAGACTTTTTCAAGGTTGCGTTTATTTTTTGTAATACAGCATGCTTTTGCCCCACGGAGAGTTGGCCGCGCGCCCATCCAATCGATTCACGTTCATAGGAGTTTCATTCTTGTTTGACAATCTGAATCTTTCTATCCCACACATTCTACCCCAGTTTTTTCTTCAGAGTTATTTGTCTTTACGTAACTTCTTGTTTTGGAGCGTAAATGGGACAGTCGAGAACGGCAAGTCAGAGACCGAGATCAAACAAACAATCCTTTTAATCGTGACTTTTTCGTACTACAAAATGAACTTTTTACGACAGCTCTTAGGGTAAGATAACCAGAAAAAAATACAAAAAATAAATTAATTTTCCTTCGAACAGAGGATCAATGGATAGGGATTTATAAGCTCGAATGTACTTAATTATGTAAGAAAAAGTAATAAAAGAAACTAAAAGCAACTTCAAAGCTAGAAAAATACAAAATTCAAATGGCAAATTTTAAATTGAGAGCGTTAAAAATATGCACTTACAACTTTAAATCCCTTCCTTTTGCCATCGCCTCCACTCCCGTCCCTTCGCCAGATCCAGTCAAGAGTCTATTCTCGCCGACGCCGGTGAGCTTCGTCGACGTAAAAACTGACCTTGGACGAACGCGATGCTACTGGGTCAGAGAAGAACTCAAAAATGAGAAACCGCCATTAGTGCTTTTACATGGCTGGGTCGCTGGAACAGGATGTTTTTATAAAAATGTAGCGGATATGGCTTCGGATAGGTACGTTCTGGGCTCAACAACCTGTGTAGAAAACCTGAGTCAGGGTCTGAAAGAACTGAAATGAAAAGCCGCGCAGCGGCGTTTTTAAAATCGAAGCCGCGAAGCGGCTTCGTCTTAATTTTTGATAGATTGAAATGATAATATTTGCGAAGCAGCTTTGCGGCTTCGTTTTTTAAAAAAGCCGCTTTGCGGCTTTTCATTTCAGTTATTTAATACCCTGACTCAGGTTTTCTACACTGGTTCCCGAGCCCAGGGTACGTTCATCTTCAGATTTTCAATCTTGAAAGAGATTGACGCTAATTTAGAGCGATTTTGATGATCGATTTGCCTGGTTTTGCTCAGTCAGAAAGGCCAGAGTTTCCAGAAGAACCCGAAGATGAATGGGTAAAATCACTCAAAGATGTTATTGCGGTAGAAGTTCCTGGAGAAACAACCTTCTGGATCGGCGGCCACTCTTTCGGAGGATATCTTGCAGCGAGACTAGCGATTGAGGCTGATTTTTCCACCGAAGGGTAAGATGAAAATGGGAGCTTTTGTTGTTAAATTCATGTTCAGAGTTATTCTCCTCGACGCCTGGGGAATAAAAGAGTCTGAAATGACCTTTGAAGAGCGCGTTGAAAAGCGCCTAAACTGGTGGCAGAAAATCTTGCTCAAATCGTACCAAGGACTTGGGTTAAAGTTCGGTGGTATGGACATCCTCAGAGCTCTTCCCATGTCGCTCGGCCCGAAAATACTCAAAGCAGCGAGGAAGGATTTGGCGGCGACCTATGGCAATGAGTTTTTGGACTACATTTTTGAAATTAACTCTGCAAAGCCTGTAAGTACTCAAACACAGCAACGTCTTTTCAAACTCGTTTTTAAAGGCTAGCGGAGAGATCGCGTTTAGCAACTTGAATGCTGGCTTCGGATACGCTAAAAATCCGATGGGTCCTCGAATGCTCGAAAAACACGAAAACCTTCCGAAAAACATTCATTTTCTCTATGGCGGCAAAAGCTGGGTGGAAAACTCTGTCGGCTACAAAATTATAAAAGAGCTTGAAGCTGCTGATCCTAATTTCAAATGCTCTGTAACTGTAGTGGAAAACGCGTCTCATCACCTTCAATGCACGCATCCGGAAGAAGTCAATTCTGTAGTCAACAAAATATTGAACTCAAAAATTTAAATCCAACTGCCAAAGTTTTGCGAATAAATAAAAGCCCCCTGAAGTTGTTTAAAAATAATATTTTATTAATTTATTGAGAAGCTTTTGTATCAATTTAAAAAAATTTAAAAAGGAATAATAGAGCTCAGTTTCATTTTATTATGGTTGATTAGAATCATCCTGATTGCTTGTGTTCACGAGGCAATTCCGGCAGAGAATCAGTTTGATTTCTTCGACAAAAGACTGACGTCTTACTGATGAAGCCGGACAAAGACGGAATATCCACAGCAAATTTAAGCCGAATATGATTAATAAAAATAGATAAATGTTAATCAGTGTAGCAGCAGTTTCTAATCGAATTTCTAAGCCAAAAATTCCGAATACATAATCATCGCCTAAGCCATTTACTATCAACAGAATGAAAACAATCAAAATTTCAAGATGCATTAGTAAAAAATTCAATGCGCCAATACTTGAATTTTTCTCTCCTAGATCATAGAAAAATACTCGTCCTATTGAATAATACCAATCTTGACGAATAACTTTCAAAAATCCATCTGTAATTGATTGATAAGCAATAAGTATTAAAAAATGAATAAGTAAGGGCAAAAAACTGATGAGAAAATTTTTCGTTGGGGACTGTGTGGATGAAACACCGAAATGAAATGAAAATAGTATATAAATGATCGAACGGAAAACTAATTGCAGTACCAATTGAAAAAGAATAAATATCTGCTTACTTAGTGACAACCCATCACTATCGTATTGAACGTCCTTGATCATCTTCATGGTTATTAAAAAAGTAGCCACTGACATTAACAAGGATAAAGATCGAAGGTTTACACTTATGGACTGTTCGGCAACGCAATAATCATTTACTAGAAAAAAATATACATTTTATAGAATCAATTAATTTTTACCAGCACGAGTATAGGGTGGAAACCCTTCTTTTCTGACTCCGTCGCTGAATTCTTTATACCATGTGCAGTTTACGTAAATATAAAATTTAAGAAAAAGCTAAAAAAAATTCATAAATCAACAAAACCTGTCATAAATTTAATAAGTCGGTCAAAAATTGTCGATTTCTGCCATATTTACCTGACTAGTTCCTTCAATCAATCCTTCTATAATTTTGAGTTTAGTGAATTCTATTTCTAAAGATCTTTTTCTTTCTAGTAAATTTTCGCTGGTGCCCTAAAATCGGCATTATTCCCCAAGTAAATCATCGACTTCAATTTCAAGTATAAGTTATACTGTATAAACCGTATACAGTCATTTCTCAAGTTTGTCAACACCAATTTGCACTCATGTTTCTTTACACCGGGCGTCCTATTTATTTTTGGAAAACCCAAGTTTCTTTACAAGGGATGCAAAGCTCCACTTTCCAAGCCGAGAAAGGCAGGCTTAGCGAGCGCCCATCTATTTTCGGCAAATCCATCAAAAAATGTTTCTTAACAAGCGGCGCGCTCTCCCTGTTAACGAGCTTGAGAAATGACTGTACAGTATACTAAAAAGCGCGTGGCCTAAGTATAACTTTTATGCCTACCTCTGACTTATGGACTTTTAAGAGCTTATAAAATATAAATATTGGTCCAATGCATAAACAATGGAGTAATTTTACAGAAAACGATTCTCTTTCTTCATCTGTTAAATCTTAAAAGATTTCAAATTATCCTCTATCATAAATAGGAGTCCTTTTGAAAACCGAGCTTTAGAGTTAAAAGAAGCAATATTTTGAATAAATTGAGCAATGATGATAATTATGATTGACGATGAACCCCAAAAGAAATTTCTTGTCCTAAACAGTTGTATTGCCATATAAATATCGAGCCTGAATGAAGATTAAACGAAAGTATTGGTGAGCTGGAGTAAGGCTTACCCGAAATCAACGAGGTAAAAAAGCAAGAAGATAAACATTCGCAAAATATAGAAATTTTGATGAGCGCGTATCCATGTGGTATTGTTAGAAAATCTATACAGTATGAATTATTTTTTGCGAAAATAGTACATACTTTTTTTTGCAAAAAAAATAAATTGCAGATGCAAGGAGTATAGCCGCTCCGAGTACACCCAGAATGACAAGGTAAAACATCCTTGCATAGTAATCCATTGATGCAAAAAACGTATTTCCTTTCGTATAGTCTCCATTCGTTATGTTCAGCAAATGACGGAGCTCGTAAAAATATGCGTCAGATTTCTCGCCCCATAGAATAAAATATCGCCCCATAATTGAAAAAAGAAAAATATTTGTAACAACAACTGGAAGACTTCAAATGCCACGCACTGGAAAAATATTGTTGCTGTCTCTGCCGTGACTTTCCGGGAGATCATAATTTTTATGGCGTCAAGAGCTAGTTGGAAAACCCTGCTGGCTATAAAATTATAAAAGAGCTTGAAGCTGCTGATCCTACTTTCAAATGCTCTATTACTGTATTGGTCCAATCCAACTGTCAAATAAAAAGTAAACGCCCTGGAGATGATAAAATAGAATATAATTTATTTATGAGAAATTAGTAACACTTGCAGATAATACATTTTTCTGGAGAGCATTGGCCTGCTTCAAATTGAATCCGCCGCCTGCAAAGCGCAATTTTGGCTCTGTATTTGGCTTTGGTGGCTTTCCAGCGGGAATGTGACGTTGATTGCGGGCGAGAGCTTCGTTCTTTTTCATTTCCAGGTACTTTTGCTTCACTTCCTAAAAAATACAGAATTATGATCTGAAATTAATGAGGGCCATTTACCTTGAGTTCATTGGAAATTCTGCCAATTTCAGTCTCTTGCTCTGACATCGACATTTCCGCAACGTTGAGTTCAGCAACGAGTCGTTTGAGCTGTTTTGTCTTGTTTCTCATGCATCGCTGGTACTCGGCCAGTTGCTCAGCTGCTTCAGGTCCTGGCTGTCGCGCGAGGATCTCTCGCAACTCGACGTAGCAAGCTTCTTTCTCCTTGATCTTGAACTCTTTCTGGACGATTTCGGCGGTCTTCTCGATCAGTCGCTTCTGAAGCGCGTGCACTTGCTGGATAAGCTCGTAAGTTGATGGATCTGCGCCTTCGAGTCGTCGCCATCGATGGATGTTCATCGGATTCTCGAGCTCTTCTTCCAGCGCTCTGCATCTGGTCTTTTCGCGGATGAGCTCGCTGGAGAGCTTGTGAACTTCGCGTTGCGTGTGCTCGGCGCTGTTCAAGTTCTTCTTGAGCAGTTTCTTCTCGCGTCGAATTTCGGCGAGTTCGGTCTTTAAAATTCGAATGTCGTCCAGCCGCATTTTGTAGTGCTGTTCTCCCTTGATCGCCTCGCTCGTCTGGAGCTTTGTTTTTTCGTGGAGAAGAGCGAGTTCGTCATTTCGCCGGACAAGCTGTGTTCCAAGAAGATCTCGCTCGGTCAACACTTTTTCCAGCGTTTTCTGTTGACCCTGTCGCTCGACTTCGGCCTCGCGAATGATCTGCTGCAGATTTGAAATCTGCTTCTCCATCGACTCTAGTTGTCGATCGGAGTCTCCAGCGTTGTTCTTCAATCGCTGGATATCCGCCCGAAGAGCTTCCTTTTCCTTCTCGATTCGGGCGTGCTCAAGATTCACTTTGACGAGACTGGCTTCCTTGTTGGAGATTTCGTCCTTGAACTGGTCCACTTGGTACGTCATGATTTTGATCTTTTTCCTGAGCTCGTTGATTTCTTCCTGACTGTCGGTCAAGTTCTTCAAGTAAAGATTGCGATCCGCGCGTACGGTATCATTCATGCTCTGCTGCTGCTTCAGTCGCGCCTCGTACTCGGCGATCTGCTTCTGATAGTCGAACAGCTCCAGCTTTGAGATTCGCATGTCCTTGCTCAGCTCGTTGATTTTCACGTTCAATTCCATTGTGCTCGTGATGTATTTTTCTCGCTCTAGGGAAATTGGAATTAGAAAATATATTTGGATTTTGGCGGGTACCTTTTTCGAGCTGGAAGATAATCTTTCGCTGCTTAGTGGACTCTTCTCTGTACGAAGCAATCTCGCATTCAAGATTCTTCTTGTGCGACACATGGAGCTTGACGGCTTCAACTTGAGCAGCAGTGGCAGAAGCGGCCTTGAGCAGGTTATTATCGAGAATGTCGCGTTCGCGCGCCAATTCTTCAATCTGCTTCTTGTCCACTTCGGCCAGCTTGACGGCAATGTCTCGGTCTCGCTCGAGCGCAGCTGCCTTGCCTTTCAGGTCGTCGCGTTTTTTGTCCAGTTCAATTCGGTCGCTTTCGGATTTTTGAAGCTAAAAGACAATTTTAACATCGGAATCAAGGAAGAAACCGCCTACCTTGACCTTGAGCTTCTCCATAATTTTGTTATTTCGATTAATTTCATTTTTTAATGTTGAGATTTCATCCTCCCTGATGCGCAACTCGCACAAAAGCTCAGTTTTTTCGCCACCCAACTTGCCAGTGACCTCTTGTTGTTTCTAAAATGATAATAAATCGACCAATATGGAGAGAGAATCGCCTTACCAAAAGTTCTTCGTTCGTCTTTTGAAGCTTGTGGTCAAGATTTTTGATATCCTTTTGCGCTCGATCGGCAGCAATCCGAACGGCGCGAGTTTTCTCGACCACAGCATCGTGCTCAGCCTTCTTTTTCGCGAGCTGATCCGAGAGTTTCTTCGCTTCGAGCTCGGATGCAGCGCGGGCTGTAGCGACGACAGAGATCTCCTTCTCGAGCTTCTCCTTTGCTCGGAGGGCTTTGGCGGCGTCGTTGGTTTTGAACTGAATGTCTTGTTTCAGCTCGGCGATGTCGTTTGTTGCGCGGGCGGTCTGATCCTCGAGCTAGGAAAAAGATGAGATTAGAGATCAAGGAAGAGTAAACTTACAGAAATAATGCGTTCCGTATTCTTCTCAAGCTCGGCTCGATGCTCGTCGCACTCTTTCACGAGCGCGTCTCGTTCGTCCTTGAGCTCTTGTTTCTGGCGCATAATTTCTTTCATCGAGCTGTCATGACCCACCACAGTCTCTAGAACACACCTTGTTATGATGAACCCTTTGAGGAATCCTTACCAGTGTTGTTCTCAACCAGCTTGGTCAGGTTCTCGACCTCGATCTTGAGCGCTTTGATCGTTTCTCGCGCTCGGTTCTCCTTTTCATTCGACGCGTCGAGCATGACCCAGGCCTTCTCCAGCTCGGACTGGAGCTGCGAGATGCTGGACTGATCATCCTCGCCGATCTTGAGCGCTTCAGAGACCTTGGTCGAGTTGGAGACGATCTCGGCGTTGAGCTCGCGGCACTTTTTGCGGGTTTCGTTTTTGATCAAAATTTTAATAAAAATTAATGCTTAAACTTAAACTAAAGTAGATAGGATGATAAGGTTAACCCCTTCCTTTGCTGCTAGTTTGGTGTTAGACAAATTGGCCTCAATCAGCGCATTGTGCACTTTTTCAAATTCGGCCTTGAATTTTTCAAGGGCCGGCTCTCCTGCGAGCTCATTGATCACCTCCTGTAATTTTAAAATCAAATTCTGAACGAGAGCGGCGAGAACTTACCTGGAAATCCTTCTCAAGCTGCACGAGATCGGAGTCTCCGGTCTTTTCGCTCATTTTTAACAAACTGGCGAATGACTGTAAATAAACCTGATTTTACGACGTGTTCTAGAGATGATGTTCTAGAGCTGTTTTTCATTTTTGGAGATTTTTTCTATCTTCTTCATAGTATTTTGAATTTTTATCTGAAGAGACGTTTATTCAAGTACAGATGTTACAGTATAAATTATTTTTCTTCGCAACTTCTTATCGCTTCAAAATTGCTGGTTTTTCGCTTTCAGTTGCCTGAAAGTGGTTCCTTGAAATTTTTCTCATCGATGTTTTCAGTAGTCAAGATGAACCAGTTCCTGTATGGCTCTGAGTTTGTCTCGTAGAGATCGAATGAAGCTCGAGTTTTGCTAGAAAAGAACTAGAAAGCTTGTCTTGCTCAAAAAATACCTTCAAGTCGTCGAGAAATGCATTTGATGCGAGTTCATAGTCTGCTTTTAGCTCGTTCATCTGAAATAAGATAAATTTCTGTGAGGTAAATTTTGATACCTTCTCAAGAAGACGGTTGTTCTCGTCGTTGAGTACTTCCCCTTCCCTCAAAAAGTTCTTGACCTTCGATGTAGAAATGAATCGTTCGTTGGTATGACGGGTTCTTGCTTCGAATAGTTTCTAAAAGAAGGTAGTATCGTTAGTGCATTATCGATCATGATTGATGCCAATCAGTTAAAGTAACATTGAATCGAACCAAGTTATACTGAGTTCCCACTGAGAACTAGTGCAGTGTTGCGCCCTCTTTTGGGGACACAATGTCATAAAATGACGAAAAAATCCAAAACCCATATAATTTATATGATATAAATAATATGATATAATTTTTAAATGATTCAATACACTTATCTTTATATAGTCGGTGAAAGTTTGCTGCATACTGTATGCATAGTCGGTGAAGAAAAAGCAATATGAAAACACCAATTAATTTTCTTTCAAGAATCCTCTTTTTATGAAATAATAAACTACAACCTTTTGCACTTACCTTTTGAATATCTTTTCTCTTGATATCGACTTCAGCTTGTTTGTCCTTCAGAAGATTGAGTCGCTGCCTCTGCTCCTGTAGATATTTGATCATCTCTCCTCTCTTTTGCTCGAGCTTTTCCTTCTCCCGTCGAATCTCAGCATTCAGCACTTTTACGCGCTGAAATCTCTGATGCTCTCTGAGCATCCTCGCCTCCTCAAGCTGCAGCTCTTTCGAAAGCCCTCCAAGTTTTTGCGAAGAAACTTGAAACTTGTTTGCGACGTCGATGAAATCGTCCTGAAAGCCTTCTATTTCCGCCTTGACCTGCTCCTCATTCTTGGACATTTGACCGAGAAGGTCGAAAATGACATCTTCCTGCGTCCAGTTTTCGAATTCATCTTGTCCGTGGAGATTTTTAAATTTAGAGAGCATTTCGGGCACCATCGAAATTTGCCGCTTGCTCTTTGGGGACTCCCCCAATGGCGATGACGCTTCATTCTTTGGTTTACTATCGAGATATTCTAGTATTTTGAGCTTTAACTTGATTCTTTACCTGTTTTCTTTCTCTACTTTCTCTGCTTTGGCCCTCTTACGTTTGGCCAAAAGCTTGGCCTTTTGCATAGCTCTCATTCTCGCATCCATTTTTATCAAAAAATTCTAGCTTCTTTTGAAGTCAGAAAGAATGAAAGAGTGAACGATGATTTCGAAAACCGCTCCTGAGCCGCTCCATGAATCTCTAATTCTCTTGTCAAATCTTTGAGCTGCTCCAATGTGTAATCCATTCCTTGTTAAAATCAACGAAAAACCGTGTCGAAAAATATTTTCTTACATGAATCTCCACAGCCGAGACTCATCGCATGGAGCGTTTAATTATTCAGATTTTGTTTTCAGAGTTTATAGAATTATTCAAAACAACATTTCTAAAGCTCAACGTGGATCTCATGGCATCTCAATACCGTATTGATATTTCAACCCGACAAATTTTGTTGGAGACAACAAGGATTGATTCTTTATTGGCAGAGTTCGAAGATCATAAATATTCATCAATCAAAAACTTAAATGAAGACTGAAAATCATCGATAAAGTGAAAGCTCGACCTCAGGACCAAGAACTCCCTCAACATAATGCTTGACGAAATCAACGTCGTCGGCGGTCAGAATTGACTCGAGTTCGTGCTTTATCTTTTCAGGATTCAAAAGCACGATTTTGAATAATTTTTATGCCGTGAAGATCTTTTGAAACCTAGCTTTTCATAGAAGACTTGAAAGTCACCAGTTTCATCCACAGCCTCATCAATCACTCTTGATGCGTGCGCGTATTTTTCTTGCAGTTTAGCTTTGACAGGTTCTTGCATTTCTGTAACTGCTTTTTCGTAGTTTTGATTGTTTTGATCGTAATTATCAAAATCGAACTGAGGGCGCGTTACGTCCCGCCATTTGTTTCCTTCTGCTTGTCTCAAGTATTTCGCAGTAGCAGGAGATATTGCTGGATTTGATAATAAGACAAACCTTCCAATAAGAACATTACCGTGAAGAATCGCCGCGATGGTTTCAGTAAACTCATTCCCAAATTTTGCTTTCGCTCTATGAAGGGATTTCGTAACAGCAAGTGCGGATTTTGAAATATCTTGACTTCCACTTTCCTGAAAATATTGATATTCTCGTCAATCAAGAACTAAAAAGAAGACTAAAACCCTACCTTTTGACCGAGAACTCCTTCAATATAATTTCCGACGAAATCCACGTCGTCGGCAGTCAGAATTTCCTCGAGTTCCTTTTTTGTCTTTTTAGGATTCAACTCGGATTTTGCCTTGAAAGATCAGTACCTAGGGCAGAAACCTGGCCGTTCAAAGAAAACTTGAAAGTCGTCAGTTCTAAATACTGCCTCATCAATCCTTCTTGATACCGTCTCATATTTTTCCTGCAATTTGACTTTCATAAAGTCGTTCATTTTCGATCTTTTTCTTATTGTTTGCATATACTTCTCCTGAAGCTTTTGAACAAGGTCTCCAAAATCGACGGGAACGTCTTTCCATCCGACTCTCTCTGCTTCTCTCAAGTATTTCGCCATGCCAGGAGATACCTCTGCAACTGGTATAATTACGAGAATTCCGATTATATATCACCATGAATAATAACAGCGATTGCTGCAATAAACGGTTGTCCATATTTTTGCTTGGCTCTTACAAGTGCTTTCTTGACATGAAGTGCCGTTTTTGAAAGATCCTCACCTTCAATTGCCTGAAAATACACATTTTTCTTCGCTTATCGAAACTCTCTACCATTTTATTTCAATCAAACGATGCTTTACTAAGACTTTTGAACCTAATTAATGATTTTTATTTTTGCAATTATTTCCCTACTTCCGGTAAGAAAAGCGACTTATTGCTCATTTTAAAAATAGGAAAGATATTTTTTGTGGATAAATAGTTTATTTTCTTGCTGACGCGCGTTGGTAATAATTTAAATAAAAAAATTCTACAGTCATAATGTCGACAGAAAAGAAGTAGTAGCTCAGTCGACTGCTTGATAGCCATCTTTCTCAAGAGTGCTTTGTCCATTTGCGGCAGTGGCAGGAGGCTGTACGAGATCTGTGTTCACCTTATTAAAAATTAAATTGTTTTAAAAGATTAAATGCCCTTCGATTACCTCGCCGATAGCGCCATATCCCCCGAGTCCTTTATTCCAGTTCGAAAAATATTCAATTTTCCTCTATGATTTCAATTTTCTTCTTAAATTTTTTCTGCTAGTATACCCTTAATTTCGAACTATTCCTTCATTATCTTCACCTCCGAAGCCAGTATCTTCATCATAAAGTCTGATCATATCTTCATGCGGCTCAGCCCAGTACTGTTTCTCAGCAGATGCAAAGAATCCTTGAAATTTTAATGAGCAAAAGAGAAGTTTGTCTAATCCCGCAAGTACCATAAAATACAACGCCGAAGATATGAACACAAGCTGCTAGGACAAAGACGTCTCGCCAGGCTTCGCGGGCGTCGGCAGTGTCTTCGACGCGCTAAATACAATAAATTATTGTCAATAATGATCAACAAAAAGATAGTTTTTGGAACTTTCAGAAACATCATCAATTTCCTCTGGAAAACCTGAGTCAGGGTCTGGAAGATCTCAAACGAAAAGCCGCATAGCGGCTTTTTTTTAAACGAAGCCGCTGAGCGGCTTCTCAAAATTACTTTTCGACTCAAGTTTCAAGTTCTAGCGAAGCCGCTTTGCGGCTTCGTTTTTAAAAAAGCCGCGATGCGGCTTTTCGTTTGATATCTTCCAGACCCTGACTCAGGTTTTCTACGAAGGAAGCCGAGCTCTTAAAATATTTTTTAAGTGGTTCTTAATCCAAAAAGAAACGGCTTAATCACTATCATCCGAGCTCGAAAACGATCTTTAGTTCGCCTCAGTGGCACTCACAGTATCTTTCGTCAGCGCTCCGGAAACAATAGAAACGAGGATGCCACTTAACGTTCCGCAGGAGTTGGTAATTCCCATCAAAATGGAGGCATAACGTGGCGCAATATCCAAATGGTTAACGTTAAAGCCGGAAATGGCGAAACCAGACGCTCCAACAGCTATAATCAGCGCCATGACATTGTCTATTTTCGTCTTTGTATAGCTTTTCGAGGAGGTTATCATTTTTAGCCAAAACAATTCGAAATCATCGAACTCAGAATCGAGGGATTAGGAAATCCGCCAAAATAAATGTTCTTAACCTTCCCTTAGAACCAGCAAGAAAAACGCCTCGGTTCCGAATCCTCCGCAATTCATCACTTTTCTCACATTCGTTGGCGATAGAATTTTCTTCCGCCTTAGATTGTCCGCTAGCCAGCCTCCTACAGGGACGATAAATGCCATGACTAGATGAGGAATTGCACCAACAACTCCAGCTTGCGAAGCGTCTTAAAATCGAGAATAGAATAAAAAAAGATGATAAAAAATTGAAAACCTGACTCGGGGTCTGATAGATCTGCTGGTGAGATTTGATGAAAAGCCGCGTAGCGGCTTTTTTAAAAACGAAGCCGCGGCGCGGCTTCGCAAAATTTTCATTCATTTATATTTTCAAAATTCGGCGAAGCCGCTTTGCGGCTTCGTTTAAAAAAAGCCGCTACGCGGCTTTTCATTCAAAATCTCTCAGACCCTGACTCAGGTTTTCTACACAGGTTGCTTAGCTCACAGGCAGCTAGCTCAGATTCTGAGCCTTAGAACGTACCCAAATTTAGAACATCCTCCAAAAAGCGAGATTGGGAAATGATCAACATGTAAAACGTCCACGATCGGCAGAAATTGGCGACGATAATCGCCCAAACAGGCAGCGAGGTGAAGAACTTTTTCCACGGCGTATTCCAAAACTACAGAAATTAAGCTTTGATCAAAAATTCCTTGATTACCGATTTGATTGCAAATGTTTGTTTTTCATCGAGTGATTTTTCGATATAATCGCGCTCTTCTTGAAGGATGGTGGGATGGCTCCTCGGTGAGTCGTGGGCCAAAAGACAGAACGTCACTGAAAACAGGATTGAGAACCGCAGAGCACGTCACATGCTTCAGTAGCTCTGGCTTTAAAACGCACCTATCCATATTACATTGAGAAAAGAGCAGAAGTAAAATGGCGACAGAAGACCGAACGCGCCATAGTTGTCGATCAAATATCCACCCAGCGCGTAGCCAAGAACGGGCCCTTTCCAAGTTCAAAAACAATTATTATGGCAAGAAAAAGGGTTTATTTGAACTCGCGTGCCTGCGTAAGAGCCCGAAAAGGAAATTGTGGCTAATCTTGAACGTTCTAAAGGAGGCGCCCACTTCGCCCAGATTCCATGACAACAAGGATACAACATTCCCTCCGCTAGGCCTTGAATAATTCGCAGAAAAATTGTACCGCCGAAGTTTTCGTTTCTAATTGCGATCGGGAGGAAGATGTTCATCGAAGTTGAGATGATGATCGACAGTGTAAATAATCTAAAAACCATAATTTACAAATTTTTGTGAAAAAATCCGCTCGGCAAACAGCGTAGAAAACCTGAGTCAGGGTCTAAAAGGCTAAAATGAAAAGCCGCGTAGCGGCTTTTTTTAAAACGAAGCCGCGAAGCGGCTTCGCAAAATTACCTTTCCACTCAATTTAAGAACTCTTTAGACCCTGAGTCAGGTTTTCTACAAAGGTTGCCGAGCTCAGAGTCTGACAATATAAGTCGCAATGATTTCATACTGAAGAAAAACGTCTTCAGATCTGTAGGTATTGTTTATCGACATGAAATTGTCTATAAACATCTATTAATCCCTCGGATAAGCGCTGCGACGATTCCCTCGACAGGCATCTTTAGAATCATAATTGCGCCGCGAATTGCGTCCTCCGACGCGGCGGCTAAGTCCCATCTGCTAAGTCCGCTTTTGGCTTTTCCCAGGACAGCACTTACCCTTTTTACAAAAGTTTTCAAAATGAAATTGCTTGTCTGAGGAATGTTACTGTTCCTTACGACTTAGGAGGGGCTTGGAATGCATGAGAAGTTAACAAAAAAAAGTTCAACTTTTCACTCATTACTCAAACTTTAGAAAACACGCAAACTAACTTGTAAGGAGGAAATATAGAAGCAGCGTAGCCAGAGGGAATCTGCGTAAGGATGTATCCCCAGAAGAATGATGAGTGCACCAGGCCGATCATTTCCGGGTCCCAACTCAGCACCGCTACCTTTTCCACCACATCTGTGTTGATGTTTTCATCAATTTCTTTTTCACGGGCTCTTTTATTGTTATCATGTTAGTGACACATTACTGGGTCGACCTCAAACACGACTAGCATGTTTTCCTTGCATAAATTTACGATGCCGTAAACAAGTGTTTGTTTCTGTTTTGTCCTTTGAGGATCAGGACTCCAGGAAAGGAGAGGAGGTCAAAAATAAGTACTGTAAAAAGCTTGTATTTAAAATAGGTCTTTTACGAAGAAAACATGAGAGAATCAACCCTCTGTTTTCGACGAAAGAAAGGTAGAAATAATTGATTAGTCAAACGGATTTCTTTTTTTTTTTCTCATCTGCGATTCTATATGTATGAAAAAGAGTAGTAGAGCCCGATTCGCGAATGTTTTATTAAAATTGCCTGGATCAGGCAGCGTCTCGTCGACAACGACTTCTCTGACAGGGACCGTGACATTCTTCGGCTTCGTGAGTTCCGTCAGCGTCACTCCCAAATTGCAGCGCATGGCAAACGTTAGCATAAATCCTATACCTTAAGTAGTCTCATTACCAGACAGCTCATGAATTTAACAACCGCGATTATCAATCAAGAACATGCAGAGGGGCTTATTTCAAACCTCTGTATATTTTGAATAAGAATAAACTACATTTATTAAAAAAAAGCTAGAATGATTTGGTCTGGGTTCGGCAACCTGTGTAAAAACCTGAGTCAGGGTCTGAAAAATCTTTAATGAAAAGCCGCGCAGCGGCTTCTTTTAAAACAAAACCGCAAAGTGGCTTCACAAAATTATCACTCAAATCTATTTTTAAATTAAAATTTTAATCATTTTAATAAAATAAAAAAAAAAGAATTCGAATGATAATTTTATAAAGCCACTTTGCGGCTTTGTTTTTGAAGAAGCCGCTGCGCGGCTTTTCAGTAAAGATTTTTCAGACCCTGACTCAGATTTTCTACAAAGTTTGCCGAGCTCAGGATTTGGTTTCTTACATGTTGCCCAGGCAAGAATATATCTCTTCGTAATACTCGACCAATAAAAGATATCTCTATTTTGTACACCATTTCTCCAAAAAGACGAGCTTTCTTCAGGTGAATCTTTCATTCTTCACTTTTTTGAATCAAAAAAGACTTATTAAAAACTCTGATTAATTAAAAATAAGTTGATCCGTTCTTTCTCAAGGAAAATGTATATTCTATCACCGGTCCTGAAAATAAATTCCATTTTGATCCTCTTTTTCTTTCTTGTTATCTAACTCTTATCATCTTCATTTTTTATGTATTTACGCGTCTCTGTAATTCAAAAAAAATCCAAAAACATTCAGTAACGATGCTCTTCCCTTCGGTCCAAAATTGAATGGCGACGCCACCTTGCGACTCCCGACTGGGACATGCGCCGGGGGCAATGTCAGTCCGCGCCGCAAAAGAAAGCCACGGACAGTTGGTATTATTTTCCCAGTAAATAATTTATTTAGGAATAAATCTCGAGCGTGAAAAAATCCGACTAAAGGGACAACAAATAATCGCCGCTGGCACTGAACAGCCCCGTTCAATTATCTAATTTAGCGGACGCTAAATCCGCTGAATACTCAATTATTCAAGACTATAGTGAAAAAAACTTATATTTGGTACTCGATTTCATCGAAGCTGTTATATAATTTGCAGGGTATACTATTCATTTTTAACTTTATTCAATGTTTTTATATGAATGAAATTATAAAAAAGGTAAAAAAAACTTCAATTTATGACTTTTGGATAAAACTTTTTTATTCGCATGAAATCCAATTTCTATCATACTTAGTAAGTAAAATTGTTCAAGACTTACTTATATTTGGTACTCCCTTAAGGTGATATTAATGCAATATTAATTATCCTGAGTAGAAAACCTGAGTCAGGGTCTGAAATTTCTCTACGCGGCTTTTCATTTGAGATATTTCAGACCCTGACTCAGGTTTTCTACTCAGGTTTTCGAGCCCATTTTTGAGAAACTTACAGTAAAGAATGTTTTCTTAGAAACCCGGAATCGTAATCGCTATTGGAAAACTCTGAAGATCAAAAATTATCTCAGTCTCTTGTCTATTCTCTCTGTCTGTAAATGTTTAACGAGAAAGTGCGGTACTGAAAAGAAACCATTATTCGTGTGCTTACCCATGTGCGGTTTTCAACCTGCGAGAAAAGATGTTATTTCGTGGCTTTGAGAAAAAAAATCTGATGCTGGTTCTCTCCGGCTTTGGGGGCGAATTATTTAAGCAAAGGAGAAGAGAGGGAGTGTTTGGTAGTACTAAACTTTAGTGCAAATGCATTTAATATTCGCGAGGATGGGACGTTTATTGGACAGTTCTATCCACTCTAGCAGGAATATAATGGAAACCTGTCATCGGCAACCTGTGTAGAAAACCAGAGTCAGGTTTCTAAAAGATTTAAATGAAAAGCCGCGTAGCGGCTTTTTTTTTTAACGAAGCCGCAAAGCGGCTCCGCCAAAGTTACCAACTCATTGTATTATTTTAACTCGCGAAGCCGCTTCGCGGCTTTGTTAAAAAAGCCGCTACGCGGCTTTTCATTTTTATCTTTTAGAACCCCAACTCAGGTTTTCTACTCAGATTGTTTTTGACAGTATTTCTTTGAAAGAGATAGAGAAGCAATAAAAACAGGTCAATTGGGCAGTTCTTCGATGTAATCCACCCAAAAAGAAGAATCTGCATCTTCTGGCTCAGCCGGCGGCTTATCCCCTATCTCTGTTCGATTTGAGTCAGCTGAGGCATCCTTCAAGTTAGAAACGCTATCGTTGAATAATAAACGTGTTGTAGTTGTTGGAGCCTGCGGCGTTGTTGTCGTCGTTTTTCTTCGTTTTTCATCTTTTTCAACTATTTCCTCGACGATTTCTATTTGATCAACAGCGACTTCTTCCATTGAAGAGGAATTTTTGTTCCTCGTTTTCGCGCTAACTTCAGCTATCATCACTGCCCCTAAAAAGAAGAAAGAAATGATGAAAAGAGTCGCGTGTTTGTAGCAAGAATGTCTCATACTAGTGTTTACCTGTTATCGCCAAGATAAGAACAATCGAGACGGCCGTAATTCTGCCAAGGGTCGTCGTCCGCTCGTGGTTGCGCTCTGAAACAAAACCACGTTCCAGCTCTCCTTCAGTACTCGACTTATCTACCTGGGAAAGAATAGCTAAACAGCTTTTTGCCCATTTAGAGAATCGACTTCCCTTCTTTCTTTATACAATTTTCTTTCTTTAACCTTCTCTTCAATAAAATTAATAGCCATGAACGCATAAGACAAGTCGGTTAAAGTCTGTGTTATTTTAATCCATCTCAAGCATCGCTTTACTACGCGGTCAGCCTTTAATTTCTTTGAGAATGTTTATTCAACAGTTTCTGAAATTTTTTCTATTCGAGGGTCAATGTTTTTTGGAGGAGTTTTTTATAATGAACATCTCGTTCGAGCTTCTTTCTTGCGCGGATTGAAAGGATCTTTTGCGAGTTTGAAATTTGCAAATTTGGACGATGTTAAATGAACATTTGAAACTCGAAAAGCAAAGCAGCGATATGAATGGCAACTCCAAGCGCCTCCACAATTAAGTCGAACTTGTATCCATGATAACGATTCTCCGGATATCTAAAAGCCTAATCCAGAGCCGTAATCCCCCGTTGAGCTCACCTGCAGTAATCGATAACTCTGCCAGTTACGGCATCGTCTTCTAATACCTCGCTGGCACTTACTGACGCTTCCTGAGGGGTGGATAGGAAGAATCGACATCCAAAATTACTTTCTAAACTTATCGCCTAGTACTACCCTTAGCTGCTTCATGTCCGCTGTAATCGACATCGTGTCTACAGCGGCGTTGATAATGTAACACAGCATTGTCGTCACCGCAGATACGCTAGAATCGACTGTAAAAAATGAACAAGAGTTAGAATACCTGAGTCAGGCACTGAAGAGCTTAACTGAAAAGCCGCGTAGCGGCTTTTTTGAAAATGAAGCCGCGAAGCGCCTTCGCAACGTTACTGTTGTGGTTCACGAAAAAGCCGATCCTGATTCTATCTTGTTTTCATGTTTTTCTCGCGCAACGTATTTATGCGGAGCGCGCTGCCACTTTCACACACTTCGTTCTCGCCCGCTCTACGGAGCTCTACAAAATATACCAGTTCTTTTTCCTACGCAAGACCGTGTTCAGTTTTTGCAGCTTATTCGAGAGCCAACATAAAATGGTACCAGGACTACTAGAACCCTCGCCCTTCATCTAAAAAACTTCGTTTTTTTTTGTTGGAATCTCGTCTACTCTTCGCTGGTAGAGAACGAACGTCACCTAGCCACCTCTGGACATCCCCGCCGTTGTTTTCTTGCGCTCAACGTTGGCTACGACAACAACCTCTCTCTCGCTGGTTTACTGTTAGCTGGCGCATGAATCAAACCGCGAAACTCTCGCGTCACTCTTTACTTGTGTCGAGTTTTCGGCACATAAAGAGTGCCCACCAAAGGTAGTCTAGCCTTCTGAGCCACTTACCTCGATTTTCTCTTGCTCAACGCCGTCAACGTCAGTTTCAACACGTTCGACCTCCCTCAACTACTTTCTCCGTTGACACACGGAAATCTCCCGCCAAAACCTCACATCCCCAACGGCACTCTGCATCAAAATCGCCAACGTCGATCTCACGAGCGATCTTCTTTCAATCTTCGAGTCTTGGTCACATCGCCGCTCAAGTTCAACTCTAATCTCGCGATCTTCCCGCCATCATCAACTAAACGGTTATGACCTCCGCTCAACTCCACCGACATGATTTTGATCGCCAAAACTACACAACAACTTCAATCTCTTCACCTTTTCATCAATTCATATCAATTCTAACAACTTCATCCACCAATCTTCATCCTTCTTCTCTACTCAACGCTCTGCTCGTCATCAGCTCGGGGTACGATGCATCCTTCGCTCGCTTCTCCTGTCTCTCATCTCTACTCCGCGCTCGACTCAAGACGCACAAAACTCAGCTGATCGACTTCGCAGACTCCCTACTTCAACTTCGACAACTACTACGTCAACTACTACTACAACTACAATCTCAACTTCTAAGCCCAGTTTTCGTCCTGGCACACCTCTCTCTTTCAAGCCCAGCACTCGCCCTGGCAACCAACTCAACCTCAATCAACTCTCACTAAGCCCAGCTCAAGCCCTGGCACTACTACTCGAATCTACCAAGACCAGCCCTAGCCCTAGCCCTGGCAATCCTAACTACTCTTCAAACCCAGCTCTAGCCCTGGTACTGCTCTCTACTCTCCCTTCTACATCTACAAGCCCAGCTATTGTCCTGGCAATCCTGACTTCTCCTTATCACGCCGCTACCTGGCATCTCTCTTCGACTCCAAATCCAGCTCTCGCCCTGGTAAATCTACACTTTCAACTCATCTTTAGTTCTCATCTTCTACAATTTCACCCTGATCGTCTACTTCTTCCCTTCCGAATCACCGTGCTCGCGCTCAAAACCTGCGCCGCGCGTCCAGTCAACTCTACTCATCACCCTAGAATCATCATCGTCTGGGGGCTGTTGTGGTTCACGAAAAAGCCGATCCTGATTCTATCTTGTTTTCATGTTTTTCTCGCGCAACGTATTTATGCGGAGCGCGCTGCCACTTTCACACACTTCGTTCTCGCCCGCTCTACGGAGCTCTACAAAATATACCAGTTCTTTTTCCTACGCAAGACCGTGTTCAGTTTTTGCAGCTTATTCGAGAGCCAACATTACCATCTTGATCTTTTTCAAATACTTGCGAAGCCGCTTCGCGGCTTCGTTTTCAAAAGCCGCCACGCGGCTTTTCAGTGGTGATACGGCCTAATTCTTCGGCTTGGAGGCCGAAGGATTGATGCGTGTAAGAACACTGATTCTTCGGCCTGAACCGAAGAATGAGTGATAAAAGAGATAAAAGAACACTGATTCTTCGGCTAAGGTGAATTTATTCACAGATTCCTGTGCCCCTAACCACGGGGCTACGCCCCTTAGGTCCTAAATGCCGGGGTCTAGTCTATGGTTACTTAGGGTTACCTTCGGTAACCCTAACTAACCCTAGCCTATCCCCCTCGGGTGAGTTAGTTCTGTCATTTTGCCCAGTGCCCCCTAACACTAACCTCAAATTATAGAAAGTACTTATTGCTAAAATGTGTTTTTTTCTAGAAAATGTCTTTTTCATAAGTGATGACTCATAGGTTGCAATCAAAAATTTATCAAAAGAATTCTGATAATGGATTCTAGAAAATTTGCCGAAGAATCACTGTCAATTTTATCATTAATCCTTCGGTTCAAGGCAATTCTCGATTTGCCGAAGAATCAGTGTTATTGAAAGCATCAATTCTTCGGTCTTGCCGAAGAATCAGCCCATACCACGTTTTCAGTTAAGCATATAAAATAAAATGCTAATGCTGCGCGGTTTATAATTTTAGCTCTTCAGAACCAGACTCAGGTTTTCTACACAAGTTGCCGAGCCCAGGCAGTCGGCCTGTACCTAAAGAAAGAGTAAATCATCACACTGTGCATTTTCGCGGCGATGAGTCCAATAATAGCACCGATGATGTAAACGCAATCGAACAAGGGCAAAACGCGATAGAAGAACAAGTCGCATTCTGGCAGCGGTCCGTAAACGCACTAATTAATTTCGTGAGAATTCGACGAGTTATTTTTATTTCTTGCTAGTTTAACTCGACACTCACATGATTAACTATCGCCACGAAACAAAGGCATAAAGCTGAAATTGCAGTCCATTTAAAAGCTTTGTTGCTGTTTTCTTGCTTTTTCCGGCCATCTTCGCTGCCAGAATTAACATTCATAATACGATTCGAACTTTCGTTTTTACTCTGCCTTGCTCTCTTTAGTGCCAAGGTGATAAAGCGTCATATAATCTGCAAAACAGAGGACAGGCGCGTTTATTATTTCCCCGCGTCAACAAAAATTACCCCAACAAGCACAATGTTATTTATTATCCACTGTTGGTAAGGTTAATTTTACGAGGTTTATTTATAAATGACGGATAAAAACAAGGGGTTCACACACAAGAATGGTGACGAGATTTTGATCAGTTGTTAGCAGAACAGGTTCCTAAAGCTCGAACCTTTCCGAGGCAACACTCCTTCTTTGATGGACGGTACAAGATCTGCGAAAAAAGGTTAATTTTCATTCGTCAATTAACTAGGTTCGTCAACCTGAGTAGAAAACCTGAGTCAGGTTCTGAGGAGCTTAAATCAGAAGCCGCTTCAGAACCTAACTCAGGTTTTCTACTCAGGTTGACGAACCCAGTTTATCGCTTGTCTTCAAATTAACCCATTCCTGCGCTGGAAACTCCCCGCAGCATTGTCTTGGTGTATTGTTTCCATGATTTGGCCCTGGTCCCGTATTCTGGCCTCCACTAAAGCATTGATCCGTATTCATGATCATGTAGTTTTGAGCATCAAAGTCGATTCCTTGGTTGATCAGATCGAGGAGATCGTTGACGAGCATCTTATCGCACTGAAAATATTTAAAATTTAAATTATATTTATTATTTATTATTCAAGAAGCAAAAGTACCTGGCAAACCATTGATTTGCATCGTTGTTCGTTGTTGCCGACGGCCGCAGCTGAATTTATTAAAGTTTTAGTGCTTCCATAGAATGAAAGATTTAGGGTGTTTTGGACATGAAATGCTCCTTGAAATATTTCGTCTAATTTCGCCAAAGAAAATTATTGCTGACAGGGCCCTTAGTTTACACTTACGACACTGAGGCTGGATGCCGACGAGCGAGTACTCGATCAATTCTGGAATGCAGTTGTTATCGTCGAGATGGAGTCTGCTGCATGCCAAGCAGTGCTAACAAAATTATTCATCCCTTCTTTTTGGGGGGTTTTTCTTACCTTGTAGTTCATACAAGCTCTGTCGATTTCATCAACTGGGGGCCCCTTGGTCATGTCCGATTGTGGTCGATCGCCAGTATTGAAACAGTGGCAGCCGTAGTTGACGAGTTTATGTGGCTCTACTTTTCCAAAAGTGAGTTGCTCAGCAAGTGAGTCGAAATCGTCGAATGTTCTATCCTTTTACAGGTTTGCAAAAGCTTTTTTTCGGTGGAAAATTCTAGAGTCCCTTTTGAAAACCTTGCTGAGTGGTCCAGAGACTCTCCGGCATCTGATAATCATAATCTAAGTTATCAAGACTGTGATGCCTCTCGTCAACCTCCAGATGATCGTGATGTTCCGCAAAAGCATGATGCTCTTGATCTTCTGCCTCTAACTTCGCAATGAGCTCATCCCAGTCGACAATTTCTTCCGCAAAGATCTTCGAAAAGAGCAAAAAAGTGAAAATCTGCATGCTTGGAAATATTTTTTTCTATCGTGGAAAGTTAGGTACGCGCGCGCGTTTTATAGGACTTGCTCGACATGTTTGAGATTTGCGGATTTTCGGATTTGCTTGACGATTTGGCATCTAAAACGCGTGTTTGGGGATGATGGTTAGAAAGGTTGAACGTATTTAAAATTATTTCGTGTTCTGTATCTTGTCGGAATAAGAAATCCTGAGTCAGAGTCTTCAATGAAAAGGCAACGTGTGTAGAAAACCTGAGTAAGGGTTAAAATATCTCCAATGAAAAGCCGCGCAGGTTGCGGAGCCCAGACAATTTGGTTTTGATTTTCTTTTGTTTATTGCTTGGCATTCTTTTGAAGATAAAACAGTGGATAATTGGAGATGACGTTATAAGAGTCTCCTCTTAGGCAGGAAGGAAAAGCGTGTTAATGATAGAGTAAGTCGGCAATCTTGGTGCTGAGCTCATTTATCATCTTTTTGAGCTGCCACTCGGATGTCTTTCGCTCGTGCTCGACAAAGTGAAGCGCATGGTTAAGTCTATTTGACAAGCTTATCTGCATGAAAGTTTGTGTTTTCAGCGACTTTTCAAGATGGCGATCTTCTTCCATCAGCATTTCCATTTGAACTTCCATGCTGTTCACCGTCTCTTTTAGCTCCTCGTTCTTCGAATTCAGCTCCAGCAGCTGAAATTTTTAACATAAAAATTTTGCTAGAAACAAAAAAAATCCTACCTGCTGGGCTCGGCAATCTGTGTGAAAAACCTGAGTCAGGGTCTGAAATACCTTTAAAGAAAAGCCGCGTGGCGGCTTTTTTTGTAAATCGAAGCCGCGCAGCGGCTTCGCAAAACTACCTTTTAATCTTTTTCTAAATAATGGCGAAGCCGCTTTGCGGCTTCGATCTTCGAAAAAGCCGCTGCGCGGCTTTTCAATAAAGATCTTTCAGACCCTGACTCAGGTTTTCTACACATATCGCCCAGCCCAGGAGGAAATATTCTCGAGTCCAGCTTACCTGAGCTTCAAGTTCTTTAATAAACTCATCGTTATTCGAAGAAGACCCCGTAGTTGTCGATTCCGTCGAAGTCGAGGTTTCTGTAGCATTTTGAAAAACACTCTCAAGCTCGACCGGATAGTCAATCGTGAGAACACTTTCCGTATTTATATTTTCGCAATCAGCGCCACTGGTACTCTCGAAAGCGATAAAAAGATTTTCGATAAATTCGTCCGGGGATACGCTTTCTGAGGGAACGGTGCCGTTGATGGATTCTACTGTAGAAGATACCACGACGGAGAAATTGGTAGAACTGGCTGTTGAGGACCGACGTTTTCGGTTTTGAGATGATATGGAGCATTCAACGCTGGAGACCTTTAAACAGTTTAATATTTGAAGAAAGCAAGATCAAGATCAAATTTTTTTCAAATGCATTTTTGATCAGCTGTTCTGGCTACAGCTGGAGAACGGCTTGTCTCACAGCTTGCCTCACAGCTGACATTTCCTTTATAACTAAACTTCGATTTGAAAATTTACTTCATTTGAAATGAAACTTGATCGTTTAGATGAAACCAAGATGCCATTCTTACTTCATAATTTATCCCGCCCAACTTTTCTGTCTTCAAAAATATAGAAAAATGATACTTCTTGCGATTAATTAAACTCGAAATCTTTCTCCTTTTAGAAACTGTTTCCTGGAGATAATTCGCAACTAGCGCGTTTTGAATCATGTCTTGACACTGCGATTCTGTCAGCAGCTCTTGAAAGTGAATATCAAGAGTTGTTTGAAGAAAGTTGCTGGTTTGCGTGAGCTCGCAGCGCTGCGTCTCGTCCTTTTGCTGCCAGTAACAGCCCTCTTTGTTCAACATTCGCATACCCTGCTCAACGTACGTGCAGGAACACTCAAATTCTAGCGTTTCTAAACACGCCACGTAGCAAGACGCGTTTTCCGAGAAATTTCCATTTTGCTCGCCGCATTCTGCCTTTGAAATTCGCTCGTCGAGTCGCATTGCAGAGCAGCTGGAAAACGCTGAATTTGAATCTGACAAGTCCAGTGTCGCGCTGACGGTGTTAAAAACGCCGCCTTCGGTTTTCTGTTAAGAGTTAAAGATTAATTTAGAATCATAATGTGGATCTTTTATAACTTCCTAAAGTCGGTACCGATTGGGGGTTCTCGTATTGAAAATCTGTGTAGAATACCTGAGTCAGGATTTAAAAAATCTCAAATGAAAAGCCGCGTAGCGGCTTTTCATAAACGAAGCCGCGAAGCGGCTTCGCGAATTCACCTTTATAATTAATTTTTAAATTCTTGCTACGCGGCTTTTTCAAAACGAAGCCGCGGAGAATTTGAAGATTAATTGAAAAGGTGAATTCGCGAAGCCGCTTCGCGGCTTCATTTTGAAAAAGCCGCTACGCGGCTTTTCATTTAAGATATTTCAAACCCTGACTCAGCTTTTTACACAGGTTTGGGGTTAGGGGTTAACCCCTTCAGCCAATCGCAGGCAAGAAACTCCCCCAGGAACTCTCCCACCCCGACTTTTTGCCCCCCTAGTAGGAGTCTATCTCGAAATTCTAATTCCTAACTCTTATCCTGTAGTAAAAGAAAGATTGAAAAAGCTTGTTCTTCATCATTATTTGTCGTTTGTTCTTTTCTTTCACGTTGATAGTTACTTCTATCTCTAATTAGCTAGTTGCTCTGATATGGGTAAAACAAACCAGGTGTTCAATTTAAATACTGTTGAGTGATGTTGCTCAAGTGCGCCCGATTCTAGCGGCTGATAAGGTCGCATTTCAGCGATAAGAATTTTATGGAACCTAATTTAACGAGATTAAATCTGCAGACCAAAAAACTGGTGCGAATTATTGTACCATAAATATTTTTCCCTGTAATAACTGGATTCGACAAGTGTTTTCGCCGAAAAAGGGTGGCAAAAATTCAAATTCAATGTTTTATGAACTTCCAAGAAAAGTCCAGTAAAAATCACACTTCCGGGAAAAATAACGCTGGATTTTGCATACTAAAGCTGGAAATTCGAAATTTTGAGGTGACTAGGGTAGAAATTAAATATTCACCAATTTGGGGAAGAAACTTTGCAAAACGTCGGCAAAAAGAGCCACAGCCCGTCAAGGGGTTGACATTTTAACCTTACTAGCAGATATTTTGGCTTCAAGCGCATTTCTTAATTTCAAGGTTTTTAATTATGATTCGCGAAATTTAAGATTATTCTAAAAATTAATATTCCTCGAAAGTTCTTAATTCTTCAAGGAAATTTTGAGCAGAAGACTAGCCGAACTTTCTCATTCACAATCCTCCCTAAACGCGCTTCATAACATTCCATCGGTCGTACTAGCGCCACCTGCGCGCTCGCGATAGTCGATCGTCGCGAAAAAATGCCTCCACCAAGTTTGCATCGCGCCCTTCGGAAGAGATTTGCTTAGCAAAGCAGCTAATGAGCGAAATTATTTGAAATTTGTAAATACCAAAAGACTAAATGACAATTGCCGAGCGCATTTCGAGAGTGATCAGTGTTAAGAGACCTAGAAAAGAAAAGCTTTCTCTGAAGATTGATTTGGAATCGACGCGGACTTGTGGCGATGAGTTCAAGTAAGATAGAAAGGGTTAAAGAGGGTTTTAACCCGTTGGCGTATTCTGGGCTCTTTTTGCTCAACCGGGCAGGGTCTTCCCGGTAGGCCACTATTTTCATTTCACAGCTTGCCACAAAATTGGTCATGACACGTCAACGGGTTAAAATCCAATAGGTTAAGTAGCTAGATAAAGAAAATTTTAACTTGTTGGCGTATTTTGGGAAATTTTGGCCTACGCTTCATTTAAAACTTGCCACAAAATTGGTCATTATACGTCGATGGGTTAAAATCCAATAGACTTAGCAGTTTGATAGATAGAACCGATTTAACCCATTGGCGTATTTAGGGAATATTTACATACGCTATATTTAAAAGTTACCACAAAATTGGTCATGATGCGCGAACGGGTTAAAAACCAATAGATTTGGTATTTGTTTTCCCCCGATTTGGCCCTCGCAGAAATCCGAGAAGCTAAACCGATGATAAGCCAAAAAACAAGTGTTAGTGATAATATAGTGTCGTAGAGCGAACATGGGCCAGGGGATGAGCTGCGCGTTAGGAAAAAGAAGCCAGCAGATTATAAGAGCCACATGTTCACGTTAGGCGCCGAAATGCGAGAATTAAGCCTTCCAAAGCCGGACAAGTACGCACAGAGATTAACCCATAAGAAGTTCGTGGATCAAGATAAATTTCGGCCCGGCGGAAATTCAGTGATTCACTGATTAAGGGGGATTTTGTTTTTTAAAAGAAAAATTCAAGCTGACAATTATTACTGTAGCTACTTTTTTTCAATTTTTAACCTGAAATTTTATCATGATAACTCATGATAATTGAACGATCGTTATTTTCGTTATCTTTTTTTCAGCAGAATCGTTTTTTCGCATCATGTTTTCGCTCAAATCCATCATAAATAAATAATAATCATTTTCAGCCTCTATTGCAATATTTTCAAATTTGAAATTTATTCAAATCGGTTTAAATTTCTCCAGAAACCTTCCATTTCCGACTCCAAAATAAATTTCGTTGTTTCTTGGGCATTTTGTCGAACCAAAGAGATAAGACAAAAGTGTCGTCTTAAAATTCTAGCTACGTTTTTTCTGTTTTGTTTTGAAACGGGCGCCGTGTCGTTATTTTACCGTGGTCGATTGTTTCATTATGCGCAGTGTAAATAGCTTTATCCCCGTTACTCGTCCCCAAATTAGACAAAAATTAAACAGAAAGCGCTCATGTTCTTCGTATTCCATTGTTCATTGAACAAGTAAACATGTTGATTTCATTTCTTTCAGGAATGACTTGCTCTATACAATTCTGCTCAAGCAGCAGCGCAAGCCGCCCGTCTCCGACTTTGAGCCTGGCCACATCGAGACGACGAAAATCAAACTCCTCAAAGCCGGAAGCATCGATCGATTAGTCGATCACTTAGGCCCGTGTTCCATTTTTACGTAAAAATTGCAAGAAAAGGGCGGGTTTCCGATATTTTCACAAAAATATAATTTAATTGCTTTCTGAGAGTTTTATTTCGAGGCACATGCATAATCCACAGTTTTGCTGAGTGCCTACAGCTCAAGAAAATGCATAATTACAACATCGTTACAATATAAGCTCAGCTTGGCAACTTGTGTAGAAAACCTGAGTCGAGGTCTAAAAGATATCAAACGAAAAGCCGCGTAGCGGATTTTTAAAAACGAAGTCGCGAAGCGACTTTGCCAAAAATTTGAACGGATTAAAGAGGAATATTTGGGAAGCCGCTTTGCGGCTTCGTGCCTAGTAAAAGCCGCTACGCGGCTTTTCATCTTCGCAAATGTTCTGATCTAAATCTGATCAAATTTTTGGCGAAGCCGCTTCCTGGCTTTGTTTTTAAAAGAAGCCGTTACGCGGCTTTTCGTTTGATATTTTAGATCCTGACTCAGGTTTTCTACACAGGTTGCCACATCAAAATTAAGGGAGTCACTATGTAATTTTTGTTAAAAAGTCAGCTTAAAATTTTATATAAATTTCAGTTTTTTAAATATAAATATTTGAGGAACACGCATTTAGCATGCGCCCCTATCTTCGGCGACGAAAAGTTCCTCTCCATCTTCTTATCGACGTATCGGACGTTTATCTTGCCGTATCAAGGCACGGGTTGAAAGAGATCCTTTTAGAAAGGTGGCAATATTTTCAACGTGTCCGAGGATAACAGGGTGCTATTCAAATTTTACAGGGGCTTTTGGTTGGCGCCAAATTACTTCATAAAGGTCTTTTAAGGCGCCCAACTACTGTTACGTCGAAGCTTGTTTAAAGCGGTCACGTGATACCCCTGGAACTTGTCCTCGCCGGACAGAGCACTTTTCAGCCATTTAGAAACGAAAATCGAAAGAATCAACGAAGATTTTTAAATACGTAACTTGTGGGAAATATCTTGTGGCCAACAAAAAACGTGATGGAAGGTAGCAAGGTTGGTAACATCGAGGTCTCTGAGGGCGAGCAGGTTGAATAACGGAGCTCTTCGTTCACACGAACTTTTTGAGCTCGGCAAACTTTATAGGAGACCTGAGTCAGGGTTTGAAAAAGCTTAAATGAAAAGTCGCGTTCTTTCAGACCCTGACTCAGGTTTTCAACACAGGTTGTCGAGCCTGGATTCAATGTATCTTAGAGACAAAATATTTGAATAATTTTTCGCCAATTAGAAATTTCCATCCGACCTATCGGCCAATCAGCGATCGGTATTTTTTTGGTGAATTTTTGTTTCTAATTTTTGAAAAAAAATATAATAATAATGACCAAAAATGCTTTCAATTTTGAACTAATTATTAAAAAAATAAATAAATCAAATGAAAGAATTAACAAAAAGGATTGAAATCATGCCACGTTCTATTTTGGTGAATGGGGCCGCTGAAGTCCACCTGCCAAAATAAACTGTTAGTTATTTCTACAGGAATTCAATAACACAACTCTCGATAATTGCCTTTCCCCAAAAAAGAAAAACGTCGCTCTATTCAGAACATCTAAGAAAAGCATATTTAGATTGGCCAAACGCGGAATTTGGAATTGTCTGAAACCAAAACCTAACGTGTATAATTCGATCATAAATATATATATCCCGCTGGAATTTCCCTTCTTTAAACAAACTCCACCAAGCAAGATTATCGCCCCCGATTAACATAATTTCAAAAATTCAGCTTCGCATCAACTTAAAATTTTAATCGTCTGCGAAAGTTTGAAACTCACGCTGCGCGAAAAAACGTGTAGGAAATTTTTGACGAAATTTGTGTGCCAAACTTTTTTTTTCTCAGCGATCCTTATTTTGATTATAGAAAATATGGCGAGCTTATCGTGTTGATTGGAAGTAAATATGATTAGTTTAATCAAAGAAAGTTTTTTCTTGGTAATCTCTAAGGAAAACGGTCTTATTCCTCGAGGAAAGGCTGAAGAAAGGAGAGTAGAAGAAAAAAGCCGCGCTGCGGCTTTTCAAAACAAAGCCGCGCTACGGTAGCGGCTTCGCCAAGAAATAAACATTTAGTTGTTAATTCTGAAATAAAAAAATTCATTCAATAAAATTTTATTAATTTAAATAAATATTTATTTCTTGGCGAAGCCGCTACGTGGCTTCGTTTTGAAAAGCCGCTGCGCGGCTATTTTTCGCTCGTTCTTTAGCGTTTTTTCCATGAGTACCTAGGTAGACTTTTTTGTCTATTTCTTGGCAAGATTATCTCTTCTTCATCGAATCTCAGCTTCCGAAAGGCCTATCATCCCCTTCCTCCGTTTTTATCGAAGTGAAAACGGTAAATAAGCCACGTAGAGAGAGGAAGACGCGCTGGAAGTACTTTGCGCTTGAAAATTTTTCTGCCAATTTTGCAAAATAACGAGCTACTTTTTGAAAATCGCCGTTCCGCAAAAGTTCGAATAGAGTATCTTCTCTATTCAACCAAGTCAGTTTTGGACCTTCTATTTCTTCGATACAATCATCTGGACAGGGTCAAGCTTCAGAAGAGCTACGAGAGCAGGAAGTTGCCCGACAATAAGACGATCAAAGCTAACGGTTTCAATACTTTTTTATGAAAAAAATGGGATTTTTGAAGACTCCTTCTTTCGTTTATTTTTCAAGCCAAAACTGCCCTGAAAAGAAAACGTGGCGAAAAATTATCGCGTCTAATTCGAAAGGAAAATAAATTACTGTCACAGTTTACGTCATTGACGGTGATTCTTATCACCATTTCTTATCAGTTTTACGAGGAAGTTCTAATTGCGTGATCGAAGGTTGATATCATCCTTCGAAATTTCAGCTAAAAACTGTAATTTTTGATAAGAAAAATTGTCGAAAAGTTAAAAAAAAGCACTAGAATTTCATTTTTCATAAGCTTTGAAGCTTTGGGCTTGAAAAAACGTCCCTTTATTTGATGATTTTAGTGTTGGATCAAACCAAAAGGCGTGAAAACAAATGTAAATTGAAATTATTCTAGTGACGAAATCAGTGAAATCGTCAATTTTCTCGTGTTGAAACCGCTCTTCAGAATCCATCTTACTCGCCGTTATGGAGTGGCTAGGACTCCGGGTTCAGAATATTTAAATAGTGACGACCGCATACCGGTCGGTTAGGTGACAGGTAGTGACCCAAGAATAGCGAGACATCCGGAGGACTGGAATCAAATCAAAAACAAGCGCTGCCGAGTTTTGATTAAGAAGACCAAAGAGGTCAGTTCAGTCAAACATTTTGTAACCCCTGTACTTTCTAAAAGAAGTTCTGTCAGGCTGCGACCTTGACTCGGCAACCTGTGTAGAAGGCCTGAGTCAGGGTCTAGAAGAACTGAAATGAAAAGCCGCGCAGCGGCTTTTTCAAATACAAAGCCGCGAAGCGGCTTCACTTATCATTAGCGGCTAATTTACAGTCTATCCCAAATTCTGGCGAAGCCGCTTTGCGGCTTCGTTTTCAGAAAAGCCGCTGCGCGGCTTTTAATTTCTGGTTTTCAAACCCTGACTCAGAAGTTGTGTTATTAGATTAGACTGTTTCTAATCTTAATTTTAACTGTTAGAAACGGCGTAATTGAATAATGTTTATCTGAATAATTCGCCAACGGAATGTGAAAAACGCGAGTTTATTCCAAAACGATTTAGTAATAAATATAAACGCTCAAATCGGCTCTTTCCAAACACGTTTTCTCTGCACAGAAATACTTGGAACTCTCCTTCTCTTCTTATCAAAACTATTAGTATCGCGAGTTGTTTTGAAACAATTATTAGCGAAGTGGTAAAACACGCTTAGCATAAGAAGATCCACTAGTGACAAGAGCGACTTGAATTATTCTAATCTATGTGCTTTTCTAGTTTTGCAAGGCAAACAGACCACATGCGGCTGAACTCGAAGCCGCCGTCAAAACCATGCTCCAAGTTGCCAAGGTATGCGAGTCCCGATTTTCCCAGTTATTTTGCTTTCACTTGCAAATCTGAAAATGCGAAGAGCATTTGTCATATCGAGAAGCCGCTTGCGGCTTCGAGCTCAATAAACATTTGAGCCGCGCTTCGCGCGGCTTTTTGTTTTGACTCGAAATCGCAAGCGGCTTCTCGAGTCGAATGAATTTTAAGGATATTGCGGCTTCGAGCTTCATAAATATTAAGCCGCGCTCTGTGCGGCTTTTTGATTTTGGCTCGAAGCCGCAAGCGGCTTCTCGAATCTAATAATCTATAATAAATTTCAGGATATTCGAAAGAAAGGCAAAATCGACGAATTAAAACCTTATGTAATGGAACTGTCGGGGTTCCCATCTGATGACCTTGACAGAACGTCGATAAACGGTAAATCAGCTGAACTTTTCTTGAATCGGCTCAGCGTGTCGGAAATCGTGCGCAGCCTCAGCGCCGTTGACAGGCGCCTCTTCTGCGAAGTACAACCGTGGCAGTGCTTGGGCTCGGTCTGGTCCCGTCGCGGCCAGGGTGCAGAAATTGCCACAGTCAAGGTGAGTCGCCGTGAAATCTCATCGCCACGGGAAACGTTGATATTTTTGAAAGTTCAATGTTAAAATTCTGGAAAAAAGAATGATCCGCGCTCTTGGAAAAATTTCAACATTTACTTACCTGATCAAACCTCGGATGATCCCCTCAATCAAATTTTGCGGAACGAGCGGCGCGACTTATCGAGCGACGTCAGACCTTTCCACGATCTCAGAGTTGCTAGCTTGTTTCTGGCAAATCAGCCACGATACTTTCCGAATATATGTTTTTACGAAACTGACGATTTTTCTTGTAAATAGGCCCCGGCAAAACCTAAATCAAACTTTGAAAGAGCTTCAATAAAAAGCCTCGTAGCGGCTTTTACAAAAACGAAGCCGCAAGGCGGCTTCGCCAAAACAACCAATATGATTTATTTGTAATTCTAGCGTAGCGGCTTTACGATAATAAAGCCGCAAAGCGGCTTCGCTAGAATTATAAATCGATCATAATGGTTGTTTTGGCGAAGCCGCTTCGCGGCTTCGTTTTTGTAAAAGCCGCTACGCGGCTTTTAATTTAAACTCTTTCAAAGCTTGACTCTGGTTTTCTACATATGTCTCTGACAATTTTTCTTGTAAATTGAATCATTCAAAAATTGTGTTTAGGCAACTGTGCGGCAATTCAACAACGTTGTGTACCTCGTCGTATCAACCGTTCTGTCTCCTTGCTTAACCCTTCCGCAGCGGGTTAAAGTCCTCGAAAGCTGGATTCAGATCGGAGCCGAGTGTCTACGCTTGCGGAACTACAATGCCCTGCGTGCAGTGGCGTCTGGACTCCAGGAAAAGGTCCCCAAGCTTGAAGCCGAGCAGCTCAGTGTTGACAAACAGAACTCGATCCGGCGGTTGAGAGTTGATATTTTCTCGAAACGAGGGTAAACAACGGCTCAAAGGCGTTTTATGAACAATTAGCAGTTGCTATTTTTGCGATGAGCCAGCATCCAGCATCTTCCAGAAAAAGGATATCTTTTTTTTATCTAAGCGCGGCAAACTGTGGAGAAAACCTGAGTCATCGTCTGGAAGATCTCAGACGAAAAGCCGCGTAGCGGCTTTTTCAAAATTTCAAAAACAAAAGCGAAAATTACCTTTCTCCTCTATTTATAATTTTGGCGAAGCCGCTTTGCGGCTTCGTTTTGAAAGAAGCCGCTACGCGGCTTTTCATTTGAGATCTTTCAAACCCTGACTCAGGTTTTCTACACAGGCTGTCCAGCCTGGTTTTCGACATTTTAATCGAATTTGCTCCACAAGGCAAGTTCGAGCTGTTCTATACTATTTTCTCGGCTCGACCGCATCTTTGATAAAAACCGCCAGGTGCAAATTAAAATTACACCTTCTTGCTCGCGTAATAAGACGTTCAAGACACGAAATTAGAATTAGCGAGGGCATAATAATTAAATGACCTCTAAAAACTAACAATTCTTTCGGACCTTTCTTTCTGTCTCACGCAGTTCATCGACTGAAGAAGACCTGGGCGGCGGTGGACAGAGGGATTTTGTCCACCTTCCAGCAGGTCCAGAGCGTTTCCAAGGAGTCCAACTATGAAAATGAGTCGATTCCTTACTTGGGGCACTTTTTGACGGATTTGATGATGATCGACGCGGCCTACTCAGGTACTTCCTTAGGAACTTCTATATTCGGAACTACCAGTACGTCAAGCTTTGTTTATATTTAATTTGTTCATGATGAGAATGAAAATAGCTCAATTCAGCTTTTACTAACTAACTCGCGAATAATTCTCTTTAGAATCGAAAATAGTCAATTTCTTGAATTTAGAGATCGATTTTTAGCAATTTTCCTTAAAATTGGGCTCAGCAACCTGTGTAGAAAACCTGAGTCAGGCTTTGAAGAGCTAAAATGAAAAGCCATAAAGCGGCTTTTTCGAAAAAAGCCGCAAAGCGGCTTCGCAACACCATCACTCTTATGTTTTTAAAATATTGGCTCTTTAAAGCCTGACTCAGGTTTTCTACACAGGTTGCCGAGCCCAGCCTTAAAATTTTTCTTTGGATTGAACTTTTGAAGTGGTTCATTAGTACCACGTGGCCAAGAAAACGTAATCTTTGGCGATGCCTGAGTCAAATTACTTGGCAATCCACGAAGTTGGCTAATCCATCCACATCGTGGAAGTTCTACCGAATGATACGCGCAATTGGATTACGCAAGCAATCCGTCGATGCTATTTACGAATTTCGTCTTTAACAATGTGCTCTTTAGATAAAATAGAAGGCGGCCGCCTGGTCAATTTCGAGAAAAGGCGAAAAGAATACGATCTGCTGAAGACCATCGCCACGCTTCAAGATTCATGCCGAGATTCTGAAAATTTCAAAAACTTGGAAATTACGCCGATTTTCAAGACTTGGATCTCCTTCGTTCAGGTACCGTATTTTCCTTCCAAACCAAGCTCGCCTATCTGTATAGAAAACCTGAGTCAGGGTCTGAAAGAACTGAAATGGAAAGCCGCGCAGCGGCTTTTAAAAACGAAGCCGCGAAGCGGCTTCGCCAAAAGTTAAGATAAATTGTAATGGTAATATTAGCGAAGCCGCTTTGCGGCTTCGTTTTAAAGGCGCTGCGCGGCTTTCCATTTCAGTTCTTTCAGACCCTGACTCAGGTTTTCTTCACAGTAGGACAATACTCTTAATCGTAGAGAAACATCGTTAGAAACGCATTACAAATGTAATTGCCAAACTTCCTCTCCACCACAAGTGCATAAATATTTAACCCAACTACTCAAAGACAATAATTACCCCTTGCCTCTATAACTGGTTCGCTTTATTAATCCAACGCATGAAACATCACTTGACGCACACCGTAGTCTCTTATTACTCGTATCTTATTTTCCATTTTCAATAGCCACTTTCGGAGCAGCAAAGTCTCGAGCTATCCTTGATGATTGAGCCTGATGCAAGCGTGGAGCTGGAGCCACTTAGTTCGCGGCTGGCCGGCAGTCCAATGGAGCACTCGTTTTCAACGCTACTTCAAGCCACGGTTTTTGAAAGAGCCCTCTGATCAAAGATCAGTCATTTTCAAAACAAGTCAAAAAAAACCATGAACAGATTCTGAAAAGATTGAATCAACGGGATCCTCGATCGATAGCAGCATTCAATCAGAATCGGATGAAGCGCACTCGTCAGACGGAAGACGCAAGCCCGCGGTCCGACACGTTTCATCTGAAGCACTCTCTCCGGAAACACCTCAGCCACTGGCCACCAGCAACTCGAAATCATTCAGTGAAGAGTTTGGCCAGAGCTTGATGGTGCGGATCAGTGTGGAAGATGCAGCCTGCTCGGCCGGCATTAATTACAGGTACTTACATCAAATCTTATTCATCAAATAGCATAGTTAGGGTCAAATGAGTCAGGAATTGGTACCTAAAAATTGTTTTCAGAACAATCAGGATATTCGAAAGAGATCGTGTGAGCAATTTGATCGTCACGACTCTTGACAAATTCAACCTGTCGACAACAAATGTAGAAAAATGGAAGTTGTTACAGCGCACTGATGATGGAAAAGAACTCAACTTTCCGAACAACTCCGCCATTTTCCACTGTGTCAGTGGTTATACTGGCATCATCATGCTAATTGGTAAGTTGAACTGCATCGAATCTATCCTCATCCTTTTCCAGTAAAAAGAAAAAGCAACAAAGAAATAGAAACTGAAGACCTCAACAAACAGCAACGAAGAAAACGGCTTCTTCCCCAGGACAATCTGGCAGTCACCTCCAAGCTCATGTGAATAGAAGAAACAAATATAAATAGCACCTGTCGATACCTTTACATAAAACACTGAATATAGTAAACTGAATTCGAATGAACTGTCTTTTTAGTGTTAGTCGGGAAACAACTTGTCAACTTTCAAACAAGATAGTAATTACAAGTACAAGTTTTCTGTGAAAACAGAGCGAAATATTATTTTTTCCTTTTCTTGTTCGTTCTTTTCGTTCTGCTCTTTTTGTTGTTTGTGCATCAGTTGGGTGGGCGATTCTAGTGATGGGACGAGTCGTGATGGTTTCCTTCTAAATGGTGCTCTTCCCCGTGTTCGCCATGTTCAGCGTGAGTGGTTTGCATAAATGCAATAACCAAGGCGCCCAGGAAGGCGGTGAAGATCTTCATCAGTCTGTGCGGTTTCGAAAGGGCTTAAGAGTATCAGTGAGTAAAAAGAAGAGATCAAGAAGCAAAATACCATCGGGAAGCATTTCGAAGATCGCAACTTGCATTACCGCCCCAGCGCCAATAGCTTCCAAAATAATGATTGTCTGAAATTTCTCAATCAAAGTCACTGTTGTTCTAACAGTTTATTTACCCATGTGTCTGTCGTAGACGAAGAAACAATCGCAGCAGCAATCAATCCCAGAGGCAAAGCAGCGGAGAACGTGATTATCTAACAATTAAAATTAACGGAGTTAGTCCTCGTTGATTTCATACCAGCGCGGTTCGCGGTCCTTTTGGAACGTCGATGAGCATTGATGAAAGCAGAAACAGCACTGCAGCCTTGTGAGGAATTAAAGCAATTAGTCCTGTCTGCAGACCCTCTCCCATCATCCCAACTGTTAATCCAGTTAAACCTGAACATAATTTGGTATAACGAGCCTCAAAACAGGATTGTGAGTCTACTTTAGTAAGCAGAATCTAAACACTCATGGGATGGCTAATTTGCTTCTATATAACGTCATGATGTCCTCAAGTCAAAGCTTTTATCGTCAATTGGATAATCGACGTTCTATTACCGACATTTACCTAGAAAAAAATTGGGCGCAGGCGACGCCCACTTACAGTTTTAATCCGTTTCGGTAAAAGCTCGCCTTTGAAGTCTTGAATTGAGAATCAAGAGCGTTTTTTCGTGATACTACCGGTATTCTATCGCAAAGAATAAAGATCCCATGCTTTAATTGAACGCAATATTGCTTCCCAAGCGCAATGAACGCCGATAAAAGATATTCTTTGCTCGTCAAATAGCATATTCCAACTTACACGAATGAATAGAAAGCCCAATAATCAGCTTCATCGCCTTTCTCGTCGGCGCGTTTTCATCCGGTTCTTCAATTTGAAATCGAACAGCTCTCAATTCCATGGAGTCGGTCGAACCACTAGAATCGGACAGAGCAGCTTCGCTTTCATTTGATTCGGAAAGCAAGTTCCTGCAGCTTGGTCGTCGCTTGTTCGCGCTGATGAAGCAGCCGACGATTTTTTGCGTGATGTCGTCCACAATTGCAACGAAGAATATCCCGCTGAAGATTCATCTTTGAGAGAAAAAAGAAATCGTTGAATAAATTGTAAATCAACTTTTGAAAGTGTTAAGACATGAGTATGATCTCTCAGGTCTAGCTTAGGTTACACAAGTCAAACACAAGGTCTGTCACGTGATCTGCGAGTCGAATACTAAGGATAGGATCCTGGGTTCGAAGGTCAAAAAGGTTTTCTTGTCTGACAGTAAAGTCAATAGCAGAGTCTAACGGGCAACTACTGTAATTGATCGTCAATAATCACTAGAGCATACCGGCTCATGGAAATCATTTGAACCATTTTTAGCTGAAGCCGTTCTAGTTTTTTCTGTTTTTTTTCTTTCACGCATGATGAACTTACCAAATAAACAGGAACTGGTGAAGCGGATAGTGCTTATCGTAGACAGCCTCGACTTTTTCAGCAAGTTCCGGCACAAGGTCCACCAAAGCCAAACTAAAACAAAATGCTCCTTATCAGAATCCCCACTTCCGAGGAACCGCTCAAATATTGACCGATCTCAGAACATTCAATTTGAAAAATTCTCAAAACGAGACTTTACCTGAACAAGGCGCCACCACCAGCAGCGGAGGCTAAATCGGTAAAGTTAATGCTTGGACAGCTTTTCTCGGTCTTTTTTCCGTTCTTTTCCAGATCTTTCTTCTTTTTCCGGAGGCAACTGTCGACCAGGGGTAAGATGACGAGGATTCCGGCGCAGAATAGGAACATGCTGGTGATGGGATTTTCATTTGTAGCTAGCTTTTTATTCATGTTAATTTTATAATTGATGTAAAAAACTGGGTGAAGTAGGAATCAATCAAACTTGACCTAATTTCATTTTTTATGATTCGGCAGGAACAGACTTATCAATTAAAAATTAGCTGATCAAAAACAGATTTTGATGACTTTTTTCAACAAAAATTACCGAAATCCGCCGATTAAATTGAAAGCTACAGAATTTTTTCTGTTAAAAATCCCTGGCAAAGTCCTGCAATTGCATTTTCTTTCAATGAAACTTCTTCAATCATATTTTTTTCTTCAATTCTTCGATTCCTCTGAATGAATTTCACTGATTTCTTTGCTGAATTATTTTTTTTCTTCCTTTTGAAGGATCGTAAATTCGTCGAATTACGATTTGTTTCTTTCTTTATCTTTTTTTCTTCAGTTTTTTTCTTTTCTTTTCTCTAGATGAGCCGCTGGCGAAGAGAAAAAAGGGAGAAGTGTAATCTGTTTGGACAAATTGACCCAATTGTGACTTTAGCACAGTCTGTGTAAGGGCGTACGCGCTGTTTTCTGAAGGAGTGATCTTCCCTTAGGATGTTTCCTTGCGTTCTCTTAACAATTATCTTCGTTTTTGTCTTTTTCTTTTTGCTCGGATTTCGCGACGGCGCGGGGCTCGGGCGCGGAATGAAACTGAATGGAGCGTAGCGCTGCAGCGATCTGGAGCGGCGCGGAGCAGAGCGGAGCGACTCAGGTTCCACCAATCACAGCGCTAGAAAAATTTATTTAACAGTAACACGTGCAGAATGGCATGCAAAAAATGCCAAAGTCTGCAGTTTTCAAATTTCACCTTATTATTATCGATTAATTTAAATTTTGATTAAAAACTTAACAAAGATGATAAAGAAAACGCTCTTTTGTTATCAAATCACGTGTTTAACATTAAATTATCCTATTTTTACGATTGCTTTTGAATTTAATTACGTCATAATTCTGGCTAAATGAGTTCAAAACGAACGAATTTGTCATCCCCTTTATTTTGGACCAAAGCACAATGATTGTCTTTTATCAAAATACGAACCATCCTCTTTTACGAAATTACTAATGTTTACGCGGAAGTAAGAAAAACCCCGAATAACAAAGTTGTGAAAATCTCACCTTTTATGACTCCTTGTTAAAAAATCTCTTTGCGTCGCGTTTTTTGCTTCTCTTTTTAAATATCCGATTTTCTGAATCAATATTTCTTCTCCTTCTGTATCAATAAAATATTTTGTATTTTCGTGAAGCTCCAGACTCTCACTTCAAAATAAGCGGATTTCAAAAAAATCTCAGGCTTTTTGAAAAGCGTCAAATCTCAAATATTTGTAAAAAACGGTCGAGTATCTCACGCATGGACTTACGATTTCATAACTTTTGAGGTCGAACAAACAGGAAAGAAAGGTCCTTTTTGGTCCTCGAAACGACGTTCCATGAAAGAGGAGGATAAGATGATGCGCCGGGCTATCTTGCGGGGCGCCTTGTTTACATAAATTTTCAAATTTTATTGTTGCCCGTAAAAGGAGGGGTTCAACTCCACGAAATAATATCATTGCGGCTTTTTGCTCATGTCGAATTTGAACGAAAATGAACGACAAGGAATTGGATACTGGGCTCGGCAACCTGCGCAGAAAACCTGACTCAGGGTCTGAGATATCGCGGCTTATCATTTAAGATCTTTTAGACCCTGACTCAGGATTTCTACACAGGTTGCTGAGCCCAAATTGGATTGGATTGGATTTCTTTATTTGATTATTACAGGCGTAATACAGGCATATTTATTTTCCTCATTGTTGCAACTGACTGTTAATAAGTTATTAATAATATTATTATTGACGTTATTAACGTCTACGATTGGTTAGACCATACTCTATAAAAGGAAATTCATTTTATTCGGATTAAATTTTCAAAATTTATAATTTTTTGTCTCATAATTTGAGCAGGAAATGACTCGCTCTTGTGAAAAGTCAATATATTTTTAAGAAAGAGAAGGAAAATAGAAGTATGACGATTAATGTTATTTATTCCCCAGGTTTGCTAGCTGCGAATTCCTTTATTTACTAACCTAGGAAATGCATATCACATGTCCAGGAAAGAAATAATCGACTGGGTCAATGATACCCTTCATACAAACATCGTCAAAATTGGCGAGCTCGGCGAGGGATCTCATTATTGCCAATTGCTTGATATGATCTTCCCCGACCTAGGTACACTCCCTTCCGTAATATCTTCGTTTTCATAGTCCATTAGTTCAAATGCGAAAAGTTAAATGGAATTGCAAGCACGAAATCGACAAAATCAACAATTTCAAAGTCTTGCAAGAAGCCTTCAAGCTCGCTGAAATCGACAAGAAAATTCCGATTAATGACTTGACAAAGAAACGATTTTGAATGTCGCAATTTTCTTCCATAATTACAGACAGAATCAATATCTTTTACAGGGTCATATGAAGTCGAATCTTGAATTTATTCAGTGGATGATACTTTTCTTTGACGTCAATTACGAACCACGAGGTAGTTCCGTAAAATCATAGGAGTTTGATAAGTTTTACGCTTGAAGAATATGATCCTGTAAAAAGCCGCCAGCGATGTAAAAGTGAGCGCGATCTGAGACGGTCAAAATCAGCACGGTCAAGAGCAGGGCGAGCACCTTTGGCAAAAAGGTTTGATCATCTTCTGATCTTGACTTTGATCGTTTTCAAGTACAAAGGAGCTGATTGTTGGCTCTCGAACTGGATCAAGATCAAATTTGGCTGGATCGAGAGGCGCCAACAGAGCAAGACTACCGTCCAAAAACGGCAGCGTATTTTTATCTGGAAATAAATCGGGAGCAGCTACACAAGACTTTGCTCTTCAGAAGCAATTATGTTCGTAAATTCTAACATAGCCTATGTTACATAGGGAAACTCATACGATTTTAGCGGAGTTACGGACTGAGCTGAGCCGCTTGAAACACTCGATTCAACTGCTGGAGAAGAAGAAGCAACTCGAAGAACAGAAAGTGAGCACAGGATAGCGTTCATACGAAAGTTACTAAGAAATAGGTAGGAGAACCGGTGATTATTTCGACTTTTTTCTGGGCTTAGGTATGGGAGAGCTTGATGCAGTTTTAGAAAGCCCAGATCATGCGGATCATTTTGACTATTGACACCATGGGGTCATCTTTTAACCTAAGGGCATCAAGGGCCTTGTAAAGTCCCAAAATCGAAGTTTTTCCGGAAATCCGGTAATTTGAAGGCTTGTCCGGAGGTTTGGTGGAAAACTGCTTATGCCAATTCAAAGAAGAGACATTGAGGAGTCAGAAACCGTCGAAAAAAGTAGTAGGCTAGGGGGTTCCTGAGGAGCTCGAGGCTCTAGAAGTTGAGGAAGTCAACCGGAAACGAGTAAATTTTCTTTAAAAAGGGACGAAATTGTAAACTTATATATCCGGATGGGCTTTTATCACGTTGTGCTAGGTTTTTGATATCAATAATTAATTGTGGGGTCATCTGAGGTCACTTGGGGTCATCTTCAAAAAAATTGAAAATCTTTGAATAAATCACCCCAAGTCACCTCAGATGATGTAATCGACATAATTTATATCATATTAAGCGTTTAAAAGCCCTTTCAGACATAGAAAGAAGCGTTTTCATCCCTTTTTAGAGAAAATTTACTCGTTTCCGGGTGACTTCGTCAACTTCTAGAGCCTCTAGCTCCTCTGGAACCCCCTAGCCTACTACTTTTTTCGACGGTTTCTGACTCCTCAATGTCTCTTCTTTGAATTGGCATAAGCAGTTTTCCACCAAACCTCCGGACAAGCCTTCAAATTACCGGATTTCCGGAAAAACTTCGATTTTGGGACTTTACAAGGCCCTTGATGCCCTTAGGTTAAAAGATGACCCCATGGTGTCAATAGTCAAAATGATCCGCATGATCTGGGCTTTCTAAAACTGCATCAAACTCTCCCATACCTAAGCCCAGAAAAAAGTCGAAATAATCACCGGTTCTCCTAGAAATAGGGTAAGGGTTAGCTCTTTCATGGAACCAAATCCAGTGATTGACATCTGCAGTGAGCTAACACCAGATGATCCAGAATTCGACCTCGCGGAAAGAATCATCAACGAGATTTTCGAGCTTGAATCTGCCAACCAAGGTACCTCCTTCGAAACCTTCCTTTTTGATTGTCTTCCCAAGGTTTGGATCGACTACCGAGCATATCGATGCAGTCAACAAACTCGATTGGTGAAATGTTTTGAAAAATTCAATAAATTTCTACTTTAATAAGTCTTCCTTGATTGCAACGCGACTTCGAATTTCTGATGATTTTTAGCTTAATTTATTCTGAGAATTCGTACGTTGATGGATGTTTTTGTAAAGCATGATTATGTTACTGAGCAGACAAAAAGAGAAAGAGAGGAGACATTCAATTTGGCATCAATCTTACAAGAAAAATTCGAGACTACAGAAGAACTGGGAAATACAGAAGATCAATTTACTGGCTTGCACGCTTAGCAAGATCGTCACATTGGGCATAAATCTCGGCAGGGCAATCTTCGCCGACCTGCTGTTCGAGGTATTGCCTCACTTCTGCGGCTTCCTGTTTCCAGAAATCACTGCTCAGCTCGAAGCAAGCGTCGAGATCGACTCCGTCGCAACCTTCCATGTTGAGAGAACCTGGTTTGGGGATTTTGCCGACGATGCTGTCCTGGGCAATGTCTTCACCGCTGCATCGTCGAATGATCCATTCGAGGACTCGCGAGTTTTCGCCAAATCCTGGCCAGATAAAACTAAATTGACAATAAAATTAATAATCCAATCGATCATCTTCTTACCCATTCTCATTCTTTCTGAACCAGTTGACATTGAAGATTTTAGGCATTTGTCGTCCCTCTTGATTAACATCGAGCCAGTGTTGAAGATAGTGGCCGAAGTTGTATCCAAAGAATGGTCGCATAGCAAAAGGATCGTTCATAATCGCCTTGCCCTTGAATTCAGCAGCGGCAGTGGCTTCTGATCGCATAGCAGCACCGAGGAAGACACCATGCTCCCAGGAGTTAGCTTCGTAAACGAGTGGAACTCCCTCTGGTCGTCGGCCGCCGAACACGATGGCCTCGATTGGCACACCTTCAGCGGACTCCCACTGAGGATCAATAGTTGGACATTGTCCAGCTGGAGCACAGAATCGCGAGTTAGGATGAGCAGCGGGTGTTCCAGACTCCTTCGTCCATGGCTGGTTTTTCCAGTCAATAACATCACCGGTTGGATCGTGTCCGATTCCTTCCCACCAGACATTTCCGTCAGAAGTCTCGGCGACGTTTGTGTAGACTGTGTTTTTCTCCATGCAGGTCATGGCGTTGGGATTGGTATGGTTTGAAGTTCCGGGAGCAACACCGAAGAAACCGTTTTCTTTTCAACGGTTCTCATTTGTTTCTTTCGTTAAAAGTATCAATAGAAGCTTAAATTGAGGACCTTTCCTGGATTGATAGCTCTAAGTTTTCCGTCTTTGTCGAATTTCATCCAGGCGATATCATCACCAACGCACTCAACCTTCCAGCCGGGAATGGTTGGAGCCATCATCGCAAGATTTGTCTTTCCACAGGCACTTGGGAAGGCAGCAGCGATGTATTTCTTCTCACCCTGCGGGTTGGTGATTCCGAGAATGAGCATATGCTCGGCGAGCCATCCTTCATCACGAGCAATGGTAGAACCAATTCGGAGAGCGAAGCATTTCTTGCCGAGAAGAGAGTTTCCACCGTATCCAGATCCGAAGGAGATGATCTCTCTGTCCTTTGGAATGTGTGTGACGAGAACCTTTTCAGGATTGCATGGCCAGTTGTTGGTCAATTCTCGCTCAAGGGGAGAGGACAGCCGACAGAGTGGAGACACTTGACGAATTCGCCGCTGCCGATTTCTTCCAAGACACTTTCGTTCACTCGAGTCATGATTCCCATCGACGCGACAACGTAAGGAGAATCGGTCAGTTCAATGCCGTACTTTGAGATGGAACCTCCAATTGGACCCATGGAGAAAGGAATGACGTACATAGTTCGACCCTTCATGCATCCAGGGAATCGATCTTGAATGGCAGCCTGAAGGTCTCCGGGAGCCATCCATTTTCCGAGTTTTCCTGAAAAGAATCAACTCATTCAACCCGAATATTTCTTTCTTGAAAATATTGATCTAAGGAAGCTGGGTCAAGGCTAGTAATTAAATTTTACGATGATGTAAATGGTAGAAACGTGAAAGTAGGAAAGTAGGCGTTGCCAAGAAAAAACATGGCGCGACCTCGGCCAAGAAGTCGCCCGGTGCCCCAGGCCTTTTCCGAAGGGACTGAAAAAAGGGATCAAACAAAAATCGTACCTTCGACGCCTTCTTGAGGGATTGGAATGGTCTCTCGTTCGTTTTCAGTGGAGATGACGGTTTTGCTTTCAACCCGGGCGACGTCCTTTGGATCAGTCTTGGCCAAATAGCAGTTTTCAAGCTTGGGGATCGGCTTGATCAGCTTCTCCTTGAGCAGGGTGTTGATGATCTTTTCTTTTTCTAGAAATTAAAACGTTGTTGGCTTAAAAGCCTCAATTGGCAAGTGAGTCACCAGCTTCGGAGCCGTTGCAGACGTAGATGTCGTCGGGCTGGCAGAGCGCAGCCTTTTCAAGAATGTACTCTTGGATGTGTGGAGCGAGGTGAGCTACAGAAGCGGCCGAGTAGTCTCGTCTTAGGAGGATTCGCACGGGGTTAAGGCTAAGTAAAGTTAACAAGGAGGTTTTAGGGAGTTCGAATTGCGAACTTCTATGTGACAAAATAATTCTTTTTGTGAAATAAATTAAATTTTTAATTGAAAGAATTTTTATTGCTATCATTGATTCAATCTTCTCAACAACTATCTCTCTCTATCTATCGCCGCGTTTTACCGATTGAGGAGGAGGTTTTGACGGGATATAGAAGAAAAAAGACGCATTTTTAAAAAAGTCCAAGTTTTTTGTGGAAGGGTTGAAAACAAGGTTTGAGGGGGTAAAGCCGGACGGCGTCTGCAGTCAGAAAAACTGAAATATGCCCTGAGGACGGAGCTTGAAAACGAACATCATTCGTGAAAGTAGTTTTACGAAATTGCTGCCCTCATGTGGCTAATTGATTAGCAAACGTTGTTTTATTGCCGAAAAATGTTGGGGCCATTGTTGATGATCCTGGCAAGCGATCATCGATCAAGCTCAGACGAAAATAGGCGTGTCAATAAAAAACCAAGACGGTGAGAATACTTTTTCTACGTTATGTAACTTATTCCTTAGTTCAAGTAGCAATATTTTAATAATGATAATCTGAAAACTTACATAATAAAACTTCTCATTTTGTGCTTTATTGTGGTATATTTTGAGTATCAACTTGGTCCTTATCTAATTTTTCTAGAGATGTGATCATAATTATGAAAAATACCAAAATACCCTTAATTACTGCTAGGCTGGCAGTGATAGCATAATGAATTCAGATTCAAGATTCAAAAAGCAGAGTTGATCAATGAAGATTTCATTATGAAGTGATAATGCAAGCTTAACTTTTTTACGTTTTTTTCGCTCTACAAATACGGACTCACACACCCATTTTTATTCTTTTGAAATTGCTGCGAGTGCAAATTGGAATGACACTCCTACTTGGGTCGATCGAGGTCCACTATAAGCTTCTTGCAATTTAGAAGATGATACCCTTAAATAATGCCGAAGGCTTTGATCTCCCTCGTCTGCCGGATATTCCGGTTGAATAAATCGGATCATTTCAGTAGACAAAAATTAGGTATATTCTAAGAATATCGTTCTATCAAAAGAGTAACGGATAATTTCAAGATAACGGCTCAACCGCTTAGCCTCTGACTTCAATTCTCAATTAACGAAGGAATCCTTTCCTGGTTTTCTCGCTTATATTCTCTTCGTGACTTTGTCTGGTGGTGGTTGAAATTTTCTCTTCTTGAGGAGGCATTTTAGAGTTGCTTTTATTCTGAATTTCTTTCTTGCTGCAAGACTTTTCGACTTATATTTTGAATTTGTCGTGTTTGAATCCTAAAAAGGAAATGTGTCTTTCTCTCTCTAAAAGGAGGCGATGTATGAGGCAATCTATCGCCCCATGATCCGGACTCGTACCAACCAGACTCTGGTAGAGGTCATTCCATTTACGAAATTAATGAAACTCAAGCATAAAATCAATATCTTATGATAAACAGGCGTCTAGGGAGCTAGAAAGTCAAGATATATTCGACATATGAAGTGGGGAGTTTTGTCTGAAGGTCGAATTTTCGTCAAAATATTACTTTTTGCCCTTGAAAAACTTCATTGAAAACTGTTTACGCGCGAAACATCTGAATGTCTGTAGAATTGTCTTTGGCTTCAAAAGTCAAAACAAAAGGAAATCAAAAGAGAAACAAGGTCATCAAAAAACCACGTGGCAAAAAAAATCGGTTTTGACAGAAAAACTTTGTTTATTCAAGAAAACACCGAATCTTGCAATTTGACCGCTAATACTAAGTGGGCAGCTCCGTTTCCGCAACAATCTTCATTTCCTATTAATCCGATGGGTTTAATCAAGCTGTAGCTACTAGCTCGTATTTTTCAGACACATTGTTGAGCAGCAACGCTTGGAGAGGAACTTACCGATGATTTTTGATAATTTATAAATGCATGATGAATTTTATTTAAATAAATCGTTTTAACATTAATGGAACAGATTGGAAGTCATTTACAAGTCCAGATAAGCTTTTCGTAAGATCGATAGATTTTGAAGAGTCGGGCCCTAGCTTCGATTCTTTCAGTTCACATCCAGCATCTAATCTTGCTTCGGGTGACGTCAGTCGGTTACAAAGCCTGGTTTTCAGAGAAGAAACTGAATAACTTATTCAGAATAAGTAAATGGTAAATTACCAAAAAAAAACTTAAATTAGATCTCGATGCCTCTAATTATTATTTGAATAATTAACTTATCGACTTGTCACGTGATTTATTTTCCCTTATAAATTACAAAAAAGACCTGATATGCAAAATTTTAAATTTGAAAATAGATTATTTTTATTTGAACTTACGTGTAAAAACATCGTTGAAACCAGCATGCGCCGCGGAAATCGAGCAAAAAAGATTTACCATCATCGATATCAACTTCATTCTTTTTCGATTTCGTTCTCCTCCTTTTCTGTTTCTTACTCGGATGTGAAATGTGTTGGAAAAGCGGCTTGGCGACTTATATAGTTGGAATAATTCAAAATTGCAAAACAACTCATGTACGCCGATGATTTACTCCCGCGCGCAAGCAGGTGGACGCGCATATTAGAAAAATGTACTGTCGCCTTGTAAAAGTAGTGGTTCAACGTTTTCAAGCACCATCCTGCATAAAAAATGACCTGGAATAAACAGATTCGTCAAATAAATGCTACTCATCTTCAGTCATTTTGCCTGGATTCTCAAACAACAAATAAACGCCAAATTTCAGTCAAAAGAAAGGGCCTAGGCTCAGCAACCTGTGTGGAAAACCTGAGTCAGGGCACTGATAAACTACTTATCAAGAGCCGCGTAGCGGCTATTTTAAAAACGAAGCCGCTTTGCGGCTTTGCCAAGAAGCCATCTCAATCTATTGTTATAACTTAAAAGTCAATTGAATGGATTGAGATGGTGATTTTGGCGAAGCCGCAAAGCGGCTTCGTTTTTAAGGCTCACTCCGCTTTGTGTTGGTGCTAAAAACTCACAGTGGCCAGGTGCGGGCATGATGTCAAGCTGTGCAAATGGGATGCAAGAGGTTCACCGACATGTGCTACCCACTGGGAAGTCCCGCAGAGACTGCTCCTAGCACCAACTCTGAGCAAGGCTCGGTGTGAGATGGATTGAGCCAAAGTTAACACAAACAAGGGGAACTTAGCTGCAAAATCGGATCAAGCTCAGCCGGTTAAAAGTGAAGATAAAAAGAATGAAGATTGAAATTTTATGAAAACTCGCCTTGTATGGTTATTTTTTACGGAGATTTCGATTATGAACCTCGAAATCATCTTCATAAAAATCTAGATTCCCTTGGTTATAATAAAGTTATGAAAATATTTGTTTTATATATGAATCGCTATCTTTAATCATCTCTTTTTGCCTTGGCAGATTTTTTTGTACTATATTTTCAATGAGCAGACAATACCAATTGGTACCCGACCTTTCTCGTCAAGGGCAGGCTTAGGTGAGCTATGGTCCATAGCCTATGGTCAGATAAATATATTTTCGATCTTAGAAGTAAAATCTACAAAAAATTATTCTACAAGGTTTTATGAAATTCCAATTTTTTACTCTTTTCAAACTTCACTTTTGAGCTTATCCTCGGCTTAGCTTGCTGATTTTGAAGCTATATCACACTGAGCGTTGCTCGAAATTGGTGCTAGGACCAGTCTCTGCAGGACAGCGCAGCAGGCTGCGCGTTTCGGTGGGCCCGTTGCATCCTATTTGCACAGCTTGACACCTGCCTGTACTTGGCCACTGCGAGTTTTTAGCACCAACACAAAGCGGAGAACCCCGTTTTTAAAAAAGCCGCTACGAGGCTTTTAATCAGAGCCATTTCTGGACCCTGGCTCAGGTTTCTGAGCCCAGGAGATGGTCTTTTTGACTGAAAATATATTCATTTCGAAATTTTGAATTGGTTAAATTTATTTTTTGTAAAAGAAAGGAAAGATTAGAAAGCAATATTTTTGGTACGGTTGGTCCTCATTTTCACTGATTACTGAAACCAGCGAAAATGCGCGTTTAGCCGGGTTAAATGTTAGTTTAATTGTTGGGCTGAAATGCGCTGGTAAAGAATAGGAGAAGTACATGGAAGGTAATAACGAAAAAATAAAGTTACAAGAAAAGAAGTTCCAAGAAAAAGGCACTGAAATATCAAGAAGAGAATATGGAACGTAAGAACAATAGAATCAGTAAAGAGTTTATTCTTGAACGGTTGGGTAACAGGCTTGTAATGTTCGTATAAAGTTGATTTATCTGGATCCAGAATTTTCATTTTTTCCAAGAGGGTGCGGAATTTTCGTGGGAGTGTACGGTTATTTTTCTGTAAATGGAACTTGGGCAGAAAAGGTAATTTTCTCGGTAAAAAATAAAGAGTTTTTGATTTTAGGGCATAATTTTAAAAATCGAAAAGAATGACAAAATAAATAAATTTTCAACTCAATTTTCATTCTTCGGTTATTTTTTTGTTCGTTTAGGAAAGTAAAGGAGAGTTAGAACAGCTTTTTCGTTCTCCGAGAAGAAGATCTGGGGCGTTGGGTTGAATTTGTGTGTGTTTGTGTGTTTCGTTTTAGCCTTAGCTTGGCAACCTGTGTGAAAAACCTGAGTCAGGGTCTCAAAGATCTCTAGGAAAAAGCTCGGATGATGTCTTAAATTCTAGCGAAGCTGCTACGCGGCTTAGTTTTCAACAAAGGCGCTACGCGGCTTTTCATTAAAGATCTCTGAGACCCTGACTCAGGTTTTTACACTTGTTGCAGAGCCCAGCTTTTAGTTGAAAAAACTTGCAGGGGTCGAGTTGCTGAGTAAGTATTTTACTCTTTTTTTAGGGAAAAGCGGGAAAGATGGATAAGAATTGTTCATTAAAAGTTAGTTTGTTTTTTTTTATATAAATTCGCGAATTGCTTTTCGGGAATTCGCCGAACTGAAAGCGATCTACACAATGTAATGTTTTCGTTACTTATTATTTTTTGTTCTAAGCGTAGCGCGACAATTTGGCAGTTCTAGTTTTCGTATATTTTTTTGTTTTTTGAAATGTAGCAAAGAAAGAAGAAACGAGGGATGATGAACGGTTTCTAGGGCCAGCCGCGGACAGGGCCGTGGGGGTGGTTCGAATTGGATCCTGGTGGAGGAGGATGGGCCGCTGATTGACGGCGAGGAACGGGCCGGCTTTGGGTCTGCTGCTGTGTTCGCGGAATGCCATCTTGGTCGAAGAAACGCCTGAATTGTGTTAGAAAGAGATTAGGATAATTCTGTTGAAGAAATTAAATTGGTCAATAAAGATATTAATTTTTTATGAAGCAAGTTTGTCTGAACGTTAAAAGATAAAACAACGAATCTATGATTTAATAATGGCTTTTTTCAGCCAAAAATACGTTAAATATTGGTGAGATATGACGTTAAAACCTTATTGAAGTCATCAATTTTAAAGGTTCGTTCGCACACGAGATTAAAAGTTCATTAATTCAATCTGCCCATAGGTTTTTGAAAAGACAGAATGCCGATTTTCTAGTCACTGTAAACAGGAATGTCGTCACAAGATTCCTGGTAATTTCAAATGCCATTTTCAATATCATTTCGCAACGACCCTGTCTACAGTGGATTAAGATAATATTCCCGGTTATTTTTCTTCAAGAGTTGCCAGCAATAAATAACCAGTCCGGTTATTATTGTCTTTCGGAACATATGGGAATAAATATGGTAAAGGAGAAGATGATCAAAGATCTGACAAGCTTCCAAATGTTGGCTTTCGTAAGAGATAAGCGGAAAAGCTTTTATTTAAGCTCCTGAATGCCCGACATTAAGCTTCAATTTTTGTCAGTCGACAGCTTTCTTGAGGGTAATAAAATACGATCTACAAATGCATCAAGAAAGGTGAACTGGAGTCCGAAAAATCTAGGTCAAATATTCAAAATTCTAATATCTTCCATGTTGGAAATCAACAATGTCGCGTAAGGCTTTACCCAGACAAGTACAAGGTATTTTCCCAATAGTGTAAAATCGGGTAGGGCTAAATTATTAACCTGAATGTGAATTCAACAAACGCAGCTTGATGTAGCGTGTGATTCGGGTCTGCTTCATTCTCAGGCGGAGATGGGCTCATGTCGGGCTCAACTGGATCAAAATTGCTGAAAATTAACCGTAGTTGAGTGACTAGCCAAGAAATGCATTTACCTTGTGTCTTCCATCCCCGTGATTGTTGGTATAAAGGGTGGCTTCATAAAGCGAAGCGTTTGCCAGTTGATTTCGGCGAAGAAGGGGTGATTCCGGATCAGCATCGGGTCCTAATTAAAGCGGTATATTCATGATACAAACTGAAACTTCCACGTTCGTGGTTCCTGAAAAATACACGACTTACCGAGAGCCTATTTTCCTCTCCAACGATCCAAGATTGCATAAGGGCGCGCGCCCGTGGACAGGGACAAGTGTGTGGGATTTGGAATGTATGGGTATGCTTGGAATAAAGATGTTAGAAGAGATAGACAAGTATAAACAATGACTTACCGCCAAGATCATCTCTTGCGTTTGGAGAGGAGTTTGTGCGGCAAAGGGCGGCTGTCCGATGATCATCTCGAATAAGATCACTCCAACTGACCACCAATCGCAGGATTTTGTGTAACCTTGTCCGGGCGCTCCATTCGCCTTATCAATAGATTAGAATTCGCTTTTCGCAAGTTAAAATAATAAATTAGTCAAATTACAGGTTTTCTATATTTTAAACAGCCCAGACAGAAGGGCCCCTTTAAAACTCCCTAAATAAATAACCTGCTCAATAGACAGTTTTGTGAACTCTCTCGAAATACTCTCTTTCTATTATTCAGAAATACAGTTTTTGAAGTATTTTTTAAGTCATTGCTGTCTTCACTTACCCTTAAAACCTCTGGAGCAATGTAATTGGGGGTTCCGACCACCGAGCAAGCTTGTTTCCTCCTGTGAAGCATGTTTTTTCTATCGTAGAGCCTATTCGTCGTCTGCGAGCCTGGTTTGTAGAAGTCAGAGTCATGGGTCCATCGGAAGCCCGTGCAGAGTCCGAAATCGGTGAGCTTGATGTGCCCGTCGCGCCCGATCAACACATTGTCTGGTTTTATATCACGGTGGATAAAACCCATCTCGTGCACCGAGGCGACGGCTTGCACTAACTCAGCCGTGTAGAATTGGGAAAGGGGTTTTCTAAGAGTTCATTTATAGAAGACATTCTTTAGATAAATTTCCTACTTGAAAATATGTTTTCGAATGAGAAGGGCCATCAAATCACCGCCGGGAATGTATTCTAATGCGAAGTAAAGGTGCTCCTCGTCTTGGAAACTGAAATAACCCCATCGTTAGCAAATGATGCAGTTTATAACACCTAGTACCTGTAGTAAAGCTTGACAATCCAATCGTTATCCGCTTCCTTCAAGATATCACGCTCGGCCTTGACATGGGCAATTTGCTTTCGTTGAACGACCTTATTTGATTCTCAAGGCGATGGTTATTGTAAAACAGATTACCTCTTTTTTATTCAGCATTTTCAACGCATAATATGCGCCTGAATCCTTTTTGCGGACCAGTGATACTGTACCAAATGCGCCCTAATACAGTATTAGTAATACTAAATCAACATCGGCTAAAGCGGTTGGAGAATTACCTTTCCAAGCTGTTTTACAGTAATAAACTGGTCTATATTCATCTTTCGGCGCGTGAGCCTCAAGTGTTGAGTCTCCTTTTTGCGCAGCATTTGTCGCATCACATCTCGATCACGCTCTGTCATACTGTTGATTTGGCCACACATTTCGGCTTCAAGTCCGCGTTTTCTTTCGATACGCTCGTTTGCCGCTTTCATCAAGTTGTCGATCCGCTGCTCCATGTAGAATTTGAAAGCTCGTGGGGGTACCTCGCGGATCGTTTTGAACACTCTTTTCCTGACGAAGCTTATTAAAAACTGGCCAAAATATGGGGAGCATACCTTGGCTTGTTTTTGTCCTTTTCATCAAGAGTGGCTGTGGCCATGGAAGAAGTGATCTTTTCAGTGATACTTGGAGTTGTATTCTGAGTTGTCTTGGAGCTTTCAGAGTCCTTCCGGAACAAGGAAAAGATTCCACCCTTGGACTTCTTCTTCTTCTCCTCGGCGTGTTGCCTAATTGCGTAATCCGTTGATTGATTTGGACTCGTCGTGGGCGATCTCATTGTCACATCGTTGGTTCCAGTGGGAGGTTGGAAGTGAGAATGAGCACCGGGTGCTTGTCGGATGGTGACGACGGAATCGTTGTTGAAACCGTTTTGGTGGGGGCTGTACTTCTTGTCGTCCATACCGAGATAGGATGAGTTTTCAGAGCTGAATTTGAAAGTTTGAGCTGAGAGCCATAATTTTGATTTTTGTTGGATTATTTAGTCTAAAAATTAAAGAAAACTCGGCGATAAAAAAAGCAAAATTTTTCCAAAACTTTTTAAAGTAAGAGTGATAGTTATGTCCGCCAATTTCTCAAAATAATTACCTCGCATAATCAGATCGTGTCTCCATCGCAAGATAAGCAGGTGGACCCTTGACATGATTCATATTGAACACAGTAGAACTCTCATCCGCCCAGTCTTGATTTATGCCAATTCCCGATTGAAGATCTGACGCACATTCTGAGCTTGTCTGCGAACCGACTGAATAATAGTTAGAGTCGGTGGATCCTGTTTTTCGAGTTTTTTCGTAGCTCCCGGTAGTGGAGTGCAATCTCTTATTGACATCGATCTTGTGTACTTTTCTTGTTGTCCAAACCGGACACGAGAAAAAATTGTAAGTTACGTCTTCATAAACGAGCATTTTTAAATATTGATCTGCACTAGATGGGGGTCGACGCGGTACTACCGTAGCAAGGAAGAAGTGTTCTCACCTCTATAATCAGAGTCGTAGCCGCTAGTAGGTCGAGAGATATTATCGATGTCCATAAAGGGATCTGACGTTCGAGGGCAGAAGTCCATTCCACTCAAGGCACGTTCGGGACGTTTTTCATAAAATGATTGACCTGGTGATTGACTGGTCCAGTTGCAGTACCTAAAATTTGTTTCTACTTCGGAATAATTTATTTGAAAACTGCTGAGCTCATGACTTTCATGTTATATGTCATTAGATCATGGTTAGGGCGGCCCAGCTCGACCCCTGAAAGAGTTTATCCTCCCCGGATAATTTATGGCACTGAAAGGCCCGTGACTTTGCACTTCGTCAAGTTAAGGTCAGTTCAAGTCGATTATGAAACTTACTGAGGAGGCGGCACGGGGCATGAAACACGATTGTTCATTTTGACGCCCATGTTGCTCGGTTTTGGACGCATCTTGACATTTGGCGGGACGAGTTTTTGGGGAAGAGTGAAAGTGGAACCGTTTGATCCATTCGTTGACTGATAGTTCGAGGCCATGTGCTGGCTGTAAGGTGGGGGTTTGCTCGTAGCGGGCTGCTTTTGGACGTAGTTTGGGGGAAGATGAGCTCGATTTTGCTGGTAAGGGTTGTTGATTGTGGGAACTCGTGGCTGGTCCTTATGTTTTTTTATTGAAAATAGTATGGTAAAATAATCTAACCTGAGAGGGAGAATCGGAACTGATAGAGGCACTGTCGGGCGAATTAAGGCCATATGGGGTGATAGGGACACCATTAAAGGCTGGATGCGGAGCACCACCGGTAAAATGGTTCACTGGTAAAATAGGCGACACGGGTGACATAGGCGAGCCAGGCTGCGAAGATCGTCGATCGTTTGGTGAATAAATTGTTGGCTGGGCGAATCCGCCAATGTGCGCCAGATTTTGATGACTCCGGGCAGCAGTCATTCCGGATGTGCCGGCAACTGGATGACCATAGAAGACGCCCGAGTTTCGGTCGTTTACTCCGGGCGAGCGTTGAAGTTGGCTTTCTTGCTCAAAGAGATGAAGATTGGGCTGCGAGCCACTGTTTTCACTAAATTCAAAGTATGAGCGCTTGAGATTTATTTGAATTCAGATTAACAGACAAGTTGGATCGCCCCTTGATGACATTATATGACTGATATAGTGGAGATATCAATATATATTGATAGATAAAATAGTAGACGAAGTCACTGACTGCCAGTCAGTTATTAACGAAAAGTTAGTTACCTGAGCATTTTCTGCGAAACAGCTCGAGTGACAACATTCCTCGCATTTTCCTTCTGCTTATCTGTTTTCGGGGAGCCAAGAGCATCTGTTGATCCTTGAGAATAACGGTTGAGAGCCGCTCCGTTCGAGCCGCCGATGTTCTGGCGGATACGTTCCAACTTATAGGCCGAGTCATTTTGCGGGTGGGCTGCGTTCACTGGGATCTCGGTCGAGAAGCGGTGGTCATACTCGGTCGAGTAGCGTGCGCGGGGGTTGTTTAGCGACGGCGCGGAGTAGCGGTTTTGGTTGCGATTCGTTTGAATGTCCCCATAAGGACTAGAAAATAAATAAAAAAGGTGAAAAAATAATAGGCTTTTTATCAACATATTTCAAACAGAATAATTTTCATGAATTGTGCCATTTGAAATCTGTTGTTTCACCGATTGATTCAGGCGGATTTTCTAAGCTAAAGATGATCAGTGGAAAAATAATAGTAAATCAAGCATCAATCAACAGCCAATAACTGGCGTGCAGGATAACTAATCCATTATCCCTCTAAATTATGAGAATTATTATGCATTGGTTGAATTAAAAGTGCGCGATTGGTAATAATTTGTGTCTATAAAAATAAATACCCAGGTCGTTTGGGGCGGCGTCGGACTATCGGAGCCTCTGCCTGAGAGTACGAAGGGTTCAAGCTTTCATGCTTTTTGTGTTTATCATGACCCATGATAGCTAAAAACTTGAGGAAAGAGAGATAGAACTATCTTCAGACAAAGAATTAACTCGCTTGTGGTTAGTTCACGAAACCGCTTTCTTAAAAAAAAAGCGGGTCAAAATAACTTCCAAAAGTACCTGGGTTTGAAATCAAGCGCTTTACGCGGATTTATAGGGTCGTTTCGGATGAGATTTAAATCGTTGAGCTTTCGTCTATCCGAGGGATTGAAATTTTGGCGCTTTGAAGAGTCAACAAAGTCCGAGTTCATTCAAAATGATTTCAAGAAACGACGTTGGAATCATTCAGAAATTCTTGTTGCGTCTTTTAGCGAGTCCGATTTTGAATTCTTGAATCTGAATTTTTTAAATAGTGAAAGAGAAAGGATAAGCAAATAATTTATTAAATATTTAATTCGCATGGGATGAGTTGGCAGGTAAAATGAGGTGTGACAGAAGTTAGCAAGATAGGTAGGTCAAATAAAAGAAAAAACAGGTACAGGTTGGGAGCTTTTTATCGTAACTCCAATTCGAAAGCTTCCACTTTAGCCGCGGTTTGCCGTGGAGAGCGGTTAGTATTACAAACGCCGATGTAGCTGATGAGGGTTAAAGCCGCACCAGCTGCGAATTTTAGAGAAAGCGGCTGTCCCTCCAAAATCTTAACAAAACATAAGCAAAAATGTGGCGATTTGAAAACCAACGACTTTTGATATCAAAATAGCTCGATGTTCAAATAAATCTCTTGAATGAAAAAACTCGTCTGAGAGAAACATTAGCTCGGGCGAAAACTAAACGGCGTAAAAAGTTCGTGAGTAATCAAATTATTCTGAGACATTTTAAATATTTACGTTTGAAATTCCTTTGGATCCGGGGACGATCAATGCCAATGCCAAGATTCCTTGAAGTGGAGAAGTGGCTAGACTTGCCCAGAGCCAGAGCAACTGACAGATTACCTAAAAAAGGTGAGTTACGATTCGATATGCAAGCGAATGCATATTCATACCGCAGTGACTAGAGCACTTATGCACAAGTAAATCCATTCGATTTTACTTGGCAAGGTAAAGCTTTCGATTCCCGTCAAGTGGAGGACAACCAACCCTGGCCAGAACATCAGCAGCGTAAAAAGGCCGACGAAGCCAAAGAACATTGGAACGTCGATGTCCATATCTCGCCCGGAAACGCGCCTTGTTCCGGTCAAAAGATGGAGATAGATAGTGTTGATACTAGAAGTATTGTAATTTCCCAATTTATCTCCCGTTCTGGATACATACTTAGCGATAGGATCGTGCCAGTACTAGCATCAACGTAAATCTCCTCAGATCCTCCAACAGAAATGAGCACCATGCCACCCATCATTAAAATCGCAAAGATGAACTTTAAAACACTGAACTTGTCGATCGTAGAAGCAGGAAATATCGCCCCCAGAATGAGTGTAAAAACGCCAGCGGTACTCTGCAAAATGTCACTGACGGGAGCGGAGGTCTTGGTCCTCGCTAAGACGCGACAATAATCTGCCATAAACAACGGAAGCGTAAATAAGAACGCGTACTTAAAGTTAAGTTAGAGTGGAAGGAAGAGGATAGTTCGTAATTTACTTTGGCAATAAAAGTCATTTTGCGGGTGCTTTTCATGATTTTGTTGGTTTGACGGGCGCGGCGCGACTTGAGGTGGCTCATCCGAGCGATCTTTTCGGAAGTTGAGTCGGGCAGTGATTTCACTTCGGCTGTTGGCGAGAATTTCACGCGCATTGTAGTATCGGCTTCTATGAAAATGCTTTTGATTACAGCACTAGAAGTTCGAGAGTACCTGAGTCATCTGATGGGCATGAAGGGAGATGAATTTCAATGTACTGTGATTGGGATAGGGCTTCGAAGCTAGAAAATACGATAAAAATGAGCAACAAACTTCAATACAAACGATGAACATGATTCAGTATCCGATTGGGTCGAGTCGTCTTCATCCTCGGTGTTTTCAAGCACGTTGTAGTAGTAGTCATCAGCACAGGTGCATCGCACGCATTGACGACCCCATGGCTTGTAGACCAAGAATCCAAGGAGGTATACACTGATTAGATCAATTAAAAAAATAAGGACGGACCCGAGTCATACGTGAAAAATGAGTAGTTTAGGTATGTTGAGAAGTATGGCTTGTCGAAATGGACATCTTTGAAAACGTAATCCTTGAGCTGACTGAAAATAATCCAAATAATATCGACCAGAATCAAAAGGACACCGCCGATCCGCGGTCTCAACATAATTTTGCACACGATAGCATAATCTAAAAATCCAGTCTTGACATATTGGAGTAACCAACAGATTCTTGCTGAAATTTTGACAACAGAGAAAGGGGTTTTATAAATAACGTGCGCTCGTTATTACGATATTAAATAATAAGGTGAAGAATTCTAGTGTGTTTTCGTAGATTGGCAGATTGGGGGCTACTGGGTCTTTTTCAAGCCGTGAGTGGAAGCAGATGAAATATCTCCGGATCTGAAATTTTAAAAGGAAAATGTTTTTTGTAAAAATAAAATTTCTACTTGATAATACTTACTTGATAATTTTGCTAGTAAGGTATTGACACACAAGTGGGACAGATAAGCTAGCGGCCAACCCAACGTACGAGGACTTGCCCATCTGATAAAATAAGTAGCAACAGGTCGGGAAGACTGTCGCCATCAGCGCGTTAGTAACCACTAGAATAAAATGTTAACATTCAAAAGAAGTGTATTTTGATCTTACTCTTGCTTCCCGCTGGCTGCGGCAAAACTTGCTCCCGGACTGGCTTTGCACCCTCGGGGAAACTAGCAACGTGGCCATCAAGGGTCTTTGTCTTCAGCAGCTTTTTAAAACGCTCATCCTTTTCCTGATACAGCTTTCGAATCCAATCGCCAGGATCCTCTTTAGCTTTTATTAAATTTTCGTCAGGAATCAATCGCCGAATGTACACATTAAATGTAACTGGCTCTTTGCGGAGTATCCTCGACATTTTCTGGTCGATATTGTCTTCTAATTGAACTGTCATGTCATAAATTGCCACATTTTTCTGAACAGTAACTGTCAATCTGATAGATAAAAAGTAAATCTACCTCTTTTACTTGCTCCCAGACTTTGGTAAAGCCTGTGGCACGGGGCTGGAGATGGTATTCAAGAGGAGACCATCCTTTTTCAGCTGCGATTTCTTCGCTTCTCGCATGCTTGTCGTTTGTGAAACGACTGCCTTCGGCGTAAAGCATCAGCCAAAACGGACGGTTGGAGTCTACAAGTCGCTTGACCCCATTTTCTATGGCTGAAGAAACGATAAGTCTCTTATTTGATGATTCTGTTTATATTATGAATTATCACAACGCCGATGAATTAATGATATTTGCATCAACTTGACACCGATCTAGGTCAGTAATGTCTTACCTTTTACATCTCGTTTAGCATCTCTTCGTAAGAATATATTCTCCGTGAACCAAAAGTCCCAACCCACGATAGGCAAGAATTTCGTCTCGTGTTTCTGGAACGCTTTAAATTGTCCGAGACGTCCGAATTGATCAGGAATGAGCACTGTCGAGAGAAAGTCAATACTGTAGCGGTGATTTGCGATGAGAATAGCAGCCTCTTTTCCAATGTGTTTCAAGTCGTCGTCAGAGCAAAAGATTTTTAGCTTGGAACCAGATCGCCAACCGAGATTGGCGACGATAGACCAGTGAAGAACTTGCGCAGCTTCAGCGATTCGTCGATATGTGTTCTTGTGGAAAGGGTAGACGAAGACAAGCGCAGCGAGTTGAATGAGATTGTGCAAAAAGCCGGTGGAAATGAAAGTTACAAGCGTCGCTTGTATAAATAATGAGTTGACGATTCCCATCTGCCAGTTTTTCACAACTAGAAAAGTACTAGCGTTAGACGATGGAAGCTTATTTGAATGCTGAATCTTTTTATCGAAGAAAAAACAATGAAGAATCGTGGTGAACTGACAGAATGGTAGAAGAAATTTTCAGAAGAAAGGCATTTGTAAAAAAGAGAGAAGAATCAACGATGGTTGCATTTTGGACAGCGTTCTCCGCCTGAGGAAAAGGAAAAATGAGAGCTGGAAAATGACCCCGTGCGTCTGTAAGACGGACTGCTGGAGGTCGAGGTTCTCTGCGAGTTACTGCCGGCGTGTGATGCGTCAACAGCGCACTGAATGTGACAGTGATGGCCACATGTGAAGACCATGCATTTTCGGTGGTAGATATCATGTTTCCAGAAGAGCGGTTGCGAGCAGCCAGCGCATTGTAGCGGTTTGCCTGTGTCCGAACTGTCTATCACAACTGCGCGCTTTTTGTTGCTATAAAAGCGGCTCAAGAGGCTCATGCCATCAATGGCCGCTAAATTTTTTGGTTGCATTCCTTTGATCAGCTTATTCAACCTTACCGATTTTCTCTGTAAGCTCCCACATATTCTGACGATCAGTGGAGTCGTTGAGAACAACTTGAAGAGCATCTCGCAATCCTGGAATCTCCATTCCCTCTGGTATCCTCTCAATAATCATCAACGGGCTGACGTATTGGCCGACTATATTCAGCAAGTTCTTTACATGCTCTGGTTTCGAAACTGACATGTCAATGAGCTCTGTCCACAGCTCGTGATCATTCTGTTGAAGACAGAAGTCAACACAAGGATGGATTGTTTCGGACGAGTCAAGAAGGAGTGTGAGCGCTTCAGACTTTTTTCCCATGCGCGCGAGGAGGTAAACTCGTTCAGCGGTCAAGTCTTTTGCCGTGCAAATGTCAAGTGCATCTCGCTCCTCGTAATAAGGTGATGTTTTGAGAAAATCAAGCAGCTTTGGCCGGTCGTAGTTGGCATAAAGGACAACCTGGAGATCGTGATATTCTGGAGGAAGAGATTCGCCATCCTGACAATATAAATTGTGAAGATAGTTGTGCAGGAAGTGGGAGCTTCCGCGGAGAACTTCAACCATATCTCTGGGAAAAACAGCTCAAATTTTAGATTGAATGAAAGTTTCAAACCTAATAGGAAAGTCTTCTCTGTGTTCTATCAAAATTTGGGAACATTTGTCAGTATCAATCTCCATCAAATCCAAAATCCTCCCGGACACCCACGGCAATTTGTAAAGAAGATGCTTCTCAATGAAGTAAAACACATCCGCGTCAGCTAATTTCATGAAGATTTCAAAGGCTTCTTCGAATCGATGATCTACTTCTAGTAAAATCCTGAGAGCAACTGATAGAGTGCGAGTTTCAGTTGTTGAAGACTCGAGCTGATAGAGTTCGTTGCGGATGAGATGGACCTGATTCTTTATTTCGAAAATAGCACTAGAATCAGCTTAGACCATGAAACTTTACATCATCATACCTTGGCCAAGACTTGATAAGAAATAAATACCGCTCGTATTCCTTGCTTTCTATGAGTTCGCGCAAGGCCTCGCCGTAAACAGAACTTCGAAGCTGTGGATTTGAGGTAGGCAAATAAGGAATCAAGATTTTCAGCGAGTTCTTGGACGAAAATGCCAATGCTTCTTTTTCCCAATCATGAGCCGTACTAAAATCATTCCAAAACAGGCTAAACAAAGAGGAAACACCTGAGAAAAGCGGGGCACTTTTTTGCAGCCAGCTCCAGATCATCCGTTTCAATCAGAAATCGAATATATTCTCGTCCGATGGCAGCGTAATTATGCGACGCGAGTTTTCGATTTTTCGTAAAATCAAGGGCTTCAAGATACTGCTCGTTATCGAGGAGCCAGGTTACGTGGTCCTCGTCATTTGGCTCGGTCGCTACAATTATGTCTTTTGGCGAAGCTATAAACGCCGTCAGATCGTGACCTTCGTAGTTGACAACGCTGAAAACAGGTTTTATTGCAGATAAATTACACTAATTCATCAATTATTTTCTCGTTGGTGAATTAGTCTTTGGATTAATCATTAAAATTACCGCGATTGGCATTTCTGACTGACTGATTCTGATTTTCGAGTGAAATAGCTAATCAACCAATTAAAATTTGACTCTAGTGTCTCTTCTTTGAGAGTTCCGTCAAACCAGTGACGCCTACGCAATCTACGTTACAAATCTCCTATGTTTTTAGCATGGAGAAGTGTAACGTCAATGTGCATCTTTCAAAAATCAGTCAGTCAGGACTGCCAATCGCGGTATTTCGCCTACATTCACCTCATTAGATAGTCTTTTGACACGAAACTGGAATAAGCTCTGACAGAAATTTGATCATCACAATGTTCAAGATAGCCAGATCCCTCTTGCAACTCAATAATCTTCACGGAGGGCTTTTGTCTCGCGCTGACAGAACAAATGAGCATTTCATTCGAAGCTCCAAGAGGCAGGAGAGCCGTGATAGGGAACTCTGTCGTGATTATTTTCTGGATTTCGATCTTTGTCGAGTTCTGGCGCGTTTTCACGCCGCAAATTTGGATTGTGTTGTCCCAGCCGATTATCAAGGTTGAACTTGAAGTCCAAGTGAAGTTGCAAGAGTAGTCTTTTTCCTCAGAAATGGACTGGCGGGAGATAATCGATATGATCTCACGGGAACCCATGTCAAACACCTAAATCGTAACATTCAGCAACTGAACGAGCTAAACAATCATACTTTGACTTCGCTAGCATCAGCCCAGGTCAACAGGTCTCCTCTCCATTCAATTTGAGAAACCTCTTTTGTGATCGCCAAGTTTGTCGACTTTTTCGAACCCAAAAGCCCCCTTTCACAGAGAGTAATCTTCTCGCCTGCAATGATTATTTTCCCCGAAGATAGATAAGTGTCGGATAAGGTGATTCTATGAACTGCATTTTTGAATTTCATTTTTAGCTCAACTTCTGGATCTTCAAACAAAGATATGACGCGGACATGACCTTCCAGTGTGGAACAAGCGATAATTTCTCCACGCTCATCGGTTCTAATGCAGCTTATGGCGCCTTTGAGAGTGCAAAGATCCTTCGTTTTGTTCCCATCATGATCGCAAATGATCAGCTTTCCCTTTTCAGTACCAATAACAACGAAACGCTCATTCGCAAGGATAGAAGTAAGCGAGTCGCTTTGAAGATCTGCGTCAGGTCGTTTCCCAACCTTCTGTATTTAAGTCTGGGCTCAGCTGGAATCGCCGAGTCGTCCGATTCCGAGCCATCGTCCATCTATTTTCAAATTCCTCCTTGATTTCAAACTTTTCAAAGAACACAGAAAAGAGACAGGGTGGATTGAAGTTTTATAATAAAATATATTTGAATTATGAAAATAAGAAGGCACAGAGAATTTTCTTCAGCGAACAAGTGTTTATGTGGGAGCAGCGACGAGGCCAGCGGGTCCTTTACCGAGCTTCTGACCGGAAACGGTCGATTCGAGGGGCTTGAATCCAAGCTCGTCGACGGGCACGCCGAAAGCGGTGAGTTTCGCTTCGTAGGTGCGAAGCAAGTCATTGTGCGCCTTGCAGACACGGGCCAACTCGTACTGAAGATCCTTGATGGCGCCGTTCTTGGCATCGAGGACGTCCTCGAGTTTGCGAGTGACGACGCTGAGGGCTGCGGGGTCCAGATTCGAGGCGGCAAGGATTTCGTTCAGCTGGGCATCCTTCTTCTCCAATGAATCGGCAAGCTTGACCACCTTGCGCTCGAGCATGAGCTTCTTGAAGTTGGCCTTTTGGACGACTTCTTGGACAGCTTCGACGAAGCTCGCGTGAAGAGAGTTGCGCTCCTTAAAATTTACATGAATAACTTGAACACGGATTTCAAAAAAAAAGAAGTTTTGGATATTGAAAGAAGAGACTTACTTCCTTGAGTCGATTGAACTGCTGCTCAAGCACCTCATGTTCCCATTTGAGGTCTTTCATTTCTTTTTCTTGGATCTGAAGTCGGTTCTTGGCGCGCTTCAGCGATCGCTTGTCCTTTTCATAATTTGCCATTTGTCGGGAGAGCTCCTCGTTCTCTTCCTGTGCCTTTTCAAAGGCTCAACAAGTTTTCGGTTTTGGCTCTGAAAGAAACATTTAGCTAATGCCGAAGGGGTTGATAACTAACCATGACCTCGGACATGTTCTTCTCGAGCTGATCCTCTTTTTTCTTGTTCTTCTCGATTTGTTCCTTTAGCGTGTTGATTAATGACAAGTTATTAAGCGTGATATCGTTGTAGTAGTTCTTGATATCGCTGAAAAAGGGGTTAGTCGATTGAATTTCGATGTGTAAACTTACCTAAATTGCTTCTCATGGTTCTTCATTAATGCTTGAATCTGCCCATTTTTACGCTCCTCGATCTCGTGAATTTCCGTTTTTCGGCGACTAATGACAGTTTTTAACACCAGGAAAAAGAGAATCAAACCTACAGTTCAAGAATATCGCGTTCTTCCTTCATCTTTCGCTCGAACTTGGAGACGATTTCTTCTGACCGATTCTCAAAGGATTCGCGCAAGTCGGTCACCCTGAATTTTCAATAAAGAAACCATCGTAAAAGACGAGACTTACGTTCGGTCGTGATCGCCGACGAGCTGCTTGACGTGCTCCTGGTGGGAGAGCTCGGCAGTTCTCAATTCGACCTTGAGCTCCTTTTTCTCGTCACGCAGAACTTTTTCATGAGCAGTCACTTCTGCCGCTTGTTGTTTCAGCGCATTGGTGTTGTTCATTCGAAGCTCGGCGGAGCTGTTTTGGTGCTCGTACAGAAGCTGCTTCGCCTTCTGCTTGTACACTTGAAAGAGCAGTTAGCAGGAGAAAAGGGAAGAAAAAGTTACCTTTGATCTCGACCTGGTGACGCTCCTCGGCTTCTTCCATTTCGCGATCCTTGTTTCGAAGCTCGGCTTTTCGCTCCTCGAGCTGGCGGCGGGTAATCTCCCAGAAAGTGTGGATTTTGTCGCGCTCAAGCTGGAAGAAGTTTCTTTCCTCTCGCTCACGGTCTAACTGAAAATAAACGATTATCAATTGATACAAAATAGTTAATTCCAAATTTTCCCTAAAAAGTAAGAAAAAGTTACCTCTTCTCGCATTCGGCCGACGTGCTCGACGAGCTGCTCCTGTGACATTTCCTCGGCAGCGACGCCATCGACCATAACGGGGGTACGCGTTCCTTTTCCCCCCTTGTCCTTCTTCCCACTCTTCTTTCCCTTCCCTTTTTTCGCCATTTTCTAAAAGAGCGAACTGAGCTTTTTTGAAAATTTTTCTCATGAAAATAGTCGTATTCTAGAAAATCCACCTCTTTTTGCAAAAAGGGTGAAAAAACAGGAGAAAATGCACTAAATTGTAATTTTTTTTTATATTGCACGGAATATTATTTTGAAAAATTATGACAAGGAAGAAATTGAAATTCTCAAACTGAAGTGTTGCTTTTTTAAATACTTTTTGAAATGGTAGGTATATGAAAAAGATTGCTTTAGTAGACTCAAGCGTTGCATATTCTTCTGGCAGAGGGTGACTCGTCGTTTCCAGGGCAACGATGTTCAAGATACAGAAAGAAATAATAAAGAGAAAACTAAAATTGCTGATTGCTCAGTCCATCGGCAATTCCACTTTCAGCAAGAGAGGGCAGCGTTGGAAGGATTTTGATAGGAAGGTCCCATTGCATTTGCTCCGTTTTCATTTGGAAGGGGCCTTGCCACAGCTTGCAAGAGTCGTCGCTGAGGGTTTGGCCTTCGAGTTGACCCACGGCGGTGGTGAATTCAAAGTGAAGTCGCCATTTGAGGTGGATTAGTTCGGTCAAAAAGCCGGGACAGACGAAAAGTGGGACGGGAAGGATCAAATGCGTCTTTTTGGAGAAGAGGCAAGGCTCCACCTGACGTCCAAAGCTGAAAAATGAAGATTAAAATCAGCACAAGAAACTGATGGATCGATCAAAAAAACTCCTTGGCCAAAGAGGAAAAAGAGATTACAATCTCAACAAGTAAATCTCCCGCATCGCGCAACCCGTGGTAGAGTTCCTGACAGTACTGCCCTCTTTTGGATGGATCTAACGGGAAACGGTCGGTTACAATACCAATTGGTATTCCAATACCAATTTTGGTATTCCAATACCAAAGTCGGCAAAAAATTGCCAATTTTTAACTTAAAAGTCGGTTGTGCGCTTCGCGCCTGTATTATAAGATACCTAAGGAGTGTTTTTAATAATTTCTTTGGCAAAAAGTCCAAATTTTTTAAAAAAAGTTGGTATTGGAATACCAATTTTTGGTATTGGAATACCAAAAAAGCTTTGGTATTGTAACCGACCGTTCCCGGATCTAACTTATAAGATGCGGTTCGCGGATTAGATTTCACAAAATATAAAAAAATCAACTCTTTTTGAAATGAAGTCATAATCAACTTCACTGATTCTCTCAAGGTCATAAACCACTATTTGACTTTTTATACTTGACCATTACTTGAAATATATAAATAAAATATGTATTGGCCTTACTTGGTTATGTGATTATGAATCGGGCGCTTTTTGTACTCCTCCGCAACTTGTTCCTCCGCTTGCAAGCAAACAGCGATCTGCAGACAGGACACAGTTCCTTCTGTAAAATCTTTTCCAGGATCAGTTTTCGCTTCTCTCAAAGCATATCTCAAAATCAATCTGATCCCCTAACGAAGCAGGCTACAATATCTTCTCCAAGTTTATACGAAGTTTTGTTGATGCAAAAAGAACCGACCAAACCTCGGCCGTTCGCGATTCTGTAAACATTTAGGCTTCTCTTGGCTGTTATTCTATTCAGTAAGTCCGAGGCCAGGTCCAGTAGATTTGCAGGCTAAGGACTTTTAGATCATCGGAAAGGGCAAAAAATCAAACTTGTTGTTGAGCGCGAGCTTCTTCCATGAAGGGATTTGCTGGTACAGGATTTGATTCTCCATGATATTCACTGAATTTTCGATTATAGAAAAAGAGCTAGAAATTTGCCTATGTCTACCTGAGGCCGTATAAAACAAGAACTCGAAAAGGCACGCGAACTCGATGAATCGGAGCTTTTTCTTTTGACGAAACTCGTTGCAGCGCTACAGTCATTTTGTAACAGTACTTTTTCAAGGGTAGAAATTGAAATTCAGTCTCTCAAAGTGTTTTTCATTCGACCCTTTCCTTGACAAATCCGCCAGAATAACTGGGCGGCGCGTCAGAAGGAATCTTTTCGCTGAAATTAAAAGTTTTCTTCTCTCCCGCTCTCAGTCTCAAATCAATCGTGAAAATGTTCGGTTCGGTCTTGAAGACAACTGGAGCCATTGTTCCTACAGGAAAGGAGCTGCGTTTTTCCTTATCGCTCGGTGGGAGTTCGTAGCTCGTCGGAGCAGTGATTCGAGTTTGATTGACGGAACATTCGCAGTGGAACTGGATCGAAGCCCAGGCGATTCTCTCGTCCATTGGGTCATCTTCTTCTCCTGAATATCTAGATTAAAAAGTGCACTGATAAGGATTTTCTTAGCGGAAGGGTCCTAAATTGAGGATATCGCGAGCTAGGCTACCTGTGACATTCTGTAGTGTTACAGTAGCATCAATTGACTCTCCAGACAAATATACAGTTCCCCTGTCTAATTTCGAAAAAACTTCCACAGGCATTTTCTTCAATTTCTTCTCCTATCTTCCTGTTTTCTTCGTTTTTTCTTCTCTAATTCAAAATTTTCTTCATATGACCGATTTCATAATAATAAATCTTCTTCTAGATATTTTTCTCTACTTTCCGAAATGAATTTTATAATAATTATTTTTTGGTTTGAGGTGATTTTTCTACAGCCGAGCGGGTCTCGTTTTTACTTTGAAGAGACAAAAAATGTGAGTCATCGCCTGTGGGCGCGCTGAAATCGTAGAGAATTTCAGATAACAGTAACGAAGTGCTTTTATTAAAAGAGAAATGAGGAAGAAAATGAAGCAAAACTTCGGAGCTGACATATGTTAATAATGTATTCAAAATTGAACGATTAAGAAAATAAAGAAAAAATAACTCTGAGAATCGATTAATCCCTATTTGGGACTAAACTCCTTCAGTAAAATGTTATCAAAAATTAGGCCCATTCTGAAAACATTTCCCATCTCCTGTTCTGTATCTAAATGATCAATAAAATAACGCAAATTTTTTCATCTAAATACATTGAATTCAAATTCTACGAATTTATAATAAAATTTGTAAAATGGTATCAAATTTTTTCCTGTTACTTTCTCTATCTGTCCAATTAACAGATATTCTTCTCTATCTTCTTGACTGTACTACAGGTAGTCGACTGTAATATAAAAAAATGAGATGAAACTGAGAGCAAGTTATTTCACACTCGCACAATCGCCCTAAAATCTATGATAAATTATTTAGCTCAAGTAAAAATAAATTTTCCTTATCAAATGTTTTTCAAATACAATTACAATAGATGCTGTTGCTCCCATGACTTGCTTATCCGTAAGAAATATATTTTTATCAAATTATAAAATGAATCCCAAAGAGATATCGCAGATGTTCCCCAACCGAATTCATTATTACACATTCATCGCCAGTCTCATCAATATCTTTAGATATGGACTCGTTGTGTCAGCACTACAAAGACCAAGCCGCAGAATGTCATTCGTACGAAAACGGTTTCAACAACTACTTCCGCCGGCGATACATGGGCGACTCTCAAAGCAGAATCCACTGCCGCTTCTTCGAAAACGCAAAGAAACTGTGCGACGAGTCAAAGTACGAGAAGCTCAGAGCGCTGGAAAATTACTACCGGGAGAATCAACATCGATCAGAGTTTCTGCCGAACAATCGAAATGGGCCTTTTGAAGAGTGGAATAAAGATTTATGAATTATTTTACTTCATGATGATTACTATAAAATGAAAACAATACTTTCTACTTCAGTTACCAATATAAAAGTGCTATAATACTAAACTGGTTGCTCGTAAACATGCAGGACTTCGGTGCTGTAATACTTACATTCCTCTAGAATGACCTTCGGCCTCTCTTCAATCGTCACTGGCGCTGCTTCTGGTCTTGGCCGAGCCACCGCTGCCGCCCTTGCCTCTCGAGGAGGAAAAGTCGTCATCTTCGATCTCCCCAACTCCGACGGCCAGGCTGTTGCAAAGGAACTCGGACCCAACGCCATCTTCTGCCCTGGTGACGTCACCAACCCCGAAGATGCCAAAAAGGCTGCTGAGCTCGCTGCTAACGGTATAGAAAATATTGCGACAGAAAGGAATGTTAGGTTCTCCTAGAGTTTGGCCACTTGCAAGTACTCGTTAACTGCGCTGGGATCGGCATCGCCAAGCGAATCTACAACGCGCGAAAGGACCAGCTCCACTCTTTGGATGAGTTCGCCCGAGTCATCAACATCAACTTGAACGGATCGTTCAACATGATGTCTCAGGCGACAAAAGTTATGGTCCAGAATCCAGCTGATGCTCAGGTACCCTCCGGAAAGCTTCCACTCCTTAATCAGTTCTCAGCTCGATTTGACGGACCCGGTTAATCCTGATGTGAAAATTACTCAAAATGGTTGCATCATCAACACCGCCTCTGTCGCTGCTTTTGATGGACAAATCGGTCAAGCTGCTTACGCCGCTTCTAAGGGTGGCATCGTTGGCCTTACCTTGCCTGGTCAGATATTTCTTCAATACTTTGGGTTATTTTGTTTCTAGCTGCCCGAGATCTTGCCGCTGTTGGCATCCGAGTCAACACCATCGCCCCTGGCGTTTACAGAACTCCAATCCTCGACGGACTCCCAATGAAGGTCCAGACTGTTCTTGCCAAAACTGTTCCCTTCCCTCAGAGGTCGGTCCATACTGAAAGAGCCTTTTCCTTACGTTTCTAGACTCGGTGATCCATCCCAAACAAAGACCAAGCCGCAGAATGTCATTCGTACGAAAACGGTTTCAACAACTACTTCCGCCGGCGATACATGGGCGACTCTCAAAGCAGAATCCACTGCCGCTTCTTCGAAAACGCAAAGAAACTGTGCGACGAGTCAAAGTACGAGAAGCTCAGAGCGCTGGAAAATTACTACCGGGAGAATCAACATCGATCAGAGTTTCTGCCGAACAATCGAAATGGGCCTTTTGAAGAGTGGAATAAAGATTTATGAATTATTTTACTTCATGATGATTACTATAAAATGAAAACAATACTTTCTACTTCAGTTACCAATATAAAAGTGCTATAATACTAAACTGGTTGCTCGTAAACATGCAGGACTTCGGTGCTGTAATACTTACATTCCTCTAGAATGACCTTCGGCCTCTCTTCAATCGTCACTGGCGCTGCTTCTGGTCTTGGCCGAGCCACCGCTGCCGCCCTTGCCTCTCGAGGAGGAAAAGTCGTCATCTTCGATCTCCCCAACTCCGACGGCCAGGCTGTTGCAAAGGAACTCGGACCCAACGCCATCTTCTGCCCTGGTGACGTCACCAACCCCGAAGATGCCAAAAAGGCTGCTGAGCTCGCTGCTAACGGTATAGAAAATATTGCGACAGAAAGGAATGTTAGGTTCTCCTAGAGTTTGGCCACTTGCAAGTACTCGTTAACTGCGCTGGGATCGGCATCGCCAAGCGAATCTACAACGCGCGAAAGGACCAGCTCCACTCTTTGGATGAGTTCGCCCGAGTCATCAACATCAACTTGAACGGATCGTTCAACATGATGTCTCAGGCGACAAAAGTTATGGTCCAGAATCCAGCTGATGCTCAGGTACCCTCCGGAAAGCTTCCACTCCTTAATCAGTTCTCAGCTCGATTTGACGGACCCGGTTAATCCTGATGTGAAAATTACTCAAAATGGTTGCATCATCAACACCGCCTCTGTCGCTGCTTTTGATGGACAAATCGGTCAAGCTGCTTACGCCGCTTCTAAGGGTGGCATCGTTGGCCTTACCTTGCCTGGTCAGATATTTCTTCAATACTTTGGGTTATTTTGTTTCTAGCTGCCCGAGATCTTGCCGCTGTTGGCATCCGAGTCAACACCATCGCCCCTGGCGTTTACAGAACTCCAATCCTCGACGGACTCCCAATGAAGGTCCAGACTGTTCTTGCCAAAACTGTTCCCTTCCCTCAGAGGTCGGTCCATACTGAAAGAGCCTTTTCCTTACGTTTCTAGACTCGGTGATCCATCCCACTTTGCCCAAATGATCTGCGCAATCGTCGACAACCCAATGATGAACGGTGAAACTATCCGACTTGACGGTGCCATCAGAATGCAACCCTAAACAGCTCCTTGAAATCTATTTATTCAAAATATGCCCTGACTCCAACCACTCGTACTAAAGCCACGAAAGTTCGACTTCCTAACTACCCGAACACTATTTTCAGAAAAAAGTTGAATTGAAATCGAAGCATGGATACGTCGCTAGAAAGATCACCCCTTTCAAGGCAAAATCTAGGCCTGACTCAACAACCGTTGGACGAGTCAACCTTGGCGATCATGAATGTGTTCGAAAACACACTAGATGCGAGATCATGTAGGGATGAAACCGCCAGACTTAGAAACAAACTCCAGCTCTATCGCGAAGCAGATGTGAAGAAGGCAAACGAGTTGAAGGTACCTAACCCGTTCTCCTTCCTCCTTCCTATTTTTAGTCCAAAAACGACGACATCTGCGCCCTCCAGCGCGAGTTGAGCAATTGCAAACGCAAATTTCGCGACTTGAAAAACGTGCGCGATCAAGAAGTCACTGATCTCAAAGAAGTCCTCGAGCAGCGCAACGAAATGATCAACAAAATGAAACAAGAACTCACTTCGCTAAAGTCAACCGATGGAAATTTCGAACGACAACTTCAAATCAACAAGAAAGAGCTCGATTTTCTCCGCGAACAATTGGAAGAAGCAAGAGCAGAGATTGAGAAGAAAAAAGCCATTGAATCCAAGTACGCAGATTTTGAAGTAAAAGAAAACCTCGCCGAAAAGATGCGGCGGCAAGCAGAGCAGGAAAAAGCTCATGGAGAAATTTGGCGAGTAGAGGCTCAACGAGTTAAAATTCTTGAAAAAGAGCTCGCAAGAGAGAAAGAACTCAATCAGGAATTGACAACGCAAGTGAAGGACAAATCAGTGGCGATCGAAAGAGAGAAGCTATGGAAATCTAAGGTCGACCACCTCCAGCCAAAATATGACAAACTCGTGGCCGAGCATGAAGTTCTCAGAGGCGATTTGATTCGAGAAACTGAAAAGGTCAGACGCCTGGAAATCGAAATGGTCCATCAGCGATCGTCGGAGCTTGAATTGGTTAATCAAATTGGAGAAGTGAAGTCGGAATTATCAGTCGAAAAGTCGAGACATCAAGCTACACAAGGAATCGGTTTTATCAGTGGTGAATTTTTAGACAGTGTTTCCCACAGAAATAACTTGAATGTTCGCTTTATTTGATTGTATAAATCCGAATAACAGATTCTGTGACCAAACTGAAACGTCAACTTGAAGAAGCCAAGGCAGACATAAGCTTCACTGAGACAGTAAAACAGGTGCGGTCAAGCCTATTAGCGAATCAAACCTTCATGTTGATGAGTTTAGGGAGACGTGGATTTGTCTGGTCTGTATGACGAGATTAAGACGCTCAAGTTGAAGAACGATGAACTCTCGGAGGAAATTCAAAAGATGAGATTGCTAGGAGCTGTCAAGGAGCATGATAATGTACTTAGGTCCAGGTCAAAAATACAGAAGCATAGATCGTTTTTCTATTCATCTTTTTGACCAAATAAAGCTACCGTATGAATCCAACTTTTGCTCGAGGAGCTAAACGAGCCCGAGAAGAAACTCCTTCAGAGGAATCAGACAGCTCGGAAGTGCCAGTAGATAAAGAAATGAAAAAGAAACTTCATGAAGCAAACAAGAAAGTCTACGAGCTTGAGAAAACAAATGCAAAAATCATCAGCTGCGTTGGGTAAAAAACATAACCAAGACATTTTCGTTAACATTGATTCTCAAGAGAGAAGATCAACAACTTCCGTGACGCCGTCAACGAAGTTCTTGGCTACAAAGTGTCGACGAATGACTACCATACTTTCAACTTCATGTCTCTGTATGCTCAATCGAGCGAAGATGTTATTGTAAGCGCAGCTATTTTGAAGAGATTGTGGCTTTTATTAATATTCTAGCGTTTCCAACGTCAATTGACTAAGGAAGGAGAGAAAGTGTTTGAAATGGACCCGAGTTCAAAAGTATTCCAGAGGCCAGGCTTGGCTTCCGTTCTTCAAGATTGTGGCAATCTTCCTATGATCATGTCAAAGGTACTTTAGTTCAAAAAAACACGACAGTTATTGTTAATTCAAGACAACTATCGCCCTCTCAACCGAAGATACGATCATGCTCTGACGAGAAAACGCTGCCCAAATATATTTTTCACCCTGCCGGTTACATCTGAATCTGACCCACTTTTCTCAAATTCTCAGTGAAAATGAACTGTCTATATATTCTTCACTGCCACTTATTTCGCTCTTTATACGCCTGCTATTTTAGATAGGATGCGATTTACGAGAGCTCTGAGAGGCGGTGGAAACTGGGACTTGATTCCCCCAGAGAAGATCCCCTCCCCCAACTTCTGGAACAAGGTCGTCAAGGGCACCCCTTACGAATTCACTCAAGTTCAACTCTCCAGAAAAGGTCTTCACCACGCGTGGACCAGACATGAGATTGCCAAGTACGATACTGTTATGCGACGAAATCCTTACATGGTATGCATTTTCTATCTTGATTTCAAAGCATTTCCTCTTATCAGTAGGCTTATTAATGAAAAAATCAACCCTTTTTTCTATCTTGATATAAGGGTCACATAACACAGCCTTAGAAAGCCCAGAACCTAAACTTTCATTTAGGCACCATATCAAGGGGTCTGGGTTATGCCTGCAAGGCAATTCAGGGGCCCGGAACTCCAAAAATAGGCACTAGATCTCTAAAATCGCCTGGGGCAACCGCCTCCACGCTCGAGAGGTCTCGTGACTACGTCTCAGTGAAAGCTGAGGGTCTGAGCTTTCAGTAGATGTCAAGTTATCCTGCTTGCCTCTCTCCTAAAGTCATCTACAAACGATAAACTGCCAAAAAAGCATGGTATTTTTCCATCTTTTGCAGGAGAAAAGCCCGGATTTCCCTTAATTTTGGGTGCCAAAACGACTTCTTTTCGGTTCTAACTTACACGTTAGCACAGGCAAGCAGGATTGTTTGGTATCTACTGAAAGCTCAGAACAAGCTCTTTCACTTAGAAATGGTCACGAGACATCTCGAGCGTGGAGGCGGTTGCCCCAGGCGATTAAAGCGTTCTAGTGACTATTTTGGGACTTCCGGGCCCCTGAATCGCCGTGCGGGCACGGCCCAGACCCCTTGATATGGTGCCCAAATTAACGCTCAGGTTCTGGGCTTTCAAAAACTGTGTCATATGAGCACTTTATCAAGCTAGAAAAAAAGATTATTTTTTTCATTAATAAGCCTACTTATCAGGAGAATTTTGAACTGTAATTTCTTCCTAGCTTACTCTTTTCAACGACGAACTTCTCAAGCTCGCTGTAATCATCACCGCTGGCATTATTTTCGCCGAAGAAATCTGCGGATTCTACCCATTCGGCCACGATCCCCACCAGGGCCACGGAGCATCTGCATCTCCCGCGTTTAACGATGTTCAAATCAACGGAGTTCCCGAAGTTCAAGGCGACGAACACACCAGGTAAAAATCCAAGCTCAGCATGTTACCTTGTTTTTGTCACACAATCAAGCTGGTTGAATCCAGAACCACGTGCTGAACGAACATAATCAGCGAGTTTATAATGAACTGGCTCAATATATCAATCGTCGCAATCGCGAGTTTGCGCTGTCCGCACTGATCATTTATCAAATCTTTTTTTGTCAATTTTTGTTTGATAAATTTCTTAGAGAGGAGTTAATTAAACGACAGTAGCGGATGTGGTCGTGTTGTTTGTCACCCCTTTGACGTATCTGCCCAGTTGTTGTCGTGACGTCTTCTGAGAATATTATCCAGTAGTAGCGAGTAGTAAGGGTGATTTTTAATCCCGGTAATGGTTAAATCATCAATCTAACTAATCGAGTACCTGGAAATTAATTCTGATAAGATGCGATAGACGTCACAGAATCTCGCTTGCTCTGATTAAGAATTCATCCCCCCGTGTTCTTATTCGAGAACATGATTTTACTAATTCTATTTCCAGATATTACCGCGGCCAGAACTGCGTCTCCAACGACCACTTCATGCAGCCCACGACCGTCACTCCTGAGAATAAGTAAAGCTCCAATCTGTTTCTTAACTTATTCGTATTTATTAAAATCAAATTCTGCAAAAATAAATGAGAGAAAAAATCAACAAGGATGACCGGAGTGGTCATCGAATTGAGCCTGATCGAGTTGGGAAAATGTCAAAACGCCCCTCGATCAGGGTCGTTGATGGATTGGACGTTTATAGGACATTGAAAGGTTGCTCTCGGGTGGTACAGGAGCTGTCTTTACAAAATGTTTTCTATTGAATAAGGGTTGAAAAAGGAAGCCTCTCTTTTTAAATCGTATGGCTCAAATCATATGTTTGGTTGGACTAGTTCACTTAGTAGTCAATTATTGAAGTTCTGAAGGTTTTAGAAGAGAATAAGTACTGTCAAATGTATTGTGAGTCTCTCTGAGTCTGCACGAATGGAGAATGAATAAATGAGGGTTTTAAGGGGGATTGTGATCTGTAAATGAGCACTGCTCTGGCTTAGGAAAAGGTGACGGCGGCTACATGAATGATTATTTCATTGACTAATGAAATATGGACTTCTAAATTAGGTACCACATCAGTGGGGACATGTTTGAAAGCAGACGAGTGAACCCAGAGATCAAATTTAATCCTTTTACAGATTTTTTAAAAGTTGGGGTTGGCAATAGAGGAAATAGAATTCTTAAAATATTCATTGGTAAGTTTCTATCTATCAAAGATGAATCGATCTTTGATTTCTGTGAGATATCTTTGTTTCAAAATTCGAAGAACGGGCGTAATTCAAAAGTCATGCTCAAAGCTGTCAATTTATTGAAAAACCGGAATAAAATTGAATATGAAAAATAAATGTGACACGTCAATTTACGTCTTGATATTGTCGCTGAGTCGTTACATGTAGGAAAGAGATTGTCTGCTGACTTGACGATTAGTATCCAAATTCACGCTAATCGTATTGAATAGTACGGCTCTATTGATTATTCTATCAATACCTTCTAAAGGGTTCTAAGTCTGACCTGACAGTTAGCTGGCGTATTCGATAAATAACACAAAACTGAAAAGCAAAAGATATATTTTTTAATTTATTTTTTTTTAAATTCACGCTTTTTCGAAGAATTTCATTTTTTTGGAATATGAAAACGAATAATAGAAAATCTTTATAAGTGATCAATTACGTTAGAAAAAAAAACGCGAACCCCCGTGCAGGAGCTTCTGAGGCGAAAGAATCAGTTAACAGCGCCAAACACTTCCCATGGGCACATTTGATTAGGCCCTAGGCGAGTGAGCTCAAACGTCAACTGTCGAATTTGCGCGAAATTGGCAGATCATTCTCACTGTAAAGAAGATAGAAGTCAGAGACCTTTGTTGAAAAGCAGAAGAACTTTCCAGTTGATTTAAGAAGCCGCTCAATTCATTCGTGAAATGCGAAGAAGTTGATGGAGTACAAAATACACCAATACGGAAAAGGTAAAAAATAATTTTTAAAAAAATCATCGAGAAGAGACGAAGTGATAAGCTTCTACTACTAGCAGGTACAGTGTAGGTGGCATGACTTGATGGGTTCTTACCAAAACGGAAATGACAAATAATTAAAGAAAAAAGTCAAATTACTGTATATTTGTTTTGATACAGTAGGCCAAGTTCCAAACCGCGCTTCTTCCTTTTCTTTGTCTAATCAGAAGAAGGACAAGACTTTCCGGAACTTTCTCCTTTTCTTGGAAAGAAAGAGAGAACGCAACCTTCTCAATTATTAGCTCCATTTCATGATAATCTCGCCTAACAGGTATCAGCGAAATAAACATTTTTAATGCTTCAGACACCCTTAAGCTTTTTATTTTATATTTTGGCGAGTTAATTTTCCGCCAAGGTAAATCATCCTTCGACCCAAAGAAAATTGGTCATTCCAAAACGGCGCTGCTTATACTTAATCCGAAGCCACATTGTTCGGCAATTCAGAGCCGCAGATAGTCAGATTGCCGTCAGAATCATTATTTTTCACGGTTGACATTGAATTTTAGACGACTAAATGCAAAATGAGACCTTACAAGAAACGGCTGCAATACAGGTAACCAATATTCTCTTCGCTAAAAAATGACTTCACTCTTCGAAATAGGGACACACTCTCGCTCCTGAAGTGCGATGGTTCGGCATCATCGTCGGCTCACTCAGCATCGTCATCGGCACTTTAGGCAATTTTTTGACAATTCTAGTGATTGTCAGAAATCGATCCATGCAGACAAAGTTCAATAGTAAGCAAACAAGGCAATTTTTCAAGTGATAATTGTTCTACCCAGTGTTTATTGCAAATTTGTGTGTCATCGACTTCCTTACAGCTGCCACGATGCTTCCCGTCAACGTAGGAACGGTTTTCAGACACGGAGTTATGCAATCCTCATCGAAAAATTCATGAAAACCGACGATAGCATCGTATGTTCTAGGCCGCTGGCCCTTTCCTCGCTTTCCTTGGTGGTGCAGTCTCCAGGCTTTTTACTACTACTGTTGTGGCTATACGTCTACTGTTTGTCTTATAGGCACTGGTTCCTCCCCGCGAAAAGAAATGACCCTACTATCCGAAAAAGGGAACCATTCTGTAAAGCCATATCGGTAAATCGGCTTGTCGGAATCTGCTTCCCTCTGTATTATAACAAAATATTCTCGCGAAGAAAAATCTGGTTTGAACTTGCTTTTACTTGGCTTCTTGCTCCACTGCTCATGGCTCCCTTTTTCTTCAATAATGGATTTCAGGAATGATTTTCTGCTAAATTCTTATAATCAAATGTAGCTAGCTATGAGAAATTTATTTCTAATTATTTGTCATATTATTTTTACTAATGGTATTGGTATTCAAATAACATATTTCCACTTATTTCGAAAAATAAATGGTTTTTGATATTTAGTAACTCAGCTAGAAAATCCAAAAAAAGTGGGTTGATAAATATTCCCTTTGTGTCTTCAACAACATGCAATTCAACGCGCAATGGGTGAGTCAAGTTAAATTTTTAATTTGTCTCTGATTGAGGTCAATTGATCCATCCTTTGAGCTCGGTTTAAATGTTTCATATTGATAAATATTCATATTCAGATGCACTACATGCAATTCACAAGGATAACATTTCAAATGGTGCCTGTTTTTGTGTTTATAGGTTCGTATTAAAACCCGTCTGCTAAATGGTCGATTCACCCTGTTTTAGTTATTTATTCTATCATTTTTGTCAAAGTCCGTGGATCTGGCATGCAAGGAAGGGGTTAGTTTTAAACTAATAGCTAATTAAATTGTTGATAAATGTGATAAGTGACCTTTTCGAGTAATCAAAATGTCGCTGAAGTCCAACTCGGGCACCTCTACTAGCGAAGATTCCACGACACGGTATGGAAAGCCTCGATTTTCTCAGATTGAGAATGATTTCTTTAGAGATGACGAGCTCTTAGTAAAGAAGAAGAAATATAAGGTCCTTGATCGACTACCTCATAAACACTTAGATAAATCATTTTCAGCTGCAACGCTAGAGGTAACTAAAATACTCTTTTTCTTATCAATACTCGGCGTTTTAGGTCAAGAAACCGCAACAAATCGTAGTTCGTCCGGTACTCTCCGCCCCTGGTGGAGACAACAAGGAAATCGTCAATGGAAGGTCAGACTGAAAAGCAGTATCTCGCGCTCGAACGAGTCCAATTTCAGATTCGTTTCACCCAAGGGCGATCGCGGATTGACGAAAATCATTCAAAATCGCCAAAATGTTGATTTCAAATTGCTCGGAATGAGCATCACCATCGTCATTTGCTTCATGGCGCTCTTCTTGCCCAGCGTCATCATCAATTTGCTTCCTGGATCGAAAAAATTTGCCAAGGGTCTCGAAGCTAATTTATTTATCTGAATGTTCGATTCGGTGTGATTGAAAATGAAGAGAAGGCGATGTCAGGCCATCCAAGTGATTAGCCTAATCCGCGAGATTAATTTTGACAGCTTTGATTCGGCGACCTTGTTTTTTTTTCAGAAGTTCATCTTTTTTTCAGGGTGCTGAAAGAGCTTGAGTAAAAGCCGCGTGTATGCTTTGCTAGTGTTATCTATTTTATTAAGAAGTTTATTTGGCGAAGCCACTTTGCGGCTTCGTTTTTTAAAAAGCCGCTTTGCGGCTTTTACTCAAGCTCTTTGAGAACCAAGCTTTTGGTAAAAGATTTTTACACTCTGACTCAGGTTTTTACACAAGTTGCTCTCTAACTAAAGAGACCCTGAAAAAAGACGCAAGGTATCATGCTTATTGCTCAGTCGTATCCTGGTTCAATTCAATGGTCAATCCTATCGTCTACTGCTTCCTCAACAAGCGCTTCAGAAACGAGTATGCAAAAGTTCTTCACTGCTCCAAATAATTTCAAGCCAAATCTTTAATTTATTTCTTTCCCTTCGAAACAGGAAAATAAACTGCGATTCAAAAATCTTTAAATTTAAAGTTCACGTCTAAAGATGTTGTTCTCTCTATCCTATCGACTCCTAGAATAGTATTTCAACAACACATCGTTAAAAAGAACTAATTATCGAAAGTCATTTCTCAGTTAAATTGTCGATAGCATCGATTTCAGTCGACAATTTCATTCAAGAATTATGGGCAAGGTAAGAATTCAAAGAGAAAGTTTGAGGGAGTTCCGAAAATTCAATATTTACTCTCATGTCGGTCGAATTTAAAACGTTTGAATCTCAAGCTAGAGAATGAGATTGTTTAAATATTTTTCAGGGTTTTCGTTAACTTTTGCTCAGGTTGAGAAAAAAGGAAATTGAATTTTTAGAACAAATTTTAGGACGTCTATCCTTGTGATAGCAAAATATTTTGCTATGGAGTTTTTCTCAATGCGGTCCAAAATGCGAGATTTTTCACAGAGAGCAAAGAATTTGTCGACATGAAGATAAAGGACGGCCTTGACGAGCAGCAAATTCTTGTTAATTTCGAAAAACTGCAAAACCCAACTGCGGAAGAGACCGAGACTTTTGTCAAAGATCACTTTGACCCGAATGGAAGTGAATTTGAAAACTACGAGTTTCCTCTGAAGCCAAATCCGAAATTTCTCGAAAAGATAAGCTCCCCTGAATTGCGAGAGTTCGGCGAAAACGTCCATAAGATTTGGCCGCAGCTAGGTCGAAAAGTGAAAGAAGACGTCAGAAAAAACAACGATCTTTATTCCTTCATTCCACTCAATTACACGACAGTTGTTCCGACAGGTCACGATGGTCGTTTCAGAGAAATGTACTACTGGGACAGCTACTGGCACATTCGCGGACTCCTCGTTTCCGAAGCCTACCAGACCGTCTTCGACTTGTTGAAAAACTTCAAATCGCTTGTCGACCGATTCGGGTTTATCCCAAATGGAACTAGAAAATACTACACAACGCGCTCACAACCACCTTTCTACTCCACCTCTGTTAGTGATTTTTACGAGCACTGCAAGGAGAATCCCGACGCTGCGAGTGAGATTAACATGTCATGTGATAAGATTCTTGAGTTTTTTCTTCCGTCGATGGAGGCGGAGTTAAACTGGTGGATGGAAAATAGAAAAATCGACCTTGAAAATGGTGAATTCGGCTTTGCGTATGGCTGCCCGATTACCGTCCCAAGGCCTGAAGCATATCTCGACGACCAAGAAGTGCTCGATGAAATTCCAGATGCTGAAAAGCGCCGTCAAAAGGCTCGAGACATCACTTCGGCAGCCGAATCTGGCTGGGACTTTTCTTCGCGCTGGGTTCCTCCCGGAGTTTACAACGCCGAAATGAAAGGGAAAGTTACGGCGAATCTTGAGACGACAAAGGTGCTTCCTGTCGATTTGAATTCCATCATCCTCAATTCGGCTGTGATTCTTGAGAAATTCAGCGGCAAAGAAAAGTACAAATCTCTCAAAGAAACTCTTTCGAAAACTATCGAAAAGTACATGTATGATGAAGAAAAGTCTACTTACAAAGATTATTGGTTTAATTGCCGTTAGTACATACCGTAAGAAATTATTAATGACCTGCACTTAGAAACGAAACACAGCGATAAATTCTTCTCTTCCGATTTTTCACCGCTTTACTTTAAAAACTACCCGGCAAATGTGGATGCTGACGATCGCGATTTGGCAATGCTCGAATCCATGAAAAATCAGGTGATAAATGAGTTAGTTTGTATTTTTAAATTCTGAAATGAAGGGCGTTCTCGACTTCAAGCACGGAATCCCTCAGTCCTTAGATGAAAGTGATGAGCAGTGGGATTTTCCTAACGCCTGGCCACCGAGTGTTCATATGATTATTATGGGACTGGCGAGAAGCGGATGTGAAGATTGCCGCAAGGAGGCAAAAATTCAGGTAAAGGATATCGGTTAATCGGCGCTCTTGTCTTGCGGAATCTTAGGCTGAAAAGTGGGTGAATTCGAATCGCGACGCCTATCTTGAATTCGGTCAAATGTTTGAAAAAATGAATGTCGAAAAAGGAAGCCCTGGCTCTGGAGGAGAGTACGTCGTTCAAACTGGCTTTGGCTGGTCGAACGGAGTCGTCCTTGATTTCCTGAATGAATTTGGAGAAGACATGAAATTGTCCGGAAGCTCGGGAGCTAAAAGCTCCTTTTCGAAAATCCTGCTTGCAACCCTCTTGTTTATGTTTGTGAAATAAATCCCAGATTTTGTATTTGAATCATTATTGTTTTTCGTTATTCCATGTATGTGCAGAATTTGTAAGGGCTATTTACAAAAAGGTGAGAAATGATAACTTTGAGAGGATAGGAGAAGGAAATATTTAGGTGATAGAATAATTGAAGTTAAAGTTTTTTATCTTATTGTTTCTTTATATTTACAGAAGCTTCGGTGTAACGAATTTAAGGCCATTTCGGTAGAAAAATAGTAAAGATATATTTTTACAGTCTGTAAGTTACAGTCGCAACGTCTAGTTAAATCTAGTCTGGACTAGTAGCAAGCCTCTCTATAGCGTAGTAAATTTGGTGATAAAGGTGAAAAGGTAAAGGTTTGACGGGGGCTGTTTGACTACGGGAAAGACTAGGAGGAAGTAAAATGAAAGATTCTCCGTTTTTAAATTTTAATGTTACTCATTATACATGATTGAAGCGCTAGCTGCTCCTATTAAAGCGTAGATCTTGAGAAGAACTCGTATTTACGATTGGATTCAAATCAAATCGTAGATATGAATTCTAAATGACCAGTGATCAGAGAATTAAAAATGAAATTATTATTCCTCGCGCGCAAGTTTGAGGAAAGTGCGGGAGAATTCTTTAGGAGAGAGAGAGAGAACTCTGTGCAAGTACAGCATGTTTGTCTAAATAATTCGTATTATTCAGCGAAATCTACAGGGCCTCACACTCGCCGGGGAGGAGCCGAGAGAACGAGCTCATGAAAAATTCAACTAAGGCAGTAGATTCCCTGTATCCTCGCCCCGCCGTGTTTCTCCAAAATAACTTATGAAGTCGCTAGTGGTAATTCGTTTATATAATACTTTGAAATGTTCTTTGAGCTAGATGTTCGTGTAGGCAAAATCGGTAATAATAATAGTTGTAAAAAAAGACGGGTGATAATTGACAGTTTTGAAGAGGGTTCGCCCGGGCTAGACACACGTCGGAGGGTTAATTTGCATAAATGTGTTCGTCTCTATCAGAATTGACAGAACTAGGAAAACGCCATAGGTGAACATGATCACTACTCCCAGCTTTTTCGTCAATTGCCAGCGATTCAGGTGAATTCCCAGAACCTAAAACAGTTGATCAAATATGCTCGAATGTTACGTAATCCTGAAAATATGCACACTTACCACTACAATTAGCGAGCACATGAGGAGACCGACCGAAGCCAGTAAACCTTTCGAGTTAATATGCACCTAAAATAGAGAAATGGCGTCACAGTCGATATAAATCTCTTTGTACCTTTTCGTCACCACCATTCGGCCTGATGGTGGTTTTGAGGAGCCACGGGAGACCGAGTCCGAGGAAAATGTCGAAAACGTTGGAGCCTATTGAGTTGGACACGGCCATGTCTCCATATCCGTTGCGAGCGACGAGGACGGAGGCGATCGTGTCTGGAACCGAAGTTCCGGCAGCGAGGAATGTAATGCCCATGACTGTGTCTGGAATGCCGAAAGTGAAGCCAGTGATGCAGATCATCCACACCATGATATACGAGAAGATGGTGATCCACACGATTGACATGAGGAAAGTAAGGAGGAACCACTTTTGATACTTGTTGCAATTTGGAATCGTGAAGAAGAAAAGGAAGAGCAGGGGCCAGGAGATGAACCATTTCATGAATTCCGTGAAAGAATCTAAAATAAGGCATATTACTAGGAGAAATCAGATGATTCTTACCTTTTGGCGGCTTGAAGGGGTGAATGAAAGACTCCTCATCTTCCTCCTCGGGCTCACTAAAACACAACGCTAGAATTTTTCGCTCGGAAATGGTCCTCAAAGCAAAAGTGCTTCCCAGCCACCTTTCTCCAGATTTTTACTTTCAATTTTCAAAATCCACTCCGATTAGTTACACTCACAGAAAATGTAAAATAAAAGGCTGTTAGGGGAGGTGGCTCGGTGTTACTGTTGCACTCATGCAGTATTAGTGAACTCGTTTGTTTGGTAATTGTGAGTGGTCAAATGGGAATTTTGTGAGAATCAGCAAAGCAAGAGATATTGTCGAAGCTTTTTTCCAGCGCCTTGTTTTGACTTCAGAGTGGTTTATTCAGTGGTTGAGTACTCTTTGGTCGTACTGTAGTTTTTTAAAGACATGCAAATTGAGCGGATATCGCCGGGTAATCGATGGCCCCTTCAATTTTCTAATTGGCGTCAAAAAGTCAACTTTTAGTCAGTCAACATGTCAATTAAGATAAAAACTAAATGACCACCTGAATAAACTCGGCACTGGTGAGTGTGTGTGTGAGTATGCATCAGCAATGTACCCTTACTTCAGAAACTGAATGGTACGGTAGACACTGCTGAGTAAGGATATGAGGAGGGAAACAAAATATACCTTCCTACGGAAGTCCGCGTTTGGGGATATTCCGCGGATGGGATGACTTGGTACTCATGTTGGAGGCTAACTGAGCTAAAAGTTTTCGTTGTTGATTGCAGCATATTATTAATTCTTTGATTCTTTATGAAGCACGATTGATTAAATTAATCCATTGATCATGTTTTAGCACTACATGTCGAATTATCCAAATACCTGAGCTTGGAGTTTTCATCTCTATAAAGGTATCTTTCCGTTTCTCCGTTGACTCCAGTACCTTCTCTGGCAGCGAGAATGTTTTTGCGCTAGAAACAAGTGTTAATTTGGAAGACAATTGTTGAACGAAGAAATAAATAAAGTGATAGAGTTCGATGTGCATCAAGACATGGCTATTCGTGTGCTTAGACGGATGATCCTAAAGATCTAGGGCGGATCAAGAGACCCTCAATTTGGAACGGTGTTTAATAATTCAGCGTCATACTTATTGTATTTGTCGGCTATCTGAAGCGAGGAAGCTTTGAATCTAATTTTCTTGAAGCCATGCCCTGATTAGCGCGAGAAAAACTATCCAAAGACAGGCATAACCAAAGGTGACCGATTCAAGGTCACACGGAACATTCAGCACACAACTGTAGTGAATGTCATTGAGATAATGAATTCAGAAGTATCGACTTTAGTAGGAGACTAATAGTTGGTTAGCGTATTATTCAATACACACCACAAGGTTAAAAAATAGAATCGACCGAAAAAGTTTACTGTCGCTCTTAACAGTGAATTCAGAGTGAGCATCATTGTCAAACTCGGTTTGAGCGGAAACACTCGTTAGACGAACACATGGGTTAGATCAGAGTAGAAAGCTCCAAATATACAGAAAAGTCACTATAATTCACCTCGGCGGTGTCACTGGATGCGCTACTTTCAGCACCCGCCTAAACTAGCTGCATTAATCACTAATTCGAAAAAAGAGAGAGAAATAGAAGAGGACACTGGTCTTATAAGATGAATGTCTACTTCTATTCAGGTCGATTTGTTTCCTAAAGTGGCTAATTTAAAAAAGGCAATAAATTTCCATGCAAAGCTTCATCATTGTAATCATAGCAAGTAAGCATTCACTACTGCTATCAAAATTAATTATTCGTTCGTTTTAATTACTAGCTGGTTTGTTCTTTTACATCGGAAACTCTACCTGTGTCCCAGTTGTTTCATCCTTTTCCGATTTTGCGTTCTAATTTATTTTTTTTTTACTTTTTCGAAAGCGTTTATTCAATTTTCAAAAAAGAAAATTTACTTGCCACAATAGTTGTTACTTATACAGTCACCCATGAAATAGCAAAGATGAGGATAAGTCCGCTAAGCGGCTGAAAATACATTACCTCCATGATCAGCAATCGCGAGGCCATGCGCAGTCGTGTTTTAGGCGCGAAGTTGTTGGAGATCATCAGCCGAAGGCCGACATTAGCCATTCCATTAGATTCCTGAAGGTTTTGTCCGGCCGCGACGTCGATCTGCGCTACTGTGCTGCCGTTCGGCTTTAGCTCCACTTTCGATTCTGAAAGGGCGAGATTATGGCAGGAGCTGAAGAGATTGGCCGCTCACCTTTTGCCGTAAGAGGCACAGCGGCGTCCCCGTTCACATCGTCGGCAGTAGATTCCTTTGGCTTTTTGCCGCGCAGACTTACAACGAAGTTCTGGAGGCTCTGGTTGAATCTGAAAATTGATCATTTTCAAAGTTCAACAATTAATACTGTTCTTACTTCATGATGATAATGTAGCAAAAGTACAACGAAACCATGGCAGCAGCTTCGTACCAGTAGACATTTCCATCATACAACACAGCGATCAAGACGCCGATAGAGACCAGATAACAGGAGCTATCACGAGCCAGTGGCCACCAGGAAAGCTGAATAGCAGCGGTGCAGAAGAGGCCGCACAGACCGATAATGACCAAAATGTTGAAAACAGCGGATCCGACAATAGTTCCAGTTCCGACGTCCGATTTCGCAATGAAAACACCTTAAGAACGAGTTATTGTCGTTGAGCGCCATTTAAAATGTCATGGGAATGGAGTAGGAGCTCGAGTGCGTGACAACTGAAGCCTGGAATTGTCAATAATTGCACAACTCACCGATAAGCGACGTAAATAATTCTGGAGCGGATGATCCAGCGGCCATAAAGGTGGCACCGGCAACATCGTCTGATAATTGGAGTTTCTGAAGGATACAGCTTTAAAACAAATCGCCTCGGAGGGATCATTTTTCGCCGCTGTTAAATGGACAATTTTCAAATTTATTCTCAATTATGTCAGCCGGCGGAGGCGAGATCATTTATAATCGCGATAGAATTTAAAATTATCGCCGAATGGAAAAATGGAGAATCCAATTTTGAATTACCTCAACAATTTGCTCGAGCGAAGCCACAAAATAATCGTCGCAGATAATCGCCAAGCCAAGGAACATGTACATTGACTGAAATACAGTTATTGATTTCAACTCTGACAGTAAAATTAAACACGATAATTCAGATGCAACCTGAAGGGGCTGACGCAAAACGCGTCCGTCAAATGATTTGCGACATTCGCAAGAAAAGGGGAAGGTGACACATGGACATTAATTAAAATCGCTCGATTTGAAAGTCGAGATTGACAATTTAAGGACCCCCGTCAGCTCTTTCCTTCGAAAAATGGAAATTTATAAAAACACCATATTTTTGGTTCTTGATGCGTCCTCTAGTTAAACTTGCTTCAAAAACTTGATAAGTGGAATTTTGGACCAAGAAAAACCAATATTTTTGCCAAAATTAGGGCAAATTCGTCAATTTTTGGGGAAAAGTCAAATTTTCAAAGGCGATTTTGGGGGTGTTAGAGTCGAGATAGACCCCCAAGAAATGAAGCCTCAAAATCGTTTTTCGACCCGTAGAATTCATTTCCGGGGTCAAAATTTTAAAATGCCGAACTTTGATTTTTCGAAAAAAGCTGACGGGGGGGTCCTTAAGTTGAATCTGGAAGGGATGCGCTTCCGATGTCATCCTTTGACATCTGAACCGATATCCCGCGTGAAGGATGTCTCCGGTCAGAGGAGAATCGAGTACCGACGGCGCGGGTAGGAGACGGTAACGATTCTCTGGCCAGATTTGCACGTAGAACATTAATTTTTCAACTTCATTTCTTGGTCTGAATTTGACCCTGCATCTGGCTTACCAAAAGGATGTGAATAATAACGGCGCCGCCTTTTCGCTGCTCCGGCGTGAAACCATCTTTAGGAAACTCGTTCATCGCTGGCTCGACGCATTCGGTTTCCGACGAGTTTGATTCCGCTCCAGCTTCTTCAGAAGTTCCATTGCCGTTTTCGCTCGTTGATCGGGCGTATCGTAGTTTATGTTCCGGTGCGACATTATGTCCAAGTGATAGATTTACTTTTCGTGGTTAATACGTTGCGATTTACGATCCTTTACGAGACAAGCGCTTGAATAGATTTCCAAGAAAAGAGACACAGTCTGACAATAACTGTGTCTGTGTAGTAACCTGAGTCAGGGTCATGAAACAGGTCTCTCGAAAAGCCGCATAGCCGGCTTTTTTGTAAAACCGAAGCCGCAAATCGGCTTCGCCAAAATTATCAGATCAACCTTTTTCTTTGATTTTCCAGGACCCTGACTCAGGTTTCTTCTCAGATTGCCGAGCCCATCTCAGACATAGGGGGCAGTAAAATTTCCCTATGCATAAAAGATCGAAAATGAAAGATTAACCATTCCTGAATATGCAGAGAGAACAATCGAGCCAACAAAAGCGACGAGTATTGCCCCAAGTCGCCATCTTAAAACATCATTTTTAATCCCATTTTATGGCACCTTGATTGATAATGATTTTAGGGGGCTAGAGGCAATCAGTATCTTAAATTTGATTGCTTCTGATTTTGCCCCTGTCTTCTCACTCACCTTAAATTGTTTTTCCTCTTCTTCGTCCGTAAAAAACTCTTCCTGCTGCATATTATTTGAAGATTTTGATTCTGTGGGAGGAAAGGCGAGTTTTTCTCGAAATCCTCGGCGACATCGCTAGACGTCATTTGCTCGCTTTTGATTGCGATTTATTACCGATTTCGAATTACTATCAAGTTCGACAATTTTGATTCTGAAAGTGAAAGTTTTGAAGAAGGGAAAAATCAATACTTTTCCAAAGTAAGAGAGAGCAGAAGATGAGTAGATAGAAAAACATAGCTTGTGGGAAAAGTTAACTGAATATTTGATCGAGACAGTTTGAAGCAGTGTCTGGAGAAAAACCGCAGCTTTCTTCCGATTTTAATTTAAAAATGATCTTGTATCTAACCCTAATTCTACTAAACTTGTACAAAAAGTGCCTGTTTTCACAGTTCTTTAATAATTGTGGCAAATATCAGTATTATCTCAAGTGTCTGCCCGACAGCACGAGAGGAAAGAGAGACCTATTGGCTCATCAAATTTGCAACTGTAACAAGCACCTTAATCTCTAAATGAGCAGCAAAGAGCGTTGCATCCCCTCTTTTGCTTCTTGGCGAAAAAAGAAACATTTTCTTTCAATGGATTTTCTTCAAAGGGTGGCATCAGGTTAATGCGCGTGCTTTTGGAACGCATACTGTGGCATTCTGAAGGTCACGCGACTGTATTTTTTCTTCGCAATTACTGTTGAGTCAGAGACCTTCTGTCAGAAGGCTTCTGACAAAAGAAACATAACTAGGTCATGAATGAGGCCATCAAAACTGACCGAATTAAAGTGAGTAGTCATAAGTACATAGGGTTTCTCACGGGAAAATGGTAGTTATCACTTTTTTCTGAAAATTTCATCGTTTGCTTAATTTGACCCGCTGATTCCAAAAATACAAAAATCAGAGCCGCCGGTCGACGTTTTGGTGGTGCAGCGCGCGCTGTCTTGGCGCACTTGGTGCAAGGGAGATTTTTCAGTGAACATTTCCCAAAATAGTTTTCTATAGGTTTTTGAACATGGTGAACCCGAAACTAATGGTTATTTTTGTTAAATAACAGTTATTATTATACAGCAGTATCTAACATTATATCCATTAACTATTTCATGAGATACAAGGTAATTCGGCTCTGATTTCTCTAGAAAAAAAAAATAAGAATAGTCTGCTTTGACTTCTTTGTAAAATCTCTGGAAAAGTTCGGATTCCTTCTGCCGAAGGAATATGTTCTTTCTTTATGTTTTTTTTTTGTGAATCTTTGACATTTCTGCAAACCCATGTTCAGAAACTAATTGACAATTAGCTTTTTTCGGCATTTTCGAGGGTAAACCGCATTATTTACACTGAAATTATCATGTCTAAATCGGAAATCCCCCAATTATTGCATCGAACCACTTTATTTCGCCACCTTCTACAGAAAGGTTCGGACTGCTCTCCGGGGGAGTGAGTAAATATACGCGTTTTCAGGCCAGGCGCTGACCCCGTGCGCGACTCCAGCGCGCGTGCAATGCCAAAAAGTTCTAGTTAAATGCGGATTTCTTGGTGACCGGCTATTTTCGGCTATCCAAAAATTTAAGAGGTGAATTCTTTATGCTTGAGATTGATCATATTCAAAAATCGAGACTGTGTCTGAGTGTGTTCAGTGTTAAAGTGAAGATTTTTCACTAAAATTTCCATTTTTTCGCCTTTTTTCAGAGAAAACTTAAAATTTGATAGCATATTATTAATCCTCATCCTCGATTTAGTATTGTCCTGAATTTTCATATAAAACCTATAAGAAAAAGCGATAACGGCAATCGCGGTCAGAAGGCGTTCCGAGCCCCGCGCGCTCCCGTGAAAAACCCTACTTATGACTCCGCTTGTTAATATTTTAGGCTGCTTCAAGAGTCGTAAATTGACATTCAAAGAGGAATTTTACAATGCTAAGACTCTTGTTGAGCACGCCCTATTTTCGCTTTCTGCTGAAAAATGAAGACAAGACAATAATAATAATAATATTTTCTCTTTATAAAAGTCTGATAACTAGACTTCACCTCAAAGTAGATTGGAAGGTTTAATTTGAAGACCGCAGTAGGGGAAATTCATCAATAAAAAGAAACTCGCTTTTGGAATAATTTTTAATTGATCAATTTCTTCAGCTTTGACTTTATCTTTTGCCTTCCAACTTGAAAACTTCGAGTTGGAAGATTCAAAATACCAAACAGGCCAAAATTTTGTCAATAAGATTGTCTGAATATTTGCCGTAGAAAACAAAAGCGCGTTGTCGATAACTCATCCCCAGTAATTGATCAGAATCAGCATCAACCCGAGTCACTAACAATCCCAATTAATTCCGGCGGATCTGTTTGTTCAGACAGCCAATAAAAATAAAAACAAAACTTAATTTAACCGCTACAAACTCTTCTTTACCATCAGTCTCTCTTTCTTTGGAACATTCATCTCTGAAGGTTGGTATTTGAAGCAAAAGCTTCAGTGCGACGTAATTGGCCTCGTATTGGCCATAATAACTCGCCTATTTTTTTCGGAGCTTGAGCGAAGGCGGCACTTTTTTTATTAGGACTCGCGTTTACGCCGATGACCGTAAAACCTGTCCGCGCTTATTCTCGATTGACTACCTGATTAGAATGGGCCTCATTTTTTCAAGTCGCTAGAAGGATTAAATTCTCAATTTGGTCTATTTGCAATAGACTATTGCCTTTTGATAGAGCAATTCTACTAGCCGAAAGAATCTATCGAAAAGGGTTCGAAAACCTGTTAAGAAAACCTAAGTCAGGTTCTAAAAGATCAAAAATGAAAAGCCGCTACGCGGCTTCGCTAGAATTTAAAAAAGACTTGAATGAGAGCTTTGTCCTTGTCGTTGACTTTGTCTGAAGAGAGGAAGAAGAATGAGTGGACATTATTGGATGCCATATTAGGCAGAATTAATAATCCCTCCCAGTTCAGAGGTCACCCGTCGACCAACAGATGCAAGGTTAGCTCGGTGGTCTATCCATTATTGATTTACAAAAAGCAACTGGGCCAAAAATACGCTTCATATCAAAATCAAAATGTACCATGTGCAGAATATCTAATTTCCTCTCCTCTACATTTCCCGATTTTCCTCGTAAAATCGTCAAAACAAAAACAGACATTCCCGTCTTTGAAATTTACGAAAATCTAATGAATCTTCAAATTTCCGCCCAAAAGACTCTGAAAACAACCAGATCCTTTTCTCCTCCATCAGCGATTTCTAACGATAAACATACGAAAAGTTTAACCCTAACGACCTCTTTTCAAAAGAAGCTAACTCTTCCGGCAATTTACCGGACTCACGTAACCCCTTACCCTGAGCTCAGCGACCTGTGTAGAAAACCTGAGTCAGGGTCCTGAAAAAGATCTAATGAAAAGGCGCGTAATTTTGGCGAAGCCGCTTCGCGGCTTTCCATTATAGCTTTTTCAGGACCCTGACTCAGGTTTTCAACACAGGTAGCCAAGCCCAGTCCTTATCCATATACAAGCATTTTTAATAAAAAACTTACAAAAAGAAATCTTCATTTTTCCGGTCTATTGTTCAACTCTCTCTTTTTTTTAATTCTTTGGTCTCCAATTTTCAACAAAATCCTTGTTTTTTTCTTCAGTTTTGGCTATTTTCTCGACAGACAAATATGGAAAATGGGAAATTACAATTCTGAGAAGGGAATAGTATCGTTTACTCTGAGTATGGCTGATCGAGTGTGGCTGTTTTGCGCAAAAAAGAGGTTTCGTCATCACCTCGCGGGCGCCCCAATTCGAACGAGCTAAATCCGGCCAATCCGAGAGGCAATGAAACACCACAATTTTCAGATTTCCCGAATTTGAGCGCTTTCCTTCATTTTTTCCGGCTTTCCAGCTGACGAATTTTGTTTACGAAAACAAGCTTCTATATTTTTGATCACTCAATCGAAGAATAATCGATACAGTAATGCTCTAAAAACGCGTAAAAGGGCTCGGTTGAAAAGCCGCGTAGCGGCTTTTTTTTAAAACGAAGCCGCGAAGCGGCTTCGCCATAATTCCTGTTCAATCTGTTTTTATTTCTGGCGAAGCCGCTTTTCAATTGAGCTTATGGTAACTTACTAAATAGATTTTTTGACGGGAAAAAACAAGAAACAACAGACTTATTGATCGACCGAAATTGGGTACTTCAAAATTCTAGTGCCAGACCTATCCGAAACCAGGCAGCAGCACAGTAGTTCGGATGGGCCTGGCGCTAGAAATGCAGTGCTCTGCTAGAATCAATCAATAAATTAGTTGCCTGAAAATGGCGAATTAGAAAACATCTGTTCTGAATAATTGTCAACTACCGCGAAAAAGTCAATATGGGTGTAGCTGGGTTTATAGGGCAATACCTACGAACAGGTAGAGCACTAGAAACGCTTACTGAGGTATCTTCACTGTACAAAGTTGCGTTTCATCAAGCGTGTTAAGTTGAGTTATTATCCTGTGGACAAGTGAGCATAAATCAGCGTAATATTCTTTTCCTTTTGGATGAAACCTTTGAAATAAATCTGAGCGATTCCTCAAGGAAATACTACCTCAAGGAAAGCCTACAATTTTCATATTTTTTTCCTTCGAGAAGGAAAACCGATGGCATCTTGGGTAGGCAACCTGAGTAAAAAACCTGAGTCAGGCCATGAAAGAGCTAAAATGAAAAGCCACGAAGCCAGAATTTTAATATCAATAGGTTAACTTTGGGGCTCCATTAAAAAAATATTTCATATTAGCTCTTTCAGAACCTGACTCAGGCTTTTCACTCAGGTTGTCGACTCCAGGACAGCATTTTTCTGGATTATCAAAGGTAAAAATAGCTGCGAAATTCAACATTATCTGTGCAGCTATAAATAACTACAAAATTTCCACCCTCAAGAACCATTTAAAACATTTCTAACCACCTGGAATTAGCAGCTGTAAAAGAAGAATTTCTTGTGTGCCTTTTTTTCTCTCTCTCTTTTTCTTTTGGCGTCTCTTTTCCGTCTGATTTTGAGTTTCAAATTTGAAAATTCAGTTCGTCATTCCATGGTCCATGGAAATTCGCCGTTTCAACTTTTTTCCAGCGTATGATTCTTCGCGCAAATACGTAATTCAATGACTGTAAC